CTACGTTAATAGTTAGATTGATTGCCTAATTCTTGGGAAGAAGTTGCATTTAAATGATTAACATCGTTTAATCTATCTCAATTATGATTTAAAAGTTTCAGTCTTATTTCACCTTCAAACAAGTCCGAATTAAAATTATGAACCTACTAAAAAAAACCACGTCTTTTATATCTGATCGTATATTGAAAATAATTTATCATTCTTGAGCTATATTTGCATGGCAATCATAAAAAGCTGAGCGAAAAACTATTCATATTCCCCATTATTAACATCTAACTGATCAACATTCTTATTGGTCTACTTTTAATTGTCTACGAACCCTACTTATATCTTTTCTTTATTTAAGGACTTTGAAAAAGTTGTAGCTTTCGCGTCACTAAGACTTCAAAGCGTTGAATGGCTTTCAGTGTGCCCTCTAACTTTTCATTATAAAACAAATATACAATCACCTTTGCCGTCACAGAATATTACCTTACTGACAACAAAAGATTCCACCAATAATATGATTTAAACATATAAAAGGAAAGTTTGCAAATATTTGTTTGATGCTTAATTTTTGTAGCTAACTGGGGGATACCATGCGCCATTGCACGGCACGGAGGCTTGAGAGAATAATTCAAATATAATTCATCGAGATGAGTTTTCGAAATTAAATATGGCTGAACCTAGGAGCGCGCTTTTTCTTTCGGCTTGGCGAATACAGGAGTTAGTTGTCCTGTGCTTAGTTCTCGTATCTTCGACAGAGACAGACGGCCGTAAAAGACAAGGTAAGGAAGGCTATCGCAAACAGCCGAGACGTTTTACATGCATTTTACTATCTTTAAAAAAGCTTATAAAGAAAGGAAAGATAACACTTTTTTAAAGTCGCATTGGGGTTAAACGAACTATATTCATTTTGCTTTCTTCAAAGTTTCTGGAGAAGTATAATTTGACAAGAAATACCAGAGTTTGAAAAATAACTTTGAGCGCTTTGTAATTATAATCATGAATACAGTGGGAAGCATGGACTCTCCAGTCATTAAGTCGGTAATTTTGAATATGGGCTTCTTGCGTAATAAGACGAAAAATTAAAAAAAGAAGATTTGTGAATAACTCGAAAGACGCTTTCAACCGTTGAAGTAAATAATTTATAAACATATCTGGGGGGGAAAAGACAAAGTTTTCCAAAAAAAACTTGAAAGGCATTTTTTATGACCTTGTTTATTTTGTTGTTCACTCACTGGACTCAGTGGTCAACTACTTAAAAAAAACTTGTCTAATAACTGCCGCGAGTATTGGGATCTTTAGCAACGACTATGACGATGGCAACGAAAACGGCAAAAAAAAGCAATAGACCTCTTTAGCTTCCCAATAGAGGTCCCCAGGGGAACTTGACCCTTTGTCTTTTCATAAATTATGCGTACATATGCTCGTGAATAAGATGAAATTTTAAAGGAAAAGTTTCTAGAGTATTCAGGGGCACTCAATGGATCTGTTCCTCAAAATATCTGTTCTTCAGACAACTTTTTTGCTGGCTGGGAGATTTCGAAAATACTGATATGTTCTTTGAATGGAAGTCTTGCTGGGAAATAGCTGCTATGTGCTTCCCAGTAATTAGTTTGGCAGGTTGTAGGTGCACCTTGCTAGCTGGGAACTCTTCGATCAGTCTTGAGGAACGAGCCCGCAAGTGCTGTATGATTAGGACGTGAATACGCGCGAGGCAGTGATTTAAATTTTCTTTTTCTGAACTTGGATGCAGTCTTTTAGAATTCAACCTCCGAAAAATTCGCCAACATTTGACAAATAGAACTTTTTACCAATACGGCGGCCATATTGAATTTACTAGATTTAAGGAGTATTATGGGATGCCAGGAGGTCCAGAAGCCGATCGGCTCCTGGGGATGCCCAAGGGGCATTCGCTCAGTATTTACGCGCTCTTTTCGGGCGAAAAGAGAACTTCACTGTATATTTCTCGGGAAAAAGGCGATCATTGTTACATTCAAACAAGGCACAACGATCCTTTTTGCTATTTACAATCTTTTTTCTAGGGGAACTTTGTAAAAAATTGGCCCGGAAAGCGCGCGTAAATACTGAGCGAGTATATCGGATCATGCTCATGCCCCCCTGGGCATTCCATAATACTCCTTAAATCTAATAAATTCAATATGGCCGCCGAAGAAGAGGAGGGAAGAAGTTTTAAGCGGCGCGAATTCACTTTTTAATTGACGTTTTCGCTGCCGTCGCAATCGTAGATGCTAAAGCCCTTTATTTTCGTAAACACAAGGGTAAAAGAAAATATTATCAAGAAAAATTTATTCATATTGGACTGAAAGTCAACAATCATAGCCTTTGCTTTCTTTGAAAGACGTAGACTATCATAACGGGGCGAAAAAAAACCTTTTGGTTTGCACTATGTAATTATTTACTTCAGATTTAATGTTGAAATTGACAATATAGCGAGAATGTGATAAAAGTAATAAAATTCGTTTTTTCATTAAAATCGTTTTCGTAACAATGCACTGCATTTTTCCCCAAATTTCTAAGGGCTAGATTACATGGAGGTGGGTGATCCCAGATAGCTGAGGTAAAATGCGCCGGTTCACCCCACCTATCATGTAAACGTGATCAAATTAAAATGAGAGATTATATGGACAGGCGGGTTACCCCACCTAAGCGGGTTACCTCACCTGCCTGGGGTCCCTCACCTCCATGTAAAAAAGGCCCTAGGACAAAAGGCTATTGAAAACTTCAAGATTGCTTTTAAAACAAGAAAAACAACATTTCGATTTTGCGTACGTTTTACAGTTTTTTCTTTCTTTTACACTGTAAGATCGTAGCTTCCAATCTAATTTTGGTTGCTGAACTTTAATTGCTATCTAGGGATTTATTTATTTTGAGTTGTTCTAGTGGTGCTTTTCATTGAAATATAAAAACCATAAAATGTAGAAAGTAAACTGTATTTTGATTCTAATGAAATTTGCTGATAAAGATGCCATTCACATACCACTTTAGACACTCTTAGCTTTAATGTGAATGTCAAGTAATATGTCAAATGATACTAACGTTAGAAAGACTAGCAATGAAAGTCAATATTGTTCACTCCTAAAGCTTCCAGAGCAAATATGACAAATTTCTTCCCTTCAAACTACAATGGACCGGCCACTTTTATGTCAAGTAATGTCTTGACGGAACAGTCTTCTGAAAAGCATTCAATTCTTATTTAGTTTAAAGAGCTGCTTTTAATTATCGAAAAGATTGTCTTCCTGCTCCGATGGTAAACATATCCTTGTCAAAAGAAATTATGAAGTCAGAGCAAAATCGTTTTTGAAAGAGAAATATTTTTAACTTTATCGCAACGTCTTCATCTGTATCGTATCGACTTTCCTGATTGCACTATCTGCCAGTGTTTCTTGATTTCGAAGATGAAATTAAAGAATCTGTTACCCTTAAGGCCATTTCTTGGGATCGGGAATAGGCAATAAAATACTTCCACAGTAAAACTGATCAATTATTCCAGCTGTTCAGAAAGAAAAATAGTTCAGATTTTTCGGACCACATTAAACAATTTTAAAATAAACGTTATGTTGTCTTTATTACAGCAAATGCCCTCATAAGTTCGACTAGTCACGGTTTATCTTAAAACGAAACGCATTCGCCATAAGACTGTTGTAACCATAGTACACATGTATTTGAGACGTTATACTACTACATGAGAAATTTCTGCAATTTGATTGCCTTAGAGCAGTGGTATTTCAGCTTAATTTGAAACACCTACATGTGAAAATTACAACCTTTTGCCGGTAGTAGTATAAACAAATAATAGCATGATTTGTAGGTGGTATTTGGCATAAATACCACTCGTGATATTTCAAAATTGTCTCAAATTTCACTCGCCTAGTAACGGCTCGTGAAATTACGTATAACAATTTTGAAATATCACTCATGGTATTTATGCCAAATATCACTACTAATCATGCTATTACCTATACAAATTGGTTAGAAACAACTTACGGTTTCAAACGAAAACTGATTGTTTATACTACACTAAAATGCACCCACGTTTTTAGCTACCTGAGAAAGCTAGTTAACCCTAAATAGCATCCAAACAAACCCAGAATACAACAACAACAACAAAAAAAACATTTGGGCAAAATTAATGTATTTTTAAAAACAATTTGTATTAATTGAAATCACCTTCTAGTCAACTGGGGCGAATGGGGAGCCTGTTCAGTCACGTGTGGAGCAGGACAAAGGTCGCGTGAAGGCTGCCTTAAGCCTAGGCAAACATGTCCACCAGATCGTGTGGAAAGTGAGACGCAGGAATGCCGCATTATACCTTGTATAGGTAAGCTAAGTATAATGGCGTCAATGATACGAAATTAGGGAGCTTAAGCAGCGACGTTTTTGAGCGACGCACGTCAACCGGAAGTGAGGTATTTTCCCTCTTAACATGCCTTGATGATATAAAATTTGTATTCATTTAGCTTCTTTACTGTTATAGAGGCGATTTGACTGAAAATTTGCGCGAAACCACCGTCAAAAAATGAAAAAAGGCCACTTCCGGTTGACGTGCGTCGCTCAAAAACGTTGTTGCTTAAGCTCCCTATTATCATTGCCTAGTACGTGAATTGAGTAAAAAAAGGATACCTTTCCAGGTTTTGAAGCGAATGTTGATGTTTGATCATCTCTCCTCAGAGGGTCCTACCTGTTATTCGAGGTAGGTACAGGGAGTTTCCTTTTTCCAGTGACTCTCTGTCTCTCTCTCTTTTGTCGAGAAAGTCAAACATCAGTTCTTGGAAATTATTTTCCTGCTCAATGTGTCTAAGACTAGAATGTCGTCTGTTTCTCTGCTTGGTAAAACTAGACGTGGTTACCGATAAAGCCATCAACCTACAAAGTAGTCTGGAACTATTGAACATTTACCTTTGGTTGAACTTCAGCTTTATCTACTTCGCATGAAAGCATTTTATCTGTAAGAAAAATACGATTGTTAAATAACAATCTTTATTTCTTGAATCGTTATTCCAGACATCGATGACTGCGCTCTTGGACCATGCCAAAATGGAGCTACTTGTGTGGATGGCGTAAATGACTACAATTGCACCTGTGTCGTCGGATATACGGGAAAGAATTGCAGCGTTGGTAAGAATACTTTGTCAATTACATAACCTTAAAACAAAGAGATTCAATATAAGAAAATAAGACCAATCATTAATCTCGAGAATCTTTAACTTAAGATATAGATGATTGTGCTGATAGACCTTGCCAAAATGGAGCAACTTGTATGGATGGCGTAAATGACTACAACTGCACCTGTGTCGTCGGATATACAGGAAAGAATTGCAGCGTTGGTAAGAAAATTTTGTAAATTGCCAACCTATAATTATATTCTATGTATAACAGCAAAACGTAATTCTAGAAACCTATTCAAGATATAGATAACTGTGCAGATGGACCATGCCAAAATGGAGCCACATGTACAGATGGTGTGAATGACTATCGTTGCACCTGTGTCGCTGGATTCAAGGGAAAGAATTGTAGCATTGGTAAGAAAATATTGAAAATTTTGAACTTATTAGAAAAAAGGCAATTTAATATATAGCACCAAAATGAAATTGCAGACATCTTTTATCCAAGATATAGATGACTGTGCAGATGGACCATGCCAAAATGGAGCCACATGTACAGATGGTGTGAATGACTATAGTTGCACCTGTGTCGCTGAATTCAAGGGAAAGAATTGTAGCGTTGGTAAGAAAATATTGAAAATTTCGAACTTATTCGAAAAAAGGGAATTTGATATATTGCACCAAAATGAAATTCCAGCAATCTTTTATATATCAAAGATATAGTTGACTGTGCAGATGGACCATGCCAAAATGGAGCCACATGCACAGATGGTGTGAATGACTATAGTTGCACCTGTGTCGCTGGATATACGGGAAAGAATTGCAGCGTTGGTAAGAAAATTTTGTAAATTGCCAACCTATAATTATATTCTATGTATAACAGCAAAACGTAATTCTAGAAACCTATTCAAGATATAGATAACTGTGCAGATGGACCATGCCAAAATGGAGCCACATGTACAGATGGTGTGAATGACTATAGTTGCACCTGTGTCGCTGGATTCAAGGGAAAGAATTGTAGCATTGGTAAGAAAATATTGAAAATTTTGAACTTATTAGAAAAAAGGCAATTTAATATATAGCACCAAAATGAAATTGCAGACATCTTTTATCCAAGATATAGATGACTGTGCAGATGGACCATGCCAAAATGGAGCCACATGTACAGATGGTGTGAATGACTATAGTTGCACCTGTGTCGCTGAATTCAAGGGAAAGAATTGTAGCATTGGTAAGAAAATATTGAAAATTTCGAACTTATTCGAAAAAAGGGAATTTGATATATTGCACCAAAATGAAATTCCAGCAATCTTTTATATGTCAAAGATATAGTTGACTGTGCAGATGGACCATGCCAAAATGGAGCCACATGCACAGATGGTGTGAATGACTATAGTTGCACCTGTGTCGCTGGATATACGGGAAAGAATTTTAGCATTGGTAACGAAATATTGAAAATTTTGAACTTATTCGAAAAAAGGCAATTTAATGTATAGCACCAAAATGAAATTGCAGACATCTTTTATCCAAGATATAGATGACTGTGCAGATGGACCATGCCAAAATGGAGCCACTTGTATGGATGGTGTGAATGATTACAGTTGCACCTGTGTGGTTGGATATACGGGGAAGAATTGCAGCATTGGTAAGAATATTTTGTCAGCTGAAAAATTGCAAACTGTATAATACAAATTTGTAATCTCAAGAATCTTTGGTCCAAGAAACTGATGATTGTGCTCAAAGACCATGCCAAAATGGAGCTACTTGTATGGATGGTGTGGATGATTACAGTTGCACCTGTGTGGCTGGATACACGGGAAAGAATTGCAGCCTTGGTAATAATTATAATTCCTTGTCAACTGGAATAATTAAAATTAACTCAAAATGTGATCAAAGTAAGACAAAACTTTAATGACAAGAAACTCTTACTTAAGATATAGATGATTGCGCATTGGGACCATGCCAAAATGGGGCAACTTGTACCGATGCTGTGAATCACTACAATTGTTACTGTGTCACCGGATACACAGGAAAGAACTGCAATGTAGGTAGGAATATTTTGTCATTTGGAAACTAAAAAAATTTACTTACTTCAACGCAACAAAAAATTAATCTCAAGATTTTTTAGTTCAAGATACAAATGATTGTACCCAAAGCCCATGCAAAAATGGGGCCACTTGCACAGATTGGGTAAATGACTATTATTGCAGCTGTGTCGCCGGTTACACGGGGAAAAATTGTACCGTTGGTAAGAAGGCTTGTAAAATACACCTTATTCAAAATAATACGAAACGGTTAATTAAATTTTTTTTTCCTCAAGATATAGACGATTGTGCTAATGGACCATGTCAAAATGGAGCAACTTGTACGGATAATGTAAATGACTACACCTGCACATGTTTCGCTGGTTACTCGGGGAAGAATTGTACGGTTGTCATTGCTGGTAAAAAATACTTTGTCATATGAAAGAATATATTATTTTTTAATTATTGTTATTATTATTATTATTTTTTATTATCATTATTTTTTTTTACTGTAAAAAATATTTATAACTGCAAGGATCTGTCTCTGTCTATGTTTGACGAAGAATTGTTACATCGTTTTCAGTAATAACTCTAGCTAATAAAATAATTTTTAATTAAAATTCAAAATAGGGAGTTGACTTGTATAGTTACTTTAAAAGCCTATGGCTTTATACAATACTTATAACTGGTACACGTCAATATAGAACTTTGATATCACCCCTCCCTGTCTTCAGAAATTTATTTTCCTTTTTTATGACTGGAATTTTTTAGATCATAATAATGCCCCTCAAAGTCCTGTCCCCACCCCTACCATCTTAAAATATTCATACTAAAGCGGCCTGATCTATCACACACCACCTTTAAAACAAATGAACGTATCTACGCATTGTATTTTGTTCTAGATCTTGGGAAGACCAGCCTTCAAGAATATTTCACAGGAAAAAAAGATTGGGTTTTAATCAATCACGTGATGAAAAACATCTGGACTTCAAGCGAAATAACTTGTGCGATGTTTTGTATACGGGATTCGAACTGTCAGTCAATCAATTTCAAAAGCAAATCACAGGACAGAGACCAAAGTGCTACAAAAGGAAAAAAGACTCCAAACTGCGAGCTCAATAATGCAAGATACATGACTCATCTCCACGATTTTACTGCGCATAAAGGATACTTTTACTTTCAAATTACTTAAAAGTGGATTTAAAACTTAAGCCAGTCACAGTATCGTTGTAGATTCAGGTAAAGACACAAAGACTGCTTGGTTCGAAGCTTGATTTCTCAGGTTGTACCCTGAGATCGCTTCATGAACCTGCTGCCAACCTCTTTCAACATTGGTGACAATTGTCCGAGCAAAACGTTAATTTGCTCTAATGATGAGCGTGTTTGCCAGTTTAGAAAACAGACTATAGCTAGTGAATGCTGCTTCGAGGGAGAGGCTGGATAAACAGAACTGCTACAAAACCAAGAAGTGGTCACTAGGCTGTCAAAGCATCCAGCAGATTATGTTCGTCTAAAAAGGCACCACCAAAAATTGTTTCTCCGACCCAGCTCCGACCCCAATCGAAAGTATCAGGACTTGCGTGGTCAAGTAAGCGGCCAGTAGAGCCATCGAGCCTGTCAGTGTCTTCCTGCTGTCCATAGTTGTAGTGCTTAGACAACAGGAGGCTTGATTGTAACGCAGACGGACAGAGAAAAAAAGAGAAAATACTAAATTATTGTCCTCGTGTAATCATTTTAGCAGACATCGACAATACATTGTAGAAAACGATAGTTTTAAAATTCCTAAGGTGCAATAAACATTATTACCAATGTACTCGTCATTATTATTTTTTTTGTTTTCAGGCTACTTGTTGAATAAGAAAGCTTGGCCAAGAATGAAAGTTTTCTTAGCCTGTGCTAAAAGGCACTTTGAAAGGGAGGGAAGAAAACGCACAAAGAAGCAAAAGGAGTCTCCCGAATTCTTCTCGCGCCCCTTGCGTTCTCTTACAAACCGTAAAGCGCATGAAAAGTAAGCTGATAAAGTATTAATCCTTCAGCAGTAAAGAAAAGAACCATGGCTTCCAAGTTTTTTGCTTAGAAATTTCTTTCGTTTAACCGGTTTATAAGTGTTATTGAAGTTCCCGTCAGCTGATAGCCTGAGGGATTGTGCAGAAAAGAAGCTTGCATCACTCGATTGTCAATTAATGAGGGAAAATACTATCCTATTAAAAAGGACGGTCTTTTTACTACATCACGCTATACTGATCATGGGACATACTCTACAGCATATTAGAACCCAGGCTCTTGCACGCGGCCGCTTTCGCTAATGACCGCTGAGAGTTTAAACGGCGCCTTAAGGAAAAAGGGTTAAACGCGACCGAAACATCAAAATACCACAAACTTCTAAATTTTAGATTGTTAAATAAAGTCTGTAAGAGAGGGGTAAACCTATCGGTCTTGTGTATCAGAGGATAGTGATTTTAGCTGAAAGATGATTTTCTTTTAAAAAATCAGAGTTGGGGTCTTCTTCCACTTATTAGCCGTAGATGGTATTTTCTTTATTTTACCTAATTTTTCAGTAAAAATACACGGTTTCTTTCAATCCCCAATACATATAGCTGCTGTAGGCCAACCTGGCCAGCCGGGCTTGTTTCCTTGAGTTTTAGCACCGCTTCGGGAAAGTAAAATCATATTACCCTAATTTATAAAATTCGTGTCAATAAGGCTGGCTACAGTATAAAGCCTTCGTCAAGTTGAAAAATTTTCTTAGCGGGAACTCCTTTTGATGTACGTTTACGACTAACACCTTTTATCATTAGGAGAGGAATCTCTCAGCCAAACCCATCATCCGCCCATTAAGCTGAGATGGTAATCTTCTTTATTTCCCTAACTTTTTTATCATTAAAAAATATGGGGAATTTGATCTGGCCATTTAAAGCTATAAAACGCGTTTTCTTCAGTTTTAGCACCTCTTAGAGGGGATTTCAAAATGTATTGCTTTAAATTAGTAAATAATGCACATCCACCAAAGGTTCTATGCAGGATACTCACTCCTTGGGTGTAAAGCCATAAATTTGTCAAACTTAAAACGCCGCACAGTGGAAACTGCTTGTACGCACGATTTCTTCCTTTTATTATTACGAGATCAATACGAATGTTTCGAAATTTTTTTCCTAAACTTGGCATGGCGGTGAAGATTGTTGAACTAACTGTTATCAGATTGCGCGCGGGACAATAACAATGAAGGAAAACTTCACCTGAAGCGCTTTCAGCCCTGATTAATTTCAAAATTATAGGGAACAAATATAAATTTGGTCTCATTCAATGACTTCCTTAAGTTGTGTTGACTTTAAATTTTTAACCTTTAGACTTGAAGTACAAGATGCTTTGTCCCCTCTGCACTCATTTCATTTAAAACTAAAGATGCCAGCAAAATCTTCAAGGTGCAAATTAATAGTGCGACAAGAGCAGAACTGATTAATCGAACGTGTTCAGGTAATAAGCCGCTTTTCACTTTCTTTGATACACGAGAAGCATTAACAAGAGGAACTAATGCCCTGTGCTACTAACCACAGCATAACCAAAGAGGGAGGGTTTCAAAGAGGGACGAATTGGTAATAAAGTATATTAGGGAGTGTTAGTTTTGTCGGAAATACAGTGCCCTCTTTGCAAGATGCCAGTGGGTTACGAATGATGGTCAGCCCAAAACACAACGAAGGTTTGCCGGAAGTTTTCTGTGACCCCAGCAGCGTGTATGCGTCACTAAAATGCCGGTTGATCCACGCTACTGTTCTTCGAAATTACAACCAGGATAAGTGGTCTGATTTCTAACGTCGTTGAAGTATTTTTGCCGGACTGGAGGGGTTTATAATTTCACTCGTATTCAATTCCACTGCTTCTTTGCTTTTAGGCTACGAAATGGATATGAAATTGATTAAATCAAATATATTCTTTAAAATCTTAACAATTAATTGCCCCGAAATGATTAAGGCGATTTCCTTCGCATTGTTTCGTTCGCTGATAAAAGCAAAAAGCCAGAACTCTAGCCTAGCAAATCTCATAGCTGTGACAAAACCAAAAACATAAAAAATAAATTTATTTCGGTATAGTTATCCGACTGATAACACTTTAACTTGAATTCAAATTTACCGGATTCGCCATATCAGCGGCTTGATGTTAAAAAGAAGCGATCATTCCGGCCACTGCGGCGCGCAGTAAAAAAAAAACAAAACATGAAAATTATTTGATTATTCATTCACCGTGAAACTTTATGCGTGTGTTGTGTTTTCGACGGATATAGAAAAATCTGCAGTTCTTGAAGCTGCGATTTTCTAAAATGGCACTTTTGAGAAACTTTATTTCAGTTTTGGTATTTTGTTTGTGGAATACCGCAAGTACAGACGCAATCTCAAGGCTAGGTTAGTTAATTTTTTCGCTTATTGTGCGGGATATTCCTTGCACCCTTGAAGCGTTTACTATTTGAAAACCAGTTGGAATGCTATCCAGAATGAGCTTTTTTTTTTCATGAGGAAATACCGAAATTATCTTGAACAGTGCGCCAGAGTAGACCACCAAGAGGATACGGTTGGGTCCAGAGGCACTCCGTTTGAATTAGAAAAAAAAAGAAATGCATCTGAGCCTGGATTTTATCTTCCCCGAAAATGTTTCCCTGGATAAAACTATACCTTTTTAGATTTCAAAACTATTTTCCGGTTTCTTGTAAAAGGGTAAACGCACTGGTTTTGAAAAATCATCTTAGATATAAACATGTTTCGGGAATGGCACCAAAAGGCCGAAATTTATAGTAAACTAGCGAGTTAGATTTGAGTGAATCACTGCTAAAATAATGATTCAAGCAAACACAGAACATAGTATTGATGACAAATTAGCACAGCTCGAGTCTAATCTCAAGTTCACCTTGCTTGAAAGAAATCTTTTTTAAATATTACTCTAGGTTCGTGGAGCGAATGGAGTCCATGTTCGGTGACATGTGGAAGTGGAAGCCAGCGGCGGGAATTTCGATGTTCAGTGTGCCAGAATGCGTGGATACAAAAGACAAGGGGGTGTTTTACGTCCTGTATAAACCACAGCATTACCAATCAAGGAATGCTTCGACGAGGCAAAAACAACATGGCTTTGAACAACAACAGCATCAGAGAAGCGTTGGTTTCTTCTGAAATACAGTGCGCTCATTACTGCCTACGATCACCTGAATGTCGCTCTATCAATGTTGGTAAAGTGGAAGTTTTAGAACATTCCGTTTACCCAGCCAAAGTGCATGCGTCAATAAAGTGTCAGCTGAATCACGCTACTGCTTATTCAAAACCAGGCTATTTAGTCGTACAAATATGGTTTTAACTATTACGACCTCCTGATAATAAAGGACTTAGAATGAAGTGAAGAAATGCAGAGGCAGTTATGTCGCCAGGGAACAGTTTACTTCGTGTACATATCCAAAAAGAATTGCCACGCGGTCGAATTTATTTGCATTAGTTAGTTGCACGAGTTGAATTCGGAAGTACAGAGAACAAATCCAGCTAGCGATAGCAGTCAGCACGGGACTTGAACAGCAACTTGAGGCATTTACAATGCAAGTCCAGTTCTCTAACTCCTTGTCCACTAAATAATATAATAAAAATTATTTAGTTTAATATGGTAAGGACTAATGGTTTTATTACCAAGACAGGATCCCGTATTGATGTTACTTAACAGAGACTCGTTTAGAAAACAGAGATTGTCTTTGAAAAACACTAAACATCACTATCCTACACATTGTCTCCAAATGTAATGACGTTTATTTCCCTTGCATGTAAAGAAATTTAAAACCTGATTTTTTTAGCGTTAGCCCGCCTTCGTGAAAACAGATTCACTATGAGAAAGGCTTCTCGTTTGAATCTGCAACAAATCATCGATAGGCATTTTGGACCAGTTATGTATAGGAGCAGAGGAAGGTATGCGTATCGGTCCTTTATGCATGAGAATAGATGTGTTAAATATTAATTAAAACAAGGGAAACAATTTTGTGAGAAATTTATTTTTGTTCTCCACCAGTTTGTAGTAAAACGGATTGTTAAAGTATGTTCTAAATGACAGCTTGTCAAAACTTTCATTGGCCATTATTTTTTCCAAACAATTCGGAACATTATTCACTGCCCGCTGTTCCTAAGACAGCGGCATAAGCAGTCAACAAATTGGCAGCCTGCCTTGCTTCCAACAGCAACCGAGCTTCAATCAGCCAATCACGCGCTACATTTCTGGGCTCCCCGCGGAGCTGATTAACCAATCGTGTGGCTAGCTCCAGATCACCATGGCGTAGGTAATAATCTGCACGCGCAAGAAGATCAAAAGTGTCCGCATTTTCAGCATCAACAAGTTCCCCTTCTTTCACAGGATCGAATGAATCGAAAATAAAGAAAGATTGAAAGTAGGAAAGTAGGTGAGTCCAAGGAGACGCCCCATTATCTCCTATCATGGCCACACGACGGCACCATCTCCGCACTTTGTAAAAGCGACGCCTTATGTTTTCTTCATTCAACACTCCTCTGGTCACTGCCTCTTCAGGTAGGGATTTCAAAACTTGAGAAACCAGTGGATCATCAGCTGCAGCATCGTTGATAGCTGTCAGCTGGGCAAGGAGGGGACTGGGGCGGTCAATACCTCGGTCAATAGCTGAAGCCAGGGACTGGCAAGCTGCCCACAGTTTCTGAGACTGCCTATTCTGTTTCTCGATATCCGCTCGGCCTTCTACCACTGATTCCACGCCTCGTAAATGAGCAAGGGCCCCGCTCAGTTGCGTCTCAAACGCGGACTTTTCAGCATTCAACTTCTGCTGTAAATCTTCCTTGTGTCTATAGAGGAGTTAAATTACTAAGTTAGTGTTTTTTTGCCAGCCAAGGATTCAACTATACCCTTAAGTCTCCGCCAAAAGACAAGTGGAATTTTTCTAAGGCAATTGGAAGTAATGTGCAGAGAATTAGAATGGGATGAATCTGAATCATGGGATGGGAATCAGAATCATCTTGCATAAGGTCAGTCAAGATGTCATGTTATTAGCTATGTTAAAATGAGTATAAATAAAGTTTTATGTTATGTTATGGAAAAAAGTACTTCTCTTAACATTATAATCAAACAGTACGCTCAGACATTAGCAGAATAGTAAACCAGGTTTTTCAGTGGACTTAAGCCTAGAATCAACGTAATCGTCCAGGTCGATATATCGTTCGATCTCGATTGCAGGGATGTTTTGGGGCGATTGTGACGATCAAAATCATCTGGAAAATTACCGCTATGGACCCTCTCCTTTGTCTCGTAGGGAGGCTGGGGCATGGAAAGGGGAAAATGGGGTGCGAGGTTCCCGCCTTTTCCCTCTTTCCATCGTCCAGCGAGCGCTTAATATCTTTCTAATTTTTGCTATTTTTGTTGGAATACCCAGCGGTAACCTCTGCGGAGGAGACAGTGTTATGGACACAGCCTACCCAGGCTATCCAGGTGATTCTATCCAATTAATTGTGATCTCCCCAATCATCTGGTTCGAACCGCATCGCATCAGAAGCGTTTCCATATCTCTTGACCATTCTTGATCGCCTGAACACATTCGGGGGCAAATTCGGAAATGGAAAGATTCTGGACAGCAGGGAGCTTAAGCGAAGACGTTCTGAACAACGCAAGTCAACCGGAAGTGGACATTTTGCATTCTTGAGTAGTTAATATGCCTAGACTTTCTGGGGAATCGTCTCTATAAGCTGAGAGTAAAAACACTTAGAAATACACATTTAGAAGCGTCAAGGTATACTAAAAAGGAAAATGCCTCACTTTGGGTTGACCTGCATCGCTCAAAAACGTCTTTGCTTAAGCTAGCTAGTTACTAAGGATATAATCACGCACAAGTGGTGATACAAACCTGTTGTCGAGTTCTACAGCCTGCACCCGCAGCACCTCGGCCAGATGATCACCGTAGGCTGCTGCTTGGCGACGTAGCTGTTGACGAAGGGTTGACTCATGTACTTCCGCTAACTCAGCTTCCTGAGAATACAGAAATTAAAGTTCAACCGTCAAAAAGGCCCAGTAGTGGCTACACCCACAGCCTTAGCATTACCACATTGGCAAAGTCCTTGGTAAGTGTGTTACGTATTTCAGTGCTATTAGTAAGTGGCGAGTCGAATTCATGGTGGTGAGTTTGTTGTCGGCAATCGACTTTCTGGTCGCGAGATCATGACGCTCTGGTGGTGAGATGACCGTACTCCGTTATGTTTTATTTAACACTATTGGTTTGTTGGTTGTCACTGTCACTGCTATACTTCGCGATTTATCTTTGGCAACTTTTTTTTTTCTCGTGATACACGAATAAGATCTAAACTGTAAATTCACCACAACTGTCAGAACTAAAACGTTGTTTGCATTTGAACAACAAAGAGGTTTCCTAGAGCGTAGACGGTGTAAGAACAAGGAAATTAGTCTACTGGTTTACTGCTCAGCTTCATGTTTTAAATGCAAGCAGTCAATCTATCACCACGATGACATGGAAATGCCATTTCCCACGGCATCTACACCATTGGATACTGGATAATGGATACTGGAGTAACAAAGTTTTTTTCGAGTAGCTTTAGAATACCCGGCCACTTTGAAGCAATACTAGTCAACTACTCCTGTGGTCCCGTAGTGTCAGTTCACGATCCTGTTGTCTTTTAGTCAATGAATTTATTTAAAAAGAGAGGTAGAACGACTACTCCTGCAGTCCTGCAGACCTACAGTAGATAAATGAAGGATGAAACATATAGTGTTTGAATTTATTATTATTACAACGTTGTTAACAATTGTTAACCCAGTTTTCGACGACTGGGGGGTTAAATTTAACCCTGGTTTCAAAAGCTTTTCTCGGAAACGAATTTTAGAGCTTCCAATCATCAACTTGTAGACCAAAAGAATTAAAACTGAAACGCTTTTTAAGCTTTCAAATATGAATTCAAATTTCGCACTAACCCTGGGTTATCTTAACCCAGATTTGAACAACTCGGCCCAGGAGACGAGAAGAGTCAAGTTTATGTCTCGGCTCCTTTCTTTAACAGTAACAAAACCTTTTGAGCCACTTTTCAATTTTCCTACCTTCTTTTTCAAGCTCGTTTCAAACTCAGCCATCATCCTTTCTGCTTCTTGCTTTAGTTTGAGCTCAGTTAACTTGGCGTCTTCCTCGTGCTGCACTTTAAGTGAATGCTCCAGCCTCTTTTGTTCTTCTGCCTGGTAACTGGACAGTTCTTTGGTCAGCTGCTCAAGCCTTTTGCGAGCATATGCCAATAACACCGACTCGGATCTGTTTGCAACATCAATGCAAAAGCGTTTAGCTGCTTGAAAAGCAAGTGGGCGTATGGCGATACCCAATTTTGATGGGCGCAAATGATTCATAGGTCCCACGCGAGGTAACCTTCCTTCCCTACCAATCCCCACCACCCATTACAGGTAAACAAGAGGAGGTTATCACTGCCAGAGACTATTACACGTACGTGAAACAAGAGTTAGATCAGAGAAGAGGACTACTGTTTTTTTTCCTTATCAGAGAAGACTAGAATGCCCAACCATTTGCATGTGTGGAACAACGGCAGCACATTCTGCTCGGTTATTGTAAGACCCTGAATATGGATCTGGCCCGGGACTGGCTCCTTCTACCACATGGTTCATTCCTTGCCATGATGTAGTGGCATTGACCAGGAGATCTATGTTATCGAGAGGACTAGGTCCTGGCATGGTTACCCAAGCTGGATAGGTCAAAAGGTAGAGGCTGGTCTTATTTGGACCTCCTCTATCCTGGTTGAATAGGTTTGCATGGGGCCAGCACAGCTATCTAGAAAAAACCTTGTTGCAGAATCATAGATGAAAAGCCAACATCAACCCATCTTGTGAATTAAGAACAACCCAGGGCCAAGTCATGGAGGAGTGTTTTTGATAGCCTAAGCCCACTAGCAGCCAAGGGCCTAAGTAAGTAAGTAAGCTACCTCCTCAACCATTTCAGCTAAACAGTCGCCAGTTGCCCTATTACCGATGTAATTCAATTGTACAGTTTTTTTAACTGGCTCAACCACCTCAACTCTCTTACAATTCCAATAAAAATTAAAGTTTCCCATTGAAGATCCCTCTCCTACTTACTCTTAGAAGTTTTATTTACCTGTACAATTGTCTGTTGAGTGTACAGTGGAACCTCTATTAAGGGGACACCCTTGGGACCAAGGGAAGTGTCCCCCAAATAGATGTGTCCCCTGAATGGAGGTTGGGCTGGGCTTTGTTAATGAATCCCCGGCCCCTGCCTCTTAATGACAGCCCTGAAATACACTTGCATGTACCTGACATTCTTGTCCTCGACAGCACCCTCACCAGTTTGTGTTGACAATGCACCAGGTATAATATCTAATAGCTCCTTCTTAAACATCTCTTTGCTTTCTTGCAAATCCTTCTGATGCCCTTCCAGCACTGCAGCCTCTGCTTTACTTTGCTGCATATCTAAAGCTGCTTTCTGAACATCATAGCTAACTCGGGCTGCTTCTGCTGTTGCGGTGGTTCCTGCTTCACTAGCACCAGCAGTTTCAGCCTCTTTGATCATAGAATGCAGCTTTTCCACTTCTTCATTTACTCTTACCTACACAAACAAAAGGGTTCACTGGCAGTTGGCCAAAGAAATACTTGTATGGATGCCATGATGTTGCAGCTTTATAATACAATAAATTATTTATGTGGTTAGTCATCAGGTGGAGATCCACTGAGCAGCACTGTGCTTTTTGCGCATTCCAGTTCTTACTACAACTACATGTTACTTTACCTTATCAGTCTTAGAAGAGGCCATAGGTAAAAATTTGACAAAATTTCCAAATTTCATTTTCATTTTATATGAAAGTACCATTGGATTTATTTGAATAGTCGCATCACATAATTTCACCCTGAAAATCAAAAGTTAGAACTACATTGGAAGATCCATCATTTACTTTGGGAGTGAAAGGTTAATTTACATGTAATGTGGCAAAACATGTGACAAAGGTATGTACATGTTACAGGTCAAAATTAAATTCAGGATAATTTTTTTTTAACTTACAGTAGGTTGATTCTCAATTTCTCTTTGCCTCCTAGACAAAGGAAATTGAGAGTCAGCCTAGGTTAAAAAATTCTAACCTGAATATAATATTATTTTGACCTGCACCAAACACGATACAACAACTATACTGGGTTAACAGACTTTAGAACCTCTTGCAATGGTTAGATCTTTTTAGAAATCTGTAGTTCCAGTGGAAGACACTACAAGGGTCTACAAACATTGTTTCACATACCTGTGCAGCTTTGGCTGCAGCAACACAGTCTGTTGCAACCTTTTGAGAATTCAGCACCATATCACTAAGATCCTTCAAACTTCCTTCCTGTTGTGACTGAGCCAAAGCAGCCTTGAGTTGCTCAGCATGGGCTTTGACAGCGCCTGCTGCTTTCTGATGTGCCTCTACAGCATCTTGACCAATGGCCTGTAATTTGGCAAGGGCCTGATGAACCATGAGTTCCATGGCTGTTTTATCGACCATTGCTTCAACTTCCTTTTCCGTAAGGCTAGTATCCACTTCTGCTGCGTTCAAGGATTAAAAATACTCGTTACATTGTTTCATATCATAGACTCTTCTAAATTCTCCACCACCTATTAGCTTGTATTAAAGATGAAAGGTTTAAAGGTTTGTCTATTGTGGAAAGTGCACTTAGAATTCAAATAGAACCTAACAGGATTATAAACCCCAACTGGCAAGAGGCAACCAGTTGGCTATTTTCAAGTGTGGCCAAGGATTTGAAATTGGGATGACTGAGTGCAAATCCAGGGAGTGGCCAGAGCAGGATTTGGACCCAGGAAGGCTGGATTGCCAGTCCGACAGTCCTGACCACTCAGCCACACTGCCTCCTCTTTGCTGCCCTTCAAAACAAAATAATGTCTCATGAGTGTTCCAGTGTAAACATGAAGCAGAGTTGTGCTCATTTACATACAACTCTCATCTAGACAACTCAAATTAACAGCAACGTCATAATTAGCTGGATTCCACTTCAATACAATTTTCACATCAGATTTGTACAGATTTCTGCTTGCTTGCCATTGGCTCACTACTGTAAATGAACATAAAGATCTGCTTGTCACATTACTGTTTTTATCTTTTACATTATTTAACAAACAAAGATGCCCTGAAATGGTTGAATGAGCTCTGTTCTGTTATTAATAATGCAGGTGGCAGGTATGAAAGAAGTGTAGGAGGAAACACAAGACGTACAGTAGTTGAGTGTTTCTGCCTACTTCTTGAGTGCTCCAGCCGCTTCCTAAACAGTCAGGCTTCTTTGTTGGTTTTATAATAAAGAAACTGTCAAATTTCCCATGAATTACTTTCTAATTTTAAAAAACAACTATTGGAAGATGGCGTGACAGCTTTAGATCTGTGTTTTATGCTCTCTTAAGCACCCTTTCTCAACCAATCAGAGTGTTCGTTATATCTGAACTTTATTGATCATCAAGTAACACAGGTATCCTAACCTCTAATTTCCTGCAACTCAACTTGTTTCTCCTTTTCACCTGACTCCCCTGATTGCTTTGATATTTTATCTGCTTTCGCAGCATCAGCCTCTTTCTCAACAGATGCAGCAACATCAAGATCTATAGCTGATACTCCAATATGGTCTAGCACTGATACTGCCGCTGTCGGGGACTCCACCTTATCCCTCTCACTTTTTGGTGGCTGCTGTACAGTTACGGTGTCATGAGAAGAATCAGGTTTGGTCTCAGTTTTATGATTAACTTGTCTAGCTTCTTTCTCCACTGTAGAGGCTATTGCAAGATCTACTGCTGAGATGGCTGTTTGATCAATTGATGAAACTGATGCTGTTGGCTCTTTCTTTCCAGCTACAAAATTGGCAGGTTTTTTGAGAGGGAAGGCATCATCCTAAGAAAGATATAAGTAAAGCAATGTACTCAAGGTTCACAAGCATGCAGTAGGTTAAGTTACATTGCAAATGCAGACAAGATGCATTCCATTCCCATATTTTGATGTTTCACATTTGAACTTCTTTTGCATGGTATTTTTATTAGCAAAAACAAGTGTTGCTGTGTTTAAAGTTTTAAAGACATAATCAGTCTAGAAACATTTTTGACTAAATTTGCCATGCAATTTGTTTGACAGTGTTTGGTGTATTTAAACAACCAATCCAACACTACCCAACATCATCTCCCTTTGTCGGAAGGTGCTGAATCAGTTGAACACTTCAAGACCCTTTACATTTTACAAAACAGAAGCATTGTACAAACTTATATCACATAATTTTCATTGCCTTACCCTCTGAGCAGCAAGATTTAAAGGCTCACTGGAAAATGGCAGTTTCCTAGGATCTTCTGGAGCATTAGTTTGTTTTGTTCCTGATTGTTGATTTTGGTTATCTAAATATGAATTTAAGGAGCTGAGTAATGGTTCAATAACTGGGAGATTTTCCTGCACCAGATCTCGGAATTCAGTACTGTAATGATATCCTAGTACAGCCCCAGCCAGAGTTCCACTACACACAGCTGTTACTCCTCCTATTATCTTCCAGGTTGATGAGCTTTTTGTTGACCTTGAAACAAAAATATAAAGAAAGTTCTTTTTTAAGCAGAATAACAAGTAACCTGCTAGCAGAGCCGTTTTGATCTTTCCTAGATAAGTCAGACTTATCTAGGAAAGATCCTGGCTTATCTAGGAAAGATCGAAGCGACTCAGCTAGCAGGGTAAATAACATGACAACTTAAGTAGAACACTAAAGACAACATGCTGGTAATAGTAAACCCACACGTCCAGCCATCTGTTCACGGGGAGGAGCCCTAGCTAGCGAGGGCTCGTTTCCCGAATCAGCGGCTGGTGATTAAGCCTAAGGTATAACTTATGCTGAATACATCAACAGTAAGAAAACTCCTAAATGACCAGACTGAACTTGCATCATCAGAGCATGAAATCAACCTTGAATTGCATTCTATAGGTCGTTGGACTTACATACGATAACAGAAAACGCTTGGCTGATTTTTACGTGTACCTTACCCACCAAAAAGACCATCCATTTAGTCTATTTACACATTAATATTGTAATATGTATAATTAAGTATTATTATACATGTTTTTATGAACTTACTTGGGTGGATTTGTTGCTGTTGATTTACACCTTTGTAACTTCAATTGTAAGGATTTCTTTGATGGACATATCTGGCCCTTAAAAATAAAAAGAAAATAGAGTAGAAAAGAAAATTTTGCACGTTTAGTAAACTTCAACGCCGAGTGGAGATCAAGTCCCTTGCTAAGACTAACTCTAAAAATAAGAAACCAAAAATTTGATCATCTCCTCATTGTCGATTTCAGCAAAATGATTACAAACCTTTGAGTGAGTAGGTCTTGATATCTTTGCAACACTTTGAAACACTGAGGTCCTTGTACTTTTGACTCGAAACATTGTCACAAAGTACAAGATACAAGATGGCGGACAGTTTTTCTACACTCGTTCCAGACTTCTTCGGTTTCTCCTGATTAAGTTTCTGATTGGCTAAAAGTAATAGGTAATTTGGCGGGAAAACAACAACAACTTCTTGATATCAGTGATTAGAGTTTTGCGTCGCCATTCATCGTTCGATTCTGAAACTTTTACCCTGTAATACGGTAAAATGTCCAATCAGAAAAAGATCTCCAGTTTCTTTAACACCTCAGGCACAAAAAGGAGCGCAGAAAATGCCGGAGTAACGACAGATTCTCCCCAAACCAAGTCCTCCAAGACAGACGATCAGAGCTCGCCTGCGTCGAATCCGAGACCGCTATCAAATCTCTCACCTGAGCAGAGAGAACGCATGGAGGCCAACCGAAAGGAGGCAGAAAAGAGACTACTTGCCAATAAAAGTCCTCAATATTTTGGAGAGTCGTGGAGAAATGCTTTAGCGGCAGAGTTTGGCAAGGAATACTTTACGAAAGTAAGCGTAAGATGTGTGGAGTTAAGAATAAATTAATAGTTAAGCTGAAGCTTTCGAGGCGATGTTAAAAATCAGTCAAAATTTAACGCTTTACTTTCTTCTTTTTTAAGCTTTGCAATTTTGTAAAGGAAGAAAGATCTCGCAAGACCGTCTATCCCCCAGGTAAGAAAGAAAGCAATAGGACACCCGCTATGTACTTTACTTGTCGGGGGGGGGGGGGAGCGGAGAGGGTGGGATTGCGGCTGATTGGTCATTGTGTAGTGATTGTACATGTTATTCTATGGTCATTGAAGATAAACATACTGTACACCATTTTTCAGTAAGAAGGGGTGTTATGAGAGGGAGGGGTAGTGGGGGGCAGAGCTTAATTTAAGGGAAACACTAGCATACTTAATTATTTTAACCTTGAGGGATGGGGCACTTATTTGAGGTGGGGCATTGATTTGAGCATTTACACGTTAGACATAAAGAATGTATGATTCACTCCTGAATCTCAAGTAGATTGATTTCTTCCTGCAAACCTCAAGGCCACAAACGAACAAAGCTGTCACTATATGGGCATGGGGCTAGGAATTTCCACAGCTACTATGAACGTAACACCGAGCTCCTACCATAGGACACAAGAGCAAATAGAACCCCCAAAAAATCACATAGTGAAGCATAGTGTTTAAGCATGAAGTTTTAGGCCATTGGGCCTTTACACCAAGTACTACTATGATGAATTGCTTTTTTCTTCATTACAGAAAAGGAAGTGTTCACCTGGACTCTGCAGTGTAATATAAAACAGGTATCCAAGGCTGACCAGGCTTGTACTGGCAGATTTCTGACTTGTCAAACTTTTTGTGCTTCCCGTACTGTTGCAAAGAATTACTCCTGCCCCACTGCCTATTGCTCCTAGAATTTGTACATCATCTTTACATTGTTGTTATTATCTGTTCAGAAGTCTTTTCTTTGTTGAAGAACGGCAAAGGAAATAGCTAGAGGGAGGCCTGAGTTTTAAAGCACCAACCAACCTTTTCATCCACTAGTTTATGTAGATGTTATTGAATGTTGTCTCTTGCACTTCGTTAAGGTTAAAGTTGTGATTATTGGCCAAGACCCTTATCATGGACCAAGGCAGGCACATGGTAATATTCTTAACATATAGTTAATAAAATCTGTAAAGTTCAGTCTCCCCACTGAAATCCCAGGGCAAAGTAGTGATGATCAGCATTTTACACTTACTCTCTCATGTCGTTGTCGTCATCATCATCATCATCTTTATTTGTTCAGGATATTAGGTCTGGATCAAGTTTTGGATCTGTCACTTTTGTTTTTCACTTTAAACATTAAGTACAATGCATTTGTACAACTAATGTTTGTTTGTTTGTTTGTTATTGTTGTTGTTTTTTTATAACAGGGCTATGTTTCAGTGTTCCCCCTGGTGTTGCTATACCACCAAGGTAAGTTGATACATGTACTGTACAGCGGTTTGCTGAAATTGCAGATCAATTCCCCAGAAATATAGGTGAATTTTAAAGGACACAAAAAAGAGTCACCTCTGAGTTCAAACCTTAGAAATTTATGATTAATCAATTTACCAGACTTTATTCTACATGTTAGGTTTTTCCTTTTTTTCTCTTCTGAAAACTAATCCTTTCAAGGGTAGAAGTCTAGCATGCAGTGGGTAGTTTTGTCAGAAGACGGAAAGTACCTCTTTGTGTTTATTTTTTTGCGGGTAAGAATTTGGTTTGGTCAAGAAAATATCATGGCGATTTTTGCCAAAATCGCCAATTTCGCCAAAATCGCCATTTTCGCCAAAATCGTCAACCTCCAAGGGGCCACTTTTGGCATCCAATTCAAATCGCCAGCAGCTGGCGATTTTTCGCCAGTTTCACCATTTTCGCCATTGCATGCATTTCTGGACATAAGTGGAAAATATCATAGGATTGGTTTATGCTGTGTACAGTAGGGTTGTGCAGTGTATGCATATCATAGGCAGGTATACATGTAGACATTTGTTCATGGGTATCTTTTAAACTATAGTTTAGTGAACATCTACAAGGAGCTGACCAATGACATTGAAGATTTCCAAGCACCCAAGCATGGGTATCTGATGGGCTGGGCTAAGCAGGGTAGGTACAGTGAACAGCACCATGCAATACTTACATGCCATTATAGGCATCAACAAAACCTTGATTGGACTGGATTGTATCAACCACATAACTCACTGTTCCTTGAAAAGTCCTTGAAAAATCCTTAGGAAATGGTTCCAATTTTTGGTATGAACCCTGCTTTTAGGGATGGGGTTACAGGGGTTGATTTGATCTGGCTCAATCCAGGTTTGGCCAATGGCCTTCCATTATAATATAATTAATTAATAAATCAAGAAAGCATTGATGCAACAAATTTAATTTTTTTTAATGTCCTCCTCTTTAGGTGTTCTGCTGTTAAATGCATGCTTAACAGTTGTTGCCTCACAAGCAAACTCACATAAAGACAAGGTACAGTAAAACTAACATATTTTTTTCATTCTATACCAGTAGTTAAGCTATTTAGTATATTCTAACCCAATAATTAAACTATGCAGTTGTATAGATCATGTGATGCAAACAGGATAACCCAAACTTCTACTAGGTTGGTTAAAAAATATAAAAAAGACCCATGAAATTCAATTAAACTAAAAATCAATTTACTGGTATGTCTACATTAATTATTCAGCCATTACATGTATTTAGGTAATATTATTCTCTGAAGAATTTCAACATAATATTTTAGGGTTGGGAAAAATTTACAGATGCTGTGATAAGATGGATAAATTCCAACCTCAGCAGTGTGGTGTTCCTGCTTTGGGGTTCATATGCTCAGAAGAAAGGCAGCTTTATTGACAAGGTATGGGTTACTTTAATGCTGCAGCTACCACAATTGTTCTCATTTGTGGTAGTTTTCTGTTGTTGCAGAAGATTTGATCACCAAATTGTCTAGTAGGGAAGATTAATACACATTGCTTGAACATTACCCCACACCACAACCAAGTCAACTTATTATTGACCTTAATCAAGGCTGTACTCTAAGAAAAATTGTGAAACCCATGAAATCCAGGGTGCCCAAAGTGTGATTTCTATAACAAAAACTTAGGTTTTCCTAGTCTCCCAAGAGCAAAATTTAGGTGCCAGGGACCATCAGGCGCTGCCTTGCCTTAAGACAATTATATTTAGGACAAGGTTACAACTTCAGTCAGACAAACTAGACATTATTTCAGACATATTTCAGACCATAATACGGATGTCTATTATCAAGTTAAACACAGGTTGAAGAGGCTCCCATGCCATCTCACATTGGTATCCCTCTGGTCCAGATGGGTGGATAAACAGACGTACGCTCATGTGACTACCAAAATTTCTCGAATGCACAGATAACCTAATTATCTTTCCCATGGTGCTCCACTAAGAATGAAATCCTTTCATACCAACTCCCCAAGTGAGTACATTGCAAAATATTTGATGCTTAGGTTACAGTGAGGTGCAGATGTTACCTTATTATTTTCTAGACATGACATTACTGTTTGAAATTTTATTCTATACAGAAGAAGCACTGTGTATTGAAGGCTGTCCACCCATCGCCTCTGTCTGCTCACCGTGGTTTCCTGGGCTGCAAACATTTTTCCCAAGCAAATGAATATCTGAAGAAAAATGGGAAGAAACCCATAGACTGGTGTGATCTTCCTGCTGATGAGAATAAAGTTTGATTTATTTGAAGTCTTTCTCTTGGATTTACAGATCTTTACACTCCAGCTGAATCCACAGGTTTGGACAGAAACTTAAGATAATTAAGGAAAACCTTGACAGATGCAGTATTTCAAGTAAAAAGTGTTTGAGTGATGATGTATCACACAATATCATAAATTAAAAACTGGATGATATGATTTTCTAAATTTAGTGAAAACATTAGGTATATAAAAATATGATAGAGGCATCATCTACAGGTATCAAACCAGTTTATCTTTGTTTAAATTGGAGAAGTTTAAGTTGTAAACGTTGTTGTTTAAAGTACTAACGCAGAACTGAATTAATTTTGGTTCTTTAAAACGTTCTTTTGACATAAAGAATTCCCAAGACTGAAGTTTATTACAATGATAGTAGTAGACAAGTTAACAGTATCACGAAAGGAGTCAGTATAGCCAGTTTTCTCTTGCTGCTTAGGTATTTACTCTGCTGTAAGAGATGTCAATCAACCCTTTAAGCCCCAATATCCACATACAAATTCTCCAAACTGATCTCTATACATTTCCTTAAAGAATGAGTTACGAGAATTTGATAAAAGATCGAAGCATTTTCTCTAAGGTGATCATTTTATTAATTCTCATTATCTAATCTCTTAACATTGTATGGATATCGTTAGGAGAAAATTAATGTTGGTCGTTATTGGGACTTAAAGCGTTAATTCTAGGCTTTTTGCCTCAAAAACACCCAAAAAAGATTATTTTAAGAGCCAGCTAATCAGAATTTGAAATTGAATTGTAGTTAAAAAAAAAAAAAATAGATACAGAAAGGGAATTGAATTCTCTTTTCTTTACTTATTGTTTTGTTCAAAAATAAAACATATACTGACTTTTTCTTGTAAGAATTTGTTTTTTTTTTTAAACACAAGCTTCGTAACATTCAAATTGTTTATTATTGTTATTATTATTATTTACAAATAACTACCTTGATTTCTGCATCTTTTGTACCACTTGTGATATCACCGGGGATAAGTGGGCAAAAATAGTGGATCGTTGGAACCATGCTCGAATCCGCGCGATGTCAACTAACAAACAAAATGGCATGGAACTTTGACTGGAACATTTGCACTGCAGCCTCTGTACAGCCGCCCCCTCCCCCTAAAACAACTGATTTTTTTTTTTTTTTTTTTTTTTTTTTTTTAAGGGAAGAGTTGGCGGCAGGTTTTTCCTACAACTTTCGGGTCACATTCCACAGGTCAGAATACAGTTCACCGTGATACAGATAAATAAACAAGACCAGCAGCGTCTCCTAGCCCTAATCCTTATCCAAAATGTTGTTTTTGATCGAAGGGAAATTACTTGGTTTACTTAATTATCAATAAAACAGTGACCTGTAATCTTAAAACCTGTGGAATGTGACCCGTAAAAGAAACATCTCCTCCTCACTCTCCGCTGTACACAGTCTAATCCCACTTCTCACGTGCACTTCCTTTTAAAAATGTTCTACAGAAATGAAGCCTATAGTAAAAGCGTAGCAAAAGGAGCGAAAACAACGAGAAGAAAAAAATGCAAAAGATTCCCCTTACACATCCTTGACGGAAACTAGAAGGCCGTACTTTTGCAGCACTGAACCAACTCGACTTGTGTTATGTAGTTTGTCAGTTGATTAGGTATAGTGACCAGAAAACGGCTGGAATAGTTTTAAACGCTTTTTTATACAAATTCTGCATCAGTGACTGTTCTCAATCCCTAACTGTCTAACCGCTAGCTGCTGACGACAGCTAGAAACTCCCTGCTGGCTGAATCTCTCTTTCAGTTATTTTTAAGTAGAAAAGAAGAATCGACAAAAGAATCAGGGTATTGCAAACCATGTACAGTACATCCTTTTGATTATTAAACAGAATTTATGTCGTTTTTTTCTTGTAACTACAGACTGTTTTTCATTTTTCTTCAGTTCGAATGGCTGAATAGCGCATTATCATCTTAACCTCCGTATTAAAGGAATAAAGGGCTTAGCCCCTTTTTTCCTGATCCTCTGACAGCCTGGGACAGGCTTAAGTGCAAATCACTTTTTGAGAGGCACAGAAACAGATTTCACGGTTTGTGGCTGTTGATCTTATCGGAGAGATGAGTTGCAGCGATAAGATTATTGTTGCCTGTACTGTTTGACGGAATTGTGTATTTCTGAACAACGTATGCATCAAAATGTTAACGGATATCCAGATTCCACGCTGTGGATTCTGGGTATTCCAGGTACTGTGTTGTGTGAGGTACAGTTAACTTGGATTCCAGTTTCCAATCTTTAGAGGGATTCCGGATTCTTTGAGCTGTATTCCGGATTCCAAAGCGTAGGATTCCTGGATTTACAAGCAAACATTTCCCAGATTCCGGAGTCTGGATCTTTTACTTAAGGCGAAGGTTACGTTCATGCCAGATCTCCAACGCTATGGCAGTTACGCGGCGCCGCAACGTGAAGAAATTTGCTCGGGTCAAATGACCGGTGATGTCTCAGCTTTTTCATCGGAATCATTTCTTTCTCCTCGTCGTCTTCACCGAAAGATTCAGATGGCGTTTTCTCCTCCTCCACAGCTTCGTCACTGCTTGAGTTTGTCAACTGGCGACATACTGGAAAATACTGCGAAGAGTCTCGAGAGTCTGTAAAAATACCATCTCCCACACCTGTCGATACATCACCGTTACCATGCCAATTCTTATGTCTGCGTCGTGCGTCTCTGCTTGACATGTTTTGATTTCCATTCACGTCCGGGAAATCCTGTTCTTCAATTAAAGGTTCGCTAACTTTATTTATGTCATGGAGACTCCCAAAACTACTTTTAAAACTTGTGCCGCTGCTATCGGTCGTGCTGTCAAACGAGTTGTCAACCTCTACGAGCATGGATGTTGTTCGTGAGTCTGGTACGCGCACAAGTCGTGTTTTTCTCTTGTACCCGTTGTGTTTCGGGCACGAATCATGAGTCAGAAGAGGAACAGATGCAGCTAATCTTGCTACAGTATCGTCTGTTTTAGGCTTGGGCTTCCGTGCGAATTCATTCAGCTGGGTTAAAAAAAAGAATTTCTTTTGTGTACATTTATGATTTTAAAATTCAAAATAACAATAAAAATAAAATGAGCTTAATATTGTCTGGTCCCTAGACGGTGGCCAGTGCAGATTACGAGCGAAAAAGCGGGCGAGTAGTGACAAATGGCAGCAAGAGAGAAGGGGAGAGCCTATAAGCATCTTTTTTAAATACCTTAGTCCGCTCACAAACCCGCCCACATGCAGAAACACCTTTTTCACGTTCCAAAGGCCGCTTTTCATTCACCAAAAATAACGCTTTAAATTTTCGGAAATTCCACGTTCTCAATCCGATTGCACATACCTCAACAGAGACACCGTGAGTTTGGTTATTGTACTTGTAAGCAGGGTACGGAAGAGCGATACTGAGGACAACAATTTTTAATTTTGTCAAATAGAAAGGGACATTTCATTCTGACCGACCGAAATGAACGGACCGGTCAAAGTAGACCACCTTCAAAGGACTACAACCCCGGACAAAACTGTTGAGACAATTCCATCTATTTTCTAACTTTTGTGCCCTACTCCCGTCTCCCCGAAACACAAAAAGTAAACCCCCTCCCCACCCCCTATTCAAAGTTGCCTTGGTCTAAAAACCAACGTGTATAATTGCCATGCTATCCTAAACAACTTTGGATAAGGGGAGGGGGGAAATCGGGCATTCATTTGGCGGCGGTTTCAGTTTTTGCCGGGATGACAGGAAAAAATAGGCATTTTCGCGATTTGTCTCAACAGGTTTTGTCCGGGGTTGTAGCTGACTTGACAAATGCGTCTTATTCATTTGAATTACCTGTCTCTCAATAATTGGCACGGGCAACGACAGCAGCACTACACCCATCAAAGCACACGCAGCGCCGAGTAGCTGTCCATTGAGTGTGCTTGGAACAATATCCCCATAACTGAAATAACAACAACATTTATAAAGGTGATTTTACATGGGAAGATTCGCAAAGAAGATTTTAGCTCAACACAGCGTTGCAAGTTGGCCGTTTGCCCAAGTTTAAGGAGATGTTACACGGGACGATTTCAACGAAACTTTTTAGCGCACCGCAATTGTGCGAGATCCGTTGGAGTCGGACGTGCTACACGGGACGTTTTTTTTGGCGCAATAAAAAAACAGAAGAATTTCTCAAAAGGCGTTGCGCGGTAGTAGACCTTTTTCAGCTTTTATATTTTGTTTTCCCAAATCAGACATGTTGGCCGTTTTCTCAAGCTAAACCATAAGGCGCATCTTTTCAAAACATTTGAATTAAAGGCCCATTTTGGATACCTAAATGATAGATTTCCCTTCCCTTTCATATACTTCAACTTGTGAATTCCCCACCCTTGGATATACCTAAAGCTCCCCGATAAATATGCCCCTTGGGCGGAGCCACGCCGTGTAGGTCATTATTGGAAGTACCCCCAGGGTGCAGGGCACCTACCCAAGGGTTGTCATGGTAACCAAGGTGTACCAAAAAGCTGCTGGAATGCTTATAAATTTAGTATCTTCTTCTTTTCTTTCAAAATAATACATCATGGACGAGAAAGTCACCATCAAGGCAAGAAACGAAAACAGAATTCCACCAAGCTCTGTCGCTGCTCCTTTAACAGACAATATCAAGTTTTGGAACCTTTCCGAATGCCTAGCCAATTTTGTGACGCGAAAAACTCTGAAAGTACGAAATACAGTCACAAAAAAGCCCAACACAGGATTGTGAGATTGGACGCCATGCTCTACTATCCCAGTGTAGTAGGGAATTATTCCAAGTAGGTCGATGATATTTGACATGTCGCGTGCGAATTCAAATCTATTTGGAGCTGAGTATAGGCGTGCTATGTACTCCACAGTAAAAATGGCAACACAAAAAGAGTCGATTCCGAAGAAGATGGTGGGATGTACTTCACGTTGCTTTTTGCCAGACTTGGTAGGCACGGTTTCCGCAACGATGGCTGAGATATTGAGAGCAACTACCGCTCCAAATAGATAGCCGAAGATAGCTGATGCTTTTGAACTCTTCGTGTTGGTCAGAAATTCCCATAGTCTCTCTCGAGCGGTCCATAAACCTTGCTTTTTGGCGTGCTTGGAACTTTCGACAGCTTCTTCTTGTTTCTTCATTTTCTCTTGCTCCTCGTCTCCAAGGATAATATGCTCACAGCAGCAATCGGAGACGTGGTGTTGAGGAATTCCAAAAAAGGCTAGCTCATCTAAAATTTCCTCCATGCAGATCGCTGTCGGAGATGAAACGTGAAATGACCCGACACGATAAAACTCAGCTATGCTCTTGAAAATCACGGGATCGCGATCAAAAAAGTATTCCATTCTGTCTTTGTCGTAGAAGAAATTTTTCCTGTCGCTACCGAGAAGCGTATCTGGGAACTTCTCCAAATTTTTCTTGGCAATTTCATATTTTGTTCCCCCAACGTTGACAGCAATTCTGTTAATATTTGTAGCATTTAGCCTCTGTAATGACATGATGCTTGGCGTGGCCACTACTTGAGCAGAATTAAGTAGAATCCTCCTTATCAGTGGTCCCGGCCTGGGAGATTTGTGCTTCTCATGTCGAGGTTTCTTCTTAATCCTCATCTTGCCGAAGTGAATTAATGTTCGCACCACTGATGCGTGCCTTCTCTTCTGTGCTTGCTTGTCCATTAAAACTTTATGAAGTGCAACCGAGAAAATTCGATTTGTTTTTGTATAGAATATAACCTGGTTTGAAAAATTAATAGAAAATAATTTAATCGTGGAAACTCGTTTTTGTGTTGCTCTTTATCGGTTTTGCCCGTTGTGTCTCCCCTACGATGGAATGAATCATCAACTCATTTTTTCTTTGTTTCTTTGTTTTTTTTTTTTTAAATTTCCATTTCTTTCCTGATTGGTTGTAAACGAACTGCAGCTGCATATCGTATATTTGAAGTATTTCTTCCGACAAAAAAAAACTGAAATGCAAATAACGACGATCTAAAGGCAAAGATCTTAATGATTAATTATTCTTCTCGTTACGTGGTTTAGTGGCCGGCTGAGTATGTTGAACCGCAAAAGACCAACACAATCAAAGAAACCAACAGCCCGAACTTTGTTTTTGAACTTTCATTCCTTTGTCGAAGAGATCAAGGGTTACTTATCCTTTTTCAATTTTTTTTTGTACAGCGACGCGTAAAACTTAGCTTGTTTTCAATGTTAAATTGATCTACGCCGTTATACATGAAACCCACACCATAAAGCTTACAATATTTATAACTTGTTGCAAGTAAGTGTTATTTATGTGTAGTTTAGATTTAAAAGCCACGCAGTGATGTTTAATTATGATCCAACGCGTTATTTTCATATCGAAAGAGTGATCTTTTTAATGTTATTCCAAAGAACCTAATTTAACTTCCGTGAAGTGCACAAGCATTGACTGAGTGTTACATCAATATTCATATGGCCGGCTGTTATTATTGAAAGATAGCCGAGTTAAGTGACTTGTTTAAAAGGAAAGAAAATATAATTTAAGATTAGGTAATGTTTCAAATGGTGATATCATAGTAGAAGAATAGAAATACTCAAAATTGTTTATGTAGTGTGGAGGGTTTTCGAAAATGTGCTGTGAATGCTAAACGACGACTGTCTAACCGCACAATGACGATTCGCCCCCAAACGATATACCCTTTCTCACCAGTTAGATAAATAATTCTGCGTGTTTTTGCCACCATCTGTTCACGAACTGAATAAACATCTTAGCAAGGATGAGCTAATGTTTCAGTAGTGTCAAGTTTTTCTTTTGAAATAACTATTTTTTTGGCTACAGTTGAAGCACGATTCTTACTGTATTAAAAATTCCAATGGGGCAAAGATGTGACAGTCGCATCCCGGCCTGCGACAAAAATCTCATAAATAATCGAAACATTGTTAAGCAAACGAATGATAATTGGGTTAAAACCAAAGCCGACGCGATATGGGATCCACATGTTCATGTGTCACCCAGCCAAAAAGTACAACCTAAATAATCATATTAATCATAACTATAAGAAAATTCTCAAATCTAATTGGCTATCAACTGTCCTAATTTGCAAGAAATCTCTTGAAATTTCTAGTGTTTTTTATTTTCAAGAGGGCTTAAACACCACAAATTTTGTTATAGTTATGACTAATTGGTAACAGAACTTCGTTTCGTCCAATTCTGTCAGTAATCATACTCGTGATTTGTCTCTCGTATGATTGCAGACCGAATTGCAATCTACTCAGTCCTATTACCATTATTTTTACTTTCGTCCTCAGGTCTCTCTCCTCCGCAGAGGCTCCCGCAATGATAAAGAAGTAGTAAGCGGGCAATGGACGATGGGAGGAGAGAAAGACGTAGGCCTCCCTTCAGACCTCTCTTTCCCCTTCCCATCGCTCCCCGCGCGCTCTATTTTTTCCCCCTTCCCAGCCTTCCTACGACACAAAGAGAAGAGAGTCCTCAGGTCACTGTCCCTTATTCTTCCGTACGATATTTATCCTCGGTGACCCAGGAGCAGTTTGTCGGATCGGGAGAAACAAGCTTTTGCCGCGCCGTTTCTCAGGACCCAACTCACTGCCCATGGGTCTCCGATGATTTATGGCAAGAAAGATTTGTGGTGAGGGCAATCAGGCAGTACCAGGGACCAACCACAATCAAACCTCGAGGAATTGTTTTTCTTTGTTTTTTGTATTTAGTTTTACTGTTGTTGTTGTGGTTGTTGTTGTTTATTGCGATTTAATTTACCATCAAGTAGAAAACGTCTAAGGTTGCGTAAAATAGCTAGGAAATGTAACTATTTTTTTTTTCAGTCTTTTTCTAAAACCGTTAGCTAATGTTAAAAAGGCTCCACACATGAGCAAAAGTTGTGTTGGCCACATGGCGAAATCAATTCTCAATCTCAGTTTTAAAAAAAACAGTGTGAGAGTTGTTTTTGGTAAAAATTAAAATCTTAGCTCAGAAGTTATTTGCTTACCTTATTCAAATATCTCTAGTTTCAGATTACTAAATTTTACTAACGTTAGAAAAAGGATGTCGAGGGCTTGAGATTGATGGCCGGAGAATACTTTGAGTGAAATTTTAAGAAGACGTTATTGTTATTGTTTTTAACGGTTTTTAACTTAGTGTATGTTTGCTTTTGTAAAATGTATTTTATTTTATGTATTTTAGTAATTAGTCAGCAGGACCCCGTTGATAACAATTTCTACTGAAGGGTTATCCTGGATAAATATTCGATTATTATTATTATTATTATTATTATTATTAACGTCAGAGAAGTCGTGATGGTTCGAAGTCAAATTTGATCACAGAGCTGTTATTCTCTTATCCGTTTATAATTCTGCTCTTGACCCAAATACCTTTTATGTTTTGCTCAATAAAAAAATCTATAACGAGAATTTAGGCGCGCAGCAATGACCTTCGAGATACATCTCAATTCTAGATACAAAGTATATGCTTGGGTTATTGTTATAAACAATGCAAAATTAAAACTTCGAGACGTGAATTGCAATTTCACTGATTTACTAATTTTGATACAGAAACAACGAATTTTAACTCAGGTTTCCATAAAAACATTTATAACATCATATTTATTGCATTTCTTACAACTTTGTAATTCTTTACTGAAATATTTTTATTATTAACAGCTATTCAGCTTTCACCCTGAGCAGTTTACGTTGCAATACGGATCAAAAATACTACATTCTTGCAGCTCGTCAGAGGTAATCGTCACTGTATAAACTGAATTCTTCATCCAAAAACAATTGATGAATCTGATGCGGAATCCGCCTGGGTTGTTACCAGTTCTGCTAATGACCCGTCTCTGTGTAGAGAGTATTCAATGGGTATTTCCTATTAAAAGGCTAGTGAGGATGTGCCGCTGGATGGGGTTACATCTTCGCGACTGGATTGACAATAATGGGTTGCATTTTCAATAGAGTTATTAGAATGGGGTGGCACATTTTCGGGATTTGTGGGTAAGAAAGTTCTAGAAAGTAGGGATTTGAAAATTGGGAAGATTACAAGCATAAACAGAAAGTGGCTAAGTTGGGATCGCGAAAATTTGATTTGCCCAAAAGTGACCAAAATAGGGTCTATAATTGGCCACAAAAAAGACTAGGGATCCTGAGACACCAGCAGCACATACCCAGCAAAAATTGACCTAAGTACTCTCCCCCAAGGAGAAAGAACAGTAGGTCAATAGACTTCACTTAATTTGCCGTTGTTGCCATCGTTACGTTTATAAATATTTTAGAGCTTGAGGAGTTTTCTGCACTTTCTGCCGTTTAAACAATGGTACCCGCACCGTAAACGAAACCAATTTTGGTTTGTCAGCACAGTATTTCAACACAAACCGCACTTCCGAGGGATCCAGCGCCCAATTGTATATGAAAAACTCGTCCAAAAGTCCAGCAAAATTTTTTGCGTCTGGTAAATGCCCTCCTATCGACACTCGACCCCAGGCTATATTAAGCTTTGGTTTCTGCCTATTGTTAACCGTTGCTTTCAAAAGACCATTCACATATATCTTAGCATCTCCGGTTTCGGAGCTGTACGTAGCAGTCACGTGACTCCAAAGGCCTTCAGGTATGGCGACATCGTCGGTCCTGACGTTAAAGGTGACGTCACTATTCTCATTCTTGTGTCGCCAAAACAACTTTCCATTGATTACGTCCAAGTTGTAAATGTCGTGCCACTCATCATTTTTGTTACTGACCGCTTGAAAGATGGAATGTCGTCCTTTTGTTTGATTTAAGCTGATCCAAGAGGCTATTGATATCGCTGAAGCTGGTTTATGATGAAACTTTTTACCATCAAGATACACGCCTGGCATGTTATCGTTTGATGCGTCTAGGCATGCACCGCATTTGTCACAACCGCTGTTCATGATGTGTGCTCCTGGAAAAAAGGTCAAAATATAACTAATAGACCATTTGCACGATGGCGTCATTTTACTACTACGACCAGAATTCTTTTCGTTTTCCCTTTCATATGTAAATTTGGTAGCCCCAGTGAGGTTTAAATAACAAAAGCCCTAATTTGCACAAGAAAGCAAAACCCTGAAGGATCCTGGTCATAGTAGTAATATGACGCCAACATGCAAATGGCCTATTACATTGTGAACATGGCTTCCTTAATCAGAGCTTCATGTTAAAGTTTGTTTTTTTGTTTTAACCAGCACTGAAATAATTATTCGATGAGCTACAGGGCCTTAACTAAAAACCGAAAAAAAAAACGATTCGAGTGGAAAATAATCCCCAGTTGAAGGAGACCGATTTTTCTGAAGAAATACCCATGTTAGTAGCATTTCATATTTTCTTTATTTCAAAATGTCTAGCCAGATTCCCCCCCGCAGCGGATCAGCGCATCCGTGGCGGTCACACATGCCTCGTCTATGCCGAAAGTCTAGCTATGGCCCTATGCTGGATCTAAACAACATAGGTTGATGCTTGTCCCTTGTTCTCACCTGAATCGAAAGTAGCATTATTATCGAGGCCTGACTGGTCCATGACTTGGCGAGTGGTTGTGTTAACTTTTTGGAATCCAAAATGGAGGACCATTCTGTTAAACTCGCACTTTCTATAAAGTGCTTTGACTTCTGCCGCAGAAATAACGCGATCGAACATATAAACGTCATCTAAGAACGAGATGAACTTATCGCCAAATTTTTCTCCAATACCAGTGGCAGTAAAATCGTCTGGTAGTCCTTGGTTCTTCTTGCCAACCGTCTCAGAAATAAGCTTGCCATTCACATAAACGCGCGCAATACCATCTTTTGAATCAAACGTTCCCGCCAAATGAATCCACTGATTCTTGGGCACTTTCACCAGTTTTCCGCCGCTGTGTTTCGCGCGAGACCGGCTTGCGAGTGATCCAGCGCCGTCTTCGCCGACGTCAAACCAGCGAACAAGACCCGGCTTGCGGGATTTTAACCACATAGCGATAGAAGCAGCTTTTGTGGGTTTCCTGCTAAAATGATCCGCTTTGTACATCACTTCGCCATGTTTGAGGATAGCAACTCGTCCGCACGAGCCTGAAACCATAGATGCAAAGTTTGTAAGACTACCGTCACAACCCTCCAAAGTTTCTGTCGCATCCACCCGGCAATAATTCGAATTTTCCAAATATCAAAAAAGATTGAGCATACGCATGCCGTAAAGCTTGTTAAACGATCTGCGTCTTGCTGGATTAGTCTGACTTTACCTTTTTTCTATTTGCGTGGACCGGGGGGGGAGTGGTCTTTTAGCTACACTAGAGGTCATGTAATAATACATGTAGTGTCCTAGATGTATTATTTCATACATGTATCACACTATTACTGATAACAATTTTTTTGCTCAACTTCGGCTAGATTCCTTGATCGCCCGACTTTCCTCCCTCCCCCTTACCCTGCCCCCCAGCAATGTGCTAAATCAAACCTTTTTGCACCAATCACGCTCGAAATTCAGCATTGTTTGTGGAGGGAGAGGGAGGGATTAGTTTTACTTATGTTACCTTAAGTGTCCAAACACTTTTGACTTCCATTGCCCATACTGAAGCAACTGCTTCTCTACTATTTGAATCTAAATTTGAATTAAACCCAATGCAAAAGAGGTGATTACAGTTACAGCGAGCCTTACGAAAACCTGCTACATTGCTGAAGAAGGCTTCCAGAAATTTTTTTAGTGAGCTCTAGTACCATACCCATTGTCCGATTTGAAATTTCAGCTCCATTGGCAAGACCTGCATCATTTTTGTTGCCTGATTCGTCTTGTACAACAGTTCTTCCAGGCTTAGAAGGCGTTGTATCAAAGTTGAGATGCATTATAGCACTATGAGCTGGAAAAGGTAGAAAGGAAAGAATTGAAGAAATAGCCGAAATCTGATCTGATGCTGATGCTTAGAAAAAAAAAGGAAAGCCAAAATAAAACTGACAAAAAAAATATTCATGCCCGATCCAGTTCTTTTTATAGATCCAGTCACCGAACTGATTGGTTTATATTCGCAGTTTTGCTGTTCTGTTTTTTGAATAGATTACTTTTTATAAAGGCGGTATGACGAGAGTTTTTGAAACATAATCACTGTGAAAAACGTGAAAAACAAAAGAACTGAAAACACGACGCGCAAGTGATTATATTTAACGACCTTCGAGGTGCTTTATGTAAAATAAAAACCGCAAAAGAATGTTTTCCCACTTATCAAACACCACAGAAACAGTTGAAATTACGTTGCATAAAGGAATATTTCACGCAAATTTGAGATTTGTGTTTTTTAATGGCATAATGTCTAGAGTGTTTGATATAACTTCTTATAGACAAAGTTATCATAAAGGTGATATCAAAGAATGCAAAAAAGAGGGGTTTAACATCAGATACCCAAAGACGTTTACTGTGCTTTATTTCCTCAATCTTTACGTTTTGAAAAGTTAAGGAGTTTTGGAAAGAGCCTTGCATTCTGGCTTGCACTCGATTATTCAAACAAGGCTGTCGCTATGGAAGGAAAGGAATTGGTGTAACCATATCATTAGCCAAATTTAATTAACACTTAAAATAGAACTTACATAGCTTCTTGAGAATTTCTTCTCTTAGTGTCGTCGAACTGTGCCCTGAGAATGGTAATTTTAAAATCACTTCTTTAAATGAGATGCTGATACTATCTACTTATACCTTGCTACACACTCTTGAGGAATTCACTGAATATGTTTTCTCCCCGCTTTGGCGATGACATGCTTAAACGTTTCCTGACTCAGAGCGAGAACTAGCGGTTTCAGGAACTCAACTCAAACTGTTTTTTTTTCTTAATTGAATGCAGCGAACGTGTGTCTCTTCCCATGACACAAGAAATTCCACCTTTCACTCTTCCCTGGAAAACCCCACTGGCCCATAAAGGGTAGCGAAAATTTCATGTTCGGCCCTGGTGAGGTTAGGTCATACCAGAATCATATTATTGATCTTTATATCATTACTGAACAAGAGAGTAATTTCACCAGTAGGCGCTGCAGAAGCACAAGGGGTTATCAGAAATATCTTTTTAGTAGTACTACCATGACTTCAAACTGTACATCACAATACATACCGGGCTTTGGTGAAGAGATAACAGTCGGCGATTCCTCTCTCATTGATTCTAGAAGTAGAAATAAATACTGGTAGTGGCTACTCTGTGAAAAATGTTATCATCTATTATCGTTATGATTATTGTTAAACTTCTTTTACTACTTGTGCTTAAACAGAAACTATAAAATTTCACGTGGTGGAAGAACGGCCCTTTACAAGTATATCCAAATCAGCTGAAAAGACTGAAAAGGGTATTCAAATGCCATCACTTAAAGACACAGCCCGTATTTTCTGAAGCTGCCCAAACCAAATGACCTGAACCATTTGATTTTACAACCAAAATTTCCGGTTTTCCCATTTATTTGTTAAATACCCTAAGTATGGCACTACGCATGCAAGAATGTTCTTTGACAAACCTTCTAATCCATCTTTGAGTTCCTCATTTTTGTCACTCCTGTCCTCTGAAGAAGTTCTTTCTGAGTGGGTATCCTGTGAGCTATCCTCTGGCAAGTCTGACTGTGATTCAGATTCTGTTTGAGTTTCATCTGATTCTCTTGATTCTGATTGGCTTGTAGTAGCGCTTTCCTTAGATTGGTCGCTCTCTCTGACGTCATCAGATGAAATTTTCTCTACTTGCTCAGATTCCATATTATCCTCGTCCACACTTGGTCGATGGGTCTTTGATGGATGTTTATATTTTGGATGTGATTCGTAGGTATCTTCCTTAGACGCGTTTTCAGTCGTCTCATCTGATTAGAACGTGCACAGTTTTTAAATAAAAAGAGATCATTCAAACAGAGACTTTTATCAATTGCCATATCTTATGGATAAGTCTTTTTTTTTTCTTTCCCTTTCAATTGCCTTCTTAACCTACGATCAGGCGTTCCTTCTTCTCTTTTTCTTTGGGAGGGGAGAGGAAAAGGCCGCCGTTCCTTTTTTCATTTGCCCGTCGCTTTTTCCCGAAAAAAAGAACGCCAGATCGCAGGTTATTGCCTTATTGCTTCTCACAAATGGATAGTTAAGACGGAAGAAAAAATTCCTGGTGATATTTAAAATTAGGTAAGCGAATATAATTTGTTCTAAACCTCTCATCATTAGTGAACTTAAGATGCCCGGTTTCCGGTGTTCTGCTGCAATAACTGTTGTCACAATCTCCCTGCTAACCTGCTGCGTGAAATCCATCCTCAGTGAGCTCTTCATCTTCTCCCTCATTGTGTCCAATGATTCCTTTTCCGTTCACTCGTGTCAAGGCATTTTCATTGATCCAGTGATGCCTGTGATGACCTCTTGGGTGATGAAAACGTCTTCCCGCGGTGCTGCTGTATCTTAAGTTGGTGAACGACTGAGATTCATCTGAATCATCTGACTGGGCAACGGAGTCATCACCTATCTCATCTGCTGAAAAGACGAAAACTCAAAGAAATATTTGCAGTTGATCAGTGTCTCTAAAAGGGGAAATTAATGTTTAGGTTTATACATAGACGAGAGTTAGAAATATTTAAATCAGATGATTTGGAAAAATAAAACGTCTGAGAGCTCGTATTTTTTTGTAATTGCTATTTTCTGGCATGGAAAAAGTAAGTCATGTATTAATATACTTGAAGCTTGTGGCTGGAAAGAAATAGTGTAATCTCTTACAGAGAAGTCCCAGACCAAAAGAAGACCTTTTTCAACCACTACTTAAACAGAAGTGAAGTGCTTCGTTCTTGCACTCATTCTCAATGGCCCATAATCAACTGTCGTACCTGAAGTGTAATGAAGTTTTCTGTGCTTTCTCGGTCTAGCTCCGAACATGTTGGCTTCATCATCGTCCTCGGAGAAGTTATCTAACCCCCATATTTTCTTGTCATTCTCGTAAGCAAACTTGTCATATCTTGGCTCATCTGGTAAATCCTCATCTAGGCCAAAATCATTTCTGGGAACTTCTCCTCGTGACACTGAAACAAAATGGCAGGCTGATATTATAAACAACACAATTTTAGAATTTGCTTTGTAAGCATATAACTGCCAATGATAACAGGGTGACAGCACATAATTTAAAGATTATTGTGAATGAAAAACGTAAAGATCAGAAAGTGCGTCTTAGAGAACATCATCTTGCCCTTTGCTTTTGTGTGCTTTTTGACTCGTGGCTCGTTCAACAGAATTTTTTATATTTCAGAGTGGTATTAAAAGAACTATATAAATTACAAAGGTCGAAAGTACTAACTTTGGCCCCCAAAAATGTCATCTGACAAATGCGACCTGGAATTCACGTCCTCGAAATCTTTGTAGACTTGGCTCGCCGTAAGAAAACTCGGAATCTTCCTAGGAGCTGTCATGGGTATGTTGACTGTTATTGGCGATAAACTTGCTGGACCAATGGACCTTACGTCGCTCCGCCTATTGCCGAGCACACGCTCGATATTTTGGTCTGGCAAGACATGTTGGAGTGGAGTGACTCCAATGCTTTTGCTGAGCTGATCCAACGGTCCGGGCGAGGGACCCAGTGGTAATCCGAGACCTTGGTTTTGCTGAGGCGAGAATAGAGTCTGTGGGATCTGGTTCATTGCTTGCAGAAGAGGGAACTGGGATCGTGTATCTAAAAATTAAATATTAGAATTTGTTACTACAGTCGACTCTCCCTTAACGGACACCTATATGAGACTGGCGCACATTCACGGAAAGCTAGAGTTGGTCCCTGCCTTTCTTCTTTACTCCCTTTTTTTGACTCTCTGTAAGACGGTCATCACAGACATAGACGGACACTAAGTGCTGTCTCGAAGGTGTCCGTTTTTGAGAGAGAGTTGGCAGTTCGCGTGAAGCAGACCACTTCAACAACATTTCGTTGATGCTTTAGGTCGCTGCCTACTTTTGCTGTTGTTACAATCAGAAATGAAAGATTAAAGTAACAGGTCGCCAACCATGACATTTGAAGGGCCAGTTAATCTTTGAAACAAGGCTCTTCCCTACTTTATACGACCCAATTGCCTCTTAGTCCAGCATTATTGACCAAAAAAACGTGGAAGTCATCTACTTTGTGTGCCAAGTAAGAGATAATAATAGGACAGAGAGGGAATCTTTGGACGTGGCCGGGATATGTGAATTTCACTGAAGTAATTTTTAGAGGCTGTTAATTCCTGAGACCTCCGCATATGCTATTTGATTGTTTGAGACGCCATCAAGTAAACGCGCGACTGCCTAAAAGCAAGCAGTGCAGAATATTGTAATGGCGACTGTTGAATTCTCTCTTGCTCACCTCTCCGGAAACCATTTTCCAATTCATTTCGAGCGTTTAACTGGTCCATATTACGTTTGGTGAAATTCACACATTCCAAGGTCTACACTGAACGTTTCCTTCTCTGTCTCTTTATTCTTTTTTTGTATGTCAAGTTATATTTTTAGAGACGGATCAAGGAGTTCGATAATGTACGCAAGGTTAAACAAAGTTGAATCTAATGCACATGAAATGATTTTCATCTTTTTTTGCCGTTGCACATATATTTTTGATAAGTATTAACGAGAATTAGCCACCAGGTAAACAGGCAAATGTTGAATAGTTGAAGCAATTTAAATAGTCCTTCATGCATGGATTTAGTCTGATAAAATATAGCTAAAAAAAGTATTTACACTTAGGGCAAATTACTGCTGTAATATAGGTGTTAAGCACCCACGCATTTCTCTTTAAACGACGTCAGTGATGAAATCTTTGTTTTCTAATGAAGAGTTGTTTTTCGTCAACCTTTCCATTAGTAGTTTCAAAGTAATAACAAAAGAATCAGACTATCGTCACGAAACGTCCCTCTTTCCTTTTCAAATTGTTGTAAGTCTCCTATCTGGAAAAATGCTTCTCCATGGAGTCCCTATAAATAGCTAAAAAATTCCTTTACTCTGTCGTTGTTAAGGATCCACGCATTTCTCTTTTAAGGACGTCCATGATGAAATTTTCGCTTTTTCATGAAGGGTTGTTTTTCGCCAATTTTTTCATTGTTAGTTTGAAAGAATTATGTAAAGAATCAGTAAATCGTCAAGAAACGTCCATCTCTCCTTTTTCAGTTTTTGTTATTCTAAGTCTCCTATCTGGAAACAAATTTCCTCCCTGGAATCACCATAAATAGCTAATAAATTCCTTTATACTTAATGACAGTAAATTAACTGGTCGGTATACTATAGATGTTAACCACCCACGCACTTCTTTTAATGCCGACAGTGATAATTGTCACTGTTACGGAGTAGTTTTTTTTTTCGCTCACCTTTCCATTCGTATTTCGAAAGTACTTTTAAACTAAGAGCGGCCAGGCAATGCTTTGAAATGAGGGGAATTTTAAACAGGAAAAATAGTAAAATGCACCAGTACGTGACCAAATACTAGCTGCTAGGAGTAGTATTGAAAAACAGAACAAACACTTGTCCCTATTAAATATTTCAAATGTCAACCTAGCAACCATTTGGAATACAAAGTGACCAAAATTTAAAATTTTCATTATTGGCTTTGAAGCTTTGATAACTTGACTTTTGAACTATAGAAACATAATTTTCATGAAAATACCCGATAGAAGTGAACGCAATCGAAATGGTGATTAATTTGTTGTTTTTCTACTGACGTTTGAAAAAGCATTTTTCTTACACAGATTAACTGATAGGGGGATAAACATAAGACCATTTGCGTCAATAGAATAATCCCATAAGACCAGAGCGGAGCCACTCGGTATTATGAAAGCGACTGTTACGGAGGACAACAGCATCATACTCCTTTTCCGATTGATGCTGCTTATAGAGGCAAGGCGACAATGGACGGCAGTGGAAACTCTGGAAAGCGAAAGAATAGTTACAGACCAAATGAAGGCTGTTTGGTGTTTTTTAACGCAAAGACTTGCTCAACTGGTGCCTGTGACAACCCCGGTTTGTACACGACTTGCGGTCACTTGATAAAACCGAGAACAGTCTTCATTCAGTCGAAAGGTGAGCTTCAAAACGTAGCAAGCAGTCATGCAGCGGATCCCGTGACAATTTTTTCTCAGTATCCGAAGTCACCGGCTTTGTTATCACCAGCCAAGGGCAGATTTATTTTTCCAGTGCTCTCTGCTCTTCAGTCTCCTTCTGACGAAGTCGTTAATGATTCACGCCGTGCAAGGTACACTTTGCATACTCTACCGGGGAGCGATTGTGACAGCTATGGGACACCACCTAGCGCACACTATTTCCACCATCAAGGCACATTAAAGCCAGTATACAAGCACGGGCAATGTAGGTCAGCCTTCTCATTGGCCGGAAAAAAAGAAAATGAGATGTCCTCGGGGTTTCGAGGAAGAGAACTAACTCCAAATACAGAAATGATCCAGTTTCCAAGAAAAGAAAGTCTGTCGGAAGGAAATTGGGCGAACCTGGCACAGCATAGAGGTCATCGGCCTCCCTTTCAGCAACAGTTTGACATCAAACAGCCAGCTGAACAGCATCTCTCGTCGACAGTTCATCGGTCGGACTCGCAAGAGGTGTGTCCAAAAATGGTAGGAGCATTGGAAGATTCATTCAGTGCCAGAATGGGAACAACTTTTCAGCAGCGAGAGATGAAGGAGTCCAGAAAGGGGGCGCCCGACCAACTCGACCCAGTGGCTCAGAAACCATCCGATCTCTGCGAGCACAAGAACTCAGCATTTCGCACATCTCTTTCAAGAGCCGAAAGGAAGACTCTTTCATGGTACCAGCCAAATACTGGTATGTCATCAGATTTTACGAAAGACATGGAACTTTTCAACAGAACAGAAAAGGGGATATCAAACGTAGCGCGCAAAAAAGTTTATCTGCCACCCATTCAGCAACCCTTCGAAGCCTCGGCGTCACCTTTCAATCAGCGCTCTGCTAGGACCAACGAAATTTTAGGTAAGCAGACTAAAGCAGTACGTCGGCAAAGCACAGTTCTTCATGTCCAAAGCCCGCTAACACAGCATCTTGCCCGCGGAGTTGCTTTCAACGTCAATCAGTCGCTTGGAATGAGTGAGTCATCTGAGAGTGTAAGAAAGGTCAGACGAGAAGGGGCGGCAACAATCAATCCACTCAGTGAGCAGAGATGCATCGCACGGAGACAAGATGCCACGAAGACCATGGACAAGGCTGATAGCCATCTACCAAATGCTCATCGCTCATCCATGATCTCTTCACTCGTACGGTCAAAGATTGAAGGTAGTCGGTTTGAGCGACAAGAGTTTAAACACGAAGCAGGTCCGCGTAAAAGGCGAGAGGGCGTTTGTGGTGATTCTGATGGAGTTCATGGCCAAAGAGCGTTTTTACGTGTTTTTAAAAAACGGTTTTAGTGAACTATGATTGCTGTTAAGCGTATTTCAAGTAACGATGGTAGTTATTTAGACTTCCAACGCTAATATAATTGCGATAGTAAGAGTAATAATAACTATAATAATAATATCATGGGTAACAAATTACTTCTTAATTTTGGCGCATGCCAAGGCAACGTGCCAAGATGGCGCCGGAGTTTTAAAATGCTATGAACGAAGATGTCAGGGCATTAAGGACCTGTTTACATGGAGTGGAGGACCCCGGTCTAGTGGGGTTGGTTTCTTTTGTTTTCACGCTCTGGGGGACACAAAACAAAAGAAACCTACCCCACTAGACCGGGGTCCCCCTCTCCATGTAAACAGGGTCTAAAAGACGTTTTAGAAACCAAAACGCGCAAAAGAGCACATCACGAGGGATTCTAAGAGATATTTGTCGAAACATTCAGAAACTTGTGAACTTAAGCCAAAATTTATGCTCTAACGTTTTCAGTGCGTGGAATTCTCGATGCGAAAAATAAGTGAAAAGACCACGATTGTGCGCGTAATATGTCACCCTTGATTTCTAATAAAAAGGTAAACTCGTGAAATTATTCCCTAATTTCACTAGTCACGATTTGATTTCACATACTAATAATTAAATAATAATGATAATAATGGAAACTTTATTTGTGCTTTTGAATGTACAATTGTAAATCTCGCTACGTATAGGCAATTTACAAATGCTGCTTGAGATTGGATTATTAAAAAAAATAAAAACAAAAACAAAAAAACAAAACAAAAACAAAAATAAAACAAAACAAAACAAAAGCCAAAAAAAAAAAATTAAAATTGCATTAAGTCTGGGCTATCCCAGTTCCTATTTCTACAACAAAAGATGTAATATGTTGCTCCAATGGCTATATTTATCATTTTCTTGATTATATAACGTTGCTGCGAAAATAATAGTAATAATAATAATAATAATGATAATAATAATGGTAGCAATAACAGTGATATTTAGCAACCACTTTGACGACGGCAGTGAAAACCTCACTAAAATGTAAATTTGTGTTGTTTCAAACTTCATTGCAATTGCATAGATGGTTATTTTGCTTGCTAATGCTGACAGCTATGTCGTTGTAAAATGGTAATATGGTAAACGTTTTTTATAGTGGCAGTGCACTTAGGTGCTCTAGCTAGTTTTTTCTTCTTTTTTAAAAGTTTTAGTTTTTAGTATAGGTAATAGCAAGATTAGTAGTGATATTTGGCATAAATACCACAAGTGATATTTCGAAATTGTTATACGTAATTTCACGAGCCGTTAGGCGAGTGAAATTTGACACAATTTTGAAATATCACGAGTGGTATTTACGCCAAATATCACATACAAATCATGCTATTATTTGTTTATACTACTACCGGCAAACGGATTGTAATTTTCACATGTAGGTATTTCAAATTAAGCTGAAATACTACTGCTCTAAGCTAATCAAATTGCAGAAATTTCTCATGTAGTAGTATAAAAAACTGAAAACTATAGCTGTAAAACTTGTTGATTCTCCTACTCGTTTCGTCTCACTAAAGTAGACTTCTTCAGGGAGTTTTGCATTCAAAGACTAAACGCCTGTATTTATGCCATAACTGATGAGTACTAGTAATGACGATGGTGGCAAAAATTGAGGGTCGGTTATTTAAACGAAGTCTAACTTAGGCCGCAGTTTAAGAAATCACTGGACCTCCAGATTTGTTTAATTTCTTAAGGGGTTAATTCAAGAAATGAAGTACTTTTCCAGTCTACGCGCGCTGTATGCTTTGGTTAAATTGTTCACGAAAAATGGTGTTGGGATAAAAGAGTTGGGCAAAATGAAAATGGCTTAGAACGCGGTTTTGTTAAACATGGTCTAAACTCCGTTTGAATAACTGGCCCTGAAAATTTGGAATGTGTGAAGTTATTACACTCAAGGAGTACTGCCTTCTCCACAGGTTTTCCCGTCGGGAACCAGCGCAGAGGGCGAGCGGCTCCTTTCGACCCCGCTTTTCTTGATAATTAACTCAATCATCCCCCCCCCTCCTTCCAGAAAGTGATCGCCAGCGACTTGAAACGAGGCCACAGTTTTTTTAGCTAAAACCTTGGCCCCAGGTATTCTTTGATGATAACATCATGTTCCACTGAGTTGTTTGTCATTTTATATCACTTAATTTTTATATTACCAATCTTTCATTCAAGAGGACACTTTTAAGATAAAACAGTCAGCTATTCCAAAGATCAAAGATCACATAACAAGTTCGATCCTGAACAAAGAAGCAATTAGGACGACGTCAGACCGGAGGGGGGGGGGATCAAAGTTCAGCTTTTTTGGCCTGAACAGCTGTAACGGGGTGTCCCTCCTTTTTGTTGCTGTTGTTGTTTCCCGTTTTTTTTCTGTTTTTTGTGGAAAACGCACATGCAATTACTTAACGAATTAACGCATGTATAGTTGTTTAAAATATTATCTTTTCATTGTCAAATAAACTTTGTAAGATCTCAGTCCTGAGCGCTTGTCTCTGAAATTGTAAAGGAAGATAAAAGGTAAAAATTGCGATGATAACAGAAACAACGAATCGCAGTGAATGACAACGTCATAGCACTACGGTCCACAGGAAAGAAACCTTCTCCTGTATAACGTTTTTAAGGCTTGTCAGTCATTGAACATGTAGCCTGCGAGGAATGTCTCCACGACACTCTGGCGGCAGGGCCGTAAAAGGAAGGAGAGTTTGCAACTACGTCTCTTCCAAGAGGGAAACGAGCGCGATTGCGCAAGTGTAAACAGACAGTGAAAAACACGTGAAAGATCATCGCTAATATCATCTACGCCAGTCAGCAGTTTCGCATCGACTTTTTCGATGCAGGTATTCAAATTCCATAGACATAGTTGCAAGCTTTTCTTTTTCCCTTCCCGCCTCCAGGGCGCCCCAGAGATCTTGCTCGCAGGCTACTGAACATGCACTTTTTGAGGCTGGGTGTTATAGAGGCTTATAAGCACTTGACTTATAAGCAAATGACTGATGGCAACAGGTTCTCCCTAGAGTAGAGGGAGTGACCGCAAGGAAAAGGAATTCGAATGTATTGTTTGAAAGTGCAAAGTAGTAAACGTGAGTAACGCTATCGACTCGTGGATGAAACTGAAGACCAGCATAATATTGTTCACAACTGAAAGTCCTTTTCCTAAGCCAGGTAAATAAATAGACCCCTATCACTGCGGTGCCAAGTGAGGTTAACTGACCCACCGACTAAAGAGGTTATATATCAAATTAGACCGCGAGAAGTCTCTTACATTTCTTTTGCGTCACAGTTGCTCGAGAGCACGCGTGAGGGGCGAACGGCACTTTTGAGTCTATGATCTGGGGGTTTCAACACCATGAAAATATAGTGCTAGCCATTACTTCTTGAGTGAATGCAAAACTGACGTGAAACTACTATTATTTTGTAGGTGTACGTAGTTAACAGTTCACGACAAGTAAAAGAAAACTTGTTCACGGTGCAAATTGACGTTTGCCGCGGTTTGCCGTAAACGTGATTCCAAATATCTCTTTTGCCTTTGCAAGAATGTAAGAGCGCTTACCAAAGGCAGGAACTAACCGGCCCGACGACTCATTTTGAAATGACAGAAGGTTTTCTCTAGAGTTTTTGTTACACCTCTTCACTGCCTTTCACACTTCTATTTATGAGTTGTCCAATCTAACTGGAGACGTCCGTTAACTAATAAGACTGGACTGTTCAGGGCTGCCCAATTCTGACTTATGGTAAGCGCGTTGACATAAAGAATCTAACCCGTAGTTGTTAATATTGTAGACATGTATACCTGGCTGCCCCAGCAGTGAAATGGGGCTCATCGCCTGAGGTGACTGAACGATCTGTGGTACAAATTCCTGGAGCGGCTGTGTGGATAAAAACTGCTGGACGGGCTGCTGTAACTGTGGCAATTGCGGCATGTTGGGCAGGAGCACTTGACCATCCATTTGACCAGGAAGCAGCGTCTGCCCGGCAAACTGCTGTGGATTGTTGTTGTTTTGCATGAATGGTACTGGAACAAGCAGTTGTCTTCTTTTTCTAGAATGCACCGGCCTTGACCCTACCATTCGGGTGCTAACTGCATTGGGCGCACCATTCCTAACAGAATTGATCCACTGAATTGGTTTCCTCCGGAAGTGAGAAACTAAAGTTTTTGGTCGGACCGTTTTAGATCTGGTTGATTCATATGAGTACAGCCTCTGTTCGTGAATGTTAGTTTTTATATTGTTTCTCTCCGAATTGTTCTCAGGGGGTCCTGTCCAAAAAACGTTCTTCTGCTTTCTTGATTGCATAAATCCCGTCCGCGTTGGCAAAAGAGGCGCTTCTGTTGGAAAAATGTTCTTAACTGGTGATGTTTGATCTGAGATAGAACCAGATTTTTCTAAAAAGTGATTGGCTTTAGTGGACATTATTGAAGGTATAAAAACCTCCGAGGGAAAAGATCCCTTGCTATCCCTCGACGTTGGGCTCATCATGTTTTCTGTTTGCTTTTCGTTGGAGCTGCTTCGAGGAGTGGCAATCATTCCAGATTGTGTTGGAACAAGAACCGGTACAGTAGTAGGTTCTCTTCTGACATGACTTTCTGTAACCGGTACAATTTGGCCCTCCTGGGTTGGAACAATTAGAGAGGAGCTTGTCGGTGGTTGTGGCACATCCATAGGGTTAGGCGTAGTCGTAAGGCTCGTCTTCGGGGCCGGTGTGGATGAATGTTCCAGAAGGTCCTTGAACGCACTTCCGAGGGGCGAGAAAATATGGGCTGGTAAAAGTTTAGCCCCAGATTCTGTTAAAAATCCCTCAGTTGATTCTTTTTTTAATACCTTTTTTGATCTTCTCAGAGGCAATTTGGATGATCCAATGTCTCCTTGAGCTTTTCGATTTTGCTTTATTACTGATCTCTCCCCAAGCATGAAATCTGCTTTCATTAAAGATTTTAAAAGTTCCTGTGAGGCTTTTCTCTGTAAATCTGAAGTGTCTTTAATAGGCCTCAAACCTATTGTTTTCGCTTTTCCAAGTGCATCTTTGGTGACCAGTTTTGGGGACTCGTATAAGAGTTTACGTAATGTAGCATTGCCATGAAGAAGGGAAGAAAGGACCAGCGACAACAACGATGCATTGCCCTTGACGTTTTTGAGTGGCGCCCTAAACAGAGATAGCTGTGGATAAAGTGTTTTTAAATAATCCGCTGCAGTGTACATTTTCCGTGATAACTGTCCATTCCTTGGACTTTCCGCTGTGCTAGCTCCCAAAGAAATGTTGTGAGATTTTGCTAGCCTCACATTGGTAAACCAGTCGTCGTGAGAATCAGAATGAGGTTCCGAGACATTTTTCTTTATCGCTTCCCTTTGTAATACCACTGATGCTCTACTGGATGATAACTCTGATAAACTGTGATTGTACATCCTGGTTGAATTTTTTAATGACGAAATTCCCTTAGATGTAGTTCCTTGCATTTTCGTGAGGAAGGTCGTAGAATCATTCTCCACTTTCATCATCGGGCTCAATGGCGATTGGTGATGCATACTTATTGGCTGCTCTTCGTGCAGAAGACTGTTGCTTTTGCCATCGTTAAGTGGTCGCTTTTCTTTCAAAACAGAAGAAGGCAGTGATTCTTGTTTAAGCATTCCGCCTGGACGAGCTTCGTCCAGTAAAACATTGTTCTCGTTTTCGTTGTCATAGCTTTTGGCTTTCTGCTTCGCTTTCTCGTGGATAATCGGTTTGTTCTGCCAGTCTTCGTTTGCCAGTTGGTGAGCAGCCGTTAAACTTTCTGAAACAGCCTGTCTTGAAGAAGAGAGTGCGCTATCTGTGGAATAGAACGTTTTGTTAACTTATGGATTCAATGAAAGCAACAATGCAGACTCATACTTTCTAAAGATGTTCGGTTCTAAAGATTGATAATTTACCTGTTTCTCCATAACACGTCCTAAACAGAGAATACGTCAATTTATGTTCAATTTACAGTCGGTTATATTTTTAGTGTTTAAAAAACTCTGTTAACATCTAAGTTTTATTTTTTGCTCAAGATTTTAATACAGCTACCGATGAAGGCAGTTCTACATCATCGTGCTTACTGCTTCGCAATAGTAGTTGGGTTTCCAATCATCAGAATTCACGTTTTTCAAAAAGTGCGTCCAAAACAGTAGCTCACCTTCTCGCCAAGTGTCTTTTATTATTGCATTTGCCAAAAACTTTTCGCTTTCCAAGAGTGGTTCAATTTTTTGGAGATCTTCTTTTGATGGGCCTGTATCTGTGTACGGAGAATCCAAGTACGGTGGCGTTTCGGGACTTCCTGTTTCGTTTGGTTCATAAAATTCTACTTTTTCACTAGATTGTGGAACGGCAGAGTTATACTGCCCTTGCGGGATTGACAAGCTGTTAGTGCCGAGTTCATTCCGATTTGTTACATCACCCAACATTTCGTTTTGAACATTAAGCTGCTCTGGTGACGATGACATAACCTTGTTTTGTCCAGTAAAGCTTGAATCATCAGACAACATTTGGTTTGGACTAAGGGAAAAGGCACTTTCCTCGTCTGGCAATTGGCCTTGACCAAACAAAGCACCCTGTGATAATCCGTCATTCCATTGTTGAGGCATAGGGTCTGACGTGAAGGGAAGCTCGAATCTTTTTGCTTTCTCTGCAAAACCAATTAAAAGAGCTCTTATGAGATAAAAATTGGCAAGGTTATCGGAAACCGTCAAAAAGATGTCAACAACTGTGTCGAGTAGCAAGGGCAGCGCGTCATCATGGCTGGAGTGTAAGAAAGATGCTACAAGGCAGTGTAAAATGTTCTTTACTCTTCAACATTCATGACAACTCTCTGGTTTTTAGCTTTGAAACATGGTAACCAATATTAAGACTTACTCGGGATGAGAATCACTGACCCCTCCTCTCAAGGCAACCGGGAAGGGGTCCATTTCCTGAACTTTTAGCGATAGCGACCTTGAAGACCTCTGCACAATTTTGCCGGAACAGACACTGTTCAGACTAAAATTTAACGTCTGCCTCAAGAGGTGCCTAAGTTACTAAGAAGCAAAGAAAATGACTGAAGACAGCAGGGATACTCTTATGTCGGTTTTAAGAAGATGACCGTCCTTTAAAGGAAATATATAGTTTAAGAGAGAGTTAATGTTACTCTAACATAGAAGCCCATGATCGACCTATTGATTAAATGACTTCTAATGTCAGACAATTCAGTGAGGATGAGCACCCCCATTCTCTACCCTTTCCCACAACCCATGGCATGCAGGTAGACTCGAGAGGTGGTTGTGGCGTAACCGTTTTACGTCCCACAAGAGTCGATCAATTTTTGCTGCTATTGGTACTGAAAGGGTTATTTACACAATACTATTAATGTTTAAGGCTGATGGTCAACACATGATCTCACGAGACAGAGTTGTTGACCCTCTAAGTCGGTTTAAAGATGAAGAATTTGGTGATTAAAATTAACCTTTATCCACTGGAGTGGCTCTGTTTTCTTCTGTTATAGCATTGGCTGGTAGTATGGCAGGTGCAGGGGCGATGAGAGGAGATGGTGCGATGGCCCCTGCGGGTGGTATTGCTCCGGCGTCAGGCACTACCCCGAATGGTAAAACAATGGGTGCTGGGATACCACTGATGGGATCTGGAGACAGATCATCGGGAGCACCTAAGTACAACTGACGCCTAACTGCAGCATGCAAAGGAGAACAGGACAAGGTATAACTATTTTGTGGTTTGTTAGGGGTTTTCCAGAAAATCGGTGGAGTGTTGACATCATAATTATGGCAGTCAAGGATGGTTGCATTGATCTAGGCACTTTATAATGAAAGCAATAGTACTGCTGTCAAGGGGAGATGACTTCCTTGAATTTTAACTGTTTCTTCTAAGGTGGAATTGGGTATAATCAAGTGACATTGTTGAGACACCTCAGCTTAAGAACCTTATATCAGACATGCCTATGGTTTAATATAAATTTATAGTACAAAGAGCCTTTTTTTTCCCGTAAAAATTATTAGTGAAATTTCTAATCAGAGGGGAGAAACTCGCTTACAAATTCCAGTGCAATGACGAAAGGTAAACAACAAGAACTGTCTTAAATTTGAGAAGGCGAATCGTAAAAATCATGTACGAGAAACACAGTTATCTGGCTGATATATATAAAGAGCCAATAAATACAATGATATTGTAAACCTACCTGTACGATGAGCATTTCCTGAGAGTATTAAAGAGCTACAGACGTACAGCAACCTAAAGAATTTTGTTTGCCAAGTTCGGCTCTCCATTGATGTAAGATGGTCACGTGACGACGCACACTGCGTGGGAAAGACAAAAAGACTACGTTTCACTATAATTCAAACTTTGATGCCGGTTTATATCTGTTTGTATTGAAGAAACGTTTCAGTGAGCTTGATTACTGAAGGAACATATTACACTTCCAACCAGAAAAGTGCCACATTTGCTCAGTTCGTACTGCACGATTGGCAAGCAGTTATCAATTTAATTAATGACTTAAGTATAAGCAGTTTATGTGCCGCTTGCAATCCGACAACCCAGGTCAAAACATTTTGGGACACTTGAGGAAATTAGGCACGAAGAAGCACTTTGCTAAATTAACTCATTTTCTACCTCTTAAAAAAGCTTGGGGGTGTTGTTATAAGCTAGAGCCTATTTCTGCTGTCCCTCTCTCCCCCAGGCAGTGTTGATGGTGTTGAAACAAAACTTGAATGCATAACATTAACACTGCACGGGGACGGGGGGGAGGAGGAGGGAGTGACAATGCCTCATTATATCGAGCTATTGCATTAGTGTCCAAAGAGTTTTGACCAGGGTTATAGACAGAGAGAACAGTACAACGCGTTATTCATGCAAGCACTTAAGAAATGCAGTACTACTAGAACCTAAAACCCTGAGGTGCACAGTTAGTTGTATATAACATGAGGAAACCTTTGTTAGCCAGCCTCTCTAAAACGTCTCTAAAATACAGTACCATGTGGACACAGAGCGTGGATTTAAAAAGACCAAAGGGCGAAGACTGAACGGAGATTGATATAAATGCTCCTTGAACAAAATTATCTATGAACAAATTCGTCTCCCTCGTACGTATGCCTTATACGAATCTGATAAAAGTGTTGCTTATATATTTTCATTGCTAGGATTCTTAATCATGGGTGTTCGTCGGGTCTTTTCGCTTGGTTGAAGGAAACAAAACGACGATAAAGGAGCCTGTAACAACTTAAGCTTTTGCTAACGAATTTCATTGTTTCGATTGACATTAGTGGAATCCCTGTTTGACCAATTTGTTTATATTTTGTGGCTGGTAGGTTTAAAACTGATTTATCCGACAACAGGTGACTCGCTGGTAATAGGCCAAGCTAGGCCATAACTGCCGCCTTAGACATAACACTTATCCAGTTAGTTCATTGATCTAATAACAAAAAAAATAAACTACAGTAACTTACCTTGAATTTGGGTTTCTACCATACTTCCATCAAGATACGTTTTGGCGATTCACGGCAGTGAAGCTTTGTTTAGTCGCCATTTTGAAGTTTAACACGTCCATTACATCACTTAAGTTTCATCTATTAATTTATTAGCATTCTCGGTCTGCCTGACTGACTCTTCACTTGTTTTCATTGGAGCGATAAAACGAGGAACCTGCTTTATAACTGAATTCTAGCCTACCAGAGCGCTTAGTATAAAAAGTAAAATTACTACACTCATAAAATGAAACGAAATTAGCGTTATTTGACAAAGTAAACCTTTGTTTCCTCTTTAAATGTTTTTGTCCAGCACAACGTTTAAGTTTCTTAACATCAAAAGATCATACAAAAATTTGGATGCGGAAATGTATTATCAATAAAATAAAATTTCCTGTACATAAATAGAATCTTTTCTTTCGGGGAAGGGAACATAGAACCTCGAAAGAACTAACAACTGGAATTTTTCTCTTATTCTGCCAGCTTACCACGCAGACGTAATTTATCGCATGGTAAATTTGCACGGTCTTCAACCTAGGAGCCCATAACCCCGAGCGACCAAGTCCCGAGACGACACCCGAATTAAAGAACGGATAAGTAGGAGACTAGCGAAACTACTTCTCGTTGTTTCTCAGAGTTTTCACAGGGCGGTTTATTTTTAGACACATTTTTAGAGCACTTTGTCTCGAGAAAATGAAAGCTCCGCTTCGCGTTATATGTGTGCATTCTAAGCATAAGATTTGAAAAAAGGAACGTAAAGGTCATTAAAACATCAAAATTTCAATTTTCTTTCTGCAAACTGGTTGTTACTAAACCCAGAGTTTCCAAAGCCAGAGGCTTATATGGTACAGGTCAGGTCATGCGAATTTAGATAGGCTGCCGGATTACAATCAGTAAAATCTAAACTGAAACAATTAAGCTAAACTAAAACTGGGTTAACTAATGGGTTTAATGGGTAAAACACACACACAAAAAAAGCAAGCTAAAAGAACTTTTAGTCCAAAAATTAATATATTCAAAGTATTAAAATACTCAAAAGATATACTAAATTCGAACTAGAAGCCTTCTTACAGATAATTGGTCCGTTATTCGAGTACATGGAAGCTGCTTGTTCCGACGGACAAAGGAACGACAAGAGAGCAGCCCTAAATTACTGGCAAGATTGTGGCAGAGATTAGCAACATTTTCCATAACAGGAGCCCGGTCATGACAAAAGAAAGACTCGGCTCTCGCACATAGCCTTCTTCCAGATTTCTTTCATTTCCTAGCAAGATCAAAAACTGGGATGTCGAGAATGGACAGAATGGCGGTACAGGCTGGGAGCTTGTGCACAGCTGCCTCTAGGGCTTTCCACAAGTTGCTCGAGATTCAGTTTCCAAAAAGCTTTCAGTAATTTCTCAAAAAGTGGCTTTTTGTAACGAACGTTGCTCAAAAGTTGCTCGAAAAAACAAAAATTAACTCTTGGTCTGCATTGCTCAAATATGCAATATGTACATCAAAAGTAAGATTTGTAAAAATTTTGTGCACTTTTGGGGCGTAACCAGCGTTGCTACATAACTTTGTCCTCAATTCAAACCAACAAATGTAACGGAACCAATAAATTTATTGAATGACCTTCTTCACCCGAGACGCTCAAGTATCTTCGTCCACTATTTTGAATTTGCTCTAAAAACCGCTGACCTAGCAGCCCAGCTACTTTTATCTTGCGCCCACGATCTGCCCTAGCGTGGGGTGGAGGTGTGCTTGGGGGGAGGTTTTTGGCTCCGGTTTTTTACAGGAATTCATAAATTGTCTACTAGAACATTGTGAAATATGGAAGAAAGGCCAATTTAAGCACTAAAAGCTGCTATTAGAAGATAACTAGAGAAATTGCTCAGAATGCAAAAAGTTGCTCGAAATACGAGAAATTGCCAAAAAGTTGCCGAGCAACTTGTGGAAAGCCCTATCCGATTTTTTTTTTGAAGGGAAGCGGTGGCTGGCGAACTCAACGATACCCGAGCAAGGACTGGAACCAACAATTGGTAAATTAATCCCCAGACTCCTAGTGATCAATGGCTCACGTGTGTGTGTAGCGATTCATAAGTTCATAACACGGTGGTTGTGAGATGTCTTGACAAATGTATTTTTTTTCATACAGAAAGACAAAAATGGAACAATATAGAAAGGATGAAACGACTTAAACTCACTGAATCTATCGAGGTTTACCAGAGAATATTTATATCTCTAATTAAATATCCCGCGCCGAATGGAGAGTTGAAGTTGTCGCGATCGTAGGTACCGCAAGCCAGAAACATGGACGCGGAGACAATGAAAAATCTTGATGCAGTATACAAGAAATGGCAGAATCGTGCCGACCCTGCAGGCGGTGGAATCTATACAGCCGGTGACGCAAATGATCCTGGAAGAAAAGCATGGCAGGACAAATTTGGGGACAATATTCAAGCACCACAAAGAGCGCCTTCGAGATTCAGGCCCAGAAAACGAAAAAACAAGGTGTGCTTTGTATTCCTCGACTGCTCATCTTATGTATTAGGGGCAACAGTATACTTCTTTTGTTATACTTTATTGTAGCTTTTAGCTTTGGCATTTTCTAATACTTACGCCTGTAGAGATTTAACAGTGGATAAATAAATATGAGTGAAAAACAATTAACTGCAAATGTAGGGCCAGGCTCCAATACTTCAAAAGACGGATAGCTCAAGACTATGCACTGGACAAATCTCCCTCCATTGGATAACTCAGTTGGTTTCCCTGATAGTTTTCCGTTGGATAGTGATTTATCCAGTGGGTAGCGTTATCCAGTGTCTGAATAACGGGCCAGATAAAGCTCTACAGTGTACAGTTGTATGTGCTACACTGAAAAGTGATTCATCCAATGGATCCAGTGTTATCCACTTCACCTTGGATCGTGATCAGCTGAGGCCATAAGTCCCGGTTCAGACGCTGAACTTTTCATGAGCCGAACCTAATACATTGAATTAAGTACATGAAAAGTTCGGCGTCTGAATCAGTTAGGAACACCTGTTCCAAGTTGCAACGGCTCAGCCGTTCTTTTCAGCTAGCCCAGCCAGGAATTTTGAAACGGCTTTGATTACGACGCCGAACTTTTCATGTACTGAACCTAACGCATAAATTATTATAACGTATTTTGTGAGCTGTTTGACCGAAATAAGCATTTTTCCCCTTTTGAGCTAAGGTCAGCTGCAATTAAGGTCAGCGTCTGAATCAATTCAGCCGGTCAAAATAATTTGGGTCGACCTTAATTCGCATTAGGTTCAGCTCATAAAAAGTTTGGTGTCTGAACCGGGCCTAAGCAGTGAAATCATAGACCACGTGTCTGGAAATTTTTTTTCTTAAATAGAATGCATATGTTGTAGTTAATTTTTTATTTCAGTTAATTTTTATTTTTCCATTGTTTTTGGGTATGGTAATGTATGCTAATGAATTTAAAACAAAGGAAAATCAAAACTTTAAATAACTGAAATAAAAAGTTAACTGCAACATATACTTCTAATTCAAGATTTCTCACTTTATTTTTACCAATAGTTCCCCAGTAGTTCAAAGTAGTCACTAGAAGAGTTCATGCTCTTAGTTGAATTATTTTTATTTCACTACAACAAATACCGTAAAATTCCGAAAATAAGCCCCGGGGCTTATATTTTTCAAAGGCCCTTTTTGAGGGGTTTATTTTTGGAGGGGCTTATATGCGGAGGGGCTTATCTACGGAGGGAAATTTGCGTCTCAAAATTGATTGGGCTAGCCTTATAGTTGGAAGTAAATTTACCATTTTTGCTTTGTTTTATGTTGTCTTTGAGGGCAATTTTCCAAGTACAAGCCCCGGGGGGGGCTTATATTTGGAGGGGCGATTTAACGGAGGGTTTTTTGCATTACCGGTTTGGGGTGCTTATATTTGGAGGGGCTTATACATGGAGGGGCTTATTTTCGGAATTTGACAGTATGTTGTGGCTCAATTTTATCGGGGGTTTAAGTTCTAATTCCCGGCTTTGTTTGTCAGCCTCACCACCCTCAAAAACCTTCAAAATTCAATGATGTTGAAGCTTTTTGCTTATCTTAATGTACTTCTTTTTTTTTCCTTTAGCAAGCAGATCTCAGTTTCCAGCCTTTAACAGAGGTGAAATTTCACGTGCCCGGTGCAGTGATTCCTGCTATTTATAAAAGGAGACGCCCAGTTATGGGAGCATCTTGTGACAGATGTTGTAAAGAGAGTAAGGTAATGGCTGTGGATAGAGTAGGGTTAAGGCTATTAATCTGACCCTTATGACCTTAAAGTTTGAGGCACTGTTCAGTCGTCAAACTTTTCAATGACCTTACATGTACAGGTACATGTAAATCAAACAACTTTTTCCTTTTTCCTAATGTTGTCAATACATCATGGAAGGAAAAGGTAATGAGATGATAAAATGATTGGTAAAGGGAGAACTTCTTCAATCTGTAATTAAATCCTCTCTAAGTTTTCCCAAAGAAAATATATGAAGATCAGTGGGGAGAATTTGTATGGGGATCTTGGGGCTTAAAGTGTTACGATGGCCAAAGTGTACACTGTATGCGTGTTGATTCAAACCCCAAACTAAATTTGCTTCGCTTAATGAAAATGCAGTTTGAGGCCTCAAAATTTTAAGTTGTAAAATTTGAGGCAACAACTTTTGCATTAAGTTCAGCTATAAAAAAAGCTTGATATTGTAATCAAAGCCATTCCAAGCATATCTTAACTGCATTATGCATACGCCAAAATTGTTTGATATTGAGTCCAAGAGTCTCGATCTGAATGTGTCATCAGTAAAATTGCTTATTATTTAATATTAAATGGTCTTAACTTGCAATATTTTTCTCTGTAGAAACTCTTTGAGGACATAACACCTTCTTGGGGAATGCACAACATTCTGAGCCAGAATCTTTATAAAAAGTAGGTTCTGTTTATCATTAACTGAAAATTAATTGAACAATATTTTATTGTAGACTGAGGTGTACATTTCATATCACTAATTAACAAAATTAATATTCCCCCTTAACTCTCAAAGGATAATTTTATAATAATTTGTTATTTTTCTTGATTGTTTTTTCTATTGTTATAGGCATAACTTGTTGAAAAGGAGCTTTTGTCACATAGCCTTTGTCAGGGCTTGCAACATCAGTCATGAATATCCTGATGTCAAACAAAACGTCATGCAATCTGCAAGGTAAGTATCATATCATCAGCAAACATGACTTTCACACACTCAGCATGTTGAATGCTTAATCATTTAATAAAGTTAGGGTGGTACTGGGAAATTAAGGAGGCTCTGCTGGTTTGGTTTTGGTTTTCACTGACAGATTTTGTGGACAGAAATTGAAAATATTGTCACCATTGTAATATACTGCATCTACATGTAGTGCTGAAAAATTAATTATCCTCAAATTTTGGGAGTTGTTACATCAATGTTGGCAGTGGTGTGCAAATGCATGCAACAACTCCCAACAATGTGGGACCTACAGTGCATTGTGGGAAGGATACAACCCATAAGACTTCGTAAACCACATTAAATGCGTGTGCATGGCCCCAACAATGTTGGGAGAGCTGTGCAAATGGATCCAACATTGTTGCGCTGCACTTCAGCGATCATGGAACAAAAGAAATGTAGGGAGTTTTTGGCTTTGTGCAACAACACGAGACAACATGCAATGGTATGCAAATGAAAGCAATAATTATGTAACATCCAACAATGTTGGGAGTTGTTCGCCAACAATATTGCATCCGTTTGCATGGGCCTTATAGCTTAATTTGATGTCGAAATTTAATTGCACATATATTTTATTATACTTATTAGAGTGAAGACTTGCATCCTAACTCCAGTCTTACAAGAGCATTCTCTATCAGGTAAAATAGTTAACGCCAGAGATAAAACACTGAAGAAGTAATTTTGAGCAATAATTTTATTTCATACACTTTTTTTCTTATTTGTGTGCCTTTCATGCTATCATAGTCAATAGATAGATAGATACGGCAGATTAGGTTTTCTGGGAAATGACTCTGACCATACAAAGCAATTTTAATAAAAAGTCAAATTGACTTAGTTAACTTAATTGTAAAAATTTCTTTCTTCTTTTGGTAGACCAAGATATCAAAGAGGCAGAGAAAATAAGGCGACAGAGGCTTACAGAACTGGAAAAAGAAGCAGATACTATTTATAACAGAATGGCTGCCGTTATTTACAGAAGATTTATCAGGTTAATTTAAGTGACTGGTTAAACTAACTCTTACTACATGACCCCTGTTTCAGGCTGTTACTTACCTTTGGAGTGGTTAGTGATGGGGTAGCATGTTCCGGGTGTTGAGATAGTGGAACATGCATGAAAAAAAGAGCAAGTGAAAAAAAATAAAGAAGAAGGAAGGAAACTTCTTTCCTTCCCCGCTCTACCCACTCCCCCATCTTGTCACTCATTTTGTTTTTAGCGCATACTGATCCAAATGCCTAGAAAAGGCTTTTTTGTAGTTTTGTTAATGTGAAATTTCCTGTTTTGGTCAACGTAGCAGTAGAAAAAAAAATAGACGAGGGCTCAGTTTCAAATAGCCAGGAAAAAGTCATTAACTGTAGCTTTAATTGTTCTCCAGCGATTTTAGTTGGTTGTTTTATTGGCTTTAGGGACCCTTTCCTGCAGAGTGTTTTTGATTTTACATGTACACCCGAGGAGATAACAGCTATTTCGTAGAGGTACATGTTCTGTGTAGTTTTACCCTCAGTTTGTTTCAAACTCATCATCTCAATGCATCCAGCAAAAGCAAATTAGATAAAATGAAACCACAATACAATTCTTAATCAACACATTCTTGACAGGAGAGGGTACATGTACATGTATGTATTTTTATGATGCAGGTTCACTGCGTGGTTTTTGTTCAAACTGTTTGGAAGGCTGCTCTCTAGCATACAGATTCACAATGGACAAATGGACATATTAAGAGAAGCTTCACAGGTTAGCTGACTTTCCTTTTTGTGGGTAACTGCAATCATGGTGTAAATTTGTTTATTAAGGGAAAAAATGAAATTTGTCAATGTCTTTTACATTTTGATGTACTGTAATCACTCATAGTTGTTTAGAATAGTCCCTAAATCATTTCTCAGTCAAAATAATTATGTCATAAGTTGCCAAAAGCCGCTGACACATTTGCAACTTTTTCATTAAAACAAATAAAAGAAATAACAAGTATTGCACTTCTTGTGATCTGGGCTTTGTTGATAAACTGCAGATAAAAGGCTGATTTGGAAGCTTACCTCTACATAATTATTTAGTTTTATAGTGCTTCCTCGCATGGAGTTATTAGACACCTTTATTAGGTCTTCTTGGAATAATTGAGGTGTTGTCACAGCCAAACAGAAACTCAGCATATTTTACAGAAAACTGTATGATATGAAAGAGTATTTGAGTGTGAGTCCTTGTTCAGTGCCTTTTTACTACACTAGCAGGGGTTTCGTTTCAGGCCGGACACCAGGTGCAATGTCTGACAAGTAATCTCCAGTAGCTCGCACACAAAATAAGTATTTTTCAAGACTGAGTGAAAATCGTTTCTTGTTTGATTTTTCTGATGATTCCAGGCAACAACTGGACTGGACATATCTGTGTATTACCTTTTGTCATCAGGGACTCATACACTCTTTCTGATTGGAATTCGTTTTGGAATCAACTAAAAAACAAAAAACTGCAAGCCAATAATTATTATAATTGCAAAAATCAAATATTTCGTTTTATTGTGAGCATGTTCTTTTTTTTTTGCCTTAAAAGACTTTCCTGGTTATCCAATTCCAGTCCAGCGAATGCAGGAAATTGCATTTTAGAGAGTTCAATTTTAGAAATTTCTTGGGGGAACATGCTCCCTGGAACCGCCCCTCCCCCTGCACCTGCACCTGCAGCACAAACAGTACAAGTCTGCTAGCTGAACCTCTGCTTTCAAATGCTACTGAAAACCCTGCACTAGTTTAATAATAATTATGTCTTACTACCTTTATTACATTGATTATTTTAAAACTTTATTTTTTCTCGTTGGTTTGCAGGATGAAAGACCTCTGGTGTTCTTACCACTTCATAAAAGCCACATGGATTATCTCCTACTCACCTTTGTCCTTGTTACAAGGGACATAAAGGTAGGCAATGTTGGCGAAATATCCAACAAAGAGAATCATTTTATTCAATAAATTATGTTTACCCACAAAACAGCTATCCAACAAGATATGTGTTTCTTTATTTTCCAGATAGAATAATAAAGTTCTTATCAGTAGAACTTTGGAATTTTTTTGGAGGAGAGGAAACAAAATTATGGTGCTCTGAGAAATACCTTTGGAGTTAGAGAGAAAACCTTCAGTCAGCTCAAATCTTTATGGTCTGGGCTAAGAACTTAGGCATTAGCCTGGGCTTGGAAGAAAAAATCTCTGAGTACTCCAAACTGGAGTTGAACCTTTGATCTTCTAGTCACTAGTTCTCTAATGTAGTTGCTTCTTCTGTTTATTTAGGTTCCACATGTGGCTGCTGGAGGTAAACATTATGCAATTTATACATTCCCTAAACCAGGCAACTTTGGGAGTCCAGTTCTAGCTCATTGAGCACTCTGACTCAGCCCATAATTATTTGGATGGTCAAACATTGAACTGATTGGCACAATATTTAGAAATCGGAGAAATTCACAGTGATTTTGTTACAAGTAGTTATGTTGAGTCCTGGGACTCATCTTGTGAAAAATCATGAGTTCCAGTCCAGAACCAATGAGTCCCAGTTAAAAAGATCGAGTCCAAAATTGAAAAATGCTTGGGCCTTTATGGAATCAGACTGTTAATCTGAAGACCGACTCCAATACTCTGTATTACAGTATAATGAAATTAAAATACATGTATAGTCCTTCTATTTTAAAGCACGACAAAGGCTAAAAGAAATGTACATTGTTAAACAACAGCCGTAATAACTGCCACAGACATTACACAAACGGGATATTTCTGCAAATACACATGTTCAGATCGATCGATCGATCTTAGCGTCACACGAGACGCATGCCATGAATTATTTTGAGTCTTTAGGGATTTTTATGCATCAAGGATGCAGATGAAGTCATCATTTAAAATACAAACATGGCACAAACTAGTATCACTTTATTTGGTGATCTAATTCAATATCTGCAGGCTAAATAAACCAAGAAATGTATAGGACGAAATATATTACGATTAATACAAGTAATTTTCTCAATCTATGTGTGTTTGTTCTGCCCACAAGCAGGTCCATCCTTATAGTTCCCAATCTAAGGTGCGTCTATCCGCTACGGAAGGGCCGGCATCCTTCACTCTATCCAGCATTCCCGCTCGAGGTCTTCCAGGTGGCCTCTTCAGTCAATACCTGATTCTAATGGGATAATAAATGACATAACCTTATTTCAAGCCCTTTGCAACTTTTGTAAAGTTCTAATACATGCACTGATGTACTATTAAGGATTTTAATTATTAAATTAATAAATCTCTTTATTTTGCAGATAATTTAAGGATTCCAGTTTTTAGGTATGATTTAACCATATTGTCTTAATACAAAATCGTGATATTGTGACATGCAACTCATGAGCGTTACATTGTTCATGTTTCTTCCAATAGCTGGATGTTGAGACATCTCGGTGGGTTTTTTATCAAGCGTAAACTGGATCATTCCTCACGAAAAGATGAACTGTACAAATGTGTGTTACAAGAGGTGAGGATTCTACGTTAAACTGTCATCTGATGCTCTCTGTTATGATTTTCTCCGAGCTCATACTTGAATGGTTGTGATCTGTGTTTCAGTATGTGGAGCAGCTTCTTCAGAATGGACAATACCTTGAGTTTTATATAGGTAAGTCAGTGGAACGACTTTTCATGCCGATTGCTAAGGTGTCTACAATCCTGGACAAAATTACTTGAGAAAATGTTTTCATTAATGCGCACTATTTAACGCAACAAAACTATTCCCAAATCAACGGCTTTGCGTAAAGAAACCCCCCTCCCCCAGTTCAAAGTTGCTTCCTACAAATGCTTAGGGATCCGGCTTTCTTTTGAAGACCCAACAACACTGCTTCCAGGGGGAGAGGGGGTGGGAAGAATGGGTCGGTTACGAAGTTTAGAAAAAATGACCCCCAAGAAGGCAATTTTCTCAACAGTTTTGTCCAAGATTGTATATAAGGTGATTCGCGTTTTTTAGCAAGAATATTAACATGGACAAAACGGAAACCTACCAATAAAAAGCACTTTACAGAAGCTCCTTTAAGCACAAAGTTTCACGGCACACCATCTTCTCATAGAAAAGTACCACCTCATACACGTTTTTTGCTGCACCCTCTTAAAACAGTAAGATTTTGCAGTACATGTGCAGTAGCCGTAGAACGCGTGCTCATTGTTACATGTTTTCGTGTTGTTCAAACCTGGCAGGCTTGGAAAGTGTGGAAAGTGATTGATAGTTTTCAGAAGAGTCAGGACAAGACTTGGATAACGGTTTTCTTAGAAGAAAAGAAGTTCGTAGTGTTTATTTAGTGACGTATAGTGAAGCCAATATGGAAGCGTATCCCGTCACGTGGAAACTGCTTCTCAGATCTTAAAATTGGCTAAAGTATGAGGGTTACAGAAACCTCGTTTGCTACAAATCGGTTAACTTTTTATGACAATTCCATGGATAGAATAATGTTACGATTAACAAAGCATTGAAACGGTTAACATCATTTCGTTTTTAAAAGTAAATGACCTTCTGATTCTTTTGAAACGTCCTTGTTAATCGTTGTTAACCGTTGCGAATCTTGGTAGCACCCTAACAATGTCCTGTTAATCGTTCCGAATCTTAGATATTGTGGAGAGAAAGAGATTAGAAGACAACTATGGCAATTTTTACTATCTCTTGCTTTGCAAATGATGAATTTATCTCATAATTTCTTCCAGTCATATGTAGCTATAAATAGCCCGAGGGCAAAACATGCACTCTTACAGGTCACACGATAGTACATGTTATCACGTTACCGTGCGTGACATTTCTAGATTTCATAGTGTGATTTTTTGCACTGCACATCGCTACAATGTCAAAAGTAAGCTTTCAAATTTGGAAAGTAAAAATACAAGTTTTGTTAATATTTCACCCTCTCTCCATTTGATGCTGTTATTAATGGCAAGCGCTTGTTCATTGACTTTGATTGTTTTATCTATTTCGCCGATGGGAAAATTGTTCAAAGTATGGGTCACGCGCTCTGAAATTTCAGCAAAAGTTTCATGTGTTATTTGTTGGTCGAATCGTAGCAGGTGAAATTCCCGTTTTCTGCCTAATCTCCTTGACGGAGACGTCCTTCTCGTCCGCCAAAACCGTAATGGATGCCTGCTCCTCTGCACTCAAAGCGCGCGTAAAAACCCTGCGTGGAAAGTGAAATTCACAGACGTTCACGATTGGTTACTTGAATCAAGAAAGACATCCAAGTTGATTTTCTTGTCATCGCCTCCTCTGTTGTCACTTATTTTCCATTAATTATCTACTTTTCTGTGAAATGTACGAAAAAAATAAAGAACAGATTTATGTGCCCGCGTTAAATGCTCAAAATCGACTTTTCCAGTCAAATACAATCCTGGACAAAATTACTTGAGAAAATGTTTTCATTAATGCGCACTATCTAACGCAACAAAACTATTCCCAAATCAACGGCTTTGCGTAAAGAAACCCCCCTCCCCCAGTTCAAAGTTGCTTCCTACAAATGCTTAGGGATCCGGCTTTCTTTTGAAGACCCAACAACACTGCTTCCAGGGGGAGAGGGGGTGGGAAGAATGGGTCGGCTACGAAGTTTAGAAAAAATGACCCCCAAGAAGGCAATTTTCTCAACAGTTTTGTCCAAGATTGTAGCCTAGGCAAGCTCTTCTTTGTACCAAGGTAAGATTACAGTCAACAGGCAGGAAGTTCTCATGTTTAATATACATGTACGAGAATTGCTCTATCTAATAAGTGAGAGTTGTTTCACAATTTAATTAGAAAGCAACGTAAGAGTCATTCATGTTCACCGACCGGCAATGAATCGCGATCAGGGTACCACCTTCCTCCAATTTAGGGAGCAAATTTGCAGCCTTACAAGCGCCTCTTATAAAGGGATTCGGATTAACCTGAGATCAGACGTTCGTTTTTTTCGAGGAAGCGCCAAATTGGGAGGATAGGCAAATGGGAAAAAAAGAACAAAGAACAAAGGATTTGATGAACGACCGTCTGATCCAGGTTAGGTTCGGATGGGATCTGAAGAATGTTTCTCTCTAACGTGTTAGTGATATTTTTACCTGAAAATATCTGCTGCGCCTTTTTTCCCAGCCCACGTCTAGCTTTTTGGATATATCGTAAAACACTCCTTGTAGTGCTGGAAACACTACTCAGTAGTACTTACAAATGTGTGATTTTGTTATTGTGAATTGCAGAAGGTAGTCGATCGAGAACTGGAAAGGCTATGGTTCCCAAGTCAGGACTGCTTTCATTGGTGGTCAATTCAGTTACAGAAGGTAAATTTTCCAACTGCCCGCCAGTTGTCATATCTCAAAAGTCACAAGTAACGAGGAAATGTTAATCAAGAGTCATCAGTATTTGTTATAAAGCCATTGTAAGTCCATGATACACTTACAATGACTTTTTGCAGGCATTTTTTCCTTACGTTTGTACGTTTTTTTTTTAGGTGTTGTACCAGATGTTAATATTGTGCCCGTTAACATATCTTATGAAAAGGTAAAGACTAAGAGTAGTGATGTAGGGACCGGTTAGGCCTTTTTTTGCAGAACGATTCATTAACTTGCGGAGGAATAGATTAACGCCGATGACGTCATAGCCATTTGTCTTTATCTCATGAATGAAATGCAGAAGATTAGAATCTCATTAAAATAAGGTAGTAGTAGTTGTAGTAGATAAGTAGTTTATCCGTGACTTAAAATCACTGGAACGTAACGTAATTATGCTTGTTCTATTTCCTGCTGCTCTTATTGTCCAACCGTTGTTAAAGTTCCGGTTCGCAATTCCTGGCACGCAAATTTCGGTAGCTTTTTTTTGCATCAAACTAGTTAGTGCCTTTTTGTTCTTGATTAAGCCCCTATCGACTCCTATTTCTGCAATTCCATCTAGGAACGTGTTCAACGCACGAGGTTTGGACACGCTATCGCTATGTGGTAGTAGTGCATACTCAACTAGTTCGGCGATGTTTGTCGCGGAAATTATACGTTTATTTCGAAGTAACTGTCCGTGGGAAGTCGGAAAGTCCAGAATAGAATATTTCTGGAATTAGGCATGCTATGCGTCAAATCAGAAGCACGCTCTTTAGACACCGCTTGGGAAAGATGATTCAAAACAGCTTTGATCCTTGGTTCTTCATCCTCGGTATCATCACAACTTTCATCTCGATCAGTGTTGGGGGAAGGCAGGCTTCGAATGAGTAACTTATAGCTTCGTTTCCTCTTTTATATCAGCAAAAGTCATAAGCTTGTAACAGCAGGGACCAATGGGTCTTGAATAAAACTACCACCCTCTTGTACAAGGATTCGCTTCGTTGTTTTGTAAGGGACATTTGGTGAAGGTTAAAGGAAAAAATTGGTTTGGTTGTACCCTAAGTACTATGCAAAATTTGCGCGCCAAGAATCAGTGAACTGGAACGTTAACAATTGTTGGACAAAGAAAGCGACAGGAAATAGAACGTGCATAATTACGTTACGTTTCAGTGATTTTAAGTCACGGGTGGCTTCATACCCAAATAAGGGCATGACCTTATCTTTAATGAGATTCCTCCGCATTTTATTCGTAAGAGAAAAACAAAAGGCTATGACGTTATCGACGTTACTGTATTCCGCAAGTTAATGAGATTCCTTCGCGAAAAAAGGCCTAACCGGTTTCTATACTACTACTGTGCCACTACTACTAAGCCCCGGTTATTCAGGCTTGGGAAAGGGCTATCCACAGAATCACTCACTATCCACCGGATAAGTATTCAATTGTGGTAACCAATTGCGCTCTCCACTGGATAGAGATTTATGAAGAGGCTAGCGTCGTCAGCCTTTTCACAAACTGGGGCCAGATTCTAATTAAATGAAATCTTAAATATTTTTCTGATCTTGATGAACAGAAATTAATGTTCTGCTAACGTGGAATAACTGTTCGTTCATGTAACGGTTATGTTACTTTCAACATTCTATGATCAGTCTCGCTGGCTTAACTTTGGCATCGTATTTGTCAGTTTTACACCATTTTTCTTACTTAAGGGATTCCGATAAAATATGCAGATAATCGTATCTTTTTTTTGTTACGTGCGTTGGCTTCATTTCCTCGTTGTTTTACCTAAGAAATCATAACTTCAAATTTTATTAATTTGAACAACTTATATTTTTCCAGGTTGTGGATTCAGGTTATACAAACGAACTGTTGGTAAGGTCCGCTTTAGTTTTCATAATATTTGGTGACATTAGCGGTGTTTACGCCAGGAGAAGTTTGAGTCTTGAATTTGAGTCTTTTAGTTCAAATACTGAGAGAAAATAACCCGATAAAGAATTGTCTCGTTACAGGGTGAGGTAAAAAGACCAGAGTCTTTCTGGAGAACGATCAAGAGTATCTGGCGGGTCATAAGAACCACGTATGGCAATGTTAGGCTTGACTTTGGACAGCCATTTTCTCTTCAGGTTCGTTTCCTTCGTTAACTTTTTAGAGCGGACGGTGATTTGTTTAAGAAATTTCTCTGAAACGCAGCACAAGTAAATTTTTATTCCAACGACGAAAGCACATTACTCAGTACTTTTAACCAAACACAAAATCCTCCTGTAGAGTTCTGAAGAAAATATCAAACAAGCACTAACCTTGGAGATTTGCGCAGGCATAGCATTAAAACTTGAAAAATTTGTCCCAGCTTTTTCAAGTTTTAATTCATGTCCATCGTTGCAACAAACGAAAGGAAATCGTGTCAGTCGAATGTCTAAATAAAGTCTTGATACAACCTCGTGAACTGGACCATTATGGTTTGAATTCAGTTGATGCGAAGACAAGCTCTAGCTCTTGCAGAAGACAGTGGCATGTGCCGAATTTCTAACCTCAGTCGTCAATGAGCCCGCGTAGCTAGTTCAGTATCTCAGCGGTGGTCCAGATATTGCTGGTTTGCACGTGACGTCACGGCGTCATGTTGGTGGTCATGTAAATTCTTCGAGAGAAAAAAAAAACTTTTGTATTGACCCCTAACATGTCCGCATTATCACGTGGTTGCAAACCAAGAATTGTCCTTTTAAGTGTGAGAAACAGAGGTAAATGTTAACAACCTTAATAATTTGCCTTTAAACAGGAGTTCTCTCGATCCATGGACCTGTCACAGCCCATGAAGGATTTTGCATCTAGCCTAGTTGCCAAGGCAACCGTTAACTCCTCGTCCCGGTCCTCTCTCTTGCGGAACTACTCGGACGTATCGCTGAGTGACATGGGTGATGACAAGAGTTTTGCGCTAACAAAGGCTCTTGGCTACCATGTCGTTTACGGTTGGTTTAATGCTGTCTTTAAATCGAGTGTAAAAGTTCTTTTTAAAGATAATAGAGCAAAGAAGTGATGACATCACAAAAGCTAAATTTATTAAATTATGGGATTGATGGTAGTGCTTTAGAAAGAACAAGAAAAAAAAATGCCCGCTTGCCAATAATCTGCGTGTTAGTGCAGTTTGGTGGCGAGATTTTAGCAACGTTGTGCTCTAACGACTTCAAAGTTTGACCAAGATCCTTGAGACCATAAAATTGCTCAAACATGCTGATTTTTGGCAAGTGGCGATTTTTATCTTGTTCGTTCTTGAAACCGGAAAATACGCGGCATATCTACAGTCTTTGACGGTTATAATTAGTGTCTGACTGTAATTACATGTACCCTATCGAAATAAAGTGTCATTTATACCTAACTCCAATATTAAGTGTACAGTCAACTCTCGCCTTGCGGACACCCCGCTATAACGGACACCCCGATAATACGGGCAGCAGCGAAATCCCTAGCAAAAACAAATTACAGATGTTTGACTGAAATCAACTCTCGCTATTACGGACACTCGCTAATGAGGACACTAACTCGAGGTCCCCACAGTGTCCGCTATAAAGGGAGTTGACTGTACTGACTAAACAGCTGATGTACGCATTTTTTGGTTCTTAGATGCGGTTAATTGCTGTGCTGTGATGAGCACAAACATGGTCGCTTTCCTCCTGTTAAATAACCACAGACAGGTTAGAGGCCATTTCTTTAACTTCTCATATTTTGAGTTGCTGTACTTCAAGTAGTCCCTGTTAACGCAGCAGTTCAATTTTTTGGTGGTCACGCAACGCTCCTCCCCGGTATGTTGGGGACGGGAGCGTTTGCATGACGACCAAGTTTTCGTTTGCAAGTTCCAATTTCTTTTTTTTTCTGTGTGTTGTTCAAGGGTACAACATTTGAAGAACTGAGTGCGTCCTTTGAACGGTTGCGTGGAGAAATCATTTCGCGTGAGAGGTAGGTGACATACTTAAGTCGCCCGAAACCTACCTGAAAAAGAGAAAAAAAGTGGAAGGAGAAGAGGCAATTTCGGAAATGAAAATAGTGGTTGTAGTGGAATGAAATAGATGCCCTTTTTCTGTATCTGGCCTAAGCTTCTTTTCTCTATCTTTGGAAAGACGAATCCGTTCGCTTTCCGTCTATTTTTTCTGGCCTTTTCTTTGTCTTTTTATATTCGTTCTATCCCTCAGCGTAGCTAACTAAAGTAAATGTTATATTCAAAGCTAAATACAATAAACAATATAAGCGCCACAACGACTTTATTCTAACACGCGCTGTCATGATCTTCGTTTGGTTTGCAGGGATGTGGGGTTCTCTGGGGAGAAGGCTGCAATTATCCATCATGCCTTGCGGTTACTGGCCGATGACGTCATAGTCACTGAAGTACAGAAGTTTATTATGGAGATTCATATTCAGCCCAAGCTCGTTTTACCGCATTTACTCAACCTGACTTTCTACAGCAATCAGGTTAATAACTCCTTCCTGTTCATCATAGACACCCTGCATAGCTCAGTGAACCAGGTGAACTCAGGAGTGAGTTATCAGCCCCGGGGGGAACCATCCCTCGTATAAAGCCTGAGTCAGTGTGTTAAGTTTTCATGCTATCACAGTCAAGCCAGGTGACCCCCCTTTAAGATTCTAGTAATGAATTTATTATTCGAAAGTTGAGTCCTTTAATTTAGTAGCTGTAGATTTCAGGTTCATCTCTGCATTCCTGCATGCGCAATGCCGAGCAGTGAATTCACACGTGAGGTTCTTGTGAAATTTCTGCCTGCTCAGTTTTCTTTAATTGATGTTAATGTCTTCAAAGCAGTTTTATACATTCAAAGATTCTTCAGTCTGGCCGAATACAGGGAGCTTATCATAAAAACTTCACTGCTCGTTACGTATGCAGGAATGAAGATTTGAATTTGATACTGGTTGCAGCAACGACTAACGGATTCCTTCTTTAAATAGGCGATTAATCAACGGGATCTATAGGTACGCTTGACCTGGCGTGACGGTAGTGGTGAGCTTTCTACGCAACAGGACTGCAGAAAGAAGAGGACGGCAAACCGCTTTTGTGTGACAAACGTGACAGGGCTATTACTTGCGGTCCTTGCGTGTTTCGTAGCGATCTTCACTTAACATTACTGTGTTCTGGTCTTTTACAAAAATATCTGCTTACACTAGAGGAAGGTGAAGTTTAGCAGAAAATGCTTCCAAGCATAATTATTGTCATGCCTGTCCCCGGGGGGGTACTCCCATACATTACCTCTACGGGTATGTGCCGCCCAACGGGGTCGCGATTTTGAAGCTCCTGATTTAGAACGGGGTATCCATTTCACAGGCGTTTTCTAGAACTGGGTATAATATTTCGAACGCACGAAAGTACCAGTTTTGTAAGCAGCCATTTGAAATTGTTCAAGGACAGATTACTTTTAAAAATACGGTTCAGTGCGTTAACAAGCAGACTGTTGTACTCTTGTTGCACCCTAGAACGGAGTATAAAAAAATTGGCCCATTCCTAGAACGGGGTATCAGTTTTAGGGCAAATTCTAGAACGGGGTATAAAAAATTGGGCCATTTCTAGAAAGGGGTATCAATTTTAGGAGAAATTATTTTTAGAACGGGGTGCCAATTCGGAGTCCCGGGCGGCACATACCCACCCAAAAAATAACCAAGTGCCCCCCCCCGGGTGCCTGTCAGACAAGGTTTGCCGTCGTCTTTCTTCTGCTGTCCCATTGCGTAAGTTCACCTTTGCCTTATGATGACATGCCAAACGGCGTGACTAAATTCGAATGTTCTACTTTATTGCAGGTTGTTTCGCTGTTTGCTTTGGACTCAGTGCTTGGTACGCTTGTGAAAGAAAATGATGATTGTTTTTAGTGTTGCATAAAAATATTATTTGATTAAAAAGCAAGATCTTTTCATTTCTATAAAACAAAGTGAAGATTTGTTGACAGAAATGAAGGAAATTATCATTGAAAAACTGAACTCTTATTATCATCAGCTTGCGGTATCACAGCGGCGGCTGAGGACAGTGAATCATACGACTCAGAAGACATCGATGGAAAGAAAATTGTATCTCAAAAAACGGTATGGGCATTTTATACGTTATTGCTTCTGATTAAGCAAAAACAGTAAAACAGTGTTCAAACAATTATGTACATCGCACAATACCTTAAAAATTTGCAGTCATGCATGAGTCAGTAGACACCCTTAAGCCTAGGCCAAACGTCGAACTTTTCATGAGATTTACCAAACTTTAATTTGGGTCGACCATAATCAAGTTAAGATCGCGTAGAGGACGCATCGAAGCGATCAACTGAATCAGACCAAAAAAGCAGTTTTAATAAAAATTCTTCCGAAATACAAATTTTTGATTTATTAGTTTAGTTCGTCGCATGTGAAGATCGACGTTTGTCGAGACGAACTTCAGGCGCTCTGACGGCAGTGAAAACGTCGCTGAAAAGTGAATTCGCGTTCTTTCAATCTTCATCGCGATTACTCCAAGTCACTAACTTTGTCAAATTTAGATCAACCTTCCTAAAGTTGAATTTCTAAGAACCATATCTAAGTTCAGAAAGAGAGATCGGAAATCTCATCATCGCTTGTGAACTTCCTCTGTACATCGTGAAATTAGGCATTTTCACGTCGTAGTCGTGCAGTGACGGCAAAGAAATGTACAAGAAAGCGTGATGCACGTGCAAACTTGTTGTTTTGCTAATTAAACCTATTGCTTTTGTGGCGTTGCCGTCGCGGTCGTCGGATCTTAAGTTCCCTACTAAGACGAACTTAACTGAGCAAGACGTCAAACTTTTCATGAACTTAACTCACTAAGTTTGGTTCGTCTCATAAAAAGTTCGACGTTTTGCCTAGGCCCAAGACGGGTACGACGACGAGAACGAGATTTTTTCAATACTAAGTAGTGCTCGCGCGTGAACCAGCGTCATTTTGGCGGGAAAATGAGCCATCGTCATTTTACTACTATTTTAATCGAGAATGTCGTAGTGGCGAAAACAAGTTAGCAAATGTTGAGAAGTTTTACCATTTTGCGATCGGGAAAAAATGGTAAAAAAAGGTAAAATGAAGGTTTCTGGGGTGTCTATCTTTTGAGAATACGCGAAAATTCTTATCTCAATTGAGGTTTCTTTTTTTATCGTTTTAGATACTTGAGAAGACGAAACAGTTATGTGACATTCTTCAGAGAGAGTTTATCTTTGTACCGGTGAGTGGTTTTCTGATTTTCAATTTTTAACAAAAACAATGAACAGGGGGTACTGCGTTTTCTTTGAAATATCACTGAAAACAATAAGACCTTCTTGCATCTTGACAGGTCACCTTATTTTCGCGAAAGAACGATAAGGCCGCACCTAGGAACAAAAATTTCGTCCAAAAAGCTCTCCGCGGGGAGGAGGGGATGGGTTGATGATAGGGCAAAAAAGGGAAAGGCAAGCTCCCCCACTCTCCTCCCTTCCCCCCCCCCTCCACTCCGAGAACTTGCTCGCAAGCGAAACTGCTGCATCCTTACAGCAACAATGCATCGCTTATCGCTGATTTTTCACGTATTTTTACTACGCTCTTCCTGTACCACTGTTATCGCTTTTGAACAAACCATTGAAAAAGAAAGGAACCTTGTGTAGTAATGTGTTACTCGCAAACACGAAGTTTTAAATTAGCCCCACTTCCGTCGCCCTGAAATAAGTCGCTTACCGACAAGTCCAAATATTTCGTAAGCACCGCGGGGCTTTTTCGAGTAAGTACGGTACTCAGTTGGGGATGGGAAAACTTTGGACCACCTTAACTTTCCTTGCGTTAGCCAGTGCTGCCTTGTTTGAAAGTAAATTTTGGGGAGTGACACTTTTGTATCGGTTATTCAAGTCTTTTTTTTCTTTTAGCCGTGCATTTCACTGGAATCTGCTCTGATAGAAGCACTGGATAAGTTCACAGCCAGCGAGACTTTGAAGATTATGCAGGTGAGTACGTTCATGCATGTTTCACGAGTCACGGGTGGCCACTAGCAAGGAGATTTCGCAACGACGTGTCAGTAACAGCGACAAAATCAAGCGCAGTTCACTCACAGGAACACGCAAGAGGGGCGTTTTGGCGGAACAAGTAGTACCAAGGAGAAGGTGAAATCGCAATGTCCACACTGAAAATATGTTACGGAGCCATTTATTTTGGTTGTTTTGCCCATTTCACGAACACAAGAGATTCTTCTCTGTAGTAGTAGGGAACGTTGTATACAACTTACAGTAGTCATTTTAACGTTCAAAACAGATGGTTTTTCCTTTTGCTAAAGACCCCCTACCCCCCTGTTCAATGTTGGGATATTCATATAACAGAAAAATTTAAACGCGCAAAAACACTACGGTTTGGATCAACATTAGTCTAGCGGCGGGAGGAAGAAGGAAAAAGGAGGTTTAAAGTAGTAGCCTTCCTAAAACGTTTGACGATGATTATAGCCTATTCACAGCTGCTCAACGTCTCTCCCTGATTTTGTTTGAGAGGAGGAGGCGGCTGTATACAGGCTATGGAAAAACTCACGTTAAACTCAAGTTAATCTATTTACTTCAGCAAAGTACCGCAGGTTCGAGAGGCGGAGATTGGGGATGGGACGATGAACACGACGCAGATATGAGCATTATCGACGTCCCAGAGGTTGATTATAAGGTCAGTCTATTGTTCTGTTATATGTTCCGCATGTAATGAAGGATGAAAATGATGTTGATGGCGACGATAGTGATGATTGATAGCTGATGATAATGATGATGATAGCTTACGAGGAAGCTCTCAAGGGGCGAGGGTGAGCTTGCTCGCAAGGTATGACGGTAAGGATGGTGATGTTGATGATGATAATAATGAGCTTACACAACAGGACGGCAGAAGGAAGAGGACGGTAAAACGTTAGTGTGATAAGAGTCACAGGCCTCTTTTGTCGTGATGTTCACTTAATATATCTGTGTTCTGGACTTTCACACAAAGACATGTTTAAAGGAAGGAGGTGGAGTTTGGCGAAAATACAGTTAAAAACAGGCAAACACAAGTTTTGTCTCTCTTGTCACAAAATGATTGTCGTCTAATTCTTTCTGCTGCCGTCCCATTGCTAGCCTGCGAACGCAGACTTATTTCCGGTCGACGCTTCTCTCCACCCGAAAAGGTGGAGAGAAGCGACGCCCACCGCTCGGTTAGCTCAGTCGGTTCAAACCCCAGCCGGACCAACACTTAGGGTCCTTAAATAACTGGGAAGAAAGTGCTGCCTTTGTAATTACATCTGCAAACGGTTAGACTTTCTAGTCTTCACGGGTAAGGACGAAAAACCGTAGGTCCCGTCTCATTGTACTTTCACTTATTTTTTTTTTTTGGGACGTAAAGGAACCCACACCACTGTTCAAAAAGAGTGGGGGACGTAGACTCCGGTGGTGTGATGAACAGAACCTTTCCTAGGCTGGGTGGCTTATCTCTGCGGAGAGATCTTAATAAAGGAATAACCTCATGATCCTCCTTCAGGTGTCGTAATGGCTACCTGTAATCACTGTATGTGTGGACCTCTGCGTTCGCGGGCTATCCTATTGCATACGTTCACTAATAACGGTCATGATAGATTTTAAACAAGAGGATTACAGACAGCAAAACCAAATCAGCTAAGCGCACCATTGTAAGACATTCAGATTTTTTTTGGCTAATAAGGAGAATGGCGATGGCTGATATTGGTGATGATGATTATTATGATGACGATAACGATGAACAGAACGACGGTGATGATGGCATTGATGTCTTTTTGTTTTTCTCTCTTTATTCTGCCAGCTTACGAAGTCCGACGAACTGCTGACAAAACTGCGGTATTTGAAGTCATTAGTGGCTCCCCTGGTAGAGTCTTACTGGGTGTCGGCCTGTGCTTTGCGATGGCTGAGTAATCAGACATTCTCAGGTAAAGTTCACAAATCGCAGTTAAGAAGTAAAGACACTAATTTATCCTCCGTAAGGGGCTTATTTATTTCAAGCACGTTTGAAGAGGGGAGGGAAGGCATTTTCAGTTTAGTGAATCAAGGCCCTATACTGCCTTTTAAAACAACCAGAAAATGCTATCAATTCCCCGTAAATAACTAGAACGCAAAGTTGAAAAGCTCAAGCACGTGAAGTGGGCGGTCATGCAGCCGAAGATAGAAAAAGTCATAACTTCTTGTACGTAAATCTGGTGAATAAATCATACTGGATCGGGGAAGGGAGGTTAAAGGAGGGGTGGGCTTAATAACTTTCTTCTCCTAAAACCGGGGGACTTAAATAATAGAGGATACTCTGTAGGAGGCGGAAATAAGGGGTTGGCTCATCGCAGACTACTCTTACTCGTGTATTGGTATTTTGGCCCTTACATAATGTCCACCTGTGTAAGATCAACATTGGTGGAAGGCTTGTCCCAACTGAAGCTCATTTGTTTGTCTTTACATTTGATATGGCGCTTAAGACTGGTTCGGTGATTGGTCGAATGGTACTATGGGACTTGTATTGGAGGTACAAGTTTTGACCCACTTTCCTGTGCACCTTTTTAATAGCCAATGACAGAAGCGATAGCGTCTCCCAGAACAGTCCCATAGTACAATTTGGCACAACACCGACCCTGTGAGCCCGCGCTACTCCCCTCAGGGTGGAACAAGACTGGACCCGAGACTGCGGCGGGAAAAAAAATTCATACTTCGCTCCGAGGCTGAGGTAAATGTAACAAAAGAAATGATTTTATTATTTATCTCTGAATTTAAGTGCTTTTTCTTTTGTTCTACACACCTCAGCCTCGATGCTAAGTGTGAAATTTAATAATTAACGAAAGTGACCTATTAGATGCAAGCGTTAGGCTGGTCGCAGACGAATATTTTTGTTTGTGTGACACTACTGCAACTCAGTATAGGATGCTTTGGTCACCTTTCTAAAGCTTACCCCTGGAACAGTGTCTAGCTATGAAAAGCTTTATTGTAATTTACATTCTGTTCCAAAACGTCGTCTGGTTCAAATAAAGACCTTAAGTAAAATCCAACTAGTGGTCTATTATCAGTGCTGCGTTCTTATTGGTTGAGCTACTACTAGGCTATATGTTATAGCCCACTAGTAGCGAAAAGCGCCGGCTTTGAAAACCAAAACAATGGCGGCTGAATCGTGTTTTGCTAGCTAAAGTTGTTTTGTCTCGAGATTTTTGACCAACAACTTGGATTTTACTAAAACAATTATTCCTTTCGTCCTCATGGCCTCTGAGTCAATAGGAATAACTGTTAAATATTACTCGAACTATTAATTTTTCTCAACACCTGACTAATTTAAATTTGTAATTGTGTCGTTACAGTCAAGCTAGGTCAAGCGTACCCTCACAGATTCTATTAATGGGTTCATTATTTGATGATCAAACCGTTAGTGTAGGGGTTGTTAATAATATACGATTCACCCATTTCTTCGCTCTTGCATACGCAATGAGCAGTGAATTCACACGCGAGGTCGTTAAAATTTCTCTCAGCTAAGCTTTCTTTTTTAAATCGATGCAAATATCTTCAAAGGAATTTTATTCGGGTGTAAGATCTTTCAGTCTGACCGAATTGGCAGAGATACAGGCAGTTAAATACAGTCTATATTTTACTGCTCATTATCGTACGCGTAGAAATTCATATTTGAGTTTTATACTGCGTCAGTAGCAGTAACGACCAACGGTTTAATTTGTGAATATTACTTCATACGTGGAATCTGTTGGGGTACGCTTGACCTGGCTTGACTTAAAATGTAAAATTGCTCTTTGAGAAATGATGCAAGCATTTTTGTCTTAAAACCTGGTATTTGCCTACTATTTCTACCGGCTCGCTAGGATCGCTGAAAAAAAAGTCTCGGTTTTCTTTTTCGTTTGTTCAAAAACATTTTCCCGGATTATTTTCTCTATCCTTTTTAGGCCATCCAATCATTAAACTGTAGAGAAAAAGAATAAAACTGATTTTGCTTTTTAAGCTTTGATATCTGAATTCAAATTTTACACTAACCACGGGTTATCTTAACCCTGCTTTGAACAACCCGATTCCGATATTTACGTACAAATTCTCCACACTGGTCTCCATACAATTCCTTAAAGAATAAGTTGAGAGAATGTGATAAAAGATCAAAGCATTTTCCCATTGTTGATCATTTTATTTATTCTTATAACCGTTTCGTTTGATAATGTATGGAACATTGTTAGGAGAAAACTGATGTTGGTCACTCTTGGGTCTTAAAGGCTGGTAACCGTATGATCGCATGGAGGGCGTTTTTCAGCAAAAGTGGGGCTCCATCTTATTGAAACCATGCTTTAAAGTAACAGTGTTCATTTTATCTTGCTGTTGTTTAGAAACCGAGTTTTTGACAGCTCTTCACGCCTGCGCGAAGGAACGAGTTCAAGAGGAAGTGACTTTCTTTCGTAAGTAATCACAAAAACACTGCTTCGTTTTACGGGTTACATGTGGTAGAAAGCTGATGGTCTCCTTAAAATAGACCTCTTTGGCTTTTATGTTTTGAGTTCTAATGTAGTTCAAGTGGTAATACTCTAGATAGAGAACTGTTTCTTTCAAATTTCCCCCTATTCCCGTTCATATGGACGCATAATTTATGAAAAGATAGACGGTCAAATTCCTCTGAAACCTTCAGTGGGAAAACGTAAGGCAAAAGAGGTCAATTGGTTCTGCTGTGTTTGTGTGGAATTGAAACATGGGTTTATGTCGTTTTCTAGCACGGTAACGTTTTTCTTCGGCGCCATCATTTCTGAAGAGAACGATCTAAAAATAATACACAATAACAACTGCTTTTGATAACCGTTATCTTGTTGACTCTACTTAGGTTTTGTTTTTCGTTGTGTTTTTAGCTGAGAGCTGTTCTATGGAACCATTAAGGAACGCGATACGTATCTTCAAAGAATGGAAAGTGATTCAAGTGGATGCTGATAGTAGAGTAAGCCTCTGCGACGCTTACAACGACGAAGATGCGTTGTTTGATGTGATAGAGAAGATCGGCCAGTTTAAACTGTAAAGCAAAGAGAGTTTGACTTTTTTTAACTGATTGTAAATTTATGCCCTGGTGACCCGCAATTGTTTGAGTTTGTACAAGCTGATACAAAAAAAGTTTTATCCTACGTCAGGGTTCTTTGTGCGGGTGCAGCTTTGCAAAGAAACAAAGCCATATTGACAAAAAAAAAAAAACAAGTACGTCTGGTAGTTGCCTTAATAATCCTTAGGCCTTGGTCAGTTTATTTACTTATTTTCTTTTGAAATGGATAAAAATGTGATTTTCCTGAGGCATGAAGGCTCACGAGACATAATGGTGCGGTCATTAAAAGCAAGCCGACAGTTGAGTGGTAATACTGGTGTCCCTCCTGTCATATAAGAGTCATTTCCTGCACAGCGGTAATCATTTAGGCAAAAGAATATACGGTATGCATAATTTTGTTTTCTTCGAAAGAGGCTGCTAAGTGCAGCCAACCGCGATCATTTTTCATGCACCCACTTGAATGTTTTAACGATCTTTTGACAATCTTTTGACCCAAAGCATTGATATGTTTTATTAAAATAACGATCTTTAAACTTGGAAAGTATTCAATGCCAATTAATAGAAAGTATTAAGGAAATTGCACCACGTACGAGGTTAATATACTGATGCCTGCAAAATCGGCTCTTTGACAAATTTGTCTGTATTAAGAATCCTTGATGCGCATGGATTTAAACAGACTAAACAAGTTTGACACTCCTCTCCACCTGGTTACACGTGAATGCGCATAATATTTGTTGCCTAAAAGCATTTTTTTGTTTTTAGCTTAAAGCGCGATGACGCATCGATTAGATTAATTGGGCTGATGCATGCCATGTGACGTTTGATTCTCGATCTCCTAGCAGCTGATTCTCTTTTCCGACGTGTTGCTTAGGAGCCAGTTAAAATTCCCTATAATGGATCTCCAACGTCGCGTCATATTCTGATCCTATGTGAAAACTGGGAAAACGAGCGTTAAACTCAACGAAAAGCGGTGAGTAGACTATAATTTAAAACACCTTCGATGTTGTTTTAGTTGTGCAAACTAACGGACTACGTAGTAGTCTGTTTGCAAACAGACCACCGAGGGCACGACGTGTTTCGAAGGCAGGTTATTTTATGTAATGCTGTGATCCGATGAGATTCGATTCGATTCTATTGAAAGTGGTGTTTTCAAATTACGTTAATGAACAAATTTTCACGTTATTTAGGGCGTTATTGTTGACAGGACTATCTGGAGTTTACTGATTTGAATATATCGTTGTAAATAAGGAACCACAATCTTAGTTTGTTATTAAAACTGAGTGCAATACAGTGGCAAGACAAAAGATAATTTCTGTCGGATATTTCTTCCGCTCTTAGCTAAACTTTGAAGTCAGTTTTAAATCATAGTCTTTTTTAACAAGGGTACAAATGGCGGACAAATGGTAATTTAATGCCAATCAGACAATTTCATTACTGATTATGTTTACAAAAGCATGGAATTGATTTAAAAGGCCATTGGAATATTCGTGCAAAAAATTGTACTTTGTAAACGTGCTGAGGAAAACGCTTATATGTGTTGACGCTTATATTGGCTGCACAAACGAGCTTGGATTGAGTAACGGCCATACATATTGGCGCGTTTATTCCCAACGGACTTTTCTAACGATATTTTCCGACCAAGTTCAAAGACAGTAATCGCAGCTAATAGAATTTTGCATTTAAACTAAGCAAAAACGAGGGTAATAAAGTTTACATAAACGTTCAAGCCATGTACGTTCTACAAGTTATTCTAAGAAACTGACGTTTAGATTTTTTGAATTGAACTAATAGCATTACAAAACCGCCAAATGAAAATAGAACGTATGCTTAGATATTCCTTTGTCTTAAATGCAAATAACTAATGCAGGCCTTCATTTGACGCGAAAGTGAAAGGCACGAAAAAGTTGGCGGGGCAGTTTCCTGTTTTCGTGTTCGCACTTTCTTAGCCTGCGTAGCAGGCGTCGAAAGGGGTAGTGGGTAGGGGACCCGACTATCTCGGAGCCTGGAACAGGCTACTTGTTGACCAGTACAAATTGAAAATGAGCGAAGGTTACAATGTATCATCGTATGTCGATTGCGTCTAACCCCATGAAAACTGAATGTGTTTAGTCTCGGGCTTAGTATTGCGTCCACAACTGAAAGTTCGTAAACACTGGCGGCTCCAGTGGAGCCCCCACCCCGCCCCCGCTTATTTTTAGACCAAACTGAGGCCTGAAGGGCCGAAAAATGTTTTTCAGACTGCCCCCCACCAACCCCCTTATATCAGGGTCTGGATGCCATGTCTTCATGTGTTCCAGTTGTGGTACACATGCTTGTTGCATTGAATAACCGTTAACTTAAAATGCTTCACCGGCTCCACATTCTTGAACAAAACACTATCATCTTATGCAAACTCTTTGTTAAAAGCCGTGTCATCCTTCTGTATGTAGTTCTCTACCAGGTCAGACACATAATGCCCAGAGATTTGAGGGTTATACTTAGTATACTTTTCAGCGTCACACTAAAAATCATAGCGTTATGCTGAAAATTCCAGGAAAATTCAGTGCTGGAGTCGCAGCTTTATGGTCAACTGATGCTGGAGAAGTTTTAGCCATTTTCCTGCCCCTGCCAAAGAAATACGTTAGGAACACATCGAAAAATGTTTCTAGTACGATACAAGCACCAAGAAAAGTTTCAGGATTCTTAGATCTTCCCCGGTTAAGTTGGCTCTCTGGAACTAATGAAACTTATTTCAATTCAGTTTTCATTTATCTCTTGTAAAACTGCAGCATGAGTGAGCACTCATAGGCTAATAGACGTTTCTCTGAAATCAAAGAAAGATAACTTTTGTAGCATTATCCTAAGACAGAATAAGGTGTCTAACCCTAGCACTCCGTATCGATAGCATGCATATGACAAGGATCATAAAGGATCTGGGGAGGAGATTCATTGTTCCACATCACTGAAGAGAACATTAAAGCCTCCATACGTATTTGAAATCAATTTCGGTAACGGACGCTTGAGAAGTTGGTGATCCTTGACTACCATTATAGTCGAAAAGCGGAAGCCTGAGAGCACCGGAAGGAAGCGAGTAAACCAGTCAACTGGGTCCTTTGCTCAGTCGAGTATTGGCCTAAGTATTGGCCAAGACTACGAGTAGTCCCCATTTTTCCTCGGGGATAGCAGAGCGAGTCTAACGCGAGCGCGTGAGAAAATCACCCCACGCGAGAAAGGCGAGACGCGGCAGTGAGAGAGAGACCGAGTCTCACCTTTCTCGCGTGGGGTGATTTTCACGCGCGCTCGCGTTTCGCTCGCTCTACTATCCCTGAGGAAAAATGGGGACTACTCGTAGTCTTGGCCAATACTCGACTGAGCAAAGGTCCCAGTTGACTGGTTTACTCGCTTCCTTCCGGTGCTCTCAGGCTTCCGCTTTTCGACTATAATGGTAGTCAAGGATCACTACATAAATGTTTATTATTATTATTATTATTATTATTATTATTATTATTATTATTATTGTTATTACTATTGTTATTATTATTATTATTATTATTATTATTATTAAAACCTGGACGCAGTGCGCGTCAACTGACCCACTAAGAATAGGTTTGCGCGCGGACCTTCAAACTTTGAACAGACAACGATCTGTTATCTGTTTGAAAGCCGAACGCAAGGAAAATATCGCCGCATCTCTCACTGTTTGTATAACCTGTGTTACTATAATTTGTCTTTATAGCAAAATTGTGCACTATAAATGTATTGCGAGTAATAGTTGAATAAAGCGGGCAAAAAACATCACCTCGAACTTTTCTGTTGTTAGTGACACAGCAGGGATAGCAAAGTATCGGAAAGAAACAAGCCTTTTTCTAAAGCTGCTACATTTTATATTGTTCCGACACTTACCCATTTTTATATTTCTTTTTTCCTTAGTATCAAGTAACAAGGGAAAAGGTCGGAACGTAAAATGGCCACGTTCGCAGCCAAGTATCTTGTATCAAGCGCCGCAAGTGGAGTGAGCAACCGAGTAGGCGAGTTGAGTGGAGATATCGGAAAACAGCTGAGCACGGAGAACTTGAGTAAAAAAGATCTGGATCGAGCAGAAAAAGAACTGTACAAGGAAGAGACCTCACGCAAGAAGAAACACCTAAAAATGGAGGCATCTAGGGAAAAACTTAGGTCTGACATAAGAGGAAAGTATGGAATTACAAAGAGAAAAGGACATGAACCTGTCGAAAGCCACAGTGGTATTTTAATGCCGAGAAGCGAAAAAGAACGTCTTTTGGCGGCCGAAAATCATGCCGACGAAGAAGATGATTGTGAGTGCAGTTCTTGTTGTCCATGGACTTCATGCTTTCCTTGTTTTAAATTCAACAATCACAAGGATTCATGACGTGATAATATGTTAAAAGAGATTTCGGAGTTTCTACAATGTCATTGTCCAGTATTTAAATGATTGTGATTTAAGTAATTGGTCGGCCAGGCTTTTCTATTATTTGATTGAACTTCTTGATTGACCAATGACTGAGGTTAAGCCAAGTACATATCAGGGTGTTACAGACCATAGACTACAAACGACCCCGCTTCTTCCGTCGAGCGAAAGCCAGCTCGCGCGACCAGCAACGCGAGATGGGAGGGACTGACGCCCTTGCTTCTCACGGTCAGCCGGCAAGCCACTCAATTAACTTGAATGAAAAATAACAGACCACTCAAATTCTATTCAGAGTCCATTTGCGTTTTCCAGGTAGCCTGTGAACAGGCTCTCTGTTTGGGGTAAGAGTGAAAAAATCGCGAGGAAAAAATCTCCTCGCGATTTTTTCAAGGCCTTCAGATTGTGGGAACGCAGGGCAAAGAGATGTAAGCATGCAAAAAAAACAGCGAGGGGTTTGGGCATGGGGCGAGAGCGAAGGAACAGTCCTCTCTCCAGTCTCCCTCTCATCCTTCTTATTTTTCCCGCTCTCTAACTCGCACACCACTATTAGGGGTATAGAATGGTAAATTCGAGACTTTGCGAGACTGCGAGACCCGGGTTTCCAACTTCGAGACTCCAAGACGCACAATCACCCGAAAATGAGACTTCGAGACCCATCACAAACGCTTCCGAGATTTCTCAAAAAAGTTACCAAAACGATCATTATTTTTGCAGAGTCTGTGGTTGAAGGTTAAAGTGTACAGGAAAATAAGATCCACATCATCAAACTTACTTTGTAGAAACAAAAGGAAAAAAAAGCCAATTTACATGGTGATATTCTCAAACCATTTTTATCGAAACAAGTGGTTTTAAAATAAAATTCCTATTCACTTTTAAGTTGTTCTGTCAGAAGTCAATATTATTAACAAGTCGGGAAAATTCTGCTTGTTTACCTGGGGTGGATATACAGAAGGCCGCGCATTTTAGTTCTGAAAATGTTTATTTCCTATTTTCTACGAGAAACAAACTTCAAGTCCAAGAGCCTTAAGAGGATCCCTTAAAACAACAAATCAATCTTATAGCAAACAAGTTCACTGTCCCGTCCACGTTTTTGAGAATTTTTATTTATATATTTACTTTTTCATCCTCAGCCCCACCCCCTTCCCCAAGAAATACACTTCTGTAAAATTCGCGACTTGGCGAAGCTATATCTCCGCTCGTTTTTCACCCGCCACCTTCAAACTTGGCTAACTCGCCCATGCCAAAAGTTGAAAAAAAAACAACAACAAAAAAAAACAGCAACAACAACAACAAAGGGAACGGTGGATTGTAAGAGTCAGCGCCACCAACATTCGGCCTTGTCACTGGCTCGCACTGATTTTCAGTTAAGAGCAGATATCTGCTATACTGTATGTTTAATGTTAGATATATTTTACATTTCGTAAATAACTAGGTGTAGTTTCATTAGACCTTTTCCCAAAATTCTCCCTAGGGAAATAGCATGGGTTGGGCTCAGTCTGGGTTTTATCGATTTCTTGTTTACGGTTACATGCTGATACCGTTTTGCCCAAGCGGAAGAAAAACAAAAATCGCGTTTTGACTACTTCCACATCAATTAAATTTATTCCGTAGTGATAGCGATTCGAGAAAACTCACGCGTTATCCCGTGCTTTCAGCTTTCTTTCTTGTTTTCCTTTTTTTAAAGACAAAATGTTTCTCGCCATTCAAATCACGCGTCATGAAAAACTGGTTCCAGCGACTTAAGAAAAGAATCCTTGACTTCGGACTGTCTCAGGGTGCAGCAGCGCTTAAAATCCTGCTACGCAGTCGAACTTCCAGTTGTGTTCAGGACTCAGGGGCACCAAATGACAGTTTCCTCCCACATTCATTGAAAACACTTTTTAGGCTATCCAGAGTATTTTTAGACCTCTAGAAATGCATTCTAAGCGCCGCTATAAAATTTGTATCCGTTCGGTCGTCCTAGGGGAACTTGAGCATGAGTCTTTCCGAAATTACAAGGGCTTCAGTAATATTTTCCTTAAAATTTTAGACGCAGCTTTGCGCATCACGAAAAATACATTTTTTTTTATTCCTCTAACATCACATTTTTGCATCTGAAAATTTTGGGTTTCCTTTTTCCTACGAAAAGTAGCCTAACCTAGGGTGAAATGTGAAAAATTAAACTTCAGAAAATCGTAGGGAATTTATTAGATAAGCTTCGAAAATTGCACATGAATGGAACGATCATCTCGAAATCTTTAGCGTTCCTTAAGTAATAGAAAATTCTAGGCAATATTTGCTTCTCCAAACATGATAATATAGAAAACAGTCGTTTTGTGCCCCTGAGGTCTTAGCGCCAAGATGAACACAGTACGTCATAAACAACACTGACAGAAGGTACTTTCCTTTGGGATAATCCGGATCAAGATTTCTGATCCAAGATCACTCAGATCGTGGTGCTTTAAAGGTAGTGATGAATTTGATGAATCTTGTCCAGTTGGGATTTAGCGGTTCCTTTGATCCACCATAATCCGAGTCATCACAAATCCTGATCATCACAACGGACAGTGACACAGAATAAAGCCTTGTGCCCATCCTTTGACATCATAATGAAAGCCAGTTTTCGATGTTTTACAATCATGAATCATTTTAAAAATACTTACGTAAATTAAACCTACAAAGTGCTGCATACTCAGGATTTTGCAAGACCAAAGCTACATGTATGTGTAAAAAACTTGGCTAAAAGACGCGCAAAGGCAGGTTAGAACGTTAAGACCAATTTGTTGATAATAACAATAAATATAAAATTAATACTATTGCTACTAACATTTGGCTTTGAAATAAAATAAGCTGATAAAATCAAATTGAAATACATAATAGAAATAATCCTAACTGTAATAAATTGCAAGATTTTTTTAAGGTACGTTTTGATGTCCCTTTTACAAATCTACCTTGAATCCAGATTTCACAAGTTTTTGTACCCTTATAAACATTTCAAGAACTTCACCAACTGTTGGCCTCTCATCCGGGTCTTCCTGTTTACAAGACTCATGAATCCCCAGGAGAAGTCGCCTCACCTTATTACTGTTCTGCACTCGGCCAAGAAGTTTGTCTACAACATTGGGTATTCTCCAGATATCAATCCTCTCATCATAAGGGGGCATTTCTTCGTCATTAAAAGGACGCGAGTCTCCAAAAGGCCACAGCTGTTCTGGAGCTACAAAATCACCAAACAGCTGTCTATGACCGCATTTTATCAATTTACCCTCCTCAACTCTCACTTCTGGTAAGGCATCCAAATCATTGACAACAAGGTGAAAGTCATCAGTAACAAGATACTGAGATAATGTCTTTGTTATGTCATTTGAGTCACACATTACTCGCACACCAAGAGGACTATTATGAAGAAATTGGAGGATTTGAACATAATCTATGCACAGTTGAAACCTTGTTTCTAAAGTGTTAAATTCACTGAGAACTGGTTTTTCTAATAGTTCATTTAGTCTCTCTGCAGAACCATGCTTGTAATAGCCTGTCACCATCTGACAAAAAATAGCAGAATAAACGTGTGCTGCTGATGGTACATCTTAGCACTGAGCACAATAAAAACCCAGGAAAACTACTGAAAGCTAAAGAAAGTTTCTACAATTTGAAAAGTATTTGCTTTAGATCAACTAGGAAATGCCATTTGCAATGTAAAAGTATGGGCCCCAGGTTTTACTTTTAGAGTAAAAGAATTGGTCCTCCTGTGGTGTTGACACTGAAATGTTGATGAGAACAATGGTATCTTTGAAAAATGAAGACATTGTAAATAAAGCAATTGCCAAGAAAATTTGTCTTAGAAAGAGAAGAATCTTGAAGGCATACATGCCAACTCTCCCGGCTTATCTGGGAGTCTCCCGGATACGACACCAATCTCCCGGTCTCCCATACGGGTCACCATATCTCCCAGATAAAATCATCTGTTGAACTCTTTCTGTGCCTTAGTTTGAGATTTAGCCCATTTTTAGCTCAAAACTTGAATTTTTCTTATTCGTAATACGGTTTCTGGGGCATTTTTGCGCCTATTCAGTCACAGACAAAGATTATTTCTGGCATCAAAACGATGATCCCGAATTTTGAGAGTTTGTACTTCATGTAAGACTTCATATAATGTCCTCAGTTATTCCCATATTTATCGGGGGTGGGGTTCATTAAATTTCCGGGGTGGGGGGGGGGGGGTAGTGAAAAGGAGAGAGTCTCCAAATTTGAGATCTCCAGAGGTTGGCATCTCTGTGAAGGTTTTACATGGACAACTTCTAATACGCTTTACCAGTAAGATTTCCACAAAGCCCCACAAATTTTTTATTTTTACATGTGACGTCCTAATTTACACCATATTGCTGCATCCACAATAAAATAAATAATCCAGGGCTATGCACAAATCTTACTGCTGCGTGTACTTTGATCATGAGAATTCTTATTGAATTGTTCCATGATTCAGCCATACGTTTTTGGTACAGGTGTACTCACCTCGAGACTTTCGCCATAGCAAATTCCAATGAGCTGAACAACGAATTCACTTCCTTGAAGGCCCTCCACCATTTTCATTCCATGCAGACAATCATCATAATAAGCATCACTTGCACATCTGCTATAGACAACATCATATCCATGCCAGTCTGCGAGATATACCTCTTTTACAGCATTTAGATGACCTGGGATTCCAATCCTGCGTCTTATCCTCACATCAAGAGCGATACTAGCACAGTCTAACCACTGCAAACAAGCTATCCAACCTTGAAAACTGAATTCACCTCTAGGACATCGAACACAGCTCCCGTCAACTACATGAAAATTAGCCGGACATTCAGGATTTCGATCATTATTTCCAAGCCCATTGTATCTTCCTTTATGCCCAATGTTCCTTTTTGTCGCTTTCTTTCCCGAAAATAGTAAATAATAAGTTAATAACAAGAGAGGAATTGGAGTCAAATAAACCCTTAAATTTGTCGCCATTTTGTTTTTGTGTTTTGAGTACGGCCTAGGTACTAGTCTCTAGTCTACACTCCGTACTGTACTTTTGTTCTGAGGAAAACTGGGTGCCATAGCTTCTTTATTTGGGCGCCATTTTTCGAACGATCGTTTTGTTGTTGCTGGATTTAGTATCTTTTCATCGTTTTTAGCCACTTTCAAATCGTTTGCGTTCCTTTTTTTATGATGCCTTCACGGTATAACAGTGTCAGAAGTATTTTTGAGGAAGCTCAGCGTGGAATCCAGCACCACAAAAAGCTTCTGACGGAACTGAAAAGGCTTCATGACAGCTCCTCAGAAGATGAGTTTCAGGAAAGTTTCCTCTGGCATTTGAAACATGCCATGGTAGTGTTCAACAGAGAACCTGCTGTTGAAAGAGTCATTGATTTTGCGGCCAAGTATGCTACATTGAAGGATCACCGAACTTCTGAGCCTCAGAAGGTAAAAGATGGTATAGAACAGTATTTAAACGATTTGATTTGTAGAACTGCTTTCAGAGTGCTCAATATTAAAACTAGAGCGTGATTATAACAGGACGGGTAAATCAACTGTAGACGTGACTTAGCGTTTTATTACTATTTAATTTCGTGCTACGCAACTACAGTAGCACTCTGCAAAATTACAAGACTGGCAGTGTCATGGGAAAAAAAATTTGCTGGACAGTTGCTGGACTGCAAGGCATTCAGCCCCATGACTTTTTTCCATGGTTACAAATAGTGTTTTCTCCACAATTTAATAAGCCACCATAGACTTAGCCTGATTCTCAGACGTCCAAGTTAAGGTCGTTCATCAGAAGTGAAAGTGACCACGAACGACCTCGGACATTTGAGAAATAGGCCACCATAGAGTCATACTGTTACGTACCTAAAACTCAAAATTGTTGGACCAAGTACTACCGTAAACTTTTGATTATTCTAATAAGCCCCCCTACCCCCACCATAGACCTCTTTCATAATGGTGGCCTGTTAATATATTCTTTTATTAGTATGATAAAGGCCTTTCTGACCTCGTTAGCATGTGCAAAATACAAAAGAATTCTTACTTTCAAACGAGGTCAGAAAGGCTGATTATCATACAAATAAAAGAGTATATTTAATAAGCCGCCATTATGAAAGAAGTTTATTAAAGCCCATCTACACAGTACCTGTAAACAAAAGTTATAAGCCCCCCAACCCAACATAAGCCCCTGTCTAGCTTGTATTGCAATGAATTCAACTTTTTACAAAGTTTTGAAGCCTAAAAAAGTGATCAAATTCAAAAAGCACTGCACTTGATCAGCACTGCAATGTAGCATGTTTTGAAACACTTTTATAATTCTGTTATACCCCCCCCCGAATATAAAAAACCCTCCCCCTCACCCTGTTTATAAACCCTCCTAAAACCCCTTACAAAGTTGTATAGACCAGCACTTATATATAATTGGAAGTTTATGGTATTTGTTTAATTTATGCTCTTTCAATCTCAGGTTATTTTAGACTCCGGAGCCTGTAGAGTTACAGGCCATAATTTTGGTTTTTATCACTTTCCTTTTACTCCAAAGATGTGTATTAAGACAGATTTACAAACATGTGCCTCAATATGCAATTGACTGCAGAAGTCAGAGTTACATGTACTGATATAAACCACTACTTTTGTACAACACTTTAGAATGGTCAAGGAAGTGATGATGAACAAGACAATGCCAGCAATGCCTTCCTTGATTTCCTCTTCACATTCCTACTTGACTCACATGAAGCTAAAGACAAAGCAGTGCGGTTCCGTGTCTGTCAACTTATCAACAAACTTTTGAACAACATGGATGATGATGCAGTCATTGATGATGACCTTGCTGATAGGATCTTTGAGAGTATGTTGACACGTCTCCTTGACAAGTTTCCTGCAGTAAGGGTTCAAGCTGTTGCTGCAATCTCACGACTCCAGGATCCAACAGATGCTGAATGTGCTGTGATTTCCTCTTATTTAAAACTCATGTCAAGTGATTCCAGTGCTGAGGTTCGCAGAGCCGTGCTTCTGAACATTGCTCTCTCCACTCAAACTCTCGAGGGGGTTATAGGTACTGCACAACAAAACTGTTAATAGTTAAGTATTTAAACAAAGGGAGGAAGAAGAAAATGAATAAATGATTAAACAAATGAATAAATAAATAATTAAAGCTAATTTTGAGGGGTAGCACGTCCACATAGTGGTTCTTCATCTACCTGATTCCTGGTCAAATTTAATTGGAATTTGGAAAGGGAAGTGAATTTTTGTCTGTCGTTACCAGTCTCTTATGGCTGGAGACAATAGAAGTGAAGGTCTTCAAGAAAACCTCACTTTGCAAGCTTGTTTTACAGTTTTCAGGTTGTTTATGGGTAGTTTTTTTTTTCGGTTTTGTTATTCAGGAAGGACTCAAGATGTTACAGAATCAGTGCGCAAGTTGGCTTATCGCATTCTAGCAGAAAAAGTGAGCATCAGATCAATGTCGATTGCTCAGAGAATGCAGCTCCTTTCAAGTGGATTAAATGACAGATCAGATTCTATTAAAGAGCTGTGTACTCAGGAACTTCTTGGTGGTTGGCTGAAAAGTTTTGACCGGGATGCCATCCAGCTGCTCAAGTGTTTAGATGTGGAGGGCTGCACTGAAGTAGCTGATCTAGCTGTAAAAGCAGTACTCAAAGGTACTGATCAGTGTGGACATATTCAGTGCACATGGGCCAGTAGTAGTGGTCAATTGATTAATGTTAGGTTAAGTTGTATTTGTCATATCTTGTCTTTTCAGTCATAACAGGTTACATGCATTTTCAAGCTAGATTTAAAAAGCCTCTACCTGCCCACAAATAACTTTTTAATTGACCAACTTGGCTTTATGGGCATAGTAAATCATAGCAATAGCTTAGATCTTTGAAGCCTGATTAGTACTAAAGCAGGTTCAATGAGTTAGCATGCGGTAAACCCAGGACTAGCACAAATCAAGAATGAACATTAGGTAGCCATTGCTATTTGTACAATAGGTCTGTAGACACTGGTAAAACCTTTCTTGCTATCATGTACAACTCTTTCAACCTTCATGAACACATTCAATCTGTATTATATCATTCAGTGAAGTAGAAAAGTGTGTGTGGATATTTTTCACTTGAACACCAACAGTCATTTTTGCATCCTGTGATTATCATTGTAGGATTGCCAAAAGAAGATCTTCAAATGTACATCAACTTGTTAAAGAAGGGCCAGGAAGAGGAAGGTCCGGTAAAGATCAAATATGAAACTCTTTATGCTGAGACAGCATTTTACTGGAGGTGCCTTGGAGAACATGTAAAGACTATGGGAGTTGACGGTGAAGAACTTTTGGATGAACTTCTTCCAGAAGTGTCTGGGTTTTGCAAGTACATTCAGGGGTATGTTTTTTGTATGACTGTGAAAGCTGTGAACTACATGTAATTGTAAGTAAATTTTCTCTAAACACTCAGACACCTCCCTTGCACACTGTGACACATAACATGGGCACTCAATCTCTATAGAAGACTCCTCTTAAAGACATGGTTTCCATTTACACAACAAGGGAAACTTTTGTAAATGTGGCGCCATTGCTTTTGTGATATGAAAATGTTTAAATAATTTCAGGTATGTGGAGAGCTGTTTATGCAGTCACTCTTCAGAGGAGAATTCAGAAATTCAACACGTATTTGTAATCCAGCAACTTCTGACTTTGCTCGGTGTGGTTGACCTGTCTGATGAAGTTGGAAGGTATTTACAGTGTAGCATTTTATGAATGGAAATACTACAGCTACTCTTTTCCTCAAGTGTCAGCAATTGTACAGTAACATGGAGACATAACTCAAAGTGAAATTTGTATGGGGAGCTGCACATTATTAAGCAGACATGAGTTTTATTTGTAGTATATTAAAAAAATAGCCAATTATTTTAAAGGAAACAGAAAATTAATTCAAGCCAAAGGTGTTTTAAGCAAACAGGCTCCAAAAAAGCAGTGAAGCATATGAATCATATAAATATATTCATACTGTGCACAAGGCTCCACAGGTTTAAATTAATAGGCAATTAGAGCAAGAAGAAGCAAATCTTTGTCATTCAACAAAAATAATAATACTTCCTGTGATTAAGTATTGTAACGGTTAGAAGAATGAAAGGGTGGCAAGAACAAATTAGAGGCTGCAGTGCAATTAACCAGGCTAAGAGTCCATTTCTTTTTTCCAGGAAAAACCTCTGTCAAATGCTGCACGACTTACTGGTATTGCCAGAGGTTCCAGAGTCGTTAATAGGAGTTCTTCATGCCAGGTACATGGATATTCAACCAGAGGAAAACAACAGAATTCAGGAGCTGGTGGAGATTATTGCTGATGTTAGACAACCCATGGTCATGATAGAGACTGCTCAAAACAAGGAGGAAAAACGACAATGGGAACTTAAGGTTGTCCCTTGATCATGCAACTAGAGTCTCTAATATAAATTCATTTGACTGGCAGAACTAGTGCATGTACCATGATTTAGACAGTTATACTGGTATTTGTGTTTCTGTAACATACATGTATGTCACCAACACCCAAAGCTCAAATCCCATGAACAACATTATACACTTAATGTCTGATCTTGAGGGGAAACAGTTAGTTTTGTTTTCCCGAGAGTCTTGATGTTTATCAAGACGAAGTAGGGGGAAACATCAGGATTCGAGGTTGGTCGTCAGGCTTGCGTTTTATCAGATGCCTCATAACACTCAGCTCAGTGACGACACAAAATATTCGTTGACTCTATTTACATGTATTTCAGGTTGCTGGAATTCGTGTCAAGCTGAACCAGTTCCGCGATGAAATGGAGCAATGTGTGGTAAACCAGGAATTTTCAAAAGCAGCAGAGCTAAAGCAGCAGATCATAGAACTAGAAGAGCAGAAAGAGTTACTTGATTCACAGGAGTATTCTTTCTCTCAGACAGTCAGGTCTGAAGAAAAGGTAATGTTTATTTCTATGTGTGCTATTCCCAAAGCAAGAAAAAAAAATTGAAAATTCAGGGATGAGAAAACTTTAATTTGAGTTTTCTGCAAATGCTTGGAAATAAAAATGAGCACAACAAAGAATGGGGTCTGCTAGGGAGCCATATTATGCAAGCTACACATGCATGAACTGAACACCTCTAGATTGAGAACAGAAATGGAGCAAGCATTTGCAGACACCATAGTTTGTTCCTCAGTTTGTTTAGGTGGTGGCCAGAAAAAAGGCTTAATTAAATGTACATGTAACTTTTTAACTGTAAGGGTTTTGTGTGCAAAGAATTCAGGATTCAGTTGGTACTGAATATTACATTTTCAGTCGTTTTATTTTTCTTTGTCTCAGGATGATCCAGACACACTATTGAAGTGTCTAACTGTTGCCTCTGAGATGCTGCAGGGCGTGACCACAAGTGGTCTCAACCCTACTCTCATGACACTGGTTCAAACTTTGGTGAGCATTTCTGAGTTACAGGAAACTCTTTGTAATTCTCCATTTCAACAAACGTCTACCTAACAGGGATGTATATCTTTCATTTCATTAGAAGAACATTTTAAAACGCTATGGATGTAACTAACCTCTTTTGCAGGTGCCGATTAGTTTTTTTGGATAGTTTTTATAGAGTGCGTGTGTTCTCGAAATTTCTCCTTTTACCCTAACAAAAGGCAGGCTAGGATGTAACTGTCTGTAACTCGACATTTACGGCTAGAGATGCTTAACAGGAGCTTGCTAGCCTGTGGTTGCTAAGAAATTGTTTGTCGTTTCTAAAGTTTTACTGAAACATAAACAAGTTGAAAAGTTTGCCCGCTAATTTTCTGGAGGGGAGGGGGCGGCAACACACAGGCTAAGCCTCTAACAAAATAATTCTTTGTACTTGCAGCTAGAGACTGATGGTACAACAGCTAAAAAGTAATAGACTTAAATCTCTATCTTTTTTAATATTTGAGGCTTGTGTAATACATTTGGCTTTGTTCGGGTCTGTAAACAGAGTTGATTACCCCAATCCCCAACCAATTTTATTCAAAATGATATTGTAAAAGTATTTTCTTGAAGAAGTCAACATATATCAACGGAAGGTTTTTGTAGCAACTGACTCAAAAGCTACAACAATTGGCAATAAAGTTTAGTTATGTTGAGTTCTGAACACAATCGAACTTTTTCGCTGAACATGTATTAACGTGAAGTTTGTTAATGACTTTTAACTCCAGATCCTGCCTGGTGTACAGAATGAGGATCCTTTAGTGCGGAACATGGCTGTCAGGTGTTTGGGCCTGTCTGCCTTACTTTCCTGTGAATTTGCTCGTACCCATCTTGTTCTATTTCTTCAGGTAATACCACATTGATAATTCTTATTAAAAAACGCAAGATTTCACTAGAAAGAGAGAGAGAGTCAGTCATATTTAATAGTCTTGAAAGCGCTCACGACCGTGTAAAAATTAACAATAGGTGACATATGAAACAGAGTCGTAAAATTCAAAACGTTGCCATTTCCTTCCATCTCCGTTTTCTATGTAGTGAGAACCAGATTGTCTGAGTCACAAGTAGAAGCCGAAGAATAAACCAATCACAATGCTTGTTGGATGTTCCGTTGGTTTGATTTTCCTTCCGTATCGTATGCTTGGCGCTTCTGATTACGATTGCAACTTTGACTCCGTGTGTAATGAATGCCGGCTTCAGTAAGCTGATTCTCATGCACCAAACGTGGCGTCCACAGTCAAGAGTTCTCAAAGAACCTGTGACCCATAACATCTGCAAGAAGTATTAAACTGTTTTAATTCGGTCTTTATACCTGAAGCTATGAATTTAACAGTAAGATCGCCAAGCCTATTTTTCATTTGCCTCATGGCTTAAGACTGCCCCCTCCTGGTACATTCACAAAGTTACGTGGGCATTAATTACTTAATTTCCTATCCTCATTTCATCTATTTTTTTGCACATGTTACAGTTTACATTCGCATGTTTCACGGGGCCTGCTCAAGGTATTAGTGGCGTCATTGCTCAGTTGATTAGAGCATCGCAGTGGTAGCGCAAATTAATAGGTTTAAACTCTGGCTTCTTTCCGCAGTTGCTGACGCGTTTGTACCCGCGGCGTTCACCTTTTCATTCAAAAAAAATGAGACACTCACAGTAAATAAAGAAAAGCCAGCTGATCTGGTGATAAATTTGTCTGCTGGCTTTTTAGTTCAACTGTTTACTTGGGAAATAGAATCAAGCAAATTGTTGCATTTGTTTTTTACACTCGCAGGTGGCCCAACTTGACCAGGAACTTGTCCGAGTAACAGCTCTCCAAGTTGTCTTTGATCTTCTTCTCAAGTTTGGACTCGAGGCTTTTAAAGTCAATGCTGCTGTCCCTGACCTGGACAACAGTGAACCAAGCACAGTTTCAGAACAGGACAAATCCGGGACAGAGGACGAAGAGGAAAAAGCAGAAAGTGAAGAAGGAGAAGCTGAAAATGAAAAGGATGATGAACACGATGAGATCCCAGCTCCTGACACAGATACAGCAGCTAGTGTGTTGACCATACTTACAGGAATTCTAGAGAGTGAGGTACTGTTGACCAGGTTAGCGGTACATCAGTGCCGGTAGATACGTACAGCACAAGTCAGAACAGCTTGCATTTCAGAACATTGTTTTCAGTCTCCTTCCCAGTCGTCCTCGGTGATTTCGAATGTGACTTCACCTGTTAATATCGCACTCGGTTCCAACCCCCCTTCCACTCACTCGAATAGCGCGAACAGGCCTGTGGCCTTGCCTGTGGACGAGGTTGCGTACGTTTTATTTTGAGTATGCAAGTCTAGCTACAAAAGCAGCTCTCCCGTATTTTTTCTATTGAGCATCTTCAAGTGAATTTCTTCTATCATGTATGTGTCAGGAGCCCATCATCATTTGATGGGCTCCTGATGTGTAAGTGTTTTAAAATTGAGCCGCGTTTATCTTTTATACGCGCAACTTTTCATACACTGCAGACAGTGGAATTCCACCCTTAAAGTAATAATTTCTTGGATTTCATTCTTATCCTCCACAGAGTAATGATCTACGCAATGTTGCTGCCGAGGGTCTGGCCAAGCTGCTGTTATCAGGCCGTGTTCTAAGTGCCAAACTGTTCTTACGTCTGTTGCTGTTGTGGTATAATCCCACCACTGAAGATGATGTCAACTTGAGGCACTGTCTGGGTGTGTTCTTCCCTGTATTCGCCTTTGCCTCACGGTATGTACGTGTGTTTGAACGAAGCTGTTCTCAAGTGCAGCAAGGCAGTTGCAGAGGTTCTACAGGGAGAGGCACTAACGAACATCGAGGGTGTCCTGTAGATGATCTCTGGAGGAGATCAAAGTTACTGCTAAACACAGATGCCCAACAGTGCATTTTTAATTATGTGAAGGAGTCATTTTTTGTAGTTTTGTGGTTTATTACTTTTGCTAGAAACTAAAGAGTGCAAATAACGTTTTTGCTTATGAGAATATCGAAGGAAACTCTCAGGAAAAAATGGCGACTAAAGGGTATGAGCTAGCGACCAAAATTTTTAGATCAATCGCCCGCATCACCAAGCCTACTTAATAAAAAAATTAATTTTAGCCCTGCTGATGTAAGTGAAAAGCTACAAAAAAGCTGCAGTAGAAGGTTCGCTTTCTGATTGTGTTTGGCAATTTAGCGCTGTAAAACTGAAGGAGGAAAGATTTTGCTCGATCACTCACCCTGGCTGATATTGTAAGTCAATAGGTATGTGAGGTTTCGATCTGTCTGAACTACTCTCATTTGGACAACCACACTAGACAGAATACTACCACAGTGACTGCAATACATACGTACTTCATTGACTATTTGACCAACTCGCATCTGTCCACTGTATTTTGTAGCACGAACCAAGAGCTTGTGGAGGAAGCCTTCCTTCCAACTCTGCAGACATTGTTTAGTGCTCCTGTGTCATCTCCACTAGCGTCAGTAAACGTCAATAACGTGGCTGAGCTGTTGGTGCAACTGACAAACTCTAAATATTTGGCAAAGCAAGGAAACTCCATTGACAACACTGAGGTATATATGTGATCAGTAAAACACAGTTGAATCAGTATTTGACGATAGACAAGTGTTGCACCGTGTTTATTAATGGTTCAATTTTATCCTCGTATAAAGTGTTATCTTGCTCTGTATATCATGTATGATAAAGAGTTTGAAACAAAGGGAAATAAATTTTAAATCAAGGATTAAATTAAACCACCAAATGTATAACCCATCACGGCTTTCTTTATCTAGCCGATTCGAACCCTCTTCCGCTCAGCCGGTTTTAACAACAGTCGTTCCCGCGGAAATGTCCTTTATGTTTCCTCTAAATATGATTTACAAGCATGGACTATGAAGTAAAAGGGATCCCAAGCCCTACCTTTGGACACGACCCAGTGGCGCTCTCTTCAGAACAGAGCAAAGCTCCCAGTACTAGATACAGATCTTTTTTGAGCCCCTGTGACTTTACACTCTGTAGTCTAGCACCTTACTAATTGACCTATTAAACAATATTACTAAATAAGGTGCCATTTTGTCCTCTTATACTAATTGAGAATGTCTTCTTACAGGTGTCTAGCATTCACGTATCGCTGAGTCTAGCAGTGGCCAATGAGATCTTATCTGCTCCCGATGCACCTGGTGTACGGGTGCTCTGCAAGATCCTCACGATGATGGACCTTACTGGCTGCGCACAGTCAACCATCAAGGAAATGAAAATTCTAACTGCAAGAATGATTGAGGTACCTGTGATGCTATGCATACGTTTTCTTTTTGAATCATCGCCATCGTCATTGCACAGGCCCATACCCTACGCAAAATGTACAGGGTTCGCCAGATTTACCGTAACCTTTTTTTGTTTTGGTCCATTTAAAAATGCTGTTTGTGGGAGTTTCGTCACAACTCCGAGCACAACGCAAAAAAAGACAATGCCTTGCATTTTGTAAATAAAATCACAATTTTCAGAAGAAGTTTTAAACTAGCTATTACTTGTAAAATACTCCTTTTAAATGTTGAAAATTAGATCATCTCCCTGAATATGAATGGCTATGTTTCAATGTCACTGACAAGTACAATAACCTAATCCATTTTCTCATGATGATATTTATGATATCAAATACGTTTTCTAGGCTATTGAGGATAATGTGTCTTTGAAAGCACTAAATAAATTTCAGAAGTTGCTGCTGGTTCTGACAGACTCCGAAAACGGTAAGATAAGAAGTCACATTTAAACTTGTCTCAGCTACGGGGAGGTAAAAAGTAGTTCATGTTGACACATCTTTGTACAAGTGAGATAACAATACATATTTATACCGTTTCTGCGCCCGTTTCTGTAATGCGAGAACCTCCAATCTTTTGCTGTTTTTTCTGAAATATAATTGATATTCCTTTTTAGTCATCAATCGCTCCTCAGTGTCAATTCGTGTTAATCGCAAGCGTGTTTAGATCGCTTGTCTTTTGAAGATTCATCATGCGTCTGGGTTAGTTCAGCAATTTGGCCATCGAGTGTTGTTGCTTTGCCAGATATGTTAATCATAAACAATGTACCGTAAAATTCCGAAAATAAGCCCCTCCATGTATAGCCCCTCCAAATATAAGCCCCCCAAACTCGTAACGCAAAAAACCCTCCGGTAAATCGCCCCTCCAAATATAAGCCCCCCGGGGGCTTGTACTTGGAAATTGCCCTCAAATACAAAATAAAACAAGGTAAAAACAGTAAATTCCCTTCCAACTATAAGGCTACCCCAATCAATTTTGAAACGCAAATTTCCCTCCACAGATAAGCCCCTCCAAAAATAAGCCCCTCAAAAAGGGCCTTTGAAAAATATAAGCGCTGGGGCTTATTTTCGGAATTTTACGGTATTTGATTTAAACCGTTTGATACTCTTAAAGAAGGCGGAGATGCCTCGCAGACAGAACCTGAGGAGGTTACGGCTCAAGGACATGCCCAGGAAACAGAAGGTTCCTATGAGACTAGAGGAGATGAAACAGTCGTACCTAATACGGAATCCACCGAGATATTCCAGGGGACTGATTGTCCTTCTGAAGATGGGGCGCCCACAGAAAGGCTGCAATGTCACACAGAAGAGACAGATGCGCCACTTAGTGGTGAGTGAGCTTGTATTGATTTGAAGTATTAAAGTAGTGTAGTGTGCCTCCATTTGACCCCATTTGAAGAGACGCCAATTTCGTCTTGTGTTCAGGGGCCTGTTACTCGAAAGTTCCGGTAACTTTTCGGGCCTGGAAAGCTGTTTGGTGTTTGTTGTGTTTGCATTCAAGAGCAAAGTTTCAAAAATTCACAAAATAATACAATGAAACTATCAGTTGACGAAGCAAAATTGACTGGTTTGTGGGCCAGGAACTATGCTACTATTCAAGTAGTTTGGATTTTAAAATTTGCCTTCGGACCCGGAAAGTTAACGGGCCTTTCGAGAAACGGGCCCCAGTTCCTGTGAGAATAGCCTTCCGTTGTGTAAAAATATGACTCTAATGGAGGGTTTTTTAGTTGAACAGCGATGCTTAGGTATTGTATTTATACGCCATTTGTGTGGCTAGGTATGCTCACGTTTCGTGTCAACCAAACAACAGTTAAGGCAAGGCCTACTGAGTCTTGTAGGAATACGTTTTTCCTTACTGATTGCCACCTTGATGACTTACATTGAGTTCTGGATTGTGTTTGCTTTTCTTGTAATGGGCAGGTCATGTCCTGTACTTCTCTCGGGCCGTAATTTGTGTCATGCGCGATCCTCCTTTCTGATTTTAGGATAAAAATAATTTCATTTTCTTAATGCATCAGTACATGGACTTAAAAAGTTTTTTTTTCTGTTCTTAGTTTCAGAGAATACATGTGAGGTCCCACACAATGACAAAACTCAAACTGAAAATAGACCACCAAAATCTAAAACTAGAACAAAGAGCAAGAAAAAAACAACAAAATCAACCGCTGAGGTGAACCAACTAAGGTAAGATGGGTTGGACAGGTATAAATATTGCTGCATCTCAATTGTAACATGCTATTTTGTTCATTAGAGGTTAAAAATCATGTGTTCTTCGTGGTAAAGGTATAGCAAGCCCCGGCACTTCTCTTTCTCGTGCTTCACACTTGGTTTTTGCGCCTGCACACATTTTAATTTACGAGGACAAGCCTAATCTGAAGTTACCTGGGAGCTATTTCAGCCTTTTTTCATTGCGTTTTGATTTTTGTTTTCCAGTCCCTCCCGTGTGATGAGCGAAGACACGCTAGCAAGACGAACAAGATCTACCAGGTACATTAAAAGAGTGCTTCAGATGATCAGTTTCAGGCCTGGCAATAATTTTTCTTATTAGGAAGGACATATTGCTGATCATGTCACCGTTTTAGCTGTACAAACCACAAGAGCTGTTGAAAATACAGTCGACTCTCTCTTAGCGAACACTTTTATAAAGACGGCTACCTAAAATCGGTCCCTGGCTTTCTTTACTCCCTTCATTTGACCTCTCTGTGAGACGGAAGTTACTCTTCGACAGCGGTTCTAAAGGTGTTCGTCTTAAAGTTAACTTTACACTGGTTTGACTTTAAAAATTTCTTTGTTTACTATGCGAATCTTCAGCCACAAAATGCTGACATGTCCGGTTTCATGTGGGATTTCGTCGGACAAGAGCAGATTCGATTCCGATGGCCGACTGTTATTTGCAGCTCTACATTTATTTACTATTTAAGATACATTTATTTGTAGTTAAGTTATCGGTTCACACGCGTGTCCTTTTTGAATTTTTGACGCATGCAAACTCAAGCGTTCACAGCTTCTGCAGTGAAATTACATTTTTATGGTCACACCATGATAGGCATATTGTCGCTCGGAGGCGCAAAGGTATTATCCCGTAAAATGTGATGAGAGTGACGCACTCTAGTACACACGCACTTGGCCCTCTTTCTTCGGGCTTATCACTCTGCTTTAAAGCGCCCAACATTTCTCTTTTGTAAACGTTTCCCATACGCTCGCTCGCTAAACGCTAGTGCCCATGGGCGCTTTCCATTCAACCCAGAATTCCGGAAATTTCGGTTGGTGCATCTAATGGAACGGACCATTTCGGTTTGGTCCGACCGGAATATTCGGGACCAGCTTTGAAGGTGGTCCACTTTGACCGGACCGGTTATCTCAGTCGGTCGGACCGAAATGCCGTCGCTTCTCTCCCTCCGGAATGTACCGTTCCATTAGGCACGTGGAATTTCCGAAATTGTGTTGAATAGAAAGCGCCCCATGTCTTTGGAAGTGAAATTCGCGAGGAAGTTTTTTTTTTCGACGATTTACTACGAAATGTTTTAGCGCAACACAATTGTGCACGCGTGATCCGTTGTAAACGGACGTGTTACACGGGACGTTTTTTGGCGCAACAAAGGAACCGAAAAGGGTACACAAAAGGCGTCGCGCAGAAAATTGACAACACGTATGTTACACGAAACACGGAGTTCGTAACTTGTCGTCGCAAGTTTTAGAGCCTCTTCAAAAACTTGCAACGCGAAAATTGTGCAGAAAATTGTAAGCGCATTCGGCAATAAATTTTGACGCAACATCGTCGCGCTAAAAATCATCGTTGCGAATCGTCGTGTGTATCATCACTTAAGACAGATCAAATCACTGACAGAACTTTTTATCCACAGGAAAAGCAAGAAGGATGCTGGCAAAAAGTTAGCTACCTCCGCGATAAATTCAGATGAAGACAACAGTGAAAAGGAAAATGTTTGCAACGATTCCGATGATGTTTTTGCCTGAATCAGCTGTTAGTGGCATCTAGATTTACGAACTATCCATTAGTATGTTTTAATTTGAAAACTTTAACTCATGTAGATTGATTTTTTGATTCAACTGACAGTTGCAGGGTTAACATGTGTTCACTAACTTACACACAAATTCGTCTTTTACATAGATTTTCTTCTGAGATTTCGGTTTGTGGAATGTTTTGCCACATCAAAGTCCTCTGCTAAAGGATGTAAATAAACAAAGTGAAATGAGAAAGTCCTGCTCAGATTCTCGGCTTGTCTTAATCCGAACGTGAAGGTTGTCCAACCGAAAAACAGCCGGCCCCACCCATATTTTAACGCAACACTGTTATAGCAAAAACCTTTCGGGATCAATTTAGGTTTCGAGGAAACTGCCCACCTACCCCTCGCTAACTCAACGTCAACATTTGGGTCTCAGTTGGGGCAAAATGTTGGGTTAGGGGAGGGGTAGGTGGGCAGTTTCCCTGAAACCTAAATTGATCCGTTTCGGAATGTAAATCTTCCTGTACACTCGATATGAGAGGACAACTCTGCTGTGTAGTGTCGTCCGTTTTCCTTAAAGTAGTTTTTCTTTCAAATCAGCCAGATTTCCTCATTTTTGTTTATTTGAATTGCCATTAATGAACCCAGATTTCAGTTAAGTGTTTTGATGAGTTGGTAATAATGTAAGAGAGTATCTTACGTCTTGATAGTTGTCAAGGATAATTTGTTTTAGACAAGTTCGTTTGTTCAGAGACCTTGACTCCCATTTTCTCTTCATTGTCGAGCGCGCATGCGCCAGCTTAAGGGGGTGAGAAGAGGGTAGGTCCTCCAAAGAGTCTAGAGGACTGACTATATATAGGCAAGTACTCTTGGCTGGATCATGTGATGCATGATGCGTTCGTTTTTGCCAATGGTGTTCAGCTTCATTGAACCCAGGAATGTTTAACTATTTTCTGCTTTCTGTTTTCTTTTAATTTCGACGAGTAAAAAGCAGACGCAATAGACTATAGAGCTTTTTCACTCACGTGGCCAGCAGCTAATACTATGCTAATTTATGAGCAAACGAGAAGAGATCAAGGCGCACTAGCCTACGTGGCCGGCGTTGAAAGGAGAAGGGAAAGGAGGAATTTGGGCGCGCGCGAGGGAGAGTTCCCCTCCTCCCTCGCGCGTGGTCTGGCGCCCTAATTCCCTTCCCCCACCCTTTCGAACGCCTGCCACGCAGGCCAAAGGCGCACAGGACTGGTTCGGGACACCAAAAACTTAAGGAGCGGATCCAGGATTTTGATTGGATCCCTGGGGAGGGGTTCACTTCAGATGTAAAGCTTGTATCCTGAGTTGAATATCAAGAGGGGAGGTGCGAGGGAACCCCAAGGAAACCCCCTGAATCCACCCCTCTATGATTTGACTCAATGCTTGAAGGCACAATAATCCACAACGTTTTTGCAGTCCAAGTTTATTTACACTGGTTGTGCATAATGTACAATTCGGCAAAATATAAACTGGTCAAAAAAAGATAATAAAATACACCTTTCAATACTACCGTAGAGTTTGGCACAAAATGTTGCCGCTATTAATTTTGTAAATGGATATTTTACATTCCCGGGTAAAAATTCAAAACTTTACCATCTACTAAGTTTGGCGTGCATGTAGCTGATACAATAAATGTAACTGCTTCTTGAAGAAAATCTACAGCAATTTTATCGATTTTATTCTTCCTACACAGTTTTATACTATTGTGCTAACAACCGCTTGCCATTGGGCAAATTCTGTTACACAAATGGAGACAACCTGAACAGGGATGTCACTAAGATTTCAAGTTTCTGGGTATAATTATGCAATAACAAGACGGCAAAATAATTTATTGAAAAGCTACCTGTAGGAAGTTCTTTATGTTCTATTTAATTTTCCTTTTGTTTCCTCTCAAAGTAGCTGGGGATCGTGCTCATAATAACCAGGAGAAATCCTAGTGGCAGCCCCGCCTCAAGGTACATTGTATTTAATCCATCCCCATTCAATTCATCTAAACCACTAGAAATCCCATTGACCCCAGGGGACACCCTCTCTATAGAAACAAAGGGGTTGCTTGTTTAACAGAAGATTTTGTAAAACCCTCCAAAAAGTTCCAGAATCTCATTTTCTAGGTGAAACTCAAATGTATTTTTGCATCCCAGAGATTCTTGAATGACTATTAAATTTCACATATATTTACCGGGTAGGAGAAAAAGGCAGTTAAATAGCAAATGAGGCCATGCTATAGGGTAAAATTCTGACAAGCGACAGGACTTTGGAAGAGCAACATACTGGTAAGTCAGATTAGATGGTAACAAATAACATCAAGATGGGTTGAAATTGGGACAGCAACAAAAGCAAGTACAAAATACAAAAGTAAAATGCTGAAAAGGACATGGCTTCCTCTTCAACATGCAAAATGATGGGTTTTGAAATTCAGACTAGGGACATACCAGGGGCACCCAATGAGAATATAGTTCAAAACCACTTACATATAGCATTGTTGAACGTATTTTAGCATTTAAACAGTAGATATAGGCATATTTTTGTCCCCTAAAAATTTTTCATCTGTTCAGATTTCCTTGCTGAAAGTCTAGTGATCCGAAAATTATAATGATCGAAACTTACCTTTTCGAAAATTTCAGCCAGAAAGAAGGCTCCCGAGAATTCTAGGTGACCTTCTTAGGGTAAAAATCCCTTTAAAATGGGCAATTATACCATTTTTTAGATGTTTGAAAATCCTAGGAGAGGCAGGCAAGCAAGAAATTTTACAACAAATGTTCCTAAAATTCTAGATCTCCAATCATCTTCCAAACAGATATTTTCCAAAAATTGCCATTGGGTACCCTCTGACATACCTCCCCCTCTATTGGGGCCTCACAATTGATTAGTTTTCATCACTTTTAGGCATAGTAGCCAACACTAGCTCTTAATGGTGGTCATTCTAGATTAGCACCAAAGCAGTACCAAAGCAAAAATGGTGTTTGGACAGTTTTGCAGTTTGGGCAAATAGCTGAAAACCAGAGTTTTATAGCAATACTCCTTTGACCACTTATCAGTAGACAAAACTAGCAAACCTGAGATTAGGAGGAAAGTGAAATCTGTTTCACCTTTCCTGCTGAATTATATTTGCCAAGTTAAACAATAATATAGACTCTGATCTCAGCTCAGTTAAAATAAGAAGTAATGAATCCTGAATTCACTTCACAGGATGTTCTTGATAAAATAACCCCACAAATCTAAAAGAAAATGCCACTGATGGCCTCAAACTAATACAGAATTTTTTCCAGTGGACATTAACAATTTGCCTCATTTGAACCATGTGGAATAACAGGAAGTGAACGGCCTTGTTTGTTCCTTTGGCTTCGTCTGGGTTGAACCCTTGTACTGGCAGCACGCTGAAGTAGTAAAAAGTAAACAAGAAAGCAAGTGAGAAGCTAACATGAGGCCTACACAATCTTCCGCTGGGTCCTCCTTTGTGCTCTTGTCTGTAATAGAAAATTGATAATAATGTTACAATTAAGAGTTAGTCTTGATGGGAAAACTGCCATGGTTTACAGTTCATTGCTAGCCAGTGGGACAGGCACATGAAAAACATGGAATGCAAAAATATAGTAATGCCTGCAGCAGAAGAATAATAATATTAGGTGTGTAAGCCGAGAAGGATCTCTAACTCCTGTCAATGTCTTCCTCTCTCCCATGCATAGCTTATGTATGGTATCTTGTGCCTCAAATTTCTTATGCACCAGTTATAAACACAGAGTTAACATGTAGTGCACACCCGATTATAGCCACTCAAAAATATACATCATATTATATCTAGGCCACATGTTAAAGTGAGAGGGAGTTAGAAGTGAATGAAAAATGGCCTGGTACGAAAACAATTCACCTTCCTCTCAAAGCTTTGCACTAGTAACATGTTTTTTAAAACATATGGGGTAAGTTTCCTAAATGTTATGATAATTATAAATGTTTACATTCATGTATGAGCTGAACCTAATTTGATCTTTTATCAAACATTTTTTTGTCTGATTCATACACCATTCACAGAACCTCACACTGCACAAGAGTAACATTTAGGACCTTTAGGATAGTCCTTCTTAAAAGAAGGACTGTCATGTCCATAACAAAGTCTGTGCTCAAAACGCAAAGCTTTACAGTAAGGAGGATTAACATAAAACATACTGTGTGAGATTTGGCTTAAAAAGTTTAATTTTCTCGCTATTAAAGTAGGATTGTTGATGATAACTAACTAGGCTCTGCTCTTAATCCATAGCTTTAGGGTGTTCATGCCAGTTATCCAAGTTACGACAACAGACAGTCACCAAGGGCTGCTCAGCGGCACTGACTTCATTCAGTGATTAACTTAATTGCCTGAACAATGTTTCATGTAATGACCTGTAGTGTAGCGATGTCACCTCCCCCTCCCCCCACCCCTCAATGTCTGTAGTGTAATAGTGGTGAGATGAAATATGAGCATCATCACCTACCTCATAAGTCCTAACATCTCCAGGGTTGTAAGAATGTGCTGATGACTGTTGAAAACAAATAGTTTAGATTAATTACTGAGTTACTTGTAAAATTTAACAGAAGAGAAACAAAGAGCACTATTTACCAGGAATCAAGTAAATTTTCACTTTATCAAGGATAAGTAGCTGTTAATAGATCTTTCCTGCATTCCTGTAAACAAAGGCACTGACCATTTCTAGGAGCCCTGAAGTGGACAAAATTATACAGTGATTTGTATCAAATTCTTTACGCTTGCTTACTGGAGCGAAATGCAGGAAAGGTCTGTTAAAAAAAGGTTAAAACTAAAAAATTAATATTAACAGCAAGTAAAAATAAATGAATGATAATTAAATTAAAAACAAAATTCACCTCAAAGGGATCATATCCTGGCCCATGAACTTTTGCACGGTGTGAGGGTCTCTGAATGGTGTATGAATCAGACAAGAAATGTTGATAAAAGATCAAATTAGGTTCAACTTATACATAAATTCGAACATCCATAATCATGATAACATTTAGGAAACTTACCCCATATGAGCGTGGCAAGGTGAGTGACTGGTAGTTACTTGATCCTCGTGCCCGCTTGGTTGTTTGAGTTTTAGTCTCTTTTGGATGTTCTCTTAATTCTTCATTCAGCTTTGCACTAAGACAACAATAACATTTGTCAACTTGTGAAAATTAATAATGATACTGCTTAAAGAGATGACTGTAACAATAGTTTTTACCCCAGAACAAGGACTTTCCTCGTCTAACAATTTTGAAAAAATTGTACTGTAACAGTAATTCATTAATGTGTGCAAAAAGTTAAGTGCTAAGTTCATTCAAAATTTTAGCACAGTGCAGAGCATACATGTTCACCTTATAGAGAGTCTATGTGACTGAAAAATGGCTGAGGGCCCGACTTTAGGAGCCCATGAGTTTTTAAGGAATTGCCTGAGTGTATAATGGCCGTTTCCATTAACATAAGGGGACAGTTTACCTGGATCCTACTGCAAGAATTAAATGACTATTAAGCAGAAAAGTGTACCTCTCCACATCAGGATTTACAGACTCTTCTTCTTCCTCTTCTTCTCTTTCTTCTATCAGGCTGTATTCTTCAGATTCGTCAATTGGCATGTAGTCATTGTCTGTGGTATTCATTCCACCATACCATGATTTGGCTTTGTGAAGTCTTGCACCTCTTTTATTGTCAGTGGCATCTGTACCATAGTGGCGCAATTTCTCCGCCAGAACAGTCTGGCCCTAGATTGACATGGAAATTTCATTCAATGCATGTTAATAAATTTAGACTACCCACAATGTGAGGGTTACCTAAAAGGTTCCTTTATGTTACCCTAGAAACATACTTGATCAAAGTCACAAAAAGCATTTTATGGAGACAAATTAATGAAGAAATCAAAGCCCGCCCTGTGAACAAAAGACACATTTTTTTGATCTACTGACAGTAGCAAAGCAAAAGCAAAAGAATATGATTACCGTGGCAGCAGTCTTTATCATGGTGTCTGCAGCTATGGATAGGCTATTTTTGCTGACCCTTAGGACGGTGTCATACCCACTTTCTTTTAGCTGCTCAATATAGCTGTCAATATCCTGTGAATTGCACAGAAATTCAAAGGTTGAGCAAAGAGAAGAATGAGCTCAATTCAGTCAAGGACACTGGAGATAAAGGTAAAAAACCATGTAACATTGACCTCAAAATTTCCATGAAAATCTTGTTCCACTACTCGCCTACCTTTCCTTTCTTCTAATTCTAAGATCCTAAACCCTTTCCTAAAAAAATTTCCCACCAAAATGAAGCCTACTAAATGCCCAGCAAAAGAACAAAAATGAAGCAAGAAAAGCGAAAAAAAAGAGAGGAGGAGAGCAGGTCGAAAGTAAACGTGAAGACTGCTGTGTCACTTTTAAATCCAAAAACTACTCGAAATTTTGCTTTCTGAGCATGCCCAAACTTCGCAAGCTAATTTTTTGCATCTGGATCAGAAGGCCGCGAAGTGTACGACCTGTAAATAGCTTTATGGTAAGTTTTAGCTCTTTTTAGCACAACAGTGACCACAAAAACAACTCGACTAGCTTCAAAACACGTTTTTCAGCAAAATTTCCGGGGCCAATGGGTACATTTGCAAAATAAGTACTTCAGCTAAAAAAAGGAATTTTTGATTGGAAAAAAAAACATGCAGAACAATGTCACTCTATATTAAACATTGACCAAAGTCAAAAAAGACAATAAATCACTGTTAAAAATATTATAATAATCTTATCTCATATTACAATATTCTTATCTCAAATTTGTACCTTCTCATTCTTTGACAGCCATGGATGGACAAATTTGCGGTACAAAATGCTTGATCCCTAAAGTAAAAATTAAGGTAAAGATTTGTTAAAAAGACAGGCGATTTTTTCTCATACTCTGATAAGCGTAGTATATGTAGTAAACACAGAGATGAGAACATTTTGATGGTCACTTTGAAGAGGTTAAAAACAATAAAAAATTCTAAAACTGTCATGATAAAAAGTGGGCCATTAGACCTTTTTACCAATACAGAGGCCATACTGAATTAATTGAATTTAAGGAGTATTATAGGATGCCCAGGGGGCATGAGCACATTTCGTTTGTATTTTCGAGCGCTTTTCAGGACATTTTTTCCTACAGTTTTCTTAGAATAAGATTGTAATGGGAAAAAAGACCCTTGTGCCGTGTTTGGATGGTAATGATCGCCTTTTTCCAGTTTAGTATTAGAAATATGGTCTTTCACTGTATATTTCTCGGGAAAAAGGCGATCATTATTACATCCAAACATGGCACAAGGATCTTTTTTCCCATTAGAATCTTATTCTAAGAAAACTTTAAGAAAAAATGTCCCGAAAAGCGCTCAAAAATACAAACGAAATGTGCTCATGCCCCCTGGGCATCCTATAAAACTCCTTAAATTGAATTAATTCAATATGGCCGCCACATTGGTAAAAAGGTTTATTGATTGCTTACAAGTAGTCGCCATTTACTGGAGGTTTCAACTATAAGGATCTGACTGGGAAAATATTTGGTGTTTTGGATAGGTGGTTGCTTATGAGAGGTGGTCAAACAGGGAGGTTCGACTGTAGTTATGTCAAAGAGTTATGCAATATGATTTGAATCAAACGAAAGCATATAGTAGAGATAAGTACCTACTTGAGACAAAAAATAACAAAAACAGGGAAAGAGACGTTTTAATTAGCCTGCAAGATTACACACTTTTCCCAGCACATGTTCCTGCATGATGGATCAAATCTTATACCTTTCATAATTCAAGAAATTATCAAAACAAATTTGATTACCTTTGTTGCTGGCAACAAAAGCCAAAGCATGAATATTATCTTGAGTTCATAATAAAAAGGAAACCTGAAAGTGATACGAATAATATTATCAAGCCTAAGAATGAACCCTTCAAAAAAATCAAAACAAAATTCTAGCAATAAACTCTAAGGTGTATTTAGTAACCAGCACAAAAATTAATAAAAACATAAAGTACATATTAAAAAGCAATAGATATTACTTTGTCTGCAGAGAATTAGGGAAAACATTTAACCGAAAGTGTTCTACAAGTTGCAGTGATCCAAAAATCTGCTTTCTTTGGATGAGTCAGCCTGTCAGCTTTATTTCAGACCACGCTTAAACCGTGGAAAAGTAGACTCTGTTTGAAGGGAACACTACATGAACCATATACATTGTAGGGATCGATCCAACAAGTTAAATCCAATCACTACTGTACAGAAGATGATTTTTATAATATAACCAGTTTAGGATGTAGAATTTCATGGCAGTTTTTCGGAAAGCCCTGCCCTGTCAAAGTATTATTTAAAACTTGTGAACTCACCAAAATGCTAGTAGAAGGTCAGCAAAGAGTTCTACAGTAATAAAAAGGGCAAAAACTATCCAGTACATCATCCATCTAACCTGGAAATAAAAAGAAACAAAATATTTAAGTTCAAAAAGTCCATCAAATGAATGTTAACCACTTCATCCTGCATGGGTATAATTAAATGGCTCTTACTTACTCCTCTTACTCTTAAAATCAGACAATATTTTTATGGTCACTATACATGGAGTAGATTTCATAAATCACTTAGAATGCAGTTAGACAAGTTACTCAGTGTCCTGCAGCCCAGTGTTAGCAGAACAGCCATAGAGCTAGTGCATTATCATCACAATTTGCCTGTGGGCAAGAATAGTTTGTTAACCATTCTAGTATATATCTATAGCAGCTACCAAAACCATTTCGGGTTCTTGAAGCCCCAGGGCCCAGTCGTTCGAAAGCTGATTAGCACTAACCTGAGGTTAAATTATTTTATTGTAATCTGCGGCTTTCTTTTTCTTTTATTGAAAAGCGTTTTCTCAGGTAATTTTCTCCATACTTCTAAGATCATCCAATCATCATATTGTAGACACAAAGAATAAACTGAAGTTGCTTTTTTTCCTTTTCAAATGTGAATTTAATTATTGTGAATTTATTTGTTAGCATCACTGAATGTGATTGGCTAAGGCTGCAATAATTATTAGCAACCATTTTTGGGTCACTAACATTGGCATGCTGTGAACGAGAGAAATCCTTTACATGTGACAAGAAAACTGCGTGTCCAGGAAGGACCTTGTCAAAGTCTAGCGGTGAATGGGCCAACTAAGCTTAACTAATTCCTTGCATATCAAAGGTTGCACATGCATTCAGTGTGCGGGTCGTAGCGGACTGCGAACTTGGGTGGCCCATATATACACTCTATAAAAATCAACATTCCCACTACAGTCTGCCTTGACATCATCAAGTCTGATATCATGGAACATTTTGTGTTCCTAAAGCAACTTTCGACTTCTGGCGCACTATCATGAAGGGCTTTTTAAAGCCAGGGCACTGGATTTGAAATCATGTTAACCAAAAGGAGATTAAGTATATCTCAGATTCCAATATTAGAGCCGCTGTTGACACCCCCTACACAATTTACTCTGTTGGCGCTCCCGCCCTCCCATCCCAGACATTTTACCAGCCTCGCTCCTCCTCCTTAGCGAAGTTCAGCAATACACATATTTCTAGTTAGAAAATTATTTGCAAAAAATTAATAAAACACACAAGAGTCTGGTCAGCAGGTAGCATTAGTTTATCTAGGCAGAACAGTCACTTCTCTTATCTTCACTTTAAACTTTTAATTCTGAGTTACCTAGACATCACGTCTTTTAGTACATAGTAATATATTAACATGTAGACCCAGCAAACATGTACACCTTTGCTTGAATTAGTATTTTATATCTCATAATATTGAAAACTAGAAAAATGAAGACCATTTTAAGGTAAGTGACTCAGATAAAATTTCAGTGACACTTGCTATTTGCAAGCAATAAAACTTGTTCTCTTAGAACACAATTTTGCATACACACATTTTCTCTTTTTTTTGCTTTGTTTCCACAGCAAACATTAATTTACCTCCTAGTCTAAATTAAAAGCAATGTTTCAAAATCACTCAAGCAGCAAATACAGTGGTCAAAGGGCTGAAGTTTTGGTTTCTTCAAGCAGTAAAAGGGTCTCAAGAGCATAGAACACGCATTAGAGTAGAAACCAACAGACTAGCTGTAATGTTCAGAAAACTTTTGTTACAAAACATTATGCAAATATAACTTTGTTATGTTTAAAGTTATCATCCGGACTAGAGATGTCATGCTACGAATATCTCAGCTAATTTATTCAAACCCTTGACCAAAATCTGTTTTGGATCGCATCATAATAGATGAAGGTTAGCTAAGCAGCTAACAGGTAGATAAATGCTGGCTACAATTAATTGCACAAGTACACACAAAAACACTGTTAATCCTTTATGTACACAGCCAGAAAAGGATGAGACTAAGGAATTTGAATCCTCTATCAATATTGCTGTTTGCAAGTCATAATGATGTTCAGAAGATCAGTAAGAACCTAGAAAAAACCTGTTAGTTCTTGACTATTCTATACTTTGTAAATGTTATGGTGTGGAAGGCTTTTTATTTTATTTGGTGGATGAAAAATATTCCTTTGGTAGGGAAGTTAATTGAAGCAAAAAAGGGCAAAGTCTGTGATATGCAAATTCTTGTACAAACAAACATAATGCACTGTTAGATGATTCCATGTTGCACCATGGCTTCCAAATTATGCAGCTTGCCCACGTAGATATAAAAATTTTTCAGAGCTAAAATCTGCAACAAATATGAAACCTCCTGGCCATAATTTTCGACAACACAAACAGCATGTTTTAGAATAAATAAGGTAACGACAGCCTTCAATTAACACATTATGGCACAAACTTGTAACTGGAAAATAATAAATTGAAATTGCCTAAGATGAAAGGTACAACTAATTGAGTAAAGTGTCTGTTACAGCTGGAAATTGATTATTTTTATTAGCCTTGCATCTGTTGATGTTTAGGCAAAAAAAAACTGAGACCTCTAACTCAAAAAAAGTTCAGTTTTAGCCTAACAGGAAAACAGGCTTTGATAATAAAAATATTTGCACGTACGTTGGAGCGTGTAAAAGAAAATATAATTTGAATATCCCGTTAACTTACTTACGAAAAAGGAAAACCTGGCTGTCGAACTCCATCATCCTCCTTGATTAAAGATACAGTTAACGCATAACAAATTTCGACAGATTTAAAGATTTCTGCATGAATAAGCTTAGACTTGCATTGAACTCGGTCAGTGAACCCTAATTTATAAACATGTTCACAGAGCTCGCAATACGAACAGATTTAAAACATGCGAATGAAAAAGGTACATGTAGAAGCGAGGTCGAGTTGGCAGGATCGTTGTATCTGAAGATATACTTACGTATTAAGAAAAAAGGCGATTTTCAGCTGCTAGATTAGTAACTCAGTTAACAAGCTAGAGTGAAAACACAAGTGTACTTTCCAGCCTGTTTTGCTGGTTTCATATCAACCATCAACACTTGAACTATTACCGAACGCCACTCAATCTTGAGCTGAGATGCAAATTAAGACTGACGAAAAAACATTCTCCTAAACTTAAATCTTGTGTTCTCAGTAGCTTTTCAAAAATTGAACAGAAAATACTTGGATAGATCTCAAGCCAAGAAACATATCAAACAAAAAGATTTTATCGATCGAACGATATTCCATCCAAATCTCGGAGGAAAAGAAAGAAAACACTTACGTATTCTCGGACATTCTTCGTCTTCATAGCCTTGTACGATGAATAAGCGGGATACAGGGTTCCAAAAACGAGCCTGTAAGAAACGAACGAAACAAAATTGTCATTTATTTTGAAGGGAAATAATATCGAAATTGCCGCGCCAGTATACTCACATGATAACTCGCGATACCACGTACGAAACCATTTTTTTTTTGCTACAAAACACTCGACGTGACTGTTGTTTGTTAATACTCAGCTTGGTTTACATCATATTACTTGTTTTAAACTTATCCACCGCAATCCGCAGAATGGACAATTTGGGTGCAGTTCCTGCGCTGCGATGCTTTCTTTTCCTTCCGTTGATTGTTGTTTCTGAACTGCAACTGCAATTTTGTTGGTCAGCAGTTTCTAAATGAAGCTATGACGTCAGAGCATTTGGCCTCCCTATTGTCTTATTTGAATACCATTTATTTTCAGTTTTAAGTGGTAATTGGAACTTATTACCTAAAAAAATTGCAAGTGTATGAAAAAGGAATGGTTATCCTAAATTTATTAAGAGTAGGGTGGAAACAAATTAAAGTGCACAGTTTTAATTCAATAAAAAAAGGCAACGTGTTCTCAACCGAAATAAACTTGACGCAAGCAATTTTATTTTTGTTTCCTTTTCATTTTTGTACTTATTTTTTGATGACTTCGCTAAAATTATTGATGCCCAATAAAAATTTTCCACATCGAAGGTGTAAATTCATTTCATCAGCCGCATCCGGTCAGCGGTTATTCGCATACGTGGCAATCTTTCATGTACTGCTATGTTGAAATAAAAAGCAACATGGAGCAAATTGAACGTGTCATTTTGAAAGAATTGTTCAAGTAAAAAACTGTCTATGCCTGCATTTACAAACCAGAGACCAAAGAAGGAGCCAAAAGAAACTCACAAACTAAGATGTTGCATTATTACGTTTTATTTTTGCTGTTCTCAATAGGTAGGTAAAGTTCACTGACTGATCAGGTGACCCAGCTTCTTAACCAACAGTGAGAATTACCTGAAAAAGTTTAAACGGTCGTTAGATTTTTGTTTTGAAAGAAAGGAATTGTTTATTGTCAAAACCCTGAATATGTACATCTGCAAAGAATTCGTCTCAATTGCGTAGCTTGCAAGTTGTTTATTTCTAAAATTATACGCTTATACCGTACCGGTACTGACGGTACTGAACTGCTGGGTCAAAAAATCTACTACTTTCACATTAACCATAATACACCTTGTTTACCCCCAAAAATTTTGCATAAGTATTGTCTTCAAGTTCTCTTGGGAGGATTGTAAATCCCAAGAGTAATCATTGGAAACAATGCTTATGCAAGTGTAATGTGGAAATGTAAAAGTAGCGAATGCAGCTGATCTACTTGTACAGCTATTGCTTTCATAAAAAAAGGTGGCATGATTAAGCTATCTACGTTATTCGGGAACTGATGTATGAATGGCAGTTTTCATATCGTTACATGTAAATCCAGTTTAAATCCTTTTATAGAAAATAAAAAATGGATGTTGTCGCCAGTTCACAGCTTTTGCGGATTTGTTAAGAGAAGTACAGGTACTAAAACAAGCATATACATAGATAATTTGATTGATTGGGTGAGAAGAAAAAAACAAGCTGACATGAGAAATTTGCTCAAAAGATAAAACAATCTCAAAAAGCATCTACTTACACTAGCCTGAATTGTCTCTCCATTTTTCAGTTCTGTTCATAAATCTTCACTTCTTCTAAACTGCTAGGAAAAAACTGAATTTTAAATCTCGTGCTCACTGCACTTTTAAACCTACCCTTCAGGGAATTGAGGGCACATGTTAACATGCGTAACCGATTTAGTTAATAACAATGAACAACAAGATCTCATTGTCTTTTGATATTAGGTTTTGCGGATCCACAATCAGGCCTCATCCTTGTTAACTCTGATGACAGTGCCAAGGAAAGTGATGTTAATGTGGAAGTAACCAAAAATGCTGGATCATCAATTGATGATGAAGATCTTGAGGTGTTCCAACCAACAGCTGAATGGCAAACAATCCAACCAGGTCAAGGAATCCCCCCTGGACTCCATGTGCGCATGAACTTACAAACAGGACAGAAAGAAGCTAAGCTCATGGATGGAGATGATGGTAGTAAATATCAGAGTAACAAGGACTCCAAACAAAAGTTTATCACAATTGACAAGAATGTCATTTCAAAGCAACATCTTAAGGAAGCTTTAAAGGATTTCCGGGACAAATTTCACGATGAAAGTCCTCCTGGAGAGAGCTCTGATCAACTTAATAGCCATATGGATGCAAGTAAGTTTATCGCTTGATGTTACTGTTAATTTGCGTAATTGAAGCCTCTGTACTTTTAGAAAAGGAACTAGATTTGGAAAATCCAGATTTGGGTTACCCTGTCTCCAACAAACAAAGTTAAAGACCCTCTCTTCTTCTTGCTGGAATTTCCTTTAAACACAAGCCAAAATTAATAAATGTCGGTAAAAGACAAAAGCATTTCAAGAAACAACTGAAAAACGATAATTGACTGCTGAATAAGTTGTTCATCTTGTTTATTCAAGCTTAAAGTATTATTATTGACAACAAACTTTTGAAAGTAGAAAATTAACAAAGCAAAATTCAACGAAAGTGATATAACCGAACTCAGACAGCAAAAATGGAAAACAGAGCGACAAGCAGAGCAAAAATATCAAATAAACAGCATAAAGGCAAGATTTTAGTACTTACAGTGTAGGAGCAAGATCACAAGCCACCTGTTTAGCATTGCTTTAGCAGTTTTCCCAGCTGATTTGCTTGATTCTCCCCCTTCAGATATTTTTCGGAATAATGAAATTCACTTTATCTTTGCGAGTAAAATAGGAGCAGGTCATGTTTTAAAGGAAAAAAATGTACGCAATCACAGCTTTTGCTCATTCACTAAAAACAAACAAACAAGTGAAAGAAGCCATTACTGTGACTGTGGGTCGAGATAGGAAAATCTAGACTGCACAAAGAACCAATCAGATTGCAGGATTTGTTACTGTACCTCTTGAAAAAAAATTAATATTATTCAATTATACTTCTGTTCTTGCTTTATAGAAAAGAATTTCAGATCTATTGAAGATATACGAAAGGAGTTAGAAGGAGCAGACATATTTGTCAAAAAAGACATTGAGATAATCAAAAAACATGTTGAGACACTAAACAGCACAAGTTCCAGTCTGCCTGAAAAAGAGCATGCCTTGGATGAACTTGAATTTTATGTGCATCAGATTGACAATGCAATAGACTTGGACACAATTGGTGGTCTTACTCTGGTGATAAAACTTATGAATTCTACAGACCCAAGTTTGGTAAGAAGGGCAACTTATGTACTGGGATCAGCAACACAAAGGTGACTTATCCACTTACAACAATGTCATTATTTTTTATTTTAGTCATAAATGTCATGGTAGGTCCACGTAACAGGGTGAAACAACAACTTTTGACTTTTGGTGCTATTTGCTCCATGCTTTCCTGGCATGGAGGAAGAATGGCCATCTATAATAATTTTATAAAACCCAACACATCCTGCTTTAGGATCACTTGTACCATTAATGATCAATTAAGCATTGATTTCATTTTCCCTTTTAAAGTTGCGGCGGTTAAATACAAGAGCGGCCCTTATTTGAGGGCTGCACTTATTTCAACTACAGGTAAAACACTGAGGGGAATATAGAGAGAATTAAGTGAGGCGTTTACTAGGTATGCACAATTTAATATAAAATACGTACATCTCAAACTGTTATATGATTGAATTCAACCCAGTTTCAAGAGTTTCCTACTTTAGAAATCACAAGTTGGTCGAGGTCTTATTTCTTGAGCGATATGGTTTTGATATCTCTTTATATCAAGCACCATAACAAAGGTGGGGTGTTAATTTGTAAATACCCAACTTAGCGCCGCGTCACTTATGCAAGAGCAGCACTTATTAAATTATTGTCGGTAAAGGTGCAATGCTTGTTCAAGAGCGGCGCTTATTTGAGTAGTGGTGCTTAATCGATCATTTGCAGAAAAATGCCAAAACAGGGTTTTATAAATCCCCCTTCCCCTGTATGCTGGTCAGAATCCCGGGAGGGCGACTCCGCATATGAAAGGGGTGGGGATGCTCGTGGGAAATTTTGAATTAAACCCTTAAAGGAGACTAATCTGGGCAAGGCCCAAACTTTTTTTGACCCCTAAGAGAGACCATGTTAAAACACAGACAAATGAGAAAACTTGGGTTATATGAATGGAGTAAATAAAACAAATTAAAAATATACATATCAAATATATGTTTTGATATCTTTTTGCGTACAACCCTAAACAAGACCCTCAGAGCTAAATATGATGGCATTTTGCCCAGAACACGCTATGTGAGACCAAAATCTGAAATTTACACCCCCTAAGCGAGACGACGAGCATCCGTACCCCGTTCATATGCGGAGTCCACCCCGTAGGGTCATAATCTCTTACCTTCCACATAATACCAGTCATTCTTTTGCTTCCAATAAAAGATGGCTCCAAGGGTATCACATTTCTAGTTAAAAAAAATAAGCTTCTTTAAAGCCCACACAGATGTAAGCCTCTTGTTTTTAAGTTCTTTTTTTATCTACATTGCATCTAATTTGTTTATGTTGTGTCAATCTATTTTTGTCTGAAACAGTAATCCAAATGTGCAACAAGCTGCACTGAAGCAAGGTGCATTACCACTGCTTCTACGCCTTTTGTCCAACCAAGACAACATGGCTGTGAGGAAGAAGGCCATGTATGCACTGTCATCTCTTATTAGACTCTTTCCTATGGCACAAAGAGAGTTTCTTAAGTTAAATGGACTTGAAATTTTTAAGATGTTGTTTGAGGAGACTGGGAGCGGAGCTTTAGCTGTCAAAGCAATCACACTCATGACAGATATTCTTACTGAACAAATTCAACATGTGAAAGCATTGTTAGAGAAACAAGGGAAAGATACTTCTGGTGACATCTCTGGCAGGTACTGAATGTTTTTGTTTGTTTGTTTGTTTATTCTGACACTTAACTCTTGGAAATAACAGGTGTATGATAGATAAACAGCCATTTTGTGGACATGCTACAGCTGCACCACTAAAATCACGTTTATTTCATTTTATTTCATTTATTTACAGTTAATCACCCAAGATTATAGGAAAAGATGGATTTTCCTATTTGCTGTATTTTAAAGCTGCAATTTACACACCAGGAGTAGCTAAAACAAAAACCAAAATTTATAAACTTACCTAAATATAAACTTACACTGTACTGCAAGGATGTTTATTTTATTGCAGGAATGTAATTCCAAGTGATCCTCTAAAACTTAAAGGGAACCTCCACTCTTACTACAGAATAAGTTTAAATCGAATAAAATTATGTTGATAAACAAATTTGTTCGAAATTTGTCTTAAAAAAAGTGTTTATATCAGGAAAAGTGAATTTTAAAATCGCTTATTTTCACTTTCAAATTTCGCGGGCGCGCCATCTTGAATAATTGTGACGTGTTACGGTTGCTCTATTGTTTTGACACAAAGAGCTTTTGTTTAATAACAATAGGGCAACCATTACACGTCACAATTATTCAAGATGGCGACGCCCGCAAAATTTGAAAACAAAAATAGGCTAATCTAAAAGTTATTTCTTTCGGATACAAACGCTTTCTTTAAAAATATTTTAGATTGACTTGACTGTAACAGTTATTTCCTGTGATTTAAAGTTATCTTTTTGTTGAAGTGGAGGTTCCCTTTAAGTTTCAAGTGACACTTTGTTCACATTATTTTATTTTGTTCCCAGGGTCCCTCTTTTGAAAACAATGGCTGAGAAGGGCTGGTGTCAACTTGTACCCAGTCTTCTGCACACCACAGAGAATGACACTAGAGAGAAAGTGTTACAAGCTTTACACGTGATGGTAGAGGGGTGCAAAAGTGAGTTCCAACAGCCTCGAGTACATGATAGTCTGAACAAACTCAAGTTACAGTGGCTTAAGGATGCGAACAGAAAGGAAGGGCATGAAGATCCAGAGTATGTTACCATTTTGGCACAACTTGTAACAGACCTCATAAGCAAGCTTACATGATGAATTTGGCTCGTCAAGCTCGGCCTCGAAACAAGGACAAACTATGTGTGTGGCTTCTGACAATCATGAAGCTGATATAGTAGCCTTGATAAGATCTCTTGGACAAGGGTACAAGCAGTGCTCGGTGAAGGCCACATTTCTTCTTGGCTTGCTACAATGTTGAAAATGCTGGCAATGCAGTTTGAATGAAATTGATAGTGGACCTATCACTTGTTCTTTGCTCAGGAACGTTTCTACAATCAGCATGATCTATGCTCGTGAAACATGCGCATGACTAGTGTGGGAGTTGTACTTTGTGGAAGACAGGCCCATAGTGAATGAGACAGAGTTGTATGAGGTGTAAACTTTTGAACCTCATAATATAAGGAACATTGCACTGGTCATGATATCCTAACTTTTGTCCAAAAAGTAATAAAATAAAAAGTTTAGGTCATTTCCGAGTTGCCATAAGTCTCTGTTTCAAAGCAAGGCTTTAAAGTGCGAAGCTGTTGATATGAAAATGATTTTTTAATTCTCATGCAAATAAAACTCATTTTCACAACAAAGGTTTTGCACTTAACCTCGTTTTGAAAGTGAATTTCTGGAAATCGAAATGGCCTATTACTGTTAACCCAGTAGTTTGTATTTTTGCCCACAAAAAGAATAAAGAATGAATAAAAAGAAAACGGAAAAGCGCGGATGATTCACATCATATTTTTTCTTATTTGCGACCAATTGTTTGAAAGTCCTGGAAACCGGAAAGCAAGCTTATGAATAAGGCGTTTGATGTTAGTCACTCAAATCTTACTATATGAACCAGTCAAGGTGTATCAAGTAAGGGTGAAAGTTACAGGAACAAGTCAACATGCGACGAAAAATAGAATTGACCAAGAGACATGAGCGATTTGGGTTGACGCGGTCAAACGGTATACAAGAGGGAATACGTGGTTCTCTATAGAGTAACATTACATGACCTACCCCGAAAAAAACACGGACTAGGAGTGCTTACCATTTACAGAAATCAAGAAATTCTGGTTGGAACATCAAAGGGCTCGTGCCATTCTGTCTGGGGAGCTTCAGAAAATATGGGCTGTGATTTGAGGGGATTCAATATTTTTCTACTCTTTTAGTCTGTTCAGCTTATTCTGATACTGACATTGCAATGGGTAGTTCTCTCCACCACGTTAAATTTCACAGTTTTATGTTTATGCACAAGATATTCACCCAGGTTGTTTGTATAAATGGTAACCACCCTAGATATAACCTTGTAACCGGCTCCTGGCGCGAACTGGCCTGTGCCAAGCTCATCTCAGATCCCGCGAGTTGACTCCCATATAACAGTGACGAGGATGCTCGTCGGAGAATTAAAATTAAAACCCTAAGGGAGACTAATTTGGGTGTGACTTAAGCTTAAACTGACCCCTAAAAACTAGCCTGTGCACAGGCTCTCTACCTAAAACCAGACATCGTGGCATCTTGCACCTCCCTAAGCGATACCTGAATTAGAAAGTATAGTGACTTTCCGTCTTAATCTTATGAGACCAAAATCTGCAATTTACACGCCTAAGGAAAAATAACCGAAAAATACCACCGGTATGCAGCTGCCCGGCTCCTACCCAGGCCAGTTCGTGCTATCCGAGTTACAAGAGGAGGCTTGGAACCGGGTGCGATAGCGCGAATTTTCGTTACCAAACTCAATATGGATATGGAAAACGAAGACCCACGGAAAACGCTCCATTTTTGAAGGCTTGAGAGCAAATTACATTTTCAGAAATGAAGTTAAAATTTCAAGTCGTTTTTTTTTTATTGTTTTGTGGTCGAAGTTGCTTACCGGGGCCCCAGTTGTTCAAAAGATGTAAAGCGCTATCCACCGGATAAATCGCTATCTACTGGATAGCGCAATTGGTTTCCCTAATACTTATCCACTGAATAGTGATTTATCTGGCCCAGGTTGTTCAAACATTGGATAGCGAGCTATCCATTGGATAAAGCACCATCTCGTGGATACGTTTTAGGGAACTCAATTGCACTATGTACTGGATGGTGATTTATCCGGTGGATAGTACTATCCACCTTTTGAACAACTGGGGCCTGATGGATAACGCTATACACCGGCTAAAAAGTCTTTGTCCAGTGGATAGTGCAATTGGTTTCCCTAATACTTATCCACTAGACAGTGATTTATCTGGTGGATACATGTAGCGCTATCCAAAGTTTGAACAACCCGCGCCAGTTCACGGTGTTTGAGACGTAAAGGTTAATTTTCCTTTCGTTCTCTTGATGAAAATTCAGTCATAGAACTGGCATCATTTCTATGCGAGAATTACTTTGTCAAGCAACGTTCCCTTGGCGTTGCCTTCAGTACATGCCACTTTGCCTCAACGGCTGTTTTATTTTGACCGTTTTCATTCAAGATGACAAATAGCTGAGACAAATCGGCTAGAGTGATTAGGTGGTAACCGGTCATTTCGCCCTGGTAACTTAATTAGCCCCCTAATTATTTCGAGTCATTTAGTGCGCTTCATTAAGCAATAGACGGTTTTACGACGTGATAACCCACTTGGGATGTTGGGAGAACACGATCGAGAACACGAGGTGAAGGCGAGTGATTTACAAGCTTTTCGAGTGTTCTCCCAACATCCCAAGTGGGTTATCACGCCGGTAAACCCACGTAGAAAGTGTGGTCTATTGCTTTTACAAGCTTTTATAAAATAAAGTTTACCGGCACAATAAACCATAGGTTTTTAACTAATCAGAACGCGCGTACTATCTTAGTTATTTTATAAAAAGTAATATTCCGCGTTGTATAAGCCATAAACCAAAACAAGTGCTCGTCAAATATAATATTCCACGTTCTAAAATAGGGGCTAAGAAACCGGGGCGAAATGCCAAAGCTCTGGACAGATCTCAGGTGCACAAGTCGCCCAGTGTGAAAGCGAGACAAACAAAGTTTGGACGATACCAAATTTTAAAATTAGAACAGTAAACTGATCCTTACGGCAGGAAGAGTGATAAAAAAAATAAGACAGAAAAAAAATAACACTGTGAATTATATTGTCCGATATTTCGGCTCGCAACACAAACCTTCTCATATCTGGTTTTGTGCGTCAATTTTTCGGATTTTCGTAGGTCTACTTGTCTGTTAGACTTGTCTGAACCACCAGACGAACAAACAAACAAAACACAGCTTCTTTTTGGAAACTAACATCATATTTTAAAAAATCTAGATAGTTAGATCTGTTATATATTAGATCCGCATTTGTCACTTACTGGTTGAAATTTGATAAAAGGTAAGATAAGAAATTCGTATTAGATCAACAGGATGTTGAATAACTAAGCGACACTTGTTAATATTTAACTTATAATTATAATCCTATGGCTATTATTTTAATGAACAAAAAGCATAAAACGGAAACTAATTTTACGAATATACCTTCTTCTCACCCCTTAAAGCTAAGAGCTTATTTTTAAAGCACTTCTTTTAAATTTTGTACTTGTGGATTTTCTAGGTTCTGCTTCCGTGATGCTTAGACTGCAGAGGCTTTGGGAATTTGAGCCCGCACATCTAAGCGAGAGCTCAGCGCACGCTCTATTGAGAGTCATGCATTTGTGATGGCCGATCGGAGCGTTTAGACATTGCTAGTTGGCGCTTTTGTTGAGGTGTTTGTACTAATATATAAACGCTGGTGCTTCGTCAGGAAGAATCCTTTCATTAATCTACCGCTTTGGCTTTTTGTCATGGAAGTTCATGCGTCTCCAGAAGATTTGCGTGGTTGATGGAGAGCGCAAAACACAATGTACGCTTTCCGTAAGGCTGAGTTGGTTGGAAAGCGCTTTTTGTGTGTCAGGGAGAAAAATTCTCTTCGGCCAAACTCTAGATCTAGCCGTGTGTCCAACCCACTGGGATATCAGTGGAAGGTTGGAGTGATAAGAGCTTGTAGTGAAAAGGATTTTCATCATCCCGAGTTAAAGGTAAGAGTGATCGTTAGTACATTATCAGCTGCTCGAGTTCAAACTTCTCAAGCAGTTGGTGCTTGAATCGCTGACTGGTCATTCAACCTGAAATTAATTCTCTTCCGAAAAGCAGACCTTCTTCACCGAAAGAGAGAGAGAGAGAGAACTGTGTCGCAAGCTCAATGCTTTTAGTTTTGTGGAAGACGCTATTTTTGTCTATATAACTGCGAACGTGTAGCTAAAATTAGGTCGCTGGTGGAATTGTTCGCTTGTTGAAAAACAAAACCCGTCACATACATGCAAGCTTTTTCGAGAAATTCCAACATGTGATAGAACGGTAAAGCATTTGAAAGCAGAGGTACAGAAAAGAAATAGTTTTTAATGGCAAGATTCATGGAGATCTCTCTAGTTTATTTTCTATTCCAAATCTCCCACGGATTCATATTTTCGCTGTCTCAAGTGGTGATTGTACTGTGGTTGTGCGTGATCCATCTTCGAAATGTACATGCAATAAATCCAATACTATAGCTAACACTTTGAAATGTATATGAACAGTATTGAATTGTTTGCTGTTCATTTCTGCTTGGAAATCGTTAGTTTTAAACATGCCTCTGTAAATAACTTCACGCCTAGCGTTTCTTGTTGACTGTTGGGTTATTTGGGGATTCTTCGAGACAAGTTATTAAACAGTTATCTTCCGGAGTTTTGGATATAACGGAGTATTTATCCACAAAATTGTTAGTTCTTGATGTAAAACCGCTTTTACATGTTAAGGATGGAAATTAATGAAGGAAAATTTTTATTCCTAAGCAACAATTTCAGGGAAGAAAAGAATGTTTCAAACATGTTGTGTATAGTTGTAAATTACACAATTTCAGAACTTTAAATTTCTGGAAAATTTTTATACTTATGTCCTTACACAGCAGAAGCTCTTTTACGGTTGCGAGTCACCAATACATGCACATACATGTATAACAAACCCTTGTCAGGGAATGAGAAAGAATATTTAATTGCAGCTCTCAAATTTGCTTGTCCCAGGCAGTTGCATGCTTGTTGTAGTTCACTTTTCTTATGAGTTAATATCATTAGAAGGTGACTTGCCTGGGTGTCACAAAGAGCTGGTTCCTGGCCAATTTTCAGTGACTGAAAAAGAGCTTACCACTACTTGCTCAAACCATGATGTGGGGTTATTTTGAAGGTGCAGTTGAGAAGATGGCTTGACTAATTAAAAAGCCTTCTTAGCTACATATATAACTCCACTATATCCTTGCCAGGGCTCCTACCCATTGGGCAAGTGTCTATGAAAATTTAATTGCCTGGTAAAAATATTCTATTAGTCGCGCGCGATTGGACAGGATGTTTTTCAATCTCTGCGAGCAATAGTAGTTTGTTACCTCTGGGTTTAACCCTTTAAGTCCCAATGGTGACCAACATCAATTTTCTCCTAACAATATCCATACAATGTCAAGAGATTAGGTTATGAGAATTAATTAAATGATCACCAAAGAGAAAATGCTTTGATCTTTTATCAAACTCTCTCAACTTATTCTTCAAAGAAATGTATAGAGATCAGTTTGGAGAATTTGCTCGTGGATATTGGGGCTTAAAGGGTTAAAATGGAATGCATGGAACAGGTTTTGAAATGACACATGCCTGTTACGGCAAGCTTTATTTCCTAGCTGCATGCCACTTATACATGTATCGGGGCTCAACACTGTTCCAAAAGTTTTCGTGATGTTTTATCACTTATCAAAAGAGTCCTTTTGACCATTCTGACCACAGGATTTGTAGAGTCTTGAATTCTTGGAAAAGTCTGGGAAATAGAGATAAAGTCTGAAAAATTGTAAAAAGTCTGGAAAATAACAGATTAACCTAAAGTGATTTATTAGTGAATTTTTTTCCCCTGCCCATTCGATCTTGCTTATAGCCAAGACATTCAATCACAGAATAAGAAGTTTCAGAACTCTCTTATTTCTACATAGCACTGTTGTTACTGTACTGTAGTGGTGCGTCATGAAAAAAGCTTGGTTCCTGGGTTTTTCAAGGTCTCTGTTGATCACCTATTTGGTAACCTTGAGTCTGGAAAAGTAAATTACTGTTTTGGAAGAAAAGGCTGGAAAAAGTCTTAAATTTTGGATCCAAAAATCTGTATGAACCATGACCATTATTGGGTTGCTGTGGTTTGCTATGTAACATCCACTTCCATTTTTTAAGCTAGGCTGCAAGACACTAGTAGAGCTTTTCCACTACCCTACCTAAAACGTTGTTAAGTTCCCTAACTACGTGTATGTTGTGTATATTTATTGTATTGTAATTTGGATAATTATCTTTTTAATGGATGTGTTGTAGGTTCTTGTTGAATATGATAATGAGGACTGGACTACTCGGGAGTGGCTCACCATCTATGATGGAAGCTGGAAGATATTCTTGGTGGAAAAGACAATGGTTTGGAGTCAAAGGCCTGATCCATCCAATCCTAGGAGACCACTGCTTTGGCCTGCTTTGGTAAGAACCATAATTATCCTGCAGACTTGCATTTTTTTAGACAAAAAAGGAGTATCCTACACATTTTTATTGTGCATACTCAGCTTAAATTAACAAATATTAATTTATTGAGTTACATAAAGTATTACTGAAATTAGGGGATCATAATATTATAATAATATAAACATTTATATTGTGCAGTTTTCATGGCAAGATGATCAATTGCAGATTACGGTTTTCATATAATTTTTTTAAAATTAATTCTATAAATTCAGTCACAAAGTGTTGAACAGGTTGCTGATGACAATGATAATCATGATGACGATGATTTTGATGATACTGATGACGATGGCTTTCTATTACAGACGTTTTCCCCTCTTGTTGATAAACACGGATTAAGTGATGAGGATCGACCTGTACCAGTGGAATTTGTTGGAGATCATGAAAGGTAAACTTGATTTGCTTCAGGTGCACGTACAAATTGTATGGAAGCCAGGTAAGTTATGAATACAAAAAAATTCGTAGGGCTTGTCATGTTTCCAGAGCCTTGTTCATCCTTTTATTGATAAATGCGACAGTTTGTAATTGAGTCTTGATTTCGTCTCTTTTTGTTTTCTTTGAAATACACTTTGCTCCCCTTTTTTTATACCTCCCTGGTGTACAGGGTATTTTAGGGACTAGCGACATAATGAATGTTAAACTAGCTGGATCAACAGCGTCTTTTCATCAAATGTGTCTCAAAATAAAATTATTGTCTCAGGCATTATCTGTGCACTTTCATTAATTTTTTGCCTTTTAAATCCAATACTAGTGTTTTAATTGTTTTTCTAATGTTTGCATACGTAGAATGTTTGTGAGAGGTGATGAGTGCCGTCCATATGGCCAGGTAATTCTGAATGCTACTGATGATTACACATTTTTGCTACGTTTTTTTATCTTTAAAAGTTATACAAGCGAGTACCGTATTTATTCGATTAACCGCCCTGGGCGCTTATTAAATTTTTGGACCTTGCGAGTGGGCGCTTATTCGAGGTGGGCGCTTATTCGAGGCTGGGCGCTTATTAAATTTTCACCATTTTCAGCAAGTGAAGTATGTTTATTTTGCAACAAAACAATAAATGCTAATAACAAAACGCGAAGAAGTAACAAAGCAAGGTTTTTGTAAAATACTCTGAAGAAAACTCCGTCCTCGGGAAAGTCTCTTATTAAAATTTATTCACTCAAGTGGGTGGGGTGGGGGTGAGCTCTTATTTGAGTTTGATTGGGAGGAGGAGGGGGTGGGCGCTTATTCGAGGCTGGGCGCTTATTAACTTTTTCTGCCATTAGGATGGGCGCTTATTCGAGGTGGGCGCTAATTCGAGGTTGGGCGCTTATTCGAATAAATACGGTAGTTGATTGCTTTGGTGGTTATCATCTGACAAATTCAACTCGCACATTTTCATCTTGAAACTTTCCTTGTGTCTGCCCCCTCCATGTCACCCCCCCCCTTTCCAGAGGCTCAGAGACCTAGATTGAGGATTTTGCTGGGAATGAGAAAAAGTTTTCTTTGCAAGTGAATTCCCCCTCAAAATGATTTATTTTTGCAAAAGTTATTAGATGTTTCTTGTGTGTATTGAATGCAATGATAAGTATCGGTAAATCTTTCTTACCGGTAATTTAAATCTTTGAGCTGTGTTCTTGATGAGCTTGGGGGCATAGTATTGTTTTCTTTTAATCCCTTCATGTTGTGGTCCTCAACGCCTTGCCCCATTAAAATGTTTCCAGAGAGAAATTCATTTAGGGAATAGACACTGCTGGTTGATACATGAAGTTACAGTAAGTAACAACAAAAATTGTTGCCACCTATCATTATTTTATTGTAGTCCCATTGGAAAAGAATTGAAGAATAGTTTATTTTTCATAGGTAACTACTGCTGTAAGCAAAATAGGGAGTGTTAGCATCGACCAACAGTAAAAATGTCATTTTGAAAATGCATTTGCATTTTTTCAAACGTTGTCGCATTTATTCCAATTCGCTGAAAATGTCAATGCAGGTGAATTTCCCTAGAGTTGATTTTTTGGGGACTGTTCTCAAGTTTAGAAAGAGAAATGAAAATAATTCTTGGTCGCTTGTTTAAGTCCTCCATAAAGCGTCAAATCAGGCATTTCCACGTTGTAGTCGTGCAGTGACAGCAAAGAAATGTACAAAAAACATGAAGCACATGAAAGTTGTTGTTTTGCTTAACAAACCCACTGCACATTTGGAGTTCCTGTTGGCTTCACCGTCGCTGTTGTCGTTGCTAAAGCTCCCTAATACAGATGTCTGTACTTTACATGGACATGTCTTACACTCTGTTAATAGTACTACTTCTATAAAACAATTTTTTTTTTTAAAAAAAGAAAGGTATCTCAGGCATTAATTTGTTGAGGAGAATTCTGCAGTGTAAGCTGAACTGGTTTCAACAGTGTTTTGCAGGAGAAAAGGTTTAGCAGCAAATATGAGCTTGTTTCAAATATTATTGATTTTGCACCAAAGCACAGTGTATTGAACATCAAGATTTCCTTTTTCAAAGATCAAATTTCTAAAATTTTGTCCATTTAAAATATATCCTCTTTTAGGATGATGATGGTCTTCAACCAGCTTTGAGAAATAACCCCAATGTTATGGAGGAACTGCGTGATTGGCAACGAGTTCAGAAATCTCAGTCTATTCTTCTTGATGGTAACCTTCATTGTTACTCTTTAAATTACCATTACGACAATAAAGACCTTTGGATTGGAGGACAAGGATGACTGTGCAGACTAGATTTGACTTAAAATTTTTTCACATACAGCCTTTATTCTCCAAAAGTAGACACCTCTTAACCCTTTAAGCCCCAATATCCACATACAAATTCTCCAAACTGATCTCCATACATTTCTTTTATGAATGAGTTGAGAGAATTTGATAAAAGATCAAGGCATTTTCCCTTAGGTGATCATTTTATTAATTCTCATAACTTAATTGCTTGACATTGTATGGATATCGTTAGGAGAAAGTTGACGTTAGTCACTATTGGGACTTAAAGGGTTAAAGCGTCATTGTACTTTTTTTTCATTAGAAAAGTTAGAAGTTTTGTTTTTATTGAAAGAGGTTTTAAAAGCCTTTTCCCGATCACAAAATGATAAAACTTCTAACATTTGACAACTTGCTTCCATCACTATGACATTCTTTCTAAAACCTCAAGTAGAATGATGACAGCTATTACACTTTCCCACCAAAATGACGCTGGTTCACTTGTGTACACTACTTCTAAATTATGTCATTGAGAAAATCTTGTACTCGTACCTATAGCCATCCTTGTCTTAGGCCTCTAATGTTAATCTGTGTATATCTGTAGTTTTATCAGTTACTAGTGATACATTTTTAAGCCAATTCATGGAAAGCATTGTGTCTTGCACATAATACTCTGTGGTGTCTTGAGTACAGTGGAACCCAGCCCTATGGCCACTGCGGTAATACAGTCATCATTTTTTTCAGCTGTTCTTAATACGGTCACCCGCTAATACAGCTAGCAGCCACATTTTAAAATCCCAAACAAAAGAATCCTTTATAATTTCACCCCGTTGGCCACTTGTTTGAAATGTAGAAAATTAAAGTGCCTGTGACATGTCAATTGAGCTGACCTAGTACATGTAAGCTGAGTCTGTTCTTCTACTGTTTTTAGACCACAGCCCACAAACGTCTTAGAGTGATGCATTTTACATTCCAAAATAAAAAAAGATTATGTTAACTTTTGTATTTACTCTCTTTTTTCTTTTGAAAAGTGATTGATTTTTCACTTTGCTGCCTTATTCTCACTTTCTAGGTCCTTTCACTCTGACTGGATTTAGAGTCCAAGTTTATCGGTGAGCAGCTTCCAAAATATTATAATTTTTTGAACATAATGTTTTTGTTTTTATTTGTAATAATAACCTTTGTAGAGGAGCTGTTATTTTTTCACAGAACATATTCAGCAGTTTAGGTCTGTTGTCATTATTTTATTTTTTGTGTAAGAGATCTATCGTATGAGTTTGGTGTGTGATAAGTTTCAAAGAAGTAGCTGTTTGCTTTTCTTATGCTGTACACTCTGACAACTCAGGCTCATTAAAAAATCATAGGGTGCCTTTGGCTAACTCTTGGATTAAGTATTTTAGAAGTGAAAGCTGATAATGAACTTGTAATTAGTCTACCCATATTCTTTATATCAGTCAAAGTCACATGCAATTCTACTGACCCAGCAGACTATCTTAACTTCATTTAGATTGACCCAAATTAGAGTTTAGTTTGTCTCATGAAAAGTTTGACGATTGGACTACTAGGCCTTAATCTAGTAAACAATTTGTGTTCCTTTAGGCGTACAAATTGTAAAACGGGCAGAGTCCAACATCTTAACATGTAAATTGTGTGCGTGAGTTATTTTATAATCCTTTTTACTGGATTACTGTGTAAAAACTCGAATGTATAAACCGCAAAAGGGGGTAGCCTGAGTATCAGGCGTTTCTGGGGAAAAGGGGAAAAATGGAAGCGAAAAAGGAAGAGAGGTGAAGGAAAGAAATGCCTGACACAGATGCTTTTACTGGAGCCTTCCACCCTCACACAGCATGATTCGATACCATCCAATCAAAATCACTTCCGGTCAATGGGTTGTCAGCTTCACGTGTCAAAAAGCTCGCCTGAAATAAATCTCACTTAACGGTCGGGCCGAGCTCCGGTGCTTGTGTTGCTACGATTTCGCTTTTTTCTGAAACCTCCAATGAGGAGTTTTCGAATACTTGTAATGTAAAACCTGCCATTTATGAGGAATTATAACAGGGTTTAGGAATTGTGCTAGTGTAAGATTGCCAACGCTCGCCTGGTTTGTAAACAAACGTGTGCCCGGAAAATTATAAATTGTTTTTGTTTACAGAGTTAAATCAGGCGCTTGTCTGGCAGCTAAAAAGCTGGTGTTATCCCTCGTATTCTCGGGTGGTTGAAAGGAGCTGTAAGAATATAGGAAGGTGCGATAGTGACACACCTATGCCTAGAAATTATCAAGCGGCAGCAGATTCCACCACTTCACAGAGAGCTCGTGAAAGCCGTTACAAGTTCAAAACAAGTGAGAGCCTATAGCAAAGGTCAATCCCGCTGGCGAAATATGATGGCTCCCGCTTGAGCTTAAGACATTTCAAAAGTGAGAAGATTTTGGAAGAGGAAGCGAACGAATTCCAATCACGTACGTTATCGTAACCGCAACAAGCAAAGTCAAGCTTTTTAAAAGCATTGGTGCTGTCGGCTATCCCCGCGGCTATCTCAATACATGGCTACCTCGCTCTATTTTCATTTACAGTAATAATACCCTTTTAACGGCAGGATGTTGTAAATCTGAACTTAGATATCTGAAACACTGATATCGTCTTCTTTGTCCCGGTCTTGTGAAACCAATACTCGGCCGAAGATGGTATATGAGGCTTTTCCTTACTTCGAGTACATGTTTCCTTTAAACTACGAGGCCTTGAAAACACAATTCTTGCTCGGGTTTTATTTTTATTCCTGGAAAGAACTTGAGAGCGCCCTCTAGAGCCTTTTTTAATTCCTCTCTGCGTCTCTGTCTGTAAAAGCATCACATACCGGTAACATGAAATCAAAACATCTATGAAAAATTTCAATGAACGTCTCCTTGCCGATCGCTCTTGCGGTCGGTGACGTCAAGGGGTATTGTGTGTTATCCAATGACTGCCACATCCATATTTTGGATGTGTCACACGATTTGCTGAATGGTTTTGTGTCAGGCCTTCCTTTCTCTTCTCCCCCTCCCCCCTCCCCCATCTAAAATCTCCTCTCCCCTAACCCCGTAGGAAGGCCTGATACTCAGGCTAAAAAGGGGGCAAAGTCCATCACTTTCTCGTGCGAGCTGTGTGACAGTAAATCCCATGCAGACTGGCTATTCACATAGTAACTTGAACGTGTGAAGACCTGTTTAGTTTTGTTACCAGTGCCTTAAAAAAGGTTCTTGTCTTTTGAGAAGCAGTAGCTTTTAAAAGGTGAAGAATTAAGTCGTCAGCGTTAGAGACTGTTTCATTGAGTAGAATCGCATTTGAAATTACTCCCTGTTAGATTGGGGAGTTGAAGAGGAATTGCTGATCTCTTTGTCATGTTTATTGCCTGGAACGGTTGATCTAAGATGACTGTCATTTTCATTTTGGTTACTCTTTTCTGAGCCAACTAATTATGAAAGTGTCTACACTTGAGTGACACATTTGCATATTACAGTGCCCATAACAACTCATTCCTTACGCTACGCTTAATCCACAAATTAAAAAGAAGCAGGTAACAAGAAAATACTAAACAACTTTTATTGCCCTGAAAAGCTACATTTACAATGTATTATTTTAACTACGCGTATGATGGTACAGTCTGCACATTGTCACACCTTTGTTAACTTCTTATTTTTAGACAAACTTGTCGACAGTGGTATTCAGCTGTGATCACTGGGCATGACCTTATGTCAAGGGTAGGTTTTGAAAAGAAGACATTTCAATGCCCAAATTAATGAAATTACCAAGAGAAGGAGAAATTTGACTTCAGTACATGGCCCTGAAAAATTCCAAACACTGTATGAAAAATGATTGCAAAGTCTCATACCTACACCTCCAGCAACAAAAGTGTATCAATTTGCTGAAGTGTCCAGAATTGCTTTATAGATCTTAAAGAACGAGAAACTGTTTCAAAGTTAAATCTAACAGAGTTCTTGCTTGTGGGCTTTTACTGTACATGAGAAAGATGCTTTTTGGTCAGTGACCGAGGTGGCTTGGAAGAAACAATCTGTGTACATGTGCCTGTACTCCCAATAGAAGTTGAGCATACATGTTCAACCTTCAGGTTACTATCGATTACTAGTCCAGATGATCTACCACCAAGTTCCCATAAGGCTCCTTTAGCTTACTGGTAGAGCATCTGGACTACTGGTACATGAAAGAACTTCTACTGCAGTTGACGACAAACCTAGATACTCACTATGCTTGTCAACTCAACACCTGCTTTTTGAACCAAAGAATCAAAAACTAGAGATACATGTAGAGCCTTTGATGTTGTGGAAGCTAAGCTATAAAACTTGATGCCCAGCTTTATACATGTATGTTTGGCCAGCTCTTTGAGTAGTTTTAATAGCTGAGCTTAAACTTTCCTTTTTAAGAGGGGTTTTTCTCATACTCACTACTCACTACTCTCATGCTTTTAATGTTATTTGTCATTTGTTTAACAGGAGCTTTCTTGTATGGATGATACTGTCTTGCAAACTCACAGAGTTGATCCAAGGCTAACCCAAGTCATTCTTCTAGCTAATGGTACGGTTTATTTCTATTTTTGATCGAATACCACAAACATGTAACCAGGGCTCAAGAAAAGGTCCTTCCGTTAGTCTGGGACAAGTACAATGTAGATTTCCTTGTTGGGGAAGTAATTTTCAAAGCTTACATGTCCAGGCAAGTCAGCCTCTAAAATAATCATTAACTGAGACAAGCAAGAAGTGGCCCTGAGCATGCAAAATGTGAGAGCTCCTTGCCCGAAGGACAAGCTTGGGTTCGTGTTTTTTTTAAGCCCTGTGTAACCATGCGTAATAGCCTGCTGAAAGTCTTTTGATCTTAATACCCAATTTTTTTCTTTTAGAAACTGAATTGGATAGCCTTCTGCGGGGAGAGCTTGTCCGTGTACTACCCATGAGACAGCATCGCCATTCTCAAGTTATCATTACTGCACCAATGACCACTCAAACCACTACTAATTCTCTCTCTTCTGCTGCACCAACGGTGAGATTACAAATTACAAAAGGAATGGTAACACACTTGTCACCAAACTTTTTACTCAAAATTTATCTCAGATTGAGCTGTGCACCTTTTCAGTAACAAATGATCCCAAAAGGATTTTTTTAAGTACCAAATGAATCTTCTTCAAATGAATCTGGACAGGCATAGTAAACAATGTAAAAATGTTAACGTCTTGAAAATAATTATTGCAATTGCTAAAAAAGAAAATCACTAATATTTCTTAACACTAAGTTCTAATCTCATAACTTGCTTGAGATCATAATCTTATTATTTGATTGTTTGATTGTAGTAATGGAACATCCTTTAATTTTATCATTTTGTCAGACCTGGCAATTGTATGCTGGATTGACACATTCTACAAATTCCAACAACCATTTACAGGCATTAAGTTCTACACAAGCAGTATTTTCAAGTCCTGCAGTCTCTACTGTAACAAACAGACAGATTTCTACGCGCTCACCACCAAACGTGCATAGTACAGACACAAATAAGGAAAGAAAAAAGTCTACTGAAACAAGGCAAGTTGAGAGAATTCTTATTAATCAATTGTTTGCTTTTTGCCAACGTCAGTGAAAAGTGATGGGATTTTATTGTTAGGTGGTTTCCAGGTTGCAGGAAGATTGCAGAAAGACATATGCTTTTAAAGAGAAACATTCTGTTAGTGTGGTTGATTGAGTTGATTTTGTTACTATTAGTCATGTGTCCTTTTAATAAACATTTTTTCAACGAAGAGAAGGATTTGGCGACCTTTAAGGAAAAGGAGGAGCAATTTGTGAAATGTAAAGTCATTGCTCGAATATTGTTTCTAGCTCTGAGATCAGGGTAGAGTCAGAATTTTTTTGTCTTAATTTATACATGTATTGTATGCCAACCATTTTCAGTGAAATTCAAAAGGCAATCTGATCTAACCAGACAGCGCCAAGCCAGAAGAGCCTTTCTGTTGCATGACCAATACTGTTAAATATCTGATATCTCTTTGTCTTGTTAATTTTTTAAAGGAACAGTAGCTCTGCTTCTCGCAGAGTTACAAGATCAGACTCCACAAGCAGCCCAACATCATTAAGTGATACTCAACAGCGCACACCCCAAACTATTCAGTCACCCCTAACAACTCCATCAGCCACTTCTCTCTCGTCAAGTATCAGAAGTGTGTCTCACACATCCAGTCAACAAAGCTACAAAACTTCACCACCTGATGCTCACACTATGTCTCCAAAGAGGTCAAGCTCATCTAGTTCCTTGGGATCACCTTCATCAAGCTTACAAAAGATGTCGCCTATAAAACAACCAGCGTCTCCAAAGACATCTCCGTCAGTCTTACATTATGGTTCTCCGTCAAAAGCAGGCATGAGTAACATGGGAAGCCCATTTAGGTCCAACCCATTCTGCTCATCTCCTGACATGTCTGTGGCCACTATGGCAAGTCCATTGTCTGGGATGTCCCATATAGGAATGTGTTCACCTGGCCATATGGTTTATTCCCGTGCACAAAGCCCTCATCCTCTCTACTCTCATAGTATGGGACATCTCAACATTTCACCTCCTCAGCTGTACGCACTTCAGCTTCAGCAGCAACAGAAGCAGATGCTGTCTCCTGAACAACAAGAGTTTCTGGCCAAGCTACAACACCAGCACTATCAGAGTCTTATGAATCAGTACCAAATGCACCATTACCAGCTCCAGCTTATGCTTCAGCAGCAGGAGATCATGAAGCAGATGCCGCTTACACTTGAACAACAGCATGTTTTAGCAGAACGTTACAACCAGCTCCTTTACCAGTACCAATGTGCGCAGATTTTTCAGCAGCTCGCAGCTGTCACCCAGGACGAACAGCTGTCCGTGTATCACGGCACTGATGACAGAACACGGGTGCTTCCCGAGAGAATTCAACAGCAGCTGCGTGAAGCACAGGAGCGACAAAAACAAGAGCTGCAACATCTGATGCCTAGGTTGGAGCCGGAGCAGCTGCAAACATTCTTCACTTGTCTTCAGCAAAGAAGCATGACATCAGACCAAATGAAAGAGCTGTACACTCTGCTGATTCAACAACAGGAAGCACAGAAGAGGCAGCCTCAGCAAGATGAACGGCAAAGATCAACAATCCAGGATATTCTTCGCCAGAATCAGGTAAAGATTGTGGTACATCAAATTGGAGACATTCTACTATATTTCCCATCCTGAATCTTTCGTATTTTTCCTTAAAACGGTGCTTTCCGTTGAGTCCAAACAAGGTATGTCAATACATCTTAGCGAAAGATGCATCAGCCCATTCTAATTGTCCAGATTAACAACTAGGAGCGCGGGCGCGGTCAACGGTTAGCGGTTTGGCTCAAGCGCAGTCAGCCTTGCTTGCATCACCTCCATGTGCCCAGTACAGCGTTTTCCTGGCGGCCACTCTCTTCGTTTAGCCTTTAGGTCATTTGTTCTACCCCATCTCTCTCCCCCCCACCCCTTTATTTTTCCACTGGCAAATCAGTGTGCGGGTACCTGGTTCCTTTGGCGTGGGGACTTATGGCTGGAGGGCGCGGGTTTGCCAGCCATGGAGACGTAACTCTGTCTAGGGGCTAGCTGTGCAAAAAGTGGAAGCCCCTGGACATCCCGGGCACCCACCTCCATTTACCTCACAAATTTGATTTGTCAAGTACTGTTGGACCCTTTTTCTCAGCAATTCTGCAGTGAACCCAAAGAAAACTGTCATTTTGACCTGTCCTTGCGTCGTGTTTCTGCTACTTGTCTCCCGACGTATACATACTGGGTGTTTTTTGCAGACGCCTGTTGCAGAGCAACGTGTTATTGGGCTGCATGTGGGAAAGCCCAATAAAGTTCCGAGGATCGTGTTTGTTAAAAAAAAGAAAAGCAAAATGGCGGACGCATAACCAAGAGGCTGTTGCGTGTCCAGTCGCTTCTGCACTGGGAAGATTACTTGACTTTGGGGGGAGAGGGGATAGTCATTTCAGATAAATACAGTTTTGAAACTATTTAATAAACCACTGTGTCACGAAGCTGGCAGACCAGTGTAGCCCAGTTATTGGAATTTTGTTGAAAGGAGTTAGGAAGTGACATAAGGAGTTATTTTTATTTCAACAGGAAGATGTGAAGAAGATTCTGCAATTACAGCAGTCACCATCACGCTCAAGAGATGTTGAAAACAAAGACGAACCCAGACAGGAGGCTAGCAGCTCTTCAGCTCAACCGGAATCGCCCTCATCATCAGCATCATCGTTCACTGTGCACTATATGCCCACTCCGTGTGACTCAGGGGACTCATCTGATTCTAACGGTAAAGACAAGCCTGAGAAAGATGCATCTGTGGGAAAATCAACTTCAGAAACCTCAAAACCTGAAGCAAAGCCAAGTGTTGATGAAATAGAGCTCAAGTCAACAACCACAGATGAAGAGAGAAGGTTTGTCGGATTAATTTAGATTTCTGGGAAACTGCCCACTTACCCCTCCCCTAAGCCATCATTTTGCCGCAAGTGAGAAGTAAGTGTTAATTTTAGCTTAGGGCAGGGGTAGGTGGCGAGTTTCCCAGAAACCTAAATTTATCCGGTTTGTTCTATTCTTACTACTGTATCTTCCTATTTGTAGTCTGTGTGATTGTTGTAAGATTTTGAAGTTGAATGCTACCTTCAACACAGTATGACGGCATTTAATTTTCTTTTATGTTTCTTGACAAGAAACCCTGTGTTATATTAAGAAAGTCAGCTCTCTCATAAGCGACCATGTCGCCACGTTTTCGTCCTAGAGACTCTTAAGTGAGCGCGAATTTAGACCAATTGCGACATATTAAGATTCATACATGTACTTGTCCTCCAAGCCTTGAGAGTATAACAACAATGAAAATCACCTTGAGGTTCAAGTATAAACTAGAGATCTTAAGGTTGAGGTTTTTCGGCATTTTCTGCGAACCGCGAACGTCAAGAAGTCACGTGACCAGGGCCTTGCCGTCAGGTTTGCGGTTTGAGGTTCACGTTTGTGCTGCTAGATCACGCTCTAGAGATAAGTGATTTACCGCAAGGTTTTTTGGCCCCTAAAACATCACAATCCCACGTTTGAGAAGAAATACGACTTTTGAGAACTTTTTTGCTTATTGATTATCGAAATCTTTTTTTAAAAAAACGACATTTTGAAATCAATTCCTCAGCTAAAATAGAAGTGAGTTGTAATGAATACTAACATGGCAGCCGCAAGCTACCATCCGCGCATCTTAAGTCTCAAATATGGGCAGACGTATAAAGTGAAACCGTTAACTGCAAACCACAGTTTGTTGTTTGCAGTAAAATGACCAAACCTTGATGTTGATTAAGATCTTGTTACTTTCATTGATAAGTTATTAGTAAAGTAGTCCTGTAATTTATGATTTATGGTCGTGAGATTTACAGTGGTGTATGTACTTTTTCTTTTAGTAGTTCACCACATGCGATCCTGGAAAAACTTTTACAACATCATTTGGAGGCCGTCAAATTAGAAAGCAAACAGCAAGCTTCTGCGAAGGTTGGTGCTTGTTCTTGATATTTTTACTTAAAAATTTTAAAATGATGAGATACAATGCAGTGCTTTGTAATGCAACTGGGTGCCATGCAATCTCATGCAATACAATGCAGTGCTTCCAACCAGCCTGCCCTCTACTCTCTATACCTGGTCTTTTCTCGCCTGTGGTCTGTTGACGGCGTTAATGTTTGTCCTTTTATTATAGGCTAGAAGAACGAGAGCCTCTTCGACAGAAAAGAGGACTAAAAGGCAAAGAAAATCTGCTGAATTATCAAGCGCAAAAATCCAAGATGACGAGAATAATAGTGCAGAAAAAGATAACCAAAATTTCAGAGAAGCTGCCGTCACTCGCAATTCGTTTACAACAGATCCCCTCCCTTGTCCATTAACTGGCGATGTTTCAAGGGAGACCACGAACACTTCTGTCAACCACACGTTCTCTCTAAACGACAACGATTCTGTTCTCAGCGAGCAAAAACTTCCAAAGAATTTAGGTTTTGTTGATTCTCATCTATCCGAACCAGAAAAGCAAAATAAAACTGCGCATGAGCAAGTGAATACCTCATTAAGGCCTGAGCAGAGATATCCCTTGGAAAGAGAGGACACTTCTCTGATGACCAGTGGAAGAGTAGCGACAGGGGATGTTGTGAAAGAAGCTCCTCGCGAGAACATTAGGTTGAAAGACTCAACAAAGACGCGCAAAGAGAGAACACCTGTCATGGACAAGCAAAATAAGGTTGCGGATATTTCTAAAGATAATGCACAGGTCACGAAAAACGAAAAAGCAACGAGCTTAAATCGGAAACTTTCGGAGAAGGCTTCAGCTAACAGCACAGCGGCAGAGCAAGCCCAGCCTTCAGAATTAGTAAGTTTGCTAAAAAAGAAATCCTCGAGGTTGGCAGAAGAAGTAAGGACTGAAGGCTCTAACAGTGTGGCCTCTAAGAACGTTACTGCAAATGAACCGGAAGGTAGCGTGTTAGAGGAGACATCTTCGATTTCACTCCAAAACCAAGGCGCTAAAACCCAAAACAATTTATCTGCAAAGGACGTTACTGTGGAAAAGCCGCAAAGTCAGTTTTTTGGGTACACACCGCCAATTTTCCCAGGAAAAGAAACCTGCAGTGGCTCTGAAAATGTGTCATCTAAGAGCAGTGTACAAGATCGACCCACAGAGAGCTTAATAGAGAAAAGGTCTGAGCAAGAAGAAGATAAACGCACTGCTAATGTTTTACCCGCTGTGACGGAGAAAGGTTGGTTAGAACTAACGACCTTAAGGGGCAAGAGAAAAACATCTGGAAAGCTTACGGTTATGGAACTATCTAAACCTACTCCATTGAGTTTGACTCGGAAGAGTTTTCATGACGCAGCAAAGGCGGCTGCAGATTTGTCACCGGACAATCTGTCCAGAAAGTCACAGGATAACCAGTCGGCTGCAGATGTGTCACAGGACAACCAGTTCGGACAGTCAGAGGGTAACCAGTCAGTGCAATTACAGGACAAAACTTCTGACGCGATGGAAGTTGATAATTTCCCGGCTTCACAGAAACCCCCGGCGATTCCCGATGCAAGGCAGTTGACGAAAAATTGTTTCTCTGTGTTTTCTTCCAATTCTTCTGACCATAATGGAGACTTGTTTGCTGAAAAAGAGCTCAAAACGTACTCTAGAAGAATCACTCCAAATAAAAGGAAATCTATATCTACCTCCAAAGAAAATATCACTGAAAGGAGTACTGTTATCAGTAAAGTTTTAAAGATGGATAATTCAGAATCTCTGGATGTTGATGGCAACAAAATAGAAGCTCATGAAAATGGGAACAAAATGGACAACCAAGTGCTTGACTCTGACCTCTCAAAAGACTCTCAACCGGAACAGAAATCTATCAAAAGACAACAAAACTCTAGAACAAAGGGGAAGATATCTAGGAAAAAGTCAACCAGTGAAAACAAGATTCCTGCAAAGAGAGCCAAAAGCGGGGATAGTAACTGCGATAACACTGAAGCAATTCAAAATAACTCTCAAATGGAACTCGAAGACGAGGCAAGTAAACTTGTGGATTCTGTTAGTTTTGTGGCCGATCAAGCGATCGAAGATGTCACAATAAATCACAGTCCGACCTTGAAAGACGTGCCGGGTGAACAATTTGACTTTGTTAAACTTAACGATGAAGTCCTTAACGATAAAAGCAAAGAGAAAATAAGAGAGATGACTAGTGTAAGAAAGAAAATCAAGGAAAAAGAGAGGAAGAGGAAGAAAAAAGAAAATAAAAATGAATTGCCAGCTTCAGCTACAGTTGTGAAGAAGGAACTCGTAGATGGTGAAAGCCTTGAAACAGTCGTTGACTCTGTCTTGGATGAGAAAATTGCTGTTATTTACAATGGAGAAGGTTAGTCTAAAATCAATATTGCATTTGTTATAATCATTTCCTTCTGCTAAAGAACAGTTTCCAAGTAAATGTCAAATATGATTGGCTGTTACTTTGGCAGTGCTCACCTGTATATTTTGTGATTGGCTTAGAAATCATTGTGCCACGTTATCGACCAATCAGAAGTGAAATGCAAGCCAACTGACCACTACAGAAAATACCATAACATACCATAATGCTCTTTGTTCGTCACCCCAAAATTTTGCATATGCATTGTTTTCAGTTTCTCTTGGGGCCATTTTAACTCTTAAGAGAAACTGAAGACAATGTTCATGCAAAATCTTGGTGTGACAATCAAAGAGCATTATGGTATGTTATGGTATTTTCTGTAGTGGTCAATTGTGACTTTCTAGCACTTGTTCCCGCACTTGGCCTAAGGCGCTGGTTAATTAGATGAATTTCGAGATCTCATTGGTCAACTTGATTGTCTACTCGCAATATGATTGGTCAGACTTAGTACTTTGGTTGAGTGTGTGTGCAGTCACATGAACGACTGTTAATTTTCAGCTCTTGATTTCTCAAAGGAAATGTGGTCAGTGTTAGTACTACCGTTGGTTATCTATCTTGAAGATTTGGTGAACAGTTGGTTACATAAGGATACTTACCGTAACTAGGTTGGCTAAAATTATGTTTTGGACTTAAAAGCAATTCGTTTTTCTTGCGATTCAGAACATCAAGAAAATGGTGCCGTCAACTCGACTGAAATCAAGGAGGAAGGTATTTACCTTGTTGTCTGTGCGCCCTTTGTTACCATTATTGTGGATTTACATTCTCCTTCAATCTCCAGTGGCAGCAAAGACAGCAACAAGATATATGCAGTCAATATTAATGTGCAGCGGAACCTCGATATAATGAAGGGCTAAGAGACTTACAAAATTTGTTCGCTATCGCTAGGATTCGTTATATCGAGGCTCTTTTCCATATATTTTACCATTACTGGGGTAAAGAAAATCGTTTGTTATACCGAGGACCTGGTTATGTAGAGGTTCGCTATATCAAGGTTCCAGTGTAGCTTTGATTCCTGGTGGTAAACTCAAGCTTTTTTCAGCTCTTAAGGTGAACTAAACAACCCATGTCGAGCGGAGGCTCCGTCGTACCATTGGGTGCAGTGGTGTGGATTTACTACTGTAGTAGCTTAATTTAGTCGCGGTAGCCATTAGTGAGATTAATCCTTTAAGCCCTCAGAGTGATCAGCATCAAATTTCTCCTAGTAATACTGATCAGTGCTTTGTAAAACACAGTGGTCATGAGAATTATGGACATGACCACTCAAGATGAATTTGCTTGATATTTTATCAACTTCGCCCCACTACTTCTGTACGAAGTAAATAGGGGCAACAAATGAGAATTCCAATATTGATCTTATGGTTTAAAGGGTTAAGCAAAGTACGTTTTTGAGGGACGCACATCAACCGCAAGTGCTCTTTTTTTGTCGATAGAACTTTGTGCAGTGAATAGGGACTTTAAGATCTAACGACGCGGACGGTAACGAGAACGTAAAAAAAACAATAGGTTTTATTAGCAAAACGACAACTTTGCACGCTTTTTGGCACATTTCGCTTCCCGTTTTTGCACGACTACGACGTGAACATGCCTAATTCCCGTTTTATGGAGGACGTAAACACTGAGCAACGACGAAATTTTATTTCTCTTTCTGTACTTGGATATGGTATCTAGGAATTCAACTCCAGGAGGGTTCGCCTACATTTGACAAAGTAAGTGGGTAAAGACTGAAAGAACGTAAATTCACTTTTTAAGCGACGTTCTCATTGCCGTCGCGTCGTTGGATCTTAAAGTCGCTGATAGCGCTTTGAACGTTTTGAACAGTTGGCGAATTGCGGAGTGATTAGTAGTCTACTTACAACTTTCGGTAAAAATCATTTTAGTTTATTTTATTTGTCCTACAGTAGTTGTCAAAGAAGAAGAGAAAACTGAAGTGGTAGACAAGCCAAAACCTGGGAGAGGAAGAAAGAAAAAAGAAGCAGAAACAAAAGAAGTGGAAAAAGGAAGGAAAAGAAGGGGAAAGAAACAGAATGAGAACAATGGTAATTTATATCGATGTGTTCTTCAATTACTAGATAAAATAGGAGCAGGGGATCGGACGCGAATGTCTTATCATACGTGTGAAATAAAGCAATCATTATTGATCTGTATCCAACGTTTATGAGTTCTTATTAGGTGAGAAGAAGGTGTATCCAAAGTTACGTCTACTATTAATAATTCATTACCCCAAAACCTGCGACCTGAATCGCCAATAGCTCAGTGGTTAGAGCGTCCTACCGGTATCTGGAATTCGTGGGTTCGATTCCCCTTGGGGGGTGAATTTTTTTCCGAGCATTTCTCAGTTCTACTTAAAATTCATTAACCCAGTTAATTTGTATTGAGGCTTACAGAGGAATAGGTGTGACTCAATACTACCTATATGGCCTTACAAAAGAAAAAGGCTCCGCTCCCTCAGGATTGGCTTGGGACATCAATATGGTCTTCAAACTCAGGTCTTCGAACCCTTGCAGGTCGTTTTCGTGTGATAATAGTGAGTTTACGCAACAGGACGACAGTCAGAAGAGGACGGCAGAACGCTTGTGTGTGACAGACGTGACGTTTCTGGTCTTTTAAAACAAGACCTGTTTAAAGGAGGGTGAAGTTCGGCGGAAGAGTTTTTTTAAAAAAATTTTTGTCACGCTTGTCACACAAGGTTTGCCTTCTTCTTTCCTCTCCCGTCCTGTTGCGTAAGCTCACTTTCGTGGGATTTATCCCCGGTCAGACCAATAAGATAATTAGGACGAAACTACAGTTTGCTCTGCAAAGGATTACCCTTTGCTTTGCTCCGAGAAAGTCTGAATTGTGATCTCCAACTACGGCATACAAAAGCAATGTCTTTCATTAGGGTTCTGTAATTCGTAAGAATTTTTTGTTATTTGAAATAGAATAATCACATGCTAGATGTTTGTGTTCCTCTTGTCTTGTCTGTAGGAGATAAACTTTCGCCGAATTCAGAGCAGTTCTTTCTGCAGGTATGTAAATGTTGAGTTAACGAAAAACTGTTTAGTGTAGTCATGCGCACCCAGTCTCCCCTCGTCCAAAGAGAGGCATGGTTTTTGGTTTGTTTGGTTTTGTGTTTCTGACTTTTGGTGTCGTATGTTGTGAATATTTTTTATTTCCTTGTAAAATGTCTTAAATGTATCAGGTCATGTATGTAGAGTCCACAGTGACACGTCGCCTACCTCGAATAGCTTTTGCTAATTGTAGTGTGTACGTGTTATGCATTTCTTTGCTGGTAATAAAGTTTTTGTTTGTTTTTTGTTGTTTGTCATTGGTCCGTTTTCTGACATCAGTCTCGAGGCACGAGTTAAACCAATTTAATTTGTTTGTTTTTCTAGGACAAAGTGTGTTCAAAGTTTTCTGATTTGCCAATGTGCAGAGATTGCCGGGATATCAATGGAGAGAAAACTGGATTAGAATTCTGCAGATTTAACATGTTTCGAAGGTAGGTATATATAGGCGAATCTTTGCTGACTGTTTACATTTTTACAATAACTTGAGTTTGTATCGAAACGACCTGTTACCGGTCTAACAAATCTCTCTTTGTTTACCCTTAAGGTTAAAAAAGAGGAAGAATGGAAATGTGTTAATCGCTGGTTTCCAGCTCCCTGAACACGCAGCTCCTGAAGATTTCTATCCTTGGGTTGCGCAGGATCAAGGTTTGTGTACCTACTAATTTGTATGAATCATATTCTTTTTGAAATGTAGACACTTTAAAGTGATAGGGGAAAAAGCAACAAAAACACGTTAAGACAAAAACCTGGAAACCTTTCGATCATCGGTGGATTTACAAGATACCACATCTTTTAGATTAACCCGAATCCCACGTTCAGTTTGTTAGAATGTCAGGCCATTGAAGTGGGTGCAATGTAAAGGTCAAGGGTTTACACCACACCACGATACGTTATGTTACGGTGTGATGGCAATACAATGGCCAGGTGCACGTAAGGCGAGAGTAGCCTTTAGTCTTACATGAATACGCGAAGAACAAAGCAGTGTGCCTTGGCTGGATGCTCTTTACATTGCAAACTTTATCTTAAGCTGGCCTCTTCACTGAGCCTGCGTTCAATCTGTACCCGCTGCTATTTACCCTATGACGTAAGAAGTGCATTAAAGCGTTTTTCGCGCCTTTTGTACCAACACATGGCCTCCCTTGTTGGTTGAATCCACGTTGCCTCTTTCACGTGGCGGTTGCTTCAGGTTCCTCTCTCCTTTTTCGTTAAAGATCTGCCAGATCTTCCGTGTGTGACGCGCATTTTAGTTTATAGCACATCTCACTTAATTCATATTGTATTTTGCGGATTGCAGTTTAACTCGAAAATTATCTTTCATTTCATAGCTGATATGATGGACAAGAGTACGTCTCTTTACGTTCTTTCCCACATTGGAGATCAGTTCTGCTCTGTCATGCAAGAAGAAAGGAAAGCCATAACACAAGCTGGAGAAAACGGTAACAAAACCAGTCAAAGTTTGAGTGGAACGCGGTGCATTGTGATTTTATAACAAGTTAACATTGGGTGTTAACTGACAGGTTGTTCATCAGGGATCGGGGTTCAGAAAATTCTCCGTTCACTGCGCAGAATTCTCCGGCTAACTTTCGGTAGCCTCCGACTGTTTTTTATTCAAACTTGGAGCCGCTTTCAAAATATTCTCCTGCAACATTACACCTTTCTCCTGCACTAGAATTCTTAATGAAAACCCTGTAACAAGAGTTATTGCAATTAAAACGGAACGTGTCGGACTGTAGTTAAACACCTTTGGGCTTTTCCCTTACATCTTCGACACTCTTGGAAATTAGAAACGGATGTAGACATATATATGTGGGCAAACCAGAAGCCAGATCCCCGTTTATAAAGGAACAGGTTTAGAAAGCATATGAGCGATAGCAATAGTGGTATATAATCTCACGTTAGTCTTTAACTTCTGTAGTGAAAGTGGTGTATAAACGCGCCGTTCAAGGTGTCAGAGAGATGTGCGATGTTTGTGCCACCACCATCTTCAATATGCATTGGGTGTGTCACAGGTGCGGGTTTGGAGTGTGTCTAGATTGCTACAATCTGCGAGTCAAGGAGCGGGAAGAACAACCTGGTAAGTGTTTTAATTTTGATAATCTGTTACCTGTTAAGTATAGCAATTGAGTGACGTAAAACCATATCTATTCAATGATCATAGACGCAGGCAATCCAAAGAACCAATCAGAATTCGAAAGATGTAGCTGGCACTTAGCGTGGGAACCCGTGCGAAAACAAGACAGCTCTTTTGGGTTTTACTCTTGATTGGTCTTAGAAAGTGTTAACCAATCACACCCTTGAGCTAATTATTCCCGCAATACTTTTGAAAAACCACACCAATATAGACAAGCATGACATTAATAGCAAAAGCCAGCAGCAGTAACTACCTCTTGATCACGATTTTCGTGACATTTTTTGTCGTTTAACAACTACCGTTCGCGTTTGAACTCGAAGAAGCTGTTTTATTTAAGTTCGTAAAATAGCATAATTTGGCTAAATGCTCTTTCTTTGTCCCTATCACTTCAGGTCATGCTGGAAAAAGAGTCTTTGAGTTCAAATGGTGTATGTGTTGTCCAGGAATTTGCCACCAACCGAAAAACTTATCTGTGGCACAGATTATACCGAAGTCAGGTAAGTTAAGACCAACAGCAGTTTTACTTGTTAAATTACATCGGTCTAGTACAATGTGGACTACGAGCAGTGTCTCGTTTTAGTTTGTCGAGCGAAACGCGCGAGACAAGAAAATGACCACGCGCGTGACTGAAGGCGCGAGACGGGAGAGACGCGTGCGCTCCCCTCACTAAATCTGAAGAAAAAGAGAGACTGTTCGCAGTCTAAGTACAGTGCGCTTTAAATCGCTAATAGTTACGAAGCTTATCGATGCTAGACACTGCAAAAGACGATAAATACGCCCCAAGAAATACTACTGTTTTGTAGATATTTTGTGACAGCTCTCAAGCTGAAAATGTTTTGAGATAAGAAACTTCAGTAGAGGCATCTTCCACTAAAACTGGAATTGAGGGCCACGAGAGAAAGTGGTCACCTTGGCAAAATTTATGTTTTATTTTCTGGTTTTTTATAGACGTAATAATCAGATTCACCTTAAAAGATGTTATGGTAACTTACAGGAAAAGGTCAAATGATGCAATATGACTGTTTAACCCTTTAAGCCTTGAGAGTGATCAGCATCAAATTTCTCCTTGTAATATCAATACTTTGTAAAACAGAGTGGTCATGAGAATTACGGACATGATCACACAAGATGAATTTGTTTGATGTTTTATCAACTTCTCCCCACCATTTCTGTAGAAAATGTATAGGGGCAACAAATGAGAATTCGGATTTTGATCTTAGGACTTAAAGGGGCAAGGGCTAGTTACATCGGCGTGGTTAAACTTCTCAACCAATTTTTCATTCTCATTTATAGTTCTTTCAGACCTTGGTGATGAATTGCACAGGGCAAGGGATGCGTGGAAGATTGGTAAAACATGTCCTTGTGAAACGTTTGTTGATGATGAAGACAAAGAATCGGGCGCTAAAATTACGGAGATTTCTCATGATGCTTTAGACAAGACCGATAATAAGGAAGAAGAGAAGGAATTGCAAAATAGCTGCAAGGAAGTAGCCAGAGAGGTGACTGTAAAATTGGAACCTGGATCCGCCGCAGCCGCGTCTGAATCGGCCAAGTCTGACCAAGCCAGGTCTGATGAACTTAAGTCTGACTCGGGCAGTTCTGACTTAGGGAAGTCTGAACCAGCTAAGTCTGACTCGGCAACATCGGCACCACTGAATCAGAATCTTCTTGCTGTCGATAGTGAATCAGGTGAAGGTGTAGATGATGTGAACTTGATATGCGATGAAAGCATGGGGATCGATTCCCCCGCCAGTCATGAACAATTGTGGCTTACCGAAGAAAAGCGACGAAACCATTTCTCGAAAAAAGCTGGCTTTGGCTTGGTTGAAGCCAAACCTCGCCAGAACAACGAGATATCCTCTGGTCTCAGTCTACTTATGGACTACAGCTCATCGGTGGAGGGCTCCCCGTGCGAGTCACCTGCTAAGAGCGATAATCAGACCAAAATTGGAGCTTTTGACTTCCCGTTTGTAAGCGGACTTGATCTGCTCGCCCTTGCTTGTGAGAAAAATGGTGGATTTTCGCTATATGAAAATGTAACTCAGGATGATCAGAAGCACAATAACGAAGCGGAGTGCTCGAAACCTGAGCCACAAGATGAAAAGAAAGAGGAAGTGATCAGAAATGGTAATTGTGTTCACCTTAAAGTTATTAACTAAACTTCCCTAGAACTCGTTTGGAATGCGACGTTTGTAGAAAAGTGTTATTTGGCGAAGTAGTTTAAACCCAGTAACTGTGGATTAGAGCAAAGAGATTCCATGATCATAAATCTAACCACACTGTAATGTAGACTAACTTTCTTAGCAGCTTGAAAAACTCTTTCATGAAAACACTAAAAAGAAACTTGTACTGTTAGAAATCCATTATTGGCCCTTGGATTCGCGGGTGCTGTAGAGGATATTTATTTTATCGTATCTTGGTGATACTCTGTTTTAATCTTATAACGGAAACCGGCCGTTTCGATAGGAACTCCAGCAGTGAAACTGCAAGACAGTTTGGATCACTGAAAATATGTTTAGCGCGTGAACAAGAAAAACGTATGGGGTGAATATTACTCATGCTTTAAACCAAATACGTGAAACTATTTACATCTCGACTGAATCAACTTTGTATCGAAACGACTGGTAAGCTTCAATAACTTTTGTGTTATCAATGTTATTATTGAAAGACAATATATACCATTGACTAATGCGGGAACCAGGTAATAATGTTAACCATTTGCTTTTATTAGGTTCTGTCCTAGTTGCTACACCCAGTGAATGCACAAGTGCTGAGAGTTCAGATGAAGTGCGCCAGGCCACACCCATTGTGCCTGACCGCGCAGGACTCGATCCTCCTATGGATGCACCACACTCTTGGCTCTGTAATGGCCGCTTACTGAGACTCTTGGATCCTAGAGCGCCAGGAAACGTGAAAGCGTTTGAAAAACGATGGAAAAGGGGCGAGGTAACTGGATGACTGATAAATTATCTTCTTTTTTTCTAAATTCTTCAACTTCGCTCATTCAAGGAATTCTATCTGGATACCTTAACTTTAACTTAATCTCGGTTGTCTGTCCTTTGATTGACTGATTGCTTGATTGATTTTTTTTTTTCATTTCTTTCTTACTTTCTTTCTTCTTTGGCTAGTATTTATTTTTTTAACTTATTTATTAATTCATTTAAGTTAATCGTGTTATTCCTTGCATTAGCCGGTTCTGGTGAGTCATGTGGACAAGTACATGAACCTTGATCTATGGACACCTGAGGCTTTTGGCAATGAGTTCGGTAAGTTTTCTTCGTTTGTACTCTCTCTTAGTCTGGTTGCTCAAAGCACGTGTCTTTGTAAACAAATAGACGTATTTCAATGCACTTTCTTGTATTTAATTTTGGTTGACAGTTGAATTTAACTGCTGTTGAATTCTTTTGTCAAAATCAGAAGACAGGTTAAGTCCTCAGGCAGTTGCCTACAAAGTTAACTTTAATGGTAATACCCCCTGTATCCTGAACCGATCCCCCTAAAACATCGCATACGTTTCTCTGTCCAACGCGCTTAATCACCACGTTGCCCTTATAATAGGAAGGTCGGCTGCTGTAAATAGCTTGCTTGTGTCGTGTTTTATTCATTTCGTTTTTTGTTCTGTGGTTTTTAGGTTCTGAAATCGCTGATGTTGTCAACTGTAGAAATGGAGTAGTTGTGGAGAGGTTCAAAGTTGGTGATTTCTGGCTGGGCTTCGAGAGTATTAAAGGTTTGTTTGCCGATAAGGCAAAAGAATGAGTTGACGATTCCCGAGCTTAAGAAGTCACATACGTCTTGGTAAAAACTGATACAAAATTGAAAAAAAGCTGGCCGCTGTTTTTTAAGATTACCTGAATGCCATCCGTTTCAGTCTTCTTCATTTTTGCCCATCCTCGATTCTGTGTTTCAGTTTTGTTCTTCTTTGTCTGAATAAGTTATTTAGAAATTGCCATCAATTCTGTGGTCATTCGGCAAGCGCTATGTTAATTGCCCAAGATCGACTGTTCTAGCCTTTTTTGAAAGTAGTTAACTCATTTGTCGCCAAACGTTTTCCTCTCAGATCGTCCTTTAGACAGCAACGGAGAACCAATGCTTTTGAAATTAAAGGTAAATATGTCGCTTTTATTACTTTAATTATTTGCTAATGTTTTCTGTTGCCAAATCTTTAAACTAATTTTGAAATTTGGCATTTCTGAGAAATGTCTAATAATTATGGCATTTTTTTTATATTTCAGGATTGGCCGCCGAAGGATGACTTCAGTGAAAAGTTACCAACTCGGTAATTATTTTGTACCGCACTGCCTTGCATTGTAAATGGTTTATTTTTTACATGAAGTGTTTTCATGCCAATTTAATCAGTAACATAACAATCCGACTTTGAGGCGTGTTACCCCAACCACCACTAAACATTTACACACATTATTGAGGAGAGACCATGAGAAGCAAAGGTAACAATGTGTAGGTCCAGGAAATATCTATACCCTCCCCACGGAGGGAAACGGAAATTCGGGGGGTAGGCAATTCCCGACGGGGTGGAGGGGTGGCTTTTTGAGGTCTTTTTTCTGGGAGCTTCAAGTATGATTGGCAAGTTATTGCTCTTCGGCGGTGGCTCACCGTTAATTATTAGCTAAGAAAGAACTCTACAGGGCAAAATTGAATTTATTAGACCATGCATTAGCATAAAAAAATGTTTTCTCACTTTATCTAAGAAGCAATTACATTTCCATGGGGGGTCCCAACCAAGATGGAAAATCGCGGAAATTCCAGGGTAGGGATATGACAAGCACCCCCTGGAGTAGAAATTCCAAGGGGGTGGGGGGTCTAAAGCAAAAGTACCCTCCGTCGTGGGGAGTATGGATATTTTATGGTACTACACAGTGATATCTCCCAGCCAAGGCTTGAACTCGGATTTCCAGGTCTGAGTTCCTAATTCACTACGCATTCACGCAAGACCAGAGAGAATTCAAAGGTTTCCTTGTTTAATCATGTAACAATTTTAATCACATTTTTGTTGTACAGATTTGAAGATTTGATGAACAATGCGCCGTTACCTGAGTACACCAGAAGAGACGGTTCAAGAAATTTAGTCTCCAGGTACAAAACTGTTATTTATTTTTACTTAAAAGGCTGTGTTGCTTTAAGTTTGAAACATCTGTTTTTCCTTTTTTAATAATCTCCAGGTTGTTATGATTTAAGTAACGTTGCCTTTTTTCCTAAGGTTGCCAGACTTTTTTGTCACACCGGATCTTGGACCAAAGATGTACAACGCATATGGTAAGAGTTTCTTTGATTTTGGAATTGTAATAATATTTATATTACAAGAGAAAGGACATCAATAACCTTCCTCTTTCTTGGGCAAGTGGCAAGTATGGTTACAGATTAAGGGAAATGCTGTAATGGCAGACAACGCGTATCCTGTCTTATCCCTGAGGATTGAAAATGTTGTACCGCTGGAGGAACAGGAGACCTTTCTTATTTGTTTTGTTCGTTTATTGTTAGGTTCTGCCGCGTGTCCAAAAGAAGGAACAACGAACCTTCATCTTGATATGTCAGACGCTGTTAACGTTATGGTTAGTAAAACAATAAGCACTTAATGACTGGTCCCAAGGGAAACAGTTAATTTTGTTTCCTCCGCTTCGGGAAACATTGAGATTCGATAATGAAGCTGGAAATTCATTAAGCCTTGCTGAAACGGCGGTCGTCGGTGAACATTCGCTTGTAACAGTGTACTGTTACCCTCTGACGTCATAGATTTTGCAGTGTTGCCCGCTCAGAGATTTTAGCGGGAAACAGTTTCGTTGTTTGTGACCTCAAAGTAACCAATGAGAGCGCGCGCAGTTGGGAAAAAATTTCCAGCAATATAACAATGATAATTACCATTTCCATCGCCGTCATCATGATCATAATTTTCATCATTACAATAATTATTTTTATCGCTATCGTCGTTATCATAGAGGTGCCCGCAATCTTAATCTCCAGGGCTGGTTTGTTCAAAGCGAGGTTAAGAGAACTCAGGGTTAGTGCGAAATTTGAATTCAAATATGAAAACTTAAAACGCAATATCAGTTTAATTCTTTTTGTCTACAATTTGATGATTGGATGATCTTAAAATAACAGACAAAAAAATTTAAAAATTTAACCCCGGGTTAGCGCTAATCGCCCTTCGAACAACTGTGCCCAGGTTACTAGTGCGCATGCTTGGCACGTATGTAGCTAGCTTCGTTTGAACTACCTGTAATACTGAATGGAGTGCACAGAAGGCAATCTGATCACGGGCGTTTGGACCTTTTATCACTCGGAATCTGATCACGCGTGTTTTGACCATCTATCACATAAACGTGCGCAAATCACAGCGTTAGAGCGAAAGGGTTTTGACCATCGATCGTTGTCGCCCGCACTCCCTAACCTTCAGTTTTTACTAGTTGTAATCATCATCATCATCATCGTTACCACTCCCACCATAACATTCGTCATCTTATTGTCGCGTTCGTTAAAATCAAGGTCAAGCTCAGCTAAATATAAATTGGAGAGAACTAAGTTGCTTGTCGTCCAACCTCTCTCTTACTCGCGTGACTTTCGCTTAACCGCCTGATTTCTGGAGCAGATATAAAATTAGTTACAGCAATTGAGGCAACTGGAGTAAGGTTCGTTTTATTGCAGGTGTATGTGGGAGTTCCTAGAGATGAAGGAGCTGGAGAAAAAGAAAGAGAGGACGCCATCAAGGCAGTGGATGAGGCCTGTGATGAATCACAGCAATTACGAGTCCGTCAAGAAACAGCCAGAATTGTAAGAAAATACTCGTTTGTTCCTGTTTGAATTTCTTTTTTCCATAGGGAAAATGGATCATTATACGTTTCTGGGAAACTGCCCACCTACCCCTCCCCTAAACCAACATTTTTGTGAGAAGTAAGTGTGTGTGGGGGGGGGGGGGGGGAGGGTGCTAGTTGGGCATTTTCCCAGAAACGTATGATGACCCAAATTGAGAAAATAATAGTGAAAAATAAAACGGCCGGTGGCTTATGACGCCACTTCACTTTGCTAGCCAGAACGATAATTCTGATCACGCGTCGATTGTTAAAGTACTGCAGATTGTTCAAGTGCAACTGGACAGATTCTATCTATTCTCCATGAAGCTGGAGCGCTCTTAGTGCCTATTCTAAGGTTATGCGTGGGAATGGGTCTGGTTTATGTCGAATTGCACCATGGGACTGTTTTGGGGACGAATTTTGACCCAGTCTCCTACACAATCTGTAACAGCCAATAAAAGAAGTGATCAGCAGCGTCCCCAAAATAGTCCCGTAAAGGTGATGTTACACGGGACGATTTGCAACGACGTTTTTTAGCGGAACACAGGGTTGCAATGTTGGAACAATGTTGTAACCATTCGAAACAATGTTTTAACAATGTTGTAACGCTGTGTTGCGCTAAAAGTTTAAACCGAAAATATTTATTTGTGTGGTGTCACACTGTATGGTGTCGCGGGTTATAGCTTTTCTTTTATTCCAGGGCGCGTTATGGCACATCTATGCAGCAGAGGATGCCGACAAGATTAGGGAGTGTCTTCGAGAGGTCAGTCGCTATCTTAGACTTGTGTAAACATGAATATCAGGACATCCCACTTGTCAAGAACTTGTAGCATGCCTAATTTAACACCGTGCTGAATGTTTTTTGAACTTCAGGTCGCCAAGGAACGGAGATCGAAACACCCTTCACATCATGACCCAATTCACGATCAGGTAAGAGCAACAATAATGTCTTGAAACATCATTCGGAGAGTCAGAGTAAGCTTCCTAAACTATCCTATTGCTTACTTGTTTTTATTTTTATTTTTGTTATTTTTATTTTGTGACTGGTGTGCTACAGGTGGTGACATAAGCATAGAGGACTCAGATTTTTTCTTTGCATGGCCCAATCTCGTGACATAGCGAATATTTCATCTTTTTCCCCCTTGGCATCGTCGTTTTTATGAAACGAAACGTTGTGGCTATCAGAGTGTTTTTGTATAATTATGGGACAGGTGACAGAACTGTGTGTCGTCCAATTCTGTGTGTAATTATACTCGTGGTTACGCCCCACAGTATGCATTTGGCATTGCTGATCAGTCCTAGCCATTTGAAGGACACGTGTCAGATATAAACCTTAGCTAATAAATGAACTTGCATGAGTCTCTCCGTTGCTCAGTGGTGTTTGTAAGGTCATAGGTCCGATTGATGTTGGGGACTCAGCTGTTGTCTTGTCCAACCTTTGTGTAATGTCGTTTTTCTTGTTTTTTCGTGTTTTCAGTGCTTTTATTTGGATCATGACATCAGACAGAGACTGAAGAAGGATTATGGAGTGGAAGGTTGGGCAATCTGTCAGTGTTTAGGTGACGCTGTGTTCATTCCAGCTGGTGCGCCTCATCAGGTTCGTCTCGCACATAACCCAGAGTTACATGAGTAATTTCGGCCTCCAAATCAGGTGCTTTTCTGTTTGGATAGTCCTTAAGTGTGGAAATTTTTCTTGCAGGTGCGAAATCTTTACAGCTGTGTCAAGGTCGCTGAGGACTTTGTATCTCCAGAGGTAGGGTCGGATTGAAATATTCCAGAATATTGCAGTTGTGGAGATGTTATGATAAGATTGTAAGGACCGTGTCACTGCAGTCTAGTTGATTTTAGGCTGATTTAGCAACAGAACGGGAACATCAGTTGACGACGGGAAAGCGCGCGGAAATGACTTAACGCGACTTCCGGTACTCAATTTGCCGCTCTGCCATTGGTCAAGGCAGTTGTTTGATTTGAGCGCGCCCTCGTCAACTGACGTTCCCGCTCTATAAATCAGCCTTTTATTAAGTAAAGGCGGTTTTGAGCGATGCACGTCAACAGGAAGGGAGGTCTTTTTCATTTTAAAGCACCTTGACGCCGCCAAATTTGTATTTCTAAATGTCTTTACTCTTATAGAGACGATTTGTCCAAAATTTTGGGCAAAACCACCGTCCAAAAAAAATGAAAAAAGACCACTTCCGGTTGACACGCGTCGCTCAAAAGCGTCTTTATATTGCCAACTTCACGCCCTTATTCACAATGGAACTTAACGTTGGCAAAAAAATAATAATTGCAAATGAGAAAATCGCACCTTTATGTCAAACAAATTAGTCTTCCAAGCATTTTAGCAAACGTTACAACAACAAAAATGAACTTTGAAAAACTGTTAGGCTAACAAGTTTTCACAATCCCTTTTAATCTTTTTTATTTTTGTCCATCCGTACGTTGTTTTGTATCTGCTGTATTATTCTTACCTTCTTTTACTGTTTTAAGCTTTTTTAAAAATGTGTGGCTCAATTTGGTGGCGGTTCCAACTGTCCGAATGTCGATGATGAATTTCGTGACACAACTCCTTTAACTTGTTCAATTTTGCTTAATGGAGTCATCTCCAGCTACTTTTGTGACTATCTTTGGTTGTATCTCTTCTTTTACTTTTGCCAGCGCATCGATCACTGTGTTCAAATGACGCAGGAGTTTCGTCACTTGTCAGACAAACACACAAACCACGAAGACAAACTTCAGGTAAAAACCGAATGATTTCTCTTTTCCAATTCAGGTTACCAAGTTCAAGACCAAATGAGCTCCTTGTAAAATAGTAGCCTGTTCCAAGCTCTTACGTAGCCGCCGCTTATTTATTCTTGCAAAGGAATATGGAAAAAAAATTGACGCGCGCAGAGGCGCTTGGGAAATAGAGAAGAGCTTCCTTTCTTCCCTTGATGCACCTCAAACTCACAAAATCCTTCCCATTAATCACGGCGCGAATACAGAGAAGGGACTAGGTACGAGTCTCTAAGATAGTAATGTGTAAGATCGTGAAAACGTACTAACAGGCGAAATCCAGACTTGACATAAGAAGAGGGTCGTTAAAGGAATGCAAACAGGATCTTTCTCCGTCTTTTCCCGTCTCCGCACCTTCTCCCAGATCGCGCGCGTCTTGACATTGTTTTCGCGACCTCCCCACTATCTAAGAGCCTGGCACAGGCTGCCTTAAAGGGACCATGTCAAGCTGTTTGCTATCTTTTTAAATAAGTTAGAACTTGTCTTCGTATCAATTGAATTCCAAAAAGAATTGGCCAGATTTGTTATTTAAGAATATATTTTAGGCACTGAAACTGTTATCAGTCGTCTGTTGCAAAGGATGGCAAGGATGGACACGGATGGAAACTTGAAAAAATTGGGTGAACATTTTCAAGTTTCCATGCTATGTCTGCAAAAGTCACTAAAAAAGTATTATGGTTGGTGCTTCCTGATAAAATTTGATTGATATCTTTCTCATATCTCTAACGGAGCATTTTGTGAATGGGAAAAGGCTGTAAGTAATGACTTCAACCCAGAATTGACCTAAAACCGCAATATACTCGTGGTATAGGCGAATCTTTGCTGACGTCACTGTTTACATTTTTCCTCATTAGCATACGACTTAACTCACAGACCTAAATACGAACTAAAAATTTTCAGCTCTTTGCGAGCAATATTGAGGGAAATATCAGCAATCAAAAACTGCGAAGTTGCTGTGTGGCAAAAAAGTTAATGAGCCATACATTCTCTGTAAAATTTCGAGTTTTGAGAAGAGAATTTCTCCGAAACCATTCGGTGTTTTGGGCTCAAATTTTCAGGGATAACTGAAACTGTTATGCTCTTTCAATATTCAGAGTTTTTATTTTATTACCGTCATCAGATAGTGATAAGCATATGTTAATGAGGTAAAAAGTGTAAACAAAGATTCGCCTATAGCGCCTTTAATAAGCATATGTGAGAGTAAGAAAAAAAATAAAGAGAAAGTTTATTTGCGGAGAAAACAAAACAATGTATAGTATTCATCTGGGCTAATCATGTTCTCAAACTATTCTCATCACTCTTCTGATGGTTAAAAGCAAGAACTTTACAGACGAGACGTTTGATACTGATTATATTCTATCGCAGGTTAAGAACATAATCTACCATGCAGTGAAGGACGCTCTGAAATCTCTTCAACACTACGAAAAGGAGCTATCTTCAACCGAAGAGCAAAGAGGAAAGGAATGTGATGGAGTCGGTTAAAGATTTTTTTTTTCGTGCGTTTGAGGTTGAGAAGCTTTGTTCGGATGTAGATCCTTCGCGCGTTTCAGCTAGACTAGAATGATAAACAAAACATTGCATTGCTTGCTTTTGTTAAAGAAGTATCAAATATTTAAGACGTAGAAAGGCTTTTGGAAATCGATGATGATCCAACTTGTTTTTCAAAAAAGTAGCTATGATTGTTATACGAAAACCTCTTTGGACATCCCTTTGCAATACTTTCCTTCTTTTTCACTGTACATATTTCTTCTTAGGAAAAGAAAAATACGTATTAAATCCAATAGTTTTAGATAAAGATATTTTACAAATTACTGAACTAGCTGGAACCAATTATAACTTGAGTTTGTAAACTGAAGAGCTCATACTTTTGGTTTCAAGTACTTAGTTGTAGTCATATAATTTGCCCTTAGTAAAAAGTGAGTTAACAATACTTTAATCGATTACTAGTATTTATCGTCAGTGGAGTGAGCGTCCGTTGACAGTTGATCAGTTCTCACCAACATTCAAGAACGTGATGTGATTATTAATTTTACGTTTATTTATAGGAGTTTTATTTTTGCAAGCTGCAGCTTTTTGCAGTTGTTTTATGATGCATATATACATATATGGAACGAAAAAAACGACAGTGGTGATAAAGAAGGTAGACATATTCCAGAACTAGGAACTGGATGTATAATTGTCTTATAACGACGTCCTCCTGAAATTCATACGAAAAGTACAGAGCGTAAGCCAGGAAGGCCGTGCGGGTGAGATCGTATCTCCAGTCTCTTTAAGCTTTGTGTTGCAACCTCCATGAAAAAAAAAAACAGTACCGTGACAAACATTTCACTTTTTGGGAGCGCAACGTGTTGACAGTTTTCTCCTGCCTTAGTCAAGCACGGATTGTTTGATCTCAGTCATTCTCATGAAAAAGTAAATTGCAGTAATCTCGAGTTCTTATGAGCGCCTCCTCCCTCCCACCTACTTCTTCCGAACACATTTGAAAAGAAAGGTCTTTTCTATGTCTCACTTTCTTTCTCCCCCTTTTTTTCGTAGAATACAGGCTTATATTGAGATGTTGGTCGAGTGTAAATGTAAATAGCGTGTCTTACTTTACATTGGCTTGTACATTTTCTGTGTCCAAACTATAGATTATGTATGCTTTGGATATTTTAGGCACGTTTTTTCGTGCGGGATAATAAACAAAGCTATTTTTATACCTGCAGAATGTGTTATGGTCTAAGGTTTTTCTTGCGTTAGACTATTTTCTTTAAAACACTGTATTATAGAACAGTTAGTGGATTCGGTTTTTCTGATACAGTAAACTGCGTGTTATAAGCCCCCCAGTTACATTCTCGATCCCAGTGCTTACGCTTCTGACTCCTCCCTGGCCGTCATGCGCAGAAGAGCTCTGAAAAATACGCCCCGGGGAGGGGGGGTACTTCCAAGCAGTAGGCTAATGGGTATGTGCCACTTGATGGGGAAGCATTTTCACGACTGGATTGACTCATATGGGGTTACATTTTCATAAGAGTTCCTAGAATGGGGTCGCACATTTTAAGGATTTTAAGGGTCAGAAAATTCAGAGCATTTTAAAATAGAAAGATTTACACCACATTAAGTTTAACAAAAATGAGACAGTGCATTTCAAGATGTTCTAGTTAAAAGGCTTTATAAGGTAGACGAATAAGCAGAAACTGACTAAGTTGGACCCCATCCTAGTCACTTTTTTACAAAAGTGACTAGGATGGGGTCTATAATGTGGCCACAGCATAACCTATAATGGGGTAGGAGTTCTGAGAAGCCAGCGGCACATACCCAGCAAAAATTAATCAAGTAACCACCCCCCACACACACACACACACACACACACACACCCTTCCCGGGAAGTACGTTCGTGCGCTCCGGATATAAGCCCCCCTCTAGCTTGAATGTTTATTATGAAGTTTTGAAGGTTGATTAAAAACTAGTAAATGCAAAACGTATTTTGATCAGCACTGCTGAAACTTGTTTCGAAGCACTTTTTTTATTGTGGTTATAACATGTTATAATCCCTTCTAAAATCGATATCGGTGATCAATGTTGAGGTAAAGGTTATCTGACAACACTACCCGTTACTGATCATTCGGGAGATCATCAACAAGAAAACGCATTCGATGATTATTTACTAAGCGTAGGAGGAATGAAGTTACCAAGACGAGAGAAAAAACACACAGATTTAGCAAACAACGCTGATGAGAATGAGAATGCAAAAGGAAGGATGCACGCGACACTCGGCTGTTCTGCCTTTGGATTAGCCTGAATTTCATCCGATTACTTCGAGTCTTAATTACTCCCTCAGTAAACGACTCCAAGCAATCGGATGAAATTCAGGCTACCTTTGGATCGATCTGCACACACTACGCATCACGTCGGCAAGCTGTCTTTGCTAAATTTGGACGACAATCGTACCAAAATAGACGGAAAATTTCTACCCCACCTTCCACCAAATCAATGATTGCGGGAAAACGGTGGTTTAGTCTGTGTCTTTGCAACTAAGTTCAATTAATTTCACCAAATAAATCATCCAACTTGTCTTTTCAAAAAGAAGGACACCTCTCTTATAGCGATTGGTTCAATTTATGGGCTTAGCTTACAGCCCGCTTGAAAAGAACTTTCATTTTGGTTTCAGGCTTACGAACAGCTTCCCCTTCAGAGGGATGCCAGTTTTGTGGTTTTCTATTTTGTCCGCTTCTTTTGTTAAAGAATGAGTACGCCTAAAATCGAAAGCCAAGCCTTATATAGTGATTTTACGTGAACCGTAAAACAGATAACAATTAGTGCAAAATAGCGAGGGGTAAACAAAAGAAGACAATAGCATAATAGTGCGTAGTACTCCACTACCCATTTTACGGTTCAAGTAGACTCAGTAAAACACAGGTATGTGCCGCTTTAAGAACTATGTCGGTTCACGGACTGAAAGTGAGTTTTAAAGGTCTTACCGGTTAGATCTTTCTCGGCCTGTGCTGAGTAATTAACATATAAACGAAAAACAAAAATAATTATAAAGTCAAAGACAATAACTGTCCAATTTTTTTAATAGATCGTTTGTTCCTTGCAGTTATCTTTATTTTCTCAGCCTCGATTTAGGATAATTACGGGTGATCCTGCAGACCGCTGTAGCTACCGAAACGGAAACATGGGGATTATTGGGATAAGTAAGAAGACCATTTGGTCTAAGACTTCCCTTATCTATTTTTATGCTATCAAATCAAGAAAAATAAGATTTGGATACCTTTACAACTTCTGCTCAAGAAGACTTGAAGAACCAATAGCACTACTGGGAACACCAACACTTGAAATTTTCAATACAATTGTGACCTCATTTATAATAAGATAAGGGGGATTAAGGTGAATTGAGAAAACGGCGTTTTAGCCTGTTTAATGTGGTTAAACATGGTAAACGCTTTCTTGATGCGTTTACACGCCGGTGCTAAAGATCATCAAGCAAGCCGACAACACCCACAATATCATTTTCATTCGGCATATAAAACGTTTAGAAAATATTATCAGTCAGGCTTGCCGCTAATTGGAACGAAACTTGAAAAATCCCTGACTCTTTCATGATCTCTAAACAATTTCACTGGCTTTGATTTTTAAATTTATTGTAGAAATCGAACAGCTACGGAACATGTTTCCCGACTAAACTTTTTATAATCTTCATCACACTCTGCACAACCCAAAATAAAATTTCCTGGCTTTCCATTTCTTGTTCACAGACTTTGCCCGACAAGAACTCTAAACTCATGGACACAACAGATTGTAGGGAGAGAAACAAGACTCATTTATTTATGTCCACATTGGTTGCTCAATTTTCGACCAATCTCATTTTAACCATTAAAAGATCGAAAGGCATTTAAAAGACATCACTGAGAGGGTTAAAATCAATTGTATACAAACTTTTATTGATCTTATGATATTTACAAATAAATACACAGATTGCAAAGAATCAGCAAATGTACATCATTAAGCAAAAAGAAAACACTTCTGTTTTCTTTTTTTAAAACATTGACACATTTTAAAAACAGTTTCTTTTAAAACACCATCTCTCTTTTTCCTGACCTCTGCTCATTTCTACTTGCCAGACTGTATCAGCTCTTTTAAGCTGATTTCTTAATTTAAATTTCAAAGATAAGGAAGAATTCTTTACACAGGTATTAAAGTAGCTAAAAATATAACGCCCATGAAGAGAGAAAATGTTATGAATGGTGTAAGAATTTTCCAAACAGGCCAGAGTGCATATGTTGAGCTGTACAAAAAAAGAATAAACAAAAAAGTCACTTTTGTTAATTTGATCAAGTATAAAAGCAAGTATTAAAACCCTCTGTTACAGCAAATGAGTTCTATTTTGAAGTACATTAATTTTACTTCCCATAAGCTTTGACAGAATTTTTCGCAATTTGAGTAAGTTTGAGCTAAGCTATATCACCTTATCTTATCTTTGATTTGATTTATTTCATCATTTCTTGAAGATAACATGTAGCATTCTAGTAAAATCCACATTTTTTATTAAAACCAGTTAAATGGGTATAGGGATCTCCGGAACTCTCTTACAAGAGTCATGCCTTTATAAAACTTACGGGTAGTTAGTCTGCTACACAACCGTTTTTAGGGTCGTCACACAGGGAGGAACGTTGCGTGACGACACTAGAAACGGCTGTGTAGCAGACTAATGGGTAGTATAACCCATTAAAAAATTCTTTAGAACTAGAATTAGTCACACATACAAATCATTGGAGCGCATTCAAGGCAATTGCTAGACTTGCCTACAAGTCGAGCTCAAGTTTTTTCATGAGCGTGAAGCGCGAGTGATAAATTTTTTATGTTTTCTGCGGTAAAAGGGAACAAGAGAGCGAGAGCTCTGGGCTAACTACCAGAACCAGAAATGAGAAGCAGAGGACTTTGAGAAAGTCTAGGCAATTGCAAGCAATCTATATGGTACTCGGCTAACAGATAAACAAAGAATTCTCCTTAATTTGTTCCACTTTGTCTCAAAGAAGACTCACAAAATCACTGCGCAACCCCAGAAAAGGAATAAACAAGTGACATCCCTTTGGAGCAGAACAAAAATACAATAGTCATCCTCCTGGGGGGGTGGGTATACTCCCTAGATTGGCCTGTACAGGGATGCTCCTCCTGAAAGCTACCTTTTTTACGTTTCAGGTATATGAAAGGGTAGGGATTCTGGGTAGGTAAATCTGTAATTCTGGTCTGTGATGGGACCTAAAAGGACTGGCTCATGGATGAATTTTATGACTGCCAAAAAGACAAGAAAACTTCATGGTTCACTGACTTATTCAAGACTTATTTAAGACAGTGCATTAATAGCATTTAAAAGGGATCTAGCACTGTGAAACCTGGTACATGTAAGTGAAATGGATACCATCTGTCAATAGAAGGTATACAAGAGAGGTAACAGTAACTTTTGTCAAAAATGGTATATAACTGGGTGAGAAGTTGAACCTTGTGGTGCAGTAATCCCAACCCCCCTTCCCCACCCCCCTACTTCTACCTGGGCATCATCCTTACCAAATCATGCCAGCAATAAATGATGCAGTAGCAATTGGTATAACATAAGGATTATGCTTGTCCCATTCAGTGATCTTTTTGTAGTAGCTTAACCAAAGCACACAGTAACAACCAATGCACAGGTTTACACCTATGAGAGCCCCACCAATGTATAGCCATGTCCTGTGTAGAAATTAAATTGCAGTATTATTCATTTCCTCATTCAGCATCTAACTTAAACATTTTAAGGTAAAATTAATAATAATAACATTAAATTATTTCAACAATTTAAACTCAAGAGGATAACAATAGAATAAAAATTACATGTCTACATACATGTGAAACACACAATTTCTAAAACTATGACAAAATAATCTTTTCAAGAGTGCTATGCATGTTCAATGTCAGGAACTAATTAGAAAATTTCATCCCTTACAGCCCCCTCATAAATGCTGAAGAGTTAAGCTTGCCACAACTCCAGTGGAATACTCTTTCAAGGAAATTGCCCCATCCTGACTGGAAGTATTCTTACTGAAATCAGTATTGTGCAATGGAACACATGGTTTGCCCTGAAGATTATGCTAACATATGATAATATATGAGAAGTATTGAGCAGCCACTTGCCAGGTGGTTGCTTGGTGAAGGCTAAACTGTAGTTATATATACACAACACTGAAATAACCATCAAAATAATTTCCTCCAAAAAGTATGTCTCCAGGGTAACATTGAGGTTACCAGAGCACTGCTGCCAGGAAATTTGGACAGCTAGATTTCCGAAAATCATCATTATGTAAATACAATACATGTCAAACAACTTAAGAATCGTGCATCAATCACTTTAGCTTACCTATGTATTCTGGAATCAAACCTCACTGCAATATAAAAATCTGAGTAATAGAACACAGCTAGAGCTGCTACCATCCAAAATATAGAATGAGGATTTATACGAGAAGTGCTTCTAGGATCATTTTCTTTAAGGATCCTTTCTCCTTCAGCTTTTATCCTTTCTAAAAAATGGAAGGAACGTTTTCTTAAAACTAAATTAGCAAAACAATGGCGTCGCAAGACTAGTGCTTCAATGCTTTGCAGTGTATCAAAATCATGTTAAAATCATCCACTAAAAGTTATTTAACATTTCTTACGGTCTAAGAGAGGATCATATTGTCCTTGACCGTCTCTGTAACGAATAAAAGCTGAGGTTAAGTCTTCGTGTAGTGTCGGGCGAGAAGCCATTTTGACAAACGCAACGCTGAAGCCCCAGTCACCTCCCCGCTAGTTCCTATTTTTCTCTGGGAGCTGACTGCAACTTTCAGTGGGCTCAAAAACAGTCACCAGTCCATTTTGCACGATCACAGGAAGTTGACAGGACGTGGGTGATGGGCGTAAAATGTAAAGCGGACATCGAGAGCGGACTCAATGCGTATGACGCTGATCACATCTACAGCTGGATTTTGTAGTTATTGTGAATAAAGTGTCGAGGATGAAGCCACTTGCGATCCTTTGTCTGGCTCTCGTTACTCATTTAAGTTTATTTGAAGGTACAGGTAAGTTTATAAATTAGTCGACGTTGACGTGTTTGTCTGTTTATTTTTTCATTTGGTTTCCTCCAGATTCAAGGGGGCGCAAATAAAAAATTTTACATGGTAGAGATTTGAGGATAATCCTACGTATGCTGTTTTATGTGCTATTCTCTATAGATTCTAGAGGTCTCGATCATGGGAATTTTCTCCAGCAACTTCGAAAATACGAATTTGTCACTCCTCAGCTCCACGCTCACGGTCGGTGGAAGAGAGATACATCAACGCAAACTAATTCGGTGAGTGATGAGCCAATACCGTATTCCGATATTCACTCTGTCTGTGCGATTTCTCAGCTCTTTCCTCTTACGGTCGTTTATTTTGCTTCGATGAATCGAATTTTCTTTTGCGGACACATTGCATGCATCTGTAAGAATTGGTTTGTTAATTGACGGCACCATGCAGTTTTTAATGAAAAACAATATGTTAAACTTACTCTTCGTTTAGGGTGATCATTTGGGAAGAACACTTTTGTACTTAAGGGGATTTGGCAAAGACTTCACCTTGGACGTCGCCCTAAACCGGTAAGTCGGGCGCTAAAACTGCCTCATTCATTCGAACAGAGTTTTGGTGAGACATTCCGCCTGACTGTACGACTTTATCATCATACAGTATTATTCCTGTTTCTCCAGAATTCTGCTCTCTGGCACTTATTTGTCAAGGTATTTCGATGAAAATGGAAACGAAATTGTTGAAAAAAACGAGGTAAGCTTATATATTTTTGTTTTTAATGAAGCCTTATTTTTCTTGGTTACCTGTCTTTGCTCAAGAGACAATCTTCTTGCATTTTGTTTGTCAAAAATTGATAATCGGTCAATGTCCAATATTTGCATTTCATTATTCTCAGCCTAATTATTTGCTCTCGTAAGTTACTTTGGTTATTTATTTATTTTGTTACTTTTTTTGCTGCTCGAAGAAAGGAAAGTTCTTTTATGACCGAGAACCACGTACAATGATATTGTCCTTGTGTGTTGCTGGAGACTTCCGTTTGGCATCTAATCGGCTGATGACAGCCATGACATTCGAGAACGGCCACAATCAATAAAAATAGATCGTGTTACCGCCATTGCGAAAGTGGCCACTTTTTTAATTATAACTACAGATTTTATTCTCTTTGGACGCATATTATCTGGTTTGATCTTCATATCCAATTTTACTTCCTCTTTGTCTTCATAATGTTGTTATGTTTCGAAGCCTAGAGAGGGAATCTCCCTTTGTGACATTCAATCTAGTTTTGGTGGTGCCATATTTCACGAACCTTTTTAGGTTAAAAATAATAATGAAGGATCTATAGATACTGTATCTAGTTTCTGACAGACATGACGTATTAGCTGGCATGGTGCTAATACATGAACCTACTTCCTCTCAACTTGTGATCAGGCGGAAAACAGGTTTTGTATTTTTCCAAGGTCATTTTCCCTCCTTATTTACATCTTAAGTATAGAGGGAGGATGCAATATTGACAACTTTTATAATTTAATTTCTGATGGAAATTTCCTTTAATTTTTTAAACACTGGGACATGTAGGCGTGATAGAAAGGTCACATTATTGTTACAATGTTACTATATACAGCAATATGCTGGTAATTAATGTGAAACAAAGGCACCTGATAACAAAAGCATTTACTTTAATTGGAAGTTTTTTTTTTCAAAACCTTTTTTTAAAAATTATAAGTAACACACATTGTTATTCATTCAAAATACTTCTATGTTTCTGATTGGCTTAAATTCCCCGCCTGTAATTTTTCATAGCCAGCCAGTGCTTACTTTGGAAGATGTTGGCAATATTATGCCATATCAATTCAATAAGTTATTACCCTACATAAAATTGAAACCTTGTTTCCAGTCAGCAGCACAGAAAACCTAACTATTTTGGTGTGAGTGAATTCAACAAAACAGCAAAAAGGTTCATGGCTATCTGAACACATTATGGTGAATGACTTACTAAAACTGTCAGGGAAAAATATGTGTTTCATATAAGACTGTGCTGAGAAACAGGCGAATGTTTGGAAGAAAGTTTACGACTGAGTCAAGGGTGTTAAAAACTTCAAAATATTTTGAATGAATAATAAAGCAATATTATTGAATTCAGCTATTATTGATTATTATATTCGCTTTCCTTTTATTTATATCCTAAACTTGGGGTTGGTGAGGGTGGGTACTTGTGTATAATAGTGACAGGGAGGTGAAAGGATGAGCCCATTAATACCAAAAAAAGCCCTATTAGGCTTAAACCAGGGCCAAAATGTCCAACAGCTCAGAGTTTCCATGCCAAAGAAATATCCTTTTGTTTGCTGCATGAAAAATCAAATAAAAATATAAATATAAATATGGTCCATAAAAATGAGAAAATGGGTCGTGCTTTTTGTCAAACACCATAAAGTCTGTTGACCCCAAAAAAGTGCGGCTGCAAATAAATTTTTTGCCACCCCCAAAAATCCTTGTATCACAAAGTTCAAACAATAATTCTTTGAAATTCGAGATACAAGGAGAGGTGTCAGGCGCAATAATATTATTGGGCCTGATACCTCTCTATTGCTATTATACCTGAGTAACTTCATCTGGATCCTGAGTCTACAGAATAACATTAAATTGGATGCTTATTTTAAGCCTCATTTCAACAAAAATAAATTCAAAGGAAAAATTAAAATCAAGTCTTGTAAAAACATGGTGAATGAATAAAACTGTTTACCATCTAATTTCCACTTAGTACTTTTTTCCTGACTTATTTTTGACAAACTATAGCCAAGAAGACCAATGTTACGTGCACATTGTGCATGTCCATGGTCCAGTTTTTATTATTTAGATGGCATTTTTTGGGGTTGTGACAGTTGGTTTGCCATTTCATGGTTTTGTTTTCTTTGGATAGTCACTAACCGTTTAAGTTCCAAGATGATAAACATCAATTTCCTTCTGACATTTTCAATTTACAAAACCAAGAGTAAAGGTTATGAGAATTAAGAAATGATCACCAAAAGAAAAATGCTCTGATCTTTTATCTAATTCTCCTAACTAATTCTATAAGGAAATGTATACAGATCAGTTAGAAGATTTACAACTATATATGGCAATATTTTAGATCAAACATCTTCAAACAACTAAAGTGGAACTCCGCCTTACGGCCACCTTGGTAGTATGGTCACCTCGGTAATACGGCCACTTTTTTTGGCCCAGCAAAACCGCCATACATTGGTGACCATACTTAATGGGTACCTCTGTATTGATTTAACAGCAGCTCAAACAAGTACCCGTATGTTTTTTCACTGTAGCAAAGAATAGTGGAGTTTTCCCCTCTGTATGGCTTGGCATCAAGGACTTTAAGGTCATCTTGTTGTCAGGTAGCTGGTTTCAGGCAAAGAATATTGTTTAAAAAACTGTGTAAGTGATAAAATGTAATTGTCTTTTGTAGGAAAAAGACCATTGCTACTATCAAGGAACAGTTCAAGGATGTCAGCATTCAGTTGTTGCAATTAGTACATGTCAAGGAATTGAGTAAGTGGTTTTAGTTACATTTTTTTTTTCATTTGCCATTGAAAACACAATCCTACTAGTCATCTCCAATTAGTAAGAATTGCCCTGCTTTTTAAAGTTTCAAAACATAATATTAAATATTTGGAACATTTCAATACAGTTGACTCCTGATAACTTGAACCTTCGAGGAAGTCAAAAAAAGTGCAAGTTATCAGGAGTTCGAGTTATTGAGAACTCGTAGCAAATAACTAGAAATAACGCAAAAAAATGGTTTTCAAAACAATCCCATTTAATTGTGGTGCTGACTGGTAAGGCAGTTAACCTTGACCATCAAAAATTAATAAGTTTGATTAATATCCAGGGACCCATGACAATGTAATTGAAGTGGACTGACAAAAAAGTAAAGGCAAAGGAAACATGGTTTCTTTGAAGCAAATTCAATGTTTCAGATTGCAATACACTTTTTTTGAAACTTAATTTTGCCCCATGCTCAAAACATGGTTCAAGTTATGGAGGCTAAAATTATATAGAAATGATCTGAAGGGTAACAAAAGTTACTTCGAATAAGTGGGAAGCTCAAGTTATTTACATACTGAGGCAAAAATTACAGGAAATCTATGCAGGAAATTCAGGGGAAATTGACTTTGGTTGACTATATTTTTTTACAAAAAAGGTAATATTTATAAATCCATGTAGCCAGCCTATAGCTAAGGGCTTGTGTGTAGGCTACATTTCGTCTTAAACCTAAGGGTCAGATCAAACGTCAAACTTTTCATGTACCAAATGTAACACCTATTTAGGTCGACCCAACAGTATAAGTCTGATGGTTGATTCAGAGGTTGAACTTAATAAGTGGGACTCAATTCTTTTTTACTATGTACTGTTCTGGTCTACAATGCTTACCAGGGAAAATAAATTATAATAATTTATGCTTACCAGTGAAAATAAATTATAATAATTTATGCATTAGGTTTGGTACATGAGGAGGTCGGCATTTGAAATGCCAAGTCGTTCCACAGTCAAAATTCCCATGTGGGCCACTCGATCTTAATTCATGAGACTTGACCCAAATTAGATATTTGGGACTTAAATGGTTCAATTTCTTCATGTACTTAGTTGAGGGGATTAGGTTCTTTACTTGAAAAGTTCAATTTTTCAACTGGGCATAAGGGTCAATTTTGAACTGTACTTTACTGTTTCACATTTCAGTGGGATGATTTATGATGGTAATGAGACATATTATGTCCATCCACTTCCCAACAACACCGATAAGGTAAATGTCACGCAGTTCATGAATATCATATCAATTTCATTGATCTTTGGTTCAGTTTTTTTTTTTCTTTTAAAGTTTATGCTCATTAACGAAAGGCATCTATATTGGAGAAGCGCAACACTGGACTGCTCTTGGGGAAGGGTACTCCTAGCCTGCGAGCAAGCGCTCAGGGGCACTCTGTCAGTGGGCCGAAAAAGAGGGAGAGCTTGCAGTCAGGTTTCAAGCATTCCTGACACATGCAAGCTCTCTTCCTTTTTTGCCCTACTGCAAGAGCACCCCAGAGAACCTGCTTACAGGCTAGGGCATTCCCTGTGATAGCCTTGTGGCGAGCTTTTCAGGTTTCAAAAATACGAAGTGGTAGGAATTTCATGACTTTGTTAAAGGGTACAGAAATCTGCCACTTGAATATTTAAAGGCCTTTAATTTTAAATATTTCCAACAGACACACCCTATAGCTGTATAATTTTAATTTATTAAATGCTACATATTATGATTCTTGAAAAAAGACTTACTGTTAGTAGGTATGAGAAAGGGGCGCCAATTTTTCAATGGAAGGTATATTAAAGGGATACCTTTTTCATCAGAAGTGGTATATGAAAGGGTAAGGGGTTGGACCTTGGGGTGGAACCTCCGCCAGGCTGGACTGTCGGTTGTAAGCAAGGTAGCATCTAAGGTCATCTAATTGTGATGAGTAAATCATAGAAGAGCAAAATTGAACAAGAAATGCCGTTTAACAATCCATTGTTCTCCACACACATTTCTCCTTTTCTTGCCTCAACATTTCTCTGTTCATTTGTCAGATATTGGCTCTGTCTTCGTCCGCACTCCTTTCCTGTACTTCAGTTTATTCATATGGTATTACTGTTGTCTTCTAACCAGTATAACCACTTTTCCATACATCTGTAGGTTACTTGTAGCCTGTTCACGACCTCTTATTTCCTCTTTAGAGATGTGTATGAAAATAATGTGGAGGGGACTTATTCATCATTTACGTAAGGTGGTGTGGGTGCCCACACTTTGTGCTCACAAAATTCTTGGGGAAAAAATGTGTGTGGACTTGTAGGCTAGTTCATTTGAATGGACTATTAGTTTTGTGTGCTTAACCAGCTTTTTTCTATATTTCAGTTCGAATAACTTTTAGAGTCCTCAAGTAAAGTAGAATAATGGAATAAATTATCCCATGTTTATTGAATTTTGGTGACTCTAATCCACAGCATGTTATGTACAGAGCAAGGGATATGATGCAGGAAAAGAAGAGATGTGGTGCGTCAAATTTGTTTTTATTAGTATTAATAATAATAATAATAATATTATTATTATTATTATTATTATTATTATTATTATTATATTGTTGTTATGTTTTTTTAATCAGTCACAAACTTGGACAAAAATGTTATGAAAAGTGGATGTTGCCATGCTTAGTTTCAAGATAAAGCTCTTGAAAGCACTTGGCAACTACAAATACTCCCCTTTCCCCTAAAAAAACAATGTTGAAGTCTAGCTGGATCATTTCTGACCCTGCCTGAACAACATTGACCAGGCTGGGGTGAGGGGAGGGGCCGTAGTGGTACCAAATCTGCGGAATAGCTGTTCTTTGGGTGAGGAAGTGCAGAATTCTTAACACTTTTTGACCAAGATTGTAGCTTTTTGTGTTTTTATTTCGTCAGAACCAACTTTTGAAAGTATTGTAAATATTGTTACAATGTACCTGTTTCTTTTCAGTCTTGTGTATTGAACCTTATATTATTTCATGCAGGAGTTGAAAGTGCTAGTTCTGAAACTTTTGTGGATCAGCTTACTGCTCATGGAAAGCAAAGGGTGAGTTTAATGCCGGATAAAGGGCTAAGAGCCCCTCTGTTTTATAACAATACTGGTGCATATTGTTTTCATCTTTTCTGCAAAAAGAAAAATGTGGCTGAGAAAATTGTGAGGTCAACTTATAGCAAGTCTATTTAAGAACCTGTTAGGCTAAAATTTATTTGCCTGTTACATGTATGCCCCATTTATACAAAAACCTGTTTAGCCTAAAATTGAAACAGGTTCTAATTCTCTAAAATCTATAAACAAAATTATGTACACGTAGGCAGACATTCAGGATCCCTTTTGGAGACGTAGGTGCCTTATCAGTCCAACCACAGTGTTTTTCTATGCAGATTTTATATAAAGAATAAGCTGAATACCACTTAATACTCTGACCTACAATGTATTTTTTTTCCTTCAGAAAATAAGAACCTATTTAGAAACCTCAATAGCCTAAATTTGTGCTAATTACCATTATATGATCAGAACCTGTTTAGGCTAACTTAGCAAAATGCACGTTCTTGTACGAGCAGTCACTAGCATAGTAACTAATGTTTTTGGTACAATAAAAGGATCGATCAGAATATAGGGTGCGTTTCTTTCTTGTAGACTCGTAGAAGTGTGCAAAGTGAAACCAAGTTTGTGGAGTTGGTCATAGTCAATGATAACAGCCAGGTGAGTCATGTGGCAGGGAACAAACTGCGATATTTTATGTGCTTATTACTCAAAGACCAGGGACTCGTTTCTCGAAAGACCCGGAAACGTTTCGGGCCCGAAGGCAAACTTTAAAACTCAAACCTGTTGAATAGTTGCACAGTTCCTAGGCCACAGTCAATTTTGCTTCGGAACGGATAGTTTCATTTTATTATTTTCAAAATTATTAAAACTTTGATCTTGAATACAAACATAACAAACCCAAAACAGCTTTCTGGGCCCGAAAAGTTATCCGGACTTTCGAGAAACGGGCCCCAGATCTGTGATCCCCGTTTTGATTTTTCAACTTATCCCGATGAAATATCATTTGCAAAGTTTGAAAAACTCATTATAGTAGATTCAGAGCCAGTCCATTTATCTGTAGTTTACTAGAGTTCAGCAATTGTTGCTGAACCTACAAGGAACGACCTCCTTCGGACAGCCCGAAGCCCGGTCAAAGGCCGAAGCCGCGGGAGACGAAACGGCGCTTGTGACTTGAGCGATACCGGAAACCGTGCATAAAAAGGTTTCTGGCACCCCGGGCGTTGCTTCTTAGATTCAGTAATGCTTCTACGTTAGGCAGATCCCTATAGTTACAGTTTTATTTAGTTTGCCCCGTCAACCATGCAGACAACGTGATATGACTGACATAATCAGACTAGAAAAAATTTGGTCCTCGTTACATAGCATATTTTTCTGTTTCATTAGTATGTGGAACTGAGTAAGAACAAGGCTTCAGTGGAACATCGGTCAAGGAGTATAGCCAATATTGTGGACTCTGTAAGTATGATAGTGAGTGTTGTCTTTAGGGAGCTTAAGCAACGACGACGGAGGCGGAAACACGAACGGCAACAAAGCAATCGGTTTAGATTTGCAAAACAGCATCTCTGCGCGTGCATCATGCTTTTTTGTACATTGCTTAGCCCATGGATAATAGACACACGACTACAAAAATGTGAAAAGGCCTACGTCTGCTTTGGAAAATGAAAATCCAGATTGCAGTTTTTTTGTGAAAAGAGGCCCAGCACCTTCTGGCCGGATCCATTTCTTTCGTTAAAACGGTGCGGTCTAAAGAATCAGCAAACCGAAAGGCGACTGGAGAGGCATCGTGGATCGTGGATGTGCGCATGTACGCTTAAAATATTTCTCAGTGAGAGAGACGCCGGCGTACGAGGACTGAACAGAAGAATCAAAAGTAAAGCGTTGTTTGGTCAGGCATCAACCAAAACGGTAACCGGTCAAGTCATCTCGAAAGTCATCTCACCCGAAGTTATGTCGCCCGAAATTTTGAGTTAAGTCGCGACTTATCAGGGGCACCCAACGTTAATTTTCGGAAAATATCTGTTCGGAAGACGATTTGAGATCTAGAATTTTCGGAACATTTGTTGTAAACTTCTTGCTTGCCTGCCTCTCCTAGGATTTTCGAACATCTAGAAAATGGTATAATTGCCCATTTTTGACGGATTTTAACCCTAAAAAGGTCACCTAGAATTTTCGGATCACTAGACTTTCAGCAAGGAAATCCAAACAGATGAAAAGTTTTTAGGGGATAAAAATATGCCTATATCTACCGTTTAAATACTAAAATACGTTTAACAATGCTATGTTTATGTGGTTTTGAACTATATTCTCGTTGGGTGCGCCTGACTTATATCTGGTTTCGAGCGACATAACTTCATACAAGATGACTGTTGGGCGACTTGACCATAAACATTTTCAAAACGTGTTTATGTTATTCCCTTTCAGCTTTATCGTCCTCTCAATATTCGCATTGCGTTGACGATGGTTGAGGTTTGGACCAATGGTGATCGAATTGTTGTTGATGAGAACTCGGACACGTGTTTGGACAATTTCATGGTTTACAGGAACGACGTCCTTTATAAGAACTTCAAGCATGACAATGCAATGCTTCTGGTGTAAGTAGTGAAAAATATGACTGTATTTACCGAAATAGCACATGGTCGATATACGCTTCTACACAAGAAAAGTCGATTGCAGAGATAGTAGGGAGCTTAAGCAGCGACGTTCAGTTTTTGAGCGACGCACGTCAACCGGAAGTGAGGTATTTTCCCTCTTAACATGCCTTGATGATATAAAATTTGTATTCCTTAGCTTCTTTACTGGCGATTTAGGCGATTTGACTGAAAATTTGCGCGAAACCACCGTCAAAAAATGAAAAAAGGCCACTTCCGGTTGACGTGCGTCGCTCAAAAACGTTGTTGCTTAAGCTCCCTAGTAACTCCGTGATTAACCGCCGTAGCCCAAATACACTGCAGTTTTTGTTGGTGGTGTTGCAAATAATGCCGCGGCATTTTGCCTAAATCGGGACGTCTCTTTAGCGCCCGCTGTACTGTACAGTGTAATAAGCTTTACTTATAAGGGCAAGATACGTGGTTGTCAGAGGCATTGAGTGAAAACCGTTGATTAATCAAAGAACGGACCCGAATAAACTTTAGGCCTGAGCAAATTCGGCCCACCAAACCTAAACGCCTGGAATGCTTAAGGGCGCTTTCCATTTGTCAGAACTGACCGGCCAGTCCATTCCCATCGTAATGAGAATTTCACTTTTAATCAAAACAAACCATCCAGATCAGTCAAATCCTAAATATTATGCACAAACGAGATGGTTTTTCAGCAAAATCTCATCTGAGAAAAAGCCTATTTCATTGCCAAAATGTCTCGTCCGACCATGGTCCTGCCGGCCAGTTCTGACTTTTGGAAAGCGCTTTAAGTGAGGAAGTAAGGTACAACGGCAGAACTGTAGACCCGTTTAGGTTCTCCGTAGTTTAGGGAGCATACGCTCTGAATCTAGATTCAGGAGCACCAAGGAGAGCAGCTAATACATAGTTGTTTGTATTGACCACCCTCGTGGCGGGCTTATTTCTTGGTTGAAAATCAAGTACGGAACCATACCTTTGTTCAACGTCTGTTTATTTATAGTTTGATTTTTTAGTTGCTCTTTTCTTTCAGACATCGTTCGTTCACAGGTTCAACAGTTGGTAAAGCTTCAGTGTCGGCTATGTGTGGAAGAAAGTCGGGCGGGGTTGTTCAGGTACACGTATAGTGCGTATAATAATAATAATAATAATAGTAATAATAATATTTAACATTTATATTGCGCATTTTCTATAAAGATAATCAAATGCGCATAAAGTAGTACAATACAATACAATACAATACAATGTTCTTTATTTTGAGAGGGTAGATATACATGATTAACCCAGTTAAGAGTTTTCTAACATGGTAGTCACCCTAAGCTTCTGTCAAGCGCCCGTTTGGAGAATCCTCGAAGAGTTGAGATTTACTCATCTCTTCACCAGTCTCCTACGCAGCCGTACTCTTTGTGGCCACTCCACGCTCCTTCCCTCCCCTCAGACGGATCGTTGCTTGACTACTTCGGCGTTGGAGGGTAGAGACCTTAAGATCCGACGGCAACGATAGAGTAAAAACTGCACGACCACGACGTAAAAATGCCAAATTTCAGGTATTATTGAAGATGTAAACAAGCGGGGACTAAATTTTCTTTCTGTCTCTGAACCTGAATATTTTCCTTAGAATTCAACTCTAGGAAAGTTCGTCCACGTTTGACAATCGCACTGAAGATTGAAAGAAGGCCAATTCACTTTTTAAGTGACGTTTTTGCCGCCGTCCCCGTCCTCGGATCTTAAGGTCCCTACTACCTCTACACGGCACCGTTCCTTAAATATTTGCGTCGCATTAGCTGATAAGCGTGAGTTAAAACAAAGAACGTTAAAAAGGCTTTGGGTTAAATGAGCAAAGGAGCTCTGCCCGTGCGTCGCACTTTGTGCATGTGGTAAATTTCTTTACCTGTACGACTACGAACAATTTCACGTTTTATTGAGGATGGTAAACACTCGACGACGAAGTTTTCTTTCTCTCTTTAAAATCTGGATACGGTCCCTTAGGATATGGACCGTAGGAGAGCTGAGGTCGTCTTGATTTGACAAATTTAGCGAGATGTGACAACTGCACTATGGGATGAAAGAACGCAAATACCGTTTTCGCTGTGGTATCCTTTAGTTCCTAATTATGCGTTGAATGCATGCGCGGTATTGTAATTTCTTTTGTTCTTTCTATTTAACCTTGTTCTTCTTTAAAACAGGACCATGCTCCAAGTGCCGCAGCTACGGCCGCCACTTTGGCTCACGAAATGGGTCATAACTTTGGCATGTATCATGATGATGACTGTAAGTCTGCTAATAATATTAATCGAGAGGTTTATTTGATTGGTTGTAGCTGTTTTAATGCCTTTTTAAACCCGAATTGTAGAATAATAATTACTCTACCCAATCACAATACGCTTATAATTCAATGGACCAAATCACAATACGCTTATAATTCAATGGACCAAACCTTACCTTTCAAGCTTTACACACCTGTCCACATCTCATCTAAAAAAACATCTTTCACTGCCTCCTCTTCAGGCCCTTCGCACTTTGGTGGTGAGCAAATTTACAACGAGATAGAGACGCCTGGGAACGAGGCAGCCTCTTCCATGCTCTTTAACAATTATTCCTCGAGCCCGAATGGGCTCTGAGTCAATAGCCCATGTGGGCGAGAGGAATAATTGTTTTAGTAAAATCCAACTAGTTGGTCAAAAATATCAAGAATATAAACTTTTTAGCTAGTTAAAAGCTAGACTTTAAGCCTTTTTTGCCGCCAAAAAGCCCGCGGTTTTCGCTACTAGGGGGCTATAACATATAGCCTAGTAGTAGCTCAACCAATTAGAATGCAGCATTGATAATAGACCACTAGTTGGATTTTACTAAAATGTAATAACTTATAGGAAGGCCATAGCGCCTTATGTGAATTTATATTGGTACAAACACTGCTATTGGATTTTCTTTCAAGTAGCACTAAATCTGCGGAATAACACATTTTTCCCTTTGAACGTGGAATATTAGCCAATGGTTTAAAAGTAAAACTCTTCTATATTTCAGTTCCAGATTGTAAGTGCAACGCAGCTGATCATCAGGGATGCATCATGTCCGCCGTTGCCAGGCAAGTCTTTTGCTTACTACCAGTTGCAAACTCTAGGTCTTTAAAAATAACTGTGGTTTCTCTGTCTTAGAAAAATATGTTCGATATTAGATGACAAATGGCTGCCTCAGCTTTTGTGTGTTAAACATTGTCATAGATTTGCCTCTTCTGGACAAATGAAAATACCGTGGCATTCTTTAGATCTTCATCACTTTTTCTGGAAAGAGGAAAAGTGTGGACGGTCTCTTTCATTACTCTTCCCTCCTCCTCTATAAAGTAAAACACTTTTTTAAGCGTCGGATTCACTGTACGCATGTGGTAGCTGTTGGCAGCGAACTGAAAAACGGTTCTTCACATGCGTATAGAGCAGGGATCAGCTTTTTAGCCAATCGGTGTCCGTAATAGGGAGGTGTTCGCCTTGTAGAGGTGTTCTTTAAGTGGCTACATAGGTAGCGCGCGACTGGTCCTTTGTTTAAATAATAATTTATTTGTTAAAGGACCACACCATCCAAAGAATGGTCAACATGTAGCCGTGACTCGTACCAAAAATACCTTGACAGAGGATTGGATGCGTGTTTATTCAACACACCAACTAAAGTAAGCTCAAGGATATTTGAATTGTTTCTGGTTTACCGTCCACCTTTAGTTTTACCGCCTCTTATTAAACTCATTTTTTGGTTGTCGTTCTTAGATGTTTGGTGACGCTGTTTGTGGCAATGGCTTCAAAGAGGAAGGTGAAGAGTGTGACTGCGGTACAGTTGAGGTACAGTGAATCTGTATAGTATTTGTTGTAAAAGGCTTATTTCGAATTATCAAAACGAGGCTCAGAGGTAAGGACCATAAAAAAGGCGCTGTGGGAGCGTATATTTGGGCGTCGATGTACTAGGCGTGTGTGAAGTTTTTTTTATGTGTATTAGGGATGTGTATGTGTGAGTAGTACAGTAGCGTTGTAGGGGTTGGTTGATATGTGTGAAGTAGAAGGCGTGGAGTTATATTGGACGTGGATTGGTAAGATAAATGAAAATAAAAGAAGTGAATAATTAATCCCTGAATCTCAATACAATTTCTTTTTTTAATTTCCCCCTACCGTCGGGGTCATGTGCGTATTTTAATAATTAGAAACTGGCCTGTAAGATACTGTAGCCTATATAGAGCTAATTCAATGAAATTGCATAGTCATGACATCTCATTTACTAGCCTCTTAAAATTATGAACCTCGGCCTCATTAGATACCGCGTCCCTTGATCTCGTGGAACCTCGACACTGATGTTATATTGGATAACGAAGATACAACATGCATTCTTTATTTGCAAGTCAATAGTGTCACCCTCCCGTAACCTTAATGACATGTTAATGTCATAATTGTTTAGGAGTGTGAAAAGTATAGCGAAGGCTGCTGTAATGCTACGACCTGTAAACTTCTTCCTGGTTCTGAATGTGACACCGGCCCTTGTTGTGGCAATTGTAAGGTAAGACTTTGCTTCTAGACTTGTGATACATAATCTTACGTCAATGAACCGCAGTCATAAACAATAAGAGTAACCATAAGATCCAAACGCTACAATCTGAAGCATAAATTTAGTTTGCTCGTTTTCACTGTTTGCAGATAAAGGCACAGGGTACTTTATGCCGAGAAAAAGTGAACGAATGTGACTTGCCCGAACATTGCGACGGAACATCAGAATTGGTAAGCAAATTTGTCTATTCTAAATATTTCTCAGATTCTCAAACTTCTCAAATTATTCTCTTAAGAAGAAACCCCAAGTGATTTTTTGGCTTGGTGGCCTATTACTAAATGATATCACTGGCCTTGGTCCTTAAGTGGAGATACGATCAGTCCATACCAGTGAGAGCTCCACGCCAATACAGTCGACTCCCAATAACTCGAACCGTCGCTAACTTGAACCTCGCGCTAACTGAACCTAAATTGATTTCTCCTGGATTTCCCTCATACATTTATTGTAATTTTACCCTCGGTAACTTGAACCCCCAATAACTCGAACCTCCCGTTAACTCGAAGTAATTTTAGTTTCCCTTCAGATCATTTCTATACAATTGTGCCCTCGATAACTCGAACTATGTTTTTAGCGGGTGACAAGTAAAGAAAAAAAGTCAGCTGCATTCCAAAACATATTTCAAAGCGATCGTATATTCTTTGTCTTTACTTGTTTTGGCAGGCCAATTCAAATACAATGTTCAATCATTTTTATTTGCTTCGAACTCCCGATAACTCGAACTTTTTTCGATTTCCCTTGAAGGTTCGAGCTATCTGGAGTCGCAAAAAGCACCGGAAAATTCTTGCGTGCGCGCGGCATTTTTGAGGAGGTGGCTTTTTTGAAATTGTAGTGTAATACCAACAAGGCCGAAGCAATAATGCAAAGCGAACCAGGGTCGGATGGGTTGCAAAAAAACATCTTAACCTTAAGGGAACTCGTAACTATTATTTCAAAACAATATGTTGTTATTACAGAACAACCGTTAAGAGGCCTATTATCGTAAGAAGGTTTTGTGCAAGCTAGCCCAGGCACGCTGATTAAAACAACTTTCAGTTGGAGTTCACTAACAGACAATGTGTTTATCCATCAGTGCCCAAGCAATAAATATGTTCAGAATGGCAAGCCATGTGGAAACAACAAGGTCAGAATCCTACTTAGTGTTATCGTTAATTCTATTATAAAATAGATTTAAAAGGTTTGATGTGTTTGTTTTTCTTTCGCAGGGATACTGCTACAACAGTGAATGTCCCTTACATGACGAACAATGTCAAGACTTGTGGGGGCCTGGTATGAACTTTTTGTCTCCCAAGCTTTAAAGCCGGTTGCACCTTTTTTTGTTCAAAACGTTGACGTTTGTGTCTAAAACCCTGGTGGCGGGAGCCCCGTATGTTACCTAAACGGGGATATGCCGTTCAACAGGGTGTGGTTTTCGGGGTCTTGAGTCTTAAAAAAGGGTATACGATTTCATCAGATCCAGTGATTTTGTTAGAAATCGTTATGTTGAGTCCTGGGACTCATCTTGTGAAAAATCATGAGTCCCAGTCTAGAACCATTGAATCTCAGTTCAAAAAACAACGAGTTTTAAATTGAAAAAGCTTGGGTCTTTACGTAACCAGGCAGCAAACTCTTTATCACAGTTTACTGAAATTAAAACATAGTCCGTCTGTTTAAACAGCAAAAATGAGGGAACTAAAATATATATGCATCGTTAAACAACAACTACATTAACAGCCACAGAAATCACACGAACAGGATTTTCTACCAAAACATGTTCAGATCGATCGATCGATCTTTGCGTCCTACGGGACGCATCCATTGAATTATTTTGCGTCTTAAAAGATTATGAGTTCAGGGACGCAGGACGCAGAGGTAACAAATTCAATGCAGATCAGTGAAAGTGCTGTGAGGCGGAGCCTGCAGTTTTTTTCTATATCCGAAAAGTGTAGAATGATGAACATTTGCAGATGCCAGGACAAAGGTGGCACATTCACTGAGTGTTACACCTACACTACTTAGTGTCAAGTCACTATTCAGCGCCGGATTCTCACCCGTCTTCTGTAGCTCCGAAGTTTGATACCCAACCAGTTTATCTTACCAGTCAGCAAATTAAAGCTTTTTCTTGACTTAATTTTGAGTTGAGGTGTCCGTAATAGGAAAAGCCCTATAAGAGCTGATATCTCATGTTGGTCTCCTCGCGGACTCTTAATTATTTACTTGTTACTTTCGTGCAGTCGCCAAGTCCGGTCCAGACGGGTGTTACGCGATAAACGAGAGAGGCAGTGTACGTGGAAACTGCCACCGACAAGGGAACAATGTGTATTTCAAGTGTGCTCCTGAGTAAGTTTATATGTTGCAAAACTACAACAACAACAACAACAACAATCTTTATTGTGCTATTAATACCAAAGAAGCAGTAAAGTAATTTAAAGGAAATAATTGCAAAAAAAAAGTGAGCACAGCCACTCAGAAAAAGCAAAAGGAGCGCCATTAGCTTTTCGGTCTATCTTGAAAGGACATAAGTACGGCCAAGTCACCTTTCTGGTCAGACTCAATGAAAGACGTATTACCTGTCTCCAACAAAACGTGCGCATTGTATTCGCAGCAATATTGATTACTGTCATATATTCCCTGCAACAATGTTCTTTCTTTGGTACGAAAATTTCACAGGCACTCAAGCGCGGTAGACTTGATTCATCAGCAAAATGATAGCCTTTGTAATAACTTTGTCCGAACGTCAAGCCACGTCCTACGACAATCAAGATGTCGTCGGATGTGGGCTAATTTTATTCAGACAGGATCCGAAGAAACACGGAAATGTTGCCTTGGATATCAATCCCTGTGAGCACTTGGGTGTGTGATTGGCCCCTTTAACAGCTGCTCTTCGGAAAATTAGCCCTCGCCTACTTATCGCACAGCTGGTCTTGCTCAAAATTGCATAAAAGGCATAGTTTTCTTTTGCCTTTAAGTTAATCGTTTACTTTGCCTTATGGAGTTTTTTGTTCTAGGGACAAGCTTTGTGGAATGCTTCACTGTACAAACATAGATAAAATTGACTATCCAGTTATTGGCACTGAAAGAAGCAGCTACGCGCATTACATTGGGAGTACGTTATGCAAGTTAGTATCTTTCTGTCTCTTTTGTTTTCTTGTAGTTACACATTTATTCAAAATGGGAACTGTGCTCGAAAATTCGCCACTGGGCGCTGGTTTTAAACAAATCATTTGCTCTATTTCACTTTTCCCAGCGGTAAAGATTTCGAGAAAAGAGTGATAAAAGAAGTAGCAAGCAACGGACTCGTACTCAATCAGATTAAGACTAAATAAATGCTGTTTGGTACTAGGCAGAAACTAGAACACTGTTCAGACCATAAAATACAAGGAAAGAAATTGACAGAGTATCGAGCTTTTGGTACTTAGGGGTTACACTAGACGAGAATCTCTCGTGGAACGAGCTCGTAGAATTGATTTGTAATAAAGTGAGCAACCGTCTCGACCTGCTGTTCCGCATACGACGTTACCTTACCCTAAAAGCTGTCAAATGAGTGTATAATTGTTTAGTATAGCCGATTTTGATTACACTGATTCGTTACGGGGTTGGCTGTCAATCGAACGCACTAACAGCTTGCAACGTCTACAAAACAGGGCGGTACGCGTAATACGAAGGAGGGCAGGGTGGACCTGGAAACACAAAGAAAAGCCCACAAATGTATTTTAGTTTTAAAATATCTAAATGAATTAGTTCCTCCGTGTTTATCGGATTATATTATTAGAAATCGCTCTATTCACAATCACTAGACAAGACAAATCAACGACATTCATCTACCGAACCCCAAGTTAACGCTAGGAAAAAGCACTTTTAGGTTTTCAGGTGCGGTTCTTTTTTGCAATTTACCGACATCAATCAATTTTTTCATCAGTTTTTAAGAACTTTCTTAGATTTCGTTTTAGCCATTAGTTGTGTCTTATTAATATAATTCTTAGGTAACTTTGATAGTTCTCTTATTTTTCTTAATCTTAAACAAATTATGATGATGTGTAATTTCCCTTTTAGGCACTTTTTAAGATCCTTTGCAGTGTGCAAAGAAAGTAGTGTCCGATAGCCCGGGGCTAGTGGATTTTGCTATCGGGTTAGGGAACTTTGTTCCTAACTTGCCCGATGGGGAAATGAAATTTTTTGAGGAATTCAAATTACAGAAGAACTGTAGAATCAATTCTGCTCATCAAAATGTTTTTGGGGCTAGTTTAAATGACGTTTGGGCTAGTATATGCTAGCTCTAGCTTGCCCGAATGGCAAGCTTTAAAAATGACTTTCCTTTGCTTTGTACAAAATTTTAAAGTAATTTTTATTATCATGTAGTCATAATTTACGCAGGGCCCCTTTTGATACCAGCCAATGGCTGATAGGGCTACCCTGCCCAATTAAAGTTGACTTGACCTGGCTGTGCGAGACGGTTCTTCCGTTCGGTTTTGCGGGAACGACGGGAGTATTTGCGCACCAACTCGTTTCATGATTGCGCCTTCCACGCGAAATCCTTCGTGACAGAGAGTTTGTTCGTCGCTCATTGAAGAAGTTGAACTTTTAAAGAACCTTAAGTAAGTTTTTTTCTGCTCACTTGTAAGAGCCAGTGGGTCGACTTTCTCTTAAGGGGCTTGTTAGGTTAATTTGCCCCTTTGTTTTACTTTTTTTATTGGTCTGACTGCATATTACCAGGAGAATAATGGATTTTCTCTTCTGAAGTTCGTTCGCTTTGTTTACATTTTATAGAAGTGCTTCTGTAACCCTTGCAAAAGATATGCCTGATCCTGGAGAGACTTTAGAGGGGACAAAATGCGGAGAGAACAAGGTGAGTTGTCGAACAGTTGAGTGACCAGCAACACCGGTGTGCCTTGTAGTTACCTTGAAAAGTCACCTCGGGTTTGACCTACAATAAAATGAGCCCTAACAGAAGCCAACAGGTACTAATTTTTTTTTCGGCGTGTAATATTCTTAGCGACAAAGTTCCAGGTGCAGATAATTTTTTCGTTGTAGAACGTGACTTTTTACGCTGCCAAACTGTGCTTATGGGAGTTTTCACTGTTTTCGCTGAGGCCATCTGCTGCTTAACAAATCAATGAGGAATTGCACCTTCCTTGGGAGAAGATTATTCATTCTTGCCAAACTAAACTCTCATGAACGTAACTTTCTATTTTCCTCCAGCTCTGTATAGACAGAAAGTGTACAGATATACAAGTGTTTAGCTCAGGCCTTAGGCAGTGTCGAAACAACTGCTCCAATGGAAATGGGGTGAGTAACTCTTGTACTGTGATGTATATCGTTCTTAGAAGAGGCTTGCGTGTTTCTGGAGTAGAAATACTACTCTTCAAGTTTGAGGGGTCGCTATCACATGCTAATCATTCAGTTTAGTTAAAGCTATTGGTGGTGCCAAGAGATTTTTTCATTTTAAAGTAGTGTTAAGTTTTACAACATTATCTCTTTTACTTTCCCAAAGACCGCAACTGTAATCTTCAATGCAGCTGTTTATGTTCCTGAATATGATTTGATTACATTCGAATTCCGTAGATTTGCAACAATGAAGCCGAATGTTTCTGCCTCAGCTGCTGGCAAGGCCGAGATTGCAGTGAGTGGGTAGAATGCATTAATCCAACTAAAGCTGGAGGTATGTCACTGAGGTGTACAAAAAAAGTGCAAATAGCCTGAGTAGTAGTCGTGGAGGAGGGAAATCCACTATATTTCTCACGCACTTGTTACGTAGGCTGAACAGGAAAGGCCATTCGTGACGAATTTCGGCTCTTCTGTAAAAAACAGCGTTGAAAATAAGTTAAAAACTGAAAATGGAAACTTAATTGTTGGAAGACTAGGTAACGTCCTCGAGCCTCGCTCATCGCTCGCGATTGTCCCTTTGCCCGTTTTGGTACTTTGATAGTTAAAGGTCAGGCTCAGCGATCATCTGTTTGCATTTCTCAAAATTAGTTCTCCTGACGACTAAACAGGAATTAACAAGGTTTCTCTTTAATTTGTTGTTGTTTTCTTCGTTTGTTTGTTTGTTTGCCAAACAAACAAACAAACAAACAAACATGAAGAAGCAAACCTCTTTTTTTTCGCGACAAGTCACATTGACTGGTGAATGTTATTAAAACAACCGAGAGAAAAAGCCGTACGAAATTGTCCTGAAATTCTCTTTCGACATCGCTGTCTGATGAAATTATACCTAGACTACCTGCTCATTTTTACATTTTAGTCGCGAAATGCACGCCAGATCTAGTGAAGAAGCAAACCGTTTAAACCTAGTTGCATTTCATCTTTTATTGAATTCACCATCGCATTATACGCGAAAATACATCTCGTGTACCTCACCTTACACCCTGCATTGCATTGCTTCGCGTTTCATACCCTATACGTTGCATCGAACGTACATTGAAGTTGACTGCGTTCTATCCATTCGCATTTATTTTTTCCACTGTCTTGCACGTGCATCAACTTACCACATTGCTGTGCATAAAGCATCCACTGCGTGTCACTGTACAACCTGAACGTGAGTTTTCGGCGAAAATCTCTTACTGTCTCCATCTGTTAACGTCATGAATGCTTTTAGAGCACCATGCTTAGCCCGCAAATAATCGAAAGCCTAAAGAGTTGTAGAGCATTTTCTGCCATTTAAGGTGTTAAAGTAAATGATTCAGCCGATCATAAAGTTAAAAAGTGAAAGTTAAAAAAAGTTATTTTCTATAATGTTGCTTAACTCTAAATGCGATAAAGTTGTAACTTATCAGCCATACTTAAGCTAAAATGGAAAAGTACAGGTGCACTTGAAGGGGGTGTTTTTGAATGACGTGAGAGCAGGCGCATTACAAAGTGGTATACACCTATTTCAATACAGGTTGCTTTGGGAATCGTACTTTGGTCTTCGGAAGCCATTGTTTGCAGGGGCGGATCTAGGGGGAGGGTGCAGGGGGTGCGCACCCCCCCGAGATTACCTGCGGTTTTCTAATACAAACGGTATTCTGCAAAAAAAAAACTATTGGTTTATTGGTGTTGAAGTTGGGCAAGAGACGTGTGCACCCCCTCCTAAAAAAAATCTTGGATCCGCCCCTGGTTTGGTTGTCACTCAAGCAAAGCATTTCACTGTATTCTGTGTTTCAGTGACCAAATCCCAAAGCAACTTTTATTGAAATAGATGTATGTCAGCGATAGAACCTCTCGTCGTTACACTTGCATTTATCTTACTCAGCAAGTTTCTCCTGACGCCTTATGAAGCCTCCGTAGAAGAGAAATTGAAAGCGGTTTGGCGCACAAAAGACAAACGTGCATGTGCTATAGCTTTTATTTGAATGACTTCTGGCGTTTCACAATAGACTCCAAAGTGATAGCCAACTGGCCGTCAAGTTGCGAAGGACTGCAAAAACTACTCCTAAGTAGCTTTTCATTTCATTTGCAATTCTATTGATTAACCGAAGCGTTGATTTCGGAAAGAAAATTTAAGGGATTGGCTTTTAGTTGGTATATGATGCTTTTTTCAGAGAGAGAAAAGATTTAGAGAGTCTTGGTTGACATGGTATTATTTCTATTTGATTACGTGGAACAAAGACCCTGTTTTCAAAATGTCTATTGACCCGCAACAAAGGTCATCTTGTTTCAATCTAACTGCTAAGGATTTCGATCATAGGCGCAAAAGTTAGACGCTTTGCCTGCCTATAGCTTTTAAACAATTCGCCTCCAGTTATTAGCGCGTGTCACAATATCGCGTTTTTTTATATGAACGCTAACCTGTAGACCCTAGGGTGCTCTTCAAGGTATAACTTTTCCGAGCGAGCATCCTGAGTGATAAACCTGTCAGCATTTAAAATAATCAGGTCATTTTTTTCAAGTTCCAAAGCTTAGCACCCTGCTGATAAATATAACTGACCTAACGCATTCTAAACTCAGGGTTTACATTTCCTATATGATTCACTTCATTCAAATATTGTCTTCATTTGATTTGAATACTATAAATTATGAAAAGATAAATTATAACTAACTAGTCTGTGATGTTTTTCTTCGACACCCGACATGTATCAACCATACCTATGCCCTGCATGTAAACCACTCCTCCCCACTACGTACAGGTCACGACACAGTCTCGTCTATAGTCACTACTACTACAGCAAACATCACAGAGGTCCCAGGTAAGACTTGACAAATGACTCTTTTGCTGTTTTACTAACCTTGCTCACACGACTGGCCCTATTTTTGTCGTCACGCAACACCCATTTAAGTTCTCGCCGCACGTTCCATGCTCCCCAACTTGAATTGATTATTACGAATCCCCCATAATGCACTCTGTTTTCTGTCAAAATTTTGCATAATCTATTGTTTTCCATTGCTCACGGGAATATGCTGACCTCCCAGGGGAATCGAAAAGACTACGGTCAAACCCCGTTAATACGGACACTGAGGGGGTCATAGGAAGTGTCCGTATGAGCGGGGTGTCCGTATAAAGTGGGTTGAATTAAGAGAAAGTGTAAGGGCTTTCTTTCCCCAGGGACAAACCAAACTGCCCGTTATAGTGAGGTGTCCGTATTAAGCGGGTGTCCGTAAAGCGGGGATTCACTCTAGTTTATTCAAAATTTTGGAGGCAAAACGAGTGTAGGATGGGGGATTCGATTGACCTTATTCTACAAGTTACACATACTGCAAAAGTATCGACTATATGACAAATTAGCTCCATCAAATCTTCACCTACAATTCTCTCTACCTTCGGAACAATACAGAATATATTCCTGTTCCAGAATAAGGTCAATAGAAGGCATTATTAGGATTTCCTTCCGCTTTTTAGGTATGTGTCAGCAACCATCTCCTAACTGGTCTGATCTGTTTTTGACGAAAATGCGAACGTACGTCAACTGGCAATAAACCCATAAAACAAGATAACATTTTTCGGATCCCATAGTGCACGTATTGTGTGACGTATTCTCAGAGCTCTTGCCTACCTGGAACAAGCCAGTCGATATCAAAACAATGTTGTGTGATGACCAAGATAGGCGTCGTGTGATGAAAACCGTGCGTGTAAATTAAATTAATTGTAAATGCTTTGCGCAATTTAATTGTGTGGTGGCTCGTGGCTTTCTGTTGACGTTAATGCTTTAATGATGCACTTTTACAGATGTTATTGCTTTTAGTAGTAATGTTAAAAGCATAAGCACAAAAACGTTGAACCTCCTGTTGTTTCCCTCCCAATCACTCCTCTAGTTTAACTCCTGGAAGAGATGTTAGTCAATAACACAATCAAAAAGCTACAGATAAGCAATAAGGAAAGGTTTTTATGTTAATACGGATACTCAAAACAGGGGAAGGTTAAGTTATAAGCAGTTACAGCACTTTGAAGCCATTTTCTTCTTTTCTTGGGGACTATCTAACATTCACACCATTTGTAGAGTCCCTCAGGAGGTTTCACTAGCTATACTAATTACCGCTAACACTAAAGTCAGCTAATGTTCTACATTTTACGCATTGGAAGTTCTCTAAACACACTTGGACAAACCATAGGCCAGTACATGTCTCCTTGTTTGCATGCGTTCTATTAACTGTGAAATGAAATACCCAGATTAAGTAACGTTTGAACGAATTTTCCACCTTGTCACACTTGAAAATCCAACTAAAGTTATTAATCTACTACTAGAGTAACTATTGAGTGCATGAACCAACAGACATAACATTGTGAACATTATGAAACTTTCCATTTTTTTCAACTACTAATATTTTGTCTCCGATTCTTGTGATTGTTCTCTCTTAATACACCCATTGTCGACTTAGTATTTCGTCAGTTTACTTACAGCATACCTGTGCTTTTACAGTGTATACCATTTGACGGTTTACCACTGTTTCATTCTTTAAGAAAGTGGAAAACGAAAATCCAAACGCTGTTAGCTGTCATTTAATCATCATGTAATTTTTATCAAGTTTAAATTTTTTATTATCGCTTTGCGCCTACGTGCAAATGACAAATGTGAAAAACCATGCTACAACAGGTTCTTGTTCTTGCAACCTATACTAGGCTCCAGTTCTGTCCCTCTCTCTTTCTGTCACGCAACGCTAGTAGAAAGTGGCGAGAGACGCTTGTGTGCGTATGCCGACGTTGCGTGACTGACAGAGTGGTGGACCAGAGCTGGAATATATAACATCCCGTCAAGAGAAAACAAAGCGATGCACAAAATTGGATAAAAATGTCGTGCGACGCTACGTAAAGGCTCGCCAACGGCGCAACAAAACTGCAACTGAAAATTGTCTACTGTTAAGAGGCCTTTTTATCCGTGATTGTTTTTTATTTCGCTGGCCTTTCCCGCATTATATATGTAATTTGTCAAGTTTCAATACACAGTTGTAATAGGACAGTTGCAGTGGCTCCATTTATTATGCTTTGCAGCAGCAATGTCGTACCGTAAATGATCTAATGGACTCCAGGGGCGTCTATTTTATTTTAGGAGCCCAAAAGGAGGCGTTTAATAGGTAGGAGGTGTTTGTTCTTACAACTGTAACAAACTCCACAAAAGAATATGCTTTAGGCGAATATATCACCACAGTTTGTAAATAGCAGACTATCCAGTCCATCCATAGGTACTTCAAGACCGTTTAGAGTAAGCCAGTATCTTTACTTTGAACTAGTTTGAGATTGAACAATATGCAATGCGCCAACTCTCATAATTTAAACGAAACTGGATGAATCGAAAAATGTTCCTCTGTTTTGCTATTTCCTTGTATTGTCTTACGGGGCGTCTAATACAAACTGAAAAGCGTAGGCGGGGGGCGTTTATTTGAGAAAGGGCGTCTATTAGATTATTTACGGTATGGAAGTTTTTTCCACCCCTCGTCTTTAAATAAGGAGCATTCTGCGTCTCGTGCTGTGTGGCTATGTTGTAGTGTGTTGCTCAGTACTGAACATTTTGCTAACTCGTCACTCACTGGACTTATCATATCCTAAGGACCTAAAGATCCACAAACTGACGATGGCAAAGGAAGTAATTTGGCAGGAATCTTGGTTGGTGTGTTTATTATTATCTTCCTGATTATTGGAGCTGGTGTCGCTATATATTATCGAAAAAAATTGTTGCAGAAGTTCCTCATCAGTTATTGGCGCTGGTCATTCAACTGATCATTTATCTTTTTATCGTCGTAAAAAATTGTTGCAGAACGTGGCGAGAATATCATGCCCGGAAAAACTTGGCCCCCTCCTATGGCGCTTAGAAATCGTTTTAAGAACAAACATTCAACTTTTTGGATCATTTATCTATTAATTTTTCGCATTCGGTTTCAAATTTCATTTTTATAATTTTGGATCCCGTTTAATCGAATATTTGTTATATCTGCGGACTGCCATGATATTTTAAATTTATCAATAATCGATTAGCATCCCGAACAGGTATTCTCAATTTCTAATCGATTAAGAACAGGTTCCGTGTTAACGGTGATGAGGGAGTGTAGAAGGAAAGGAAAAAAAAAGGATGTTTTTCTGCATGAATTAACCCTTTTAAGACCGATATCCACATTCAAATTCCTTAGACTTACCTCCCTCATTTTTGTCAAGAATTAGTTGAGAGATTTTGTTTTGAGATCAAAGAGATTTTTTTAACGTGATTATTTTAATGATTCTCTCCCCATACCCTTTACTATTGATTATGTAAGTGTTATTGCGACGAGGGGTACTGCTGTAGACTGTCCCTCTCCCCTACCCCCTCCTTTCCTTCCCCCCTTTCCCATCAACCCTGTGCTTTTATTATACTCTCTTCACAACTTCGTGTCTTAATTAGGCGAGTCGAATAAGGATCAGCACTTCGTAAAACAAAAATGATTTCATTTGTCTAACAAGAACAGGTGCGTTTTATCAAGTGTACAACACGAGGCATAGACCAAACTGCCAGTTTTTTGGACTGCCACGTATGGAACTCCTGTACATTTGCGCATTCTCAGAGACCAAGAAAACTGGAGCTAACACCATTCCTGTGTTTTATCAGTTTTCAGAGACCCATTCTGAAATGTTTCTCTCTTATTCAATACCCCTCTTCTTTGTTTTGTATGGAAAAAATGAATTTAAGACCTGGTCACCATTGAAACTACAGTGACCACAATAGTGACCTGATGGTTCTAAAGTAATGAATAGGTGCATTAAATCGCTATTTCTTCTTATTATTTTTAAGAAGGTCTGAAGTTCAGCATTTTTTGTGTTGCTGTTTCTTATTCATAAATATTCAAAATTCTCGTTAGGTACAAAGGTGTTTCCACTAGATCTCCCAAACAAAGAGGAGCGCGTAATGGAGGTGCAACACACTGGAAGACCGACGTAGAGGCCCCTAAACCGAGGCCCAATATATCAGGACCCACTCTTAACAGCACCACAAGAAAAAATGATCCTGATGTTGCTATAACTACAAATCCACTGGGCTCGACAAAGTTCACGAATGTTTACAATAAACAGGATCAACCAGTATCACAGCCTCCAGTAGCCTTTAAACCTACTCCACCTAAACCTGGAAAACCGGAAGCTGAAAAGGTGGACTCAACGGATTATCCAGCGCCAAAGCTTCGAAATCGAGAGTGGCCCCCAAAGAATGACAAGAAAGCTTCCTTAAATCGCGTCTCCAGTCCCCCATTGGTAGGAGAACCAGTTAAACCTTTTAAACCTGTTCCGGTGAGGCCTCCCCGACCGGAGAGCCACGCAGGAATCCTAGAGAAACCAGCTGTCCCCCCTCCCCCTGTTAAGAGTCCACAATCACAATGGGCTGGTGAACAGAAGAAGGACACATCGGTTGTGGGTAGTCAACCAAAAGTACCAAAACGGCCATCAGAGGAGAGGCCATCTTCGTTGCCTCTTAAGCCGTCTGACATTAAAAAAGGAGGACTTCCTGCAGGCAACAACCCCTCTCTTGTGAGTCAACCAAAAGTTTCTCCTAGGCCCCCCACAACTGGCAGCGGTGCGAAAGTAACAAAGCAGCCATTAGAGGAAAGGCCGTCCTCCTTGCCTCTTAAACCCTCGGACATTAAAAAGGCAGGACTGGCGTCAGGCAACAAAAAGCCCTCGTCTTTTTCTGCGGCAGACAATAAACCTGCTCCTGGTAGACAAACAAATGTTCTCTCTAAGCCCGCCACAAGAACTGACGACAAATTTCCGAAACGACCATCGGAGGAGAGGCCATCGTCTCTGCCTCTTAAGCCCTCTGACATAAAGAAAGTGGGACTCGCGGACAACAACAAGCCTTCGTCTCTTTCTGGGGTGGTCAATAAACCTGCTTCTGGTAGGCAATCCAATGTTCTTCCTAAGCCCGCAACAAGAAGTACTGGCGAGAAATTTCCGAAACGGCCATCGGAGGAGAGGCCATCGTCCTTGCCTCTTAAGCCTTCTGATATTAAAAAAGCGGGACTTGCGGACAACAAAAAGCCTTCGTCTTTTTCTGCGGCTGATAATAAACCCAAGAAAGTTCCGCTCAAACCACCCGGACCAGTCCCTCCGCGACCAGGATCAAGACCCACGTGACTTGAACACTTATACCGTAGGTAGGGCTGTATTTAATAGACGGTACAACCCTGTACATTAAACCAGGGCGTGTTAGTCCCTGGCATGTAAGAGTGGTATTTAAATTCCGTCAGCACGCTCCTTTTCTTATCTGGTCCCAGTTGCTAAAAGTCAAATAGTGCTATTTATTGGATAAACCCCTTTTCCTTTAAAAACATAAATCGTGAGTTTCCTACACTTAACGGATAGCTATTCATGCGGTTTATAGCACTATACAACATTTGATCAACTGGGCACCTACGATAAATGTTTAGTTAAAAAAAAGGCATTTCTCGCAAAAGAGATGCGTATCGAAATAAGAGTTAACGAATTAAATTTTAAAAAAAAATTAATGCCGTTTTCAATTAGCTCACTGAGAAGTGACAAAAAATATCCTTATAAGAGTGTTTTCACATGACGTCACGGCGGCCATATTGGTGTCCCAAAACAATGAAACGGCGGCCATGTTGGTGTCCCAAACGAGTCCTCTGGGAGTTGAACTCTTTTCTTATGCAAACGCTTTCTTTTGTTCCAATAAATTTGCATACATGATGGCCACGTGAGTGAAAACACTCTATAATGATACCCAATGTATAAAATCAATGTGATCTCGACCTCGTAATATGAAGATGTCTCCTTGCTTTCTGGAAAATATTCCAATAAAATGATGATTGGATTAACATTTTAACGAGACTCAGTTAAACAGCGGCTTGACGTTCCATTTTTGAACAGTTCTCAAACAAGTTCTACAGTAGTCTTAATTTATTGCCGGCGTCCATATAAGTCTTTCACCCAAAACCCCCTACAACATAGAATAAATTGCTTATTTTCTTATTGCGTTAAATAAACTTTTTACAATTAGTTTTAATACTTGTTAACTTGTTAATGTGTCTGTGATTCCAACGTATCATTTCTGAATTCAGCTGGGAGTGGATTTAACGAGATTGAATCATGTTTTGTATTATTTAAATGGCAATGGCGTTGAGAAATTTATTTTGTTACTTCTTTTATGAAGAATAAGACTTAAAGTCGCTAAGATTTTGCGTCGCTGTTGCTAGAAAATAAACAGTTATCAAAATTACTAGAATAATATGTAAATTTATCATTTGGTTATGATAGGAATTAAACTACTGCTTTTGAACTTTGTAGATTTCTATTCAAACATTTCTCAAGCCGAAAACTTAAAGGACCATAATTTATTATGACAGGGAGGATCGGCAAAATCCATACTGATCCATATGGAAGCCATGCTTCCTCACCCTAACCCGGCAAGACCTCGAGAATCTGTCCCAAAAGACATCTCTAGGCTCGAAAACACATACTATCACATCGCAATTGACAACTACAGCTAGCGATTTCTACGCACTGAAACAGCTCTCCAACACCCAATCTCCCTGTGATTAACCACACCATAGTTCACCTTGCCATCCACGGCATTCCATTTCGTTGCCTCATGGATAATGGTCCAAAATGCATCTTAATGACACGTCCCTACAAGCAATTTGCCAGCACATAAAGTTTCGAACACATTCGTCCTTCCCCCTACTGGTCCCGCAACAATAGTAAGGCAGAAGCAACTGTCCCGGCCGCTCATCAAGTAGTCTGAGGACATCTACCTGGCGATTCTTGACATACACAACACCCTTCCCCGTGGCCACACCTCTTTACCCTTACAGCGACTAATGGGTAGACGTGCCCATTCCACCGTACCTGTACAAACAGATCTGCTCGTCCCCCACCTGTCCCCGCGTCATAATTTTCAGTAGAGCTGCAGGAAAAGTTCAGCACGACAAACACACGCAACCGTTCTCCAGTCAACTTAGCTTCGCGCTGCAGCGCTACCACAATACAGACCCCAGCAACCGGCCTACACCCTCAACTATTACCAGTAGCTACAATTTCACATCCTAGACCTGATCTCACAGCCCCAATTAATATTGAGCCCCAAGCGCCAACTCGACCGCTACAGGAGACTAGACCCCCACCGAAGTTACCAGATTCCCCTGCAGTGAGCACTTCTGACCCGCTTTGCATCAGTAGATTTGGGAAAGCACTCCGAAGACCACAAAAAATTGAAAACTTTCACTTTCATAAGCGATGAAGAACCTCTCATTGTCAACTTGCTTGTGTGTTAAAAAGACACGTTGAGGGAATGTATCGTTCATTGTCCAGCAAAGCAACTCGTAAGTTTGATAAAAATAGGAACTTAACATTTTATACATTAAACTGACTATTAGTGTGTGTAGCTTACGCCCATACGTTTCTTTGTTGTACCTGTGAAGCACAGAAAATCGGAGACGTCTGCAGGCAGGCTACCTCTGTCGACAAGATTTGTGCAATGGTTGCCACTAGAATGGATACCTTCCAATATCAGGTTTCCACGTAAAAATGTGTGAAAAAGGTCGTAACTTAAAGTATTGGTTAAAAAGGAAGAAAACAGAGTATGCAAGGCTTGAACGCGCATCATTTGATTTATAACGCAAATTCTTAACCACTACACCATCAAGCCGTGCTAACTGCATCAGTTGCTTTGGCGTGCTCTACATGGCATTAGTCATGATATTATTTGAAAGCTAACCGATTTTAAAACAGTGGCAAGGTGCGATCGCTTGACTTCGATGCTAAGCCCTAAACGCAACTCTTCGGTTTCCTTGCTTAACCGGAACTTTCCAATTTTCACCCTTAAGCTTTTCTGAATAAATGTTCTTTACAAGGGGTGCATGTGTTGTCTAATAATCACCGGGTGTGCAACATGAGTTTGGGGTATCCATCCTTGTCACTACCTCATTTTTGTAAATGCTGTTATTTCATTTCCGAATTGCGAACGATCAAACGTGATAACTGTACAAAAGGTATGTCTTTTCTGGTTAAAATATTTTTGAAAGGCACAAATTGTAATTTTCAAGAGGTTCAATCAGGCGAGATGCTATTGCGGTTGCATGAAGATTGTTCGTCTTAATTATTCCAGGCTGATACCAAATTATAGTTTTCTCGTTTAGTTTAGGTCTCTTTAGCTTTAAAAATAGTATTGAGACGATGGTTCATCATTGGTAGGTCAAACGTCCTGGTTTTCGTTTCGTCTGCTTCTTGCTTTGTAGTGGAGTGACAACCTTCCGCTGAGCACCGCTTTTATGAACATCATCTCTGCTGGGCATCCTCCAAACCTCTTTCCTCGACCCGACATTGTCGTTATAACAGCTGCAGGATAACCCAGGAACTTTCCAGTCGCAGCCATGCCACTCCAAGTCTTCATCAGTATTTACGTATGCATTGGTTTTCTTTTCTGCAGTGCCTTGGTTCTCGAGTTTGTATTGAATGCAAGACTTTCCTTTGCAGGAACACCAACCAAGCTTAACATGACAGTCGTCGTCGCTGCGACAGCCTGCTGCAGCCAGGGTGCACTCGAACTCTGGAGACTCCTTCGAGGAGCCTCTGGTGTAGTCAAATTTCTGTAAGGAAACGTCTCCACTTTCTTTAAAACGACAGCCGTAATTCAGGTAGCCGAGGTAGTAGTACTGTAAGTTTACCGCTCTGATATAGTTGCCTGAACCGGTCTGGAAACGACTTTGTAGAATGTCCCACAGAGACCTAAACGTATGCCCAACAGACGCTTCGATTTCGTTGGCTTCGTTCAAAAATTCCTCCATCAGTTTTTCTGTCCTCTTTGTTCTCAAAGCGTTTCGAGTTTTCTTGGACCCTCCTCTAATGACGAGTTTATCTTCAGTGTTCATCTTGGTCACATTTGCGATTTCGCTTTTGGTGACATTTGCACATATGTCGACGCCGACCTTTGCAACGTTCGTGGGACCGGCCAGTTTGACACAACTTCTCACTTCGAAATTCCTCTGACTGTACGAAGTAGAACTCGCTGTGAATATGGTCTGAAACATACGTGCCCCTCGTTTGAAAGAAGTTATAACATGGGAACCGTATTTATTTAAAAACACGTCGTATTGTTTCCAGGAGTTCGCAAACCATGGCTTTTCAAATATCAATGGCAAGCGTTCCAAGTCTTCCACGAGGTTTTTCTTTAAGGTGGACATATGCTCATTATCTAAACAGTCTTTTTTTACCAAGACCTTTTCCCTCAATGCTTGGACGTTTAAAGAAATTCCACTTACTTTAGATTCTTGTGAACCAACGTTGTGTACAACACTCTTAAGTGTAGCACCAAGAGCGAAAAAAGACATCAGCGAGCCTCCCAAGCCTGCCCCAAGGGCTATTTTTGAATAAAAGGATTTAGTGTTTGTGTAGTAGTCAAAGGTGCTGCCTGTATCATGAAGCTGTTTTTTTACAAAGCAAGATGGAGGCAAAGATTCAAACAGGCTCGCCTGACGTTCTTGGAAGTCGTCTAGTAAGTTGGTTTTCCGAAGATTGACTCCTTTACCGAGCTCCTCTAATGCGCTATCTGCTGAAATTGCCCTGAGAGTGAATGCCAGGAGGTTAAGGGACATCATCAGTATTAACGTCATGACACTTGGTAAATATTAAATTCAGTCTCCTGAAAAATAAGAATAAAAGTAAGATCAATAGAACGATTAGGTCTCGTGTTGCTCAGTTTCATGCAGATGCCAAGTGGCGAAAAGGTATGTACGGATGGCTCTAGCCTGCGTAGCAAGCGTTTTCTTTTGGTTTCGGAGCAAAGAAAGACCGAGGAACGGGATTTTCACGTGATTTTCGGTTTTGGCCGCGCGAAAAATGGAACGAGGGCCAAAAAATAAAGAGGGGGGAGGGGTGGGGAAGGAAGGACGATTTCCTTCCTTCCTTTCCCACCCCCTCCCTGCTATTTTACTCGACCCCCTTTGACTCTCCTTCCTCTTTCTTTGCTCCGAAACCGCACGGAAACCCTTGCTACGCAGGCTAGGATGGGTCAAGCAATCCAACTAAGAAAAAAATCTTTAGTCTTTTTTTCTGATCTTTTTAGGACAGTATGACCTGCTTATAGACTACCTGACTGTTCAGTGAATTGAGGGCATTGGACGCTGTGAGATGAATGCAACGGAACGGGGGGTGGGGGGCGGAGCTGCGCGGCTGAGCGGTTAGAGCGCTGGCCTTGTAATTCGGTGGCCCCTATTTCAATAGACCTTTTTACCGATACGGCGGCCATATTGAATTAATTCGATTTAAGGAGTATTATAGGATGCCCAGGGGGCATGAGTACAATTCGTTTGTATTTTCGAGCGCTTTTCGGGACATTTTTTCTTAAAGTTTTGTTAGAATAAGATTGTAATGAGAAAAAAGATCTTTGTGCCGTGTTTGGATGTAGTAATAATAGCCTTTTTTCCGAGAAATATACAGTGAAAGATTATATTTTTAATACTAAACTAGAAAAAGGCGATCATTATTACATCCAAACACGGCACAAGGATCTTTTTGCCCATTAAAATCTTATTCTAAGAAAACTTTATGAAAAAATTTCCCGAGAAGTGCTCAAAAATACAAACGAAATGTGCTCATGCCCCCTGGGCATCCTATAATACTCCTTAAATCGAATTAATTCAATATGGCCGCCGTATCGGTAAAAAGGTCTATTCCCGCCCTAACCCGCCAGCTGGCGGAGTTGAACTCCTCTATTACGCTTGTAAATAGTCAACTGGTTTGGCTCCGGCCAGTTGGGATTCTTAACCCAGCTATGTTTGAATTGAATTATTTGTTTCAGATGATTTGAACGGCCCCGCTAGCGTAAGTGCTATAAATACTGCAGAGGGTAAACAAAGGAGATTATCATTTATTATTTAGCGGGAGAAGCGGTCTTCAAGAAAACCTATAAATGGGTAAGTTCAAAACAAAAGTGGAGGAGTGAAACACATGTCTTACTCTGTATGGCTATTTCCGACGAAATACAAGTTGTGACGTTCGCTATTGATGACTAAGTTAGCCGTGAGATGCCAGAAAAGTAAATCTACGAAAATCTTTCTTGGTTATAAAACCCTGGGCTTTTTTTACTTTTTCGTTTCGGTCGTCGTCGTCGTTGTTGTCATGGTTGCTCAAGCTCGCTAGTGGTGCTACCACACAAAACAATTCTTGATATGCAGAGCGAAGATTTTGTTAAAAACCGTTAAGTTGGTGGAAGTGGTGGAAAACTCGCGACAAAAAGGAACCCGTAGAAAGCTCATCAAATATTCGACGTCTTCAAGAAAGTTCAGTTTGAGTAACATAATTAAGATGTTGAACTGTTACAGGGACCAAATTTGTGGATAATTACTTGTCTCCAGCGACAATCGTATCTGATTTGAATATCAGGTGGGCTATAGGCAGCAAAGTTTGTTTTTGTCTTTAAGATTTCACAGCAGGAATGTGAGCGAGTGGTGTTGATGTATTAAAGACCTCGCAAATAGATTCGCAAATTGCTTTTCCCAGCAGACCAGTATCGTTTTTGAAGCTTTAGAATCAACTGTATATTTGTGTAAGGGTTCTGATTACGTTAAGGGAATAATTCTTTGCTTAGTGCTAAACCTGATGAAAGGGGAAAAAAAGCACTTTCTACAATCCACTGATGTTTGCTCACCTCTGATTTCCCTAAACTGCGTTGTTACGTGCTTATTCCAGTCCTGTTACGTTACGACTGATAAATACTCCCTTTTGACGAAATGCTCCAGCTGGAGAAGTAACTGAAAGAACTGGCGATTCCAGAGAATTTTTTGGTAAGACTTTAAGCACAAAATCGGCAGGGATTTAGAAATGTAATCGTTTTAACGGGGGCTTCTTTGGGCTTCCACTACAAATTGATTGTACATTCTCTTTCTTCTTGTCACAAGTCCGCTTGTGTTAACGAGGTGGTCGCATTTAAGGGGTGTTTTAATCCGCAGGGTTCCTTTATAATCTAGCCATCTCATATTTGTACTTCTACAGGTACAGGAAAGAAGGTAAAATAAAGCATCATTTTAAAAACGAATTATGAGTAAATACGATAGCGCTTCGAGCACACGTTTCGTAATTTGCAGCTTGGTAGCATATGATCTTTAGCCTGGCGAATTACTTTTTTCTACCAACGTGAACTCCCTCTCAACAAGACTGACGATAAATAATGAATGTTTATTGTCAAAGTTTTTCTTTGACTTGCTTACTGGTTCTATAATACTATTGCATTTTCACGTTCAAGTCCATTGATTATTTTTCTATTTAAGTTTGTCGGCAACTCCAGAGAGCCTTTTCTTGATCTTGTTAATACAAGTCAGCCTGCGAATATCAATTTCAATCTGATATTCTCGCATGGAATCCGAATGAGAATCAGGTTTGTGTGACTGATCTGGCTGACCGACATTTTAAAAGAAAAATATTTCATTTGTGCTTTTTTTTAACGCAGAAGCTAGTGTTTTTCCGCAACCTGGCCTCACGCAAACACTCGAAAGTCTTAGTGCTGTCATGTGTAGAGCACTGTGCTACAAGAGAGATGATCACTACAATGGTAAGAACGGAAATGTAATCAAGTTACCTGCCTGGAAAAGATTTAAGGTGCTTACCATTTACACAAACCGTCCGGGTGGAAATCTCCTGCAAAAACAAAAAACTATAAAATTTGACGTGGTGGGAGAATGACCCGCTACAAAGTATACCCAAATCAACGGAACAGATTAAAAACAGTGAAAAACTGCACCGAGGCCGCAAAACACAGCCCATGTTTTCTGAAACTTCCAAAACGGAATGGCGCGACTGGCGGAACCAACTGAGTTTTCATCAAGGATTTACGGTTTCCCCCCACTGTACGTACCTCTTGCCGCGCCTTTGCTTTTTAGCGACTTTCAATTGCAAGTACTAGTACGATTACTTTAGAAAGACCAGGCCTGTTCTTAGGGGTCTCCCTTTGATATGGATACTTCCATTGGATTTTTTTTTGAGCCGGGATTAATGTTCATGACACTGTACTGTGCCTTTTCAAAACTTATACACATTATTTTACCCTCAGAGAATATGGTAATGTTCTTAAGAATAAGATTTTAGGAAATGATATTTCTGCCCAGCATGTGCCTTTAGTTTGCATTGCGTTCGAAATTAACTTTGAATTCTTCGTTGCTTAATTTCACTTTCATTCATTTTTGTTATGCGAATCCCGAACGATTTACGTTTTGTTCGTATTTGGTGAACTGTTAAGATATAAATCCGTCTCGTTTTCATTTGAATCAATAGACGATGAATTTTCTCTTATTTGTTTATGATGGAACATTTTAGTTGAAGAAGACTTGTTTTTCCTTCTTCTTGTGTAAAAATGTTGGAAAATGCTACTAAATGTCGTCGGCCATCATGGCATGGTAGGTCAAAGTAAGGTCCATTTTGAAAGAAGGAACTAAGTTATTTTGAACATAAAAAGAAATAGAGAGCTATTCTTCCCCGCACAACCCAGAACAAAAAACTCACAAACAGGAGTAAGGAGATGTTTAAAAACCGAGATGAGAAATGAATCATTGTTGAAGTATCCTCAACTGAGTATTGCAAGATGTATAGACGCTACATACAATGATCCCGAGAACAAAACGATGAACGAGTAAACTACTGTTTGCCGTCTCTGTGTCTTGTATTCCAGCTATTTTCTGATCCAGGTCTACATGAGATCCGGCGACACTCTTCAGGTTGTCCTTTGGGTCTAATACATCTTAATTATCCCTAGCTTGAGATGAAGGGGGGGGGGGGGGGGGGAGGGGAGAGAAAGAAACGCACTTACGGTCTCAAAATAATTTGGCACAAGGTAATATACGTTACGTTTAAGGAAATGAACAGTTTATAAATTTCATAAATTTCGCAGAGAAAAAGTAGTATTAGGAAGAAATGCAAAAAAACGTTCAACTGGAATGTCAATCATACTGCTTTAATTTTGGTGCAAGTATTTTGAACAACTTTTGCCCTTTCTGAACTTCCTAATCACTAATTTTAGATTACAATGCATTTCCCTCTTGAGCTCTTGAGCTTTTTACGCATGTGAGATCACCTTGATCAATTTGGCTCGTCATCGTACTCTTCCTCTTCTGCTTGTCCACTGTCATTTTCATCTGGGGTATCGAAATCTGCGTCGCCCCTGTCGTTCTGCGGGAAATCCCTGTTGGGTATCCTCCACACCACTTTTGGCTCATTATGGTTGTGACACTTGCACAAAGATCCAGCCAAGTGCAATTTGCAACCATGCTTCCTCCAGTCGTGGTCAGTGTTTGCGTAAGCGATGGTTTTTATGGCCCCTGAGTCTTCTTTTTCCTTTTTGTAGCGAACACAGGAACTCCCACGGCAAGAACACCATATTACCTTGTAATGGCAGTCGCTGTCAGAGTGGCAACCTTCTGCAGCCAGAGTGCACTCAAAATCTGGAGACTGCTTTTGGGCATATTTGGTGTAGTCGAATTTCTGCATATGAACTCCTCCACTCTCACTGTGACGGCAGCCGTAATTTAAGTAGCCGAGATAGTAGTACTGCAAGTTTACAGCCCTGACGTAGTTTTCTGAACCGATCCCAAAGCGACTTTGTAGAATGCTCCACAATGATCTGAACGTATGCTCTATGGCGGAGTCCGACTCACCGGCTTCGTTTAAAAATTTCTCTATGAGTTTTTCGCTCCTGTCTCCCCTCAGCGCATTTCGAGTTTCCAGGGTGCCTCCTCTGAGAACAATGTTATCTACTGTGTTCATGCTAGATGTTTTAGCCACTTCCTCTTTGCTTACATTTGCACACGCTTTAACGCCAACCTTTCCGACGCTTGTGGGACCAGCCAGAGATACACAGCTTTTCACTTGAAAATCTCTCTGACTGTACGATTTAGAACTTTCGGCAAACGTTGTCTGCCTTATACTTGCTCCACGCTTCACGGACGTCACAACATGAGAGCCATACGTCTCTAAGAATACACTGTAGGCCTTCCAAGAGTTCGCCAGCCAGGGCTTGCTAATTGTCATAGGCAGGCGTTCGAAATCTTCAACGAGATTTTTGGATAAGGTAGAGAGCTCTTCGTTGTGAAAACAGTCTTTTGTGACCAAGAACTTCTCTGTCAGCGCGCGGATGTTTAAGGACATACCGCTTATTTGAGATTCTTTTGACTCTGTTTTTTGTACAACACTGCTCAGTGTAGCACCCAGTGTGAAGCCCGATTCCAACGAGGCATCTAAGCCCGCTCCGAGGGCCATCTTGGAATAAAAGGCTTTCGTACTTGCGTAGTAGTCGAAGTTGCTGCCTGTATAGTGTAACTTCTCCTTTTTAAAGCACTTTTCAGGTAAGGGCTCAAATACACTGGACTCTGCTTCTTGGAAGTCACCCAGTAAGTTAATCTTCCGTAGATCGACTCCTTTTCCAAGCTCTTTGCTGACTGGGTCAGTTTCACTCCCTCTGCACATGGCCGCGAGGATTAAAAACAGCGTCAATTCACTAACCATTGTGATATTCAGTACCATCTGCATGGTCGTCAACACTGAACGCTGAAACGTTGGACCTGATACAAAATGTCAATAGCTGTTTAAAAAGCTGCGTTTCATAGTATAGTGTCAGGACGATCTATACCCACTGTGCAAGCCCTCCACTTGTTTCATGCAATTAAAGTAAAAATAATGATAAACTACAATTTCAGCACTATCTTATACATTTATGCGAAGTAAATAAGGGCTGTTGTTGTTGTTTCACAAAAATCCTTGGAAACTAAATCTGCCCCTTGTTTAGTCGCCTTGGCACGAAAATCGCCGTATAGGTGTGGGTAAATTTTGCTACAACCTGTTGTTCTTTATTCAGAAGAAAACAGTGAAAATTTTCAAGTATTCATTTCTAGGAAAAAGAACTTTGGCCACAAAATGATTCACTAAGTGTGAAATTGAAAGCAATAATATTCATCATCTGAAGATGTCAGGGCATTAATAAAAATACAATAAAAGACTCTTTAGAAAACCTAAACACAGGAAAGAGCACATCAAAAAAGTTTCTAACAGGTATTTTGTCGAAAAAATCTTAACTTATAATAAGCTAAATTTAAGCTCTAACCGTTTAAGAGTGTGGAGTTCTCGATCGACACGATCCAGGATAAACATGTCAAAAATCCACGTTTGGGAACATAATCCGTCACCCATTATATTAATAGGAAATCAAATGGTATACAGTGTACTCGTGAAATTAGGAAATACATTAAATTTCACTTACGTTTTGTCCAAATCCTAACAAAAGGCGCGTGAAATTATTCCCTAATTTCACGAGTATACCATTCGATTTTACATACGAACATTTTCTTGTCGTTTATCTTAAATAATCATTTGTTCGCGCCAAATATTGGTAAAAAAAATGTCATTAATAAAAGCATTCCCTACGAAATTACTAGAGTGAAGAACTGCCTATTGGCTGATTGATACGAAAAACAACAACAAAAAATAGGAGAGTTACTTTACCTACGTCTGTTAAGTCTAATCCAGTGACTTTTGTTAAAATGAAACAGCTTCGTGGTAATCCTAGTTTATAATATCAATTTGGAATTCTAACCTCAGTAACAGGAGGGCGTTCAAACAGGAGGGCGTTGCTGAAGGACTTGTATCTCACGCTCTAGTTGCATCTATACAATTGGTATTAAATTTGTATTACTCTACTTTGTTTTCCTTTTGCAGTTTTTTTTAAAGTAGCTCTCTTTTTTTTGCTCTCCACAAGCAACGTGCTGTCTTCGTAACGTGCACTCTTTTGTAAGGATGTTACTTTTCCGGTCCAGACTAAATATTTTTATTTTTCTGCCGATTTTAGGCTCGAAATATTCCTGCATTATTTTTAAATTATAGCTCATGAAATTTCCGTTTTAGAATGCATTGGGCTATCAATTACAGTTAGCGTAGGTTTTTTTCTTTTGTTGGCTAGTTTTACCGCTTAGAGAATGGAATGATTTTATACCGTTAAATCAAAAACATGTAATTGTATTGTATTTACAGATTTTCAACACACAAAATTATATCCTTGTCATGATTTCGGCCTCAGGTTTATTCTTAAAATATTCTTAAACTTTCGAAATTTTCAGCCTCGATATTCCCATATCATATATTCTTATAAAACAGAGAGTAATCCTGTAGACGAATCATTAAAATCAGGCTTTGCGTTCCTATAATTGCCATCACAAGGAATAAGTTAAACATCATTTAAAGTTCTCTTTTCGAGCCCCAAACCCTTTTCTGCGTGGGAAAAAGCGGAATTTCACAATACAATAAAAACCCGCTATTAATAACCTTCATTTTCCCACGTTAGCCTAAACAAGTTCTTTTTCTTAAAAACAGGTTCTTACATAAATAGTAATTAGCACAAATTTAGGCTGTTTTAGTTCTGAAACAGGTTCTTATTTTTTGAAGAAGAATATGCATTCTAGCTCAGAGTATTCGGTGGTATTAAGCTCATTTCTTAGGCAAAACCTTTATACCATTACAATAGTATTACAGTTAGAGTTACAAGGCAACTATGTCTCCAAAGAGGATCCTTACCTTATTTGCCCAAGTGTACTGAATTTTTTTCCTAGAGATTTTAGAAAATAAGAGCCTCAGTTTCAAATAGGCTAAACAGGTTCTTGTATAGAGGGTGCGTTATATGCAACAGGTTCTTAACTGAAAACGAGGTTCTTACTCGGGGATTTTGACTGTTTTCGATAACTTGAAGTACTTGTTTAATTGTTCGTGCATGTAATGGTCCAGTACAAGAAAATGTTTCACATCCTTTACCTTAACATTTTTAAACACTCGTATTTCTGAGGGTACGTTAAAGCCGTTATACAAGTCTACAATTTACAGTTCTTAAAACACACCAATCTGTTCACACCACGCTCCAGTCAAAGTCCAGGATGAATAATTGATGATTAATGTCAAGACCGCCTCCACCAACAATTTAGAACAGAAAACTTTCTTATAGCTTTTTTAAAGGGTCACAAGTCGTTGCGAAGCAAGTCGTCAAATAATACAAAAAATACTTAAATTTATAATGACCTTGATATCAAAGAGATGGAACTTAACTTGAATTTCACTAAGATTGTAGTTCACTTTATGTTTCACAAAAGTGCGATTAGTTGGAGCCTATTTCTAAGCCTTATCACTGGACTAAATGTAGTGTCGTCGCTTTCAAGGGATTTCTTTAATGAGAATTCCGAATAAATCCCTAAACGCAGACTACTTTTAAAAGTGTAACGAAACCCTTTCTCCTCTCCACTATGTCACCTGCTTTGCAATCTGTTAAATGGCTCAATAAAACCACCACGGTATTCTTCACAGGTAATACTTAAAATACAGAAGATTCTTTTGCATGTTAGCTAAGGATGGTACATCTAGGTTTGAAAATTCGTATGTCTAAGGAATCATGAAAGGTAATGGAGGAAAAATTTTGGGGCGAGGTAAACATCAAGAGGGGAATCTTCCTGGGATATAGCCTATCGCCTCCTCTTTCTATTGTGTCATTGATCCCTCTGACTTAACCCTTTCGCTGCCAGAGTGTTTGAGGGGGTTTTGTAAGGTGACTCTAACTTTTGAGTCTATGGACGAAATCCTATGATGTGACCATTCAGATGAAAACTCTCTGCCTGTACTTTCACAGGATGCCATTTGTTTCTCAAAATTTTAGAAAATGAAATTTGGAACTTTGGTCGAAATTTGCCTTTGGCCACATTTGGCAGTGAAAGGGTTAAAGTGTTCCTTGGAGAAGGAAAGGGACTTATTAACCATCTATTGTACATGGATGACTTAAAGTTGTATGGCATAAAAGACGATCATAAATACTACCTGATGCAGTCGGTCAGAGTAATAAGCACCGATATTTGCATGGAGTTCGGAATCAATAAATGTACAACCCTAATTATGAAAAGGGGAAAGGCCATTCAAACGGAAGGCATGGATTCACCAGCCAAGGGAAAGATTAAATCACTAGATCAGGACAATGAAGGCTACAAATTTTGGCTACAAATTTTGGTTTACAGGTTGGGGCCTAAAACAAAGATTTCATCGCTGTTTCACGGACGAACTCAACCGCCAGAGGTTTGGTTCCGTCTGTGGCGCAGGCTACCGGTTAAGGGCACAGTCATTGTTTACGAAGACCTCTTTTTACGATAATTCCACGATCCTGAACCTGCGTAACGTGATTTCACTATTACGGGGACACACATTCTCGTCCCCAGATCCCAGCTTATCGGGAGGGTACCTAGACGTCAATCAGTGGAGAAGAGAATTGAATAGAATTATGCAAAATGGGAACTATGTTTTGTCTGTTGATAATCTGTTTCAATTGTAAGCCTTAACAATAACTTTTAAAGGGGGCGAGGGCTTACATGCAATAACACCAAATTATGTCACTTTTCCGAAATAAGGCCCCGATATGGAATCCCTAAATAATCGAGCCTAAGGGTAGTCTCCCTCACAGCCGTTTTTTGGATGTCACGCAACGCTCCCCCAATCTTTTCTTTTGGGGGAGCGTTGCTTGACGTCCAGAAAACGGCTGCGAGGGAGACTAGCCTAGGGGGTGATAACCGAAGCTCGATAAATGAAGCTCATTAGATTTTGTATCACAATTCCCTCGAAATCTGTTTGTATCCCCGCATTCATAATACTGATCAAGCATAAGAATCAGAAAATTTGAAACCTTTTAAAGATGTTTCTACCATGTTATACACTTTATTAATCAAGATTCCGAGAACGTTTACAGTTGTTGAGATTTAGTTCTGGCCACAAAATTAAGGAAGATAAGCTCCAGCGCGGCCTCATATGAAAATAAGACGTTATTACAAAAACAAAAGTACACTTTCAAATTTTCGGTCGGTCTCAAACAAAAACATTAGAATAATTTTGTGGACAGTCGAATAACAAGTTTTTCTGACTGATAACTAGCCTAAGAAGTTCATGGAAATATAGCCGACGAGTCATTTTCTATCGTTACTCGGTATTTTCTATCGTTTTATGATCTTGTTATTGCAAATATCCTTTTTATCCAGTTTTTCCATAAAAAATACATGAACCCTGAACATGATTATATGAAAAAATCGCAATAATAGGGAATTAGGAAACCTAAAACTTAAACCGGTGCATAATTGGGGAGTATAGTTCCCTCTGGAATTTCCCTGGCCGTAGTTAGTTTAGGGGCGTTTTAGGATTTTCAGTACTTCCATGATTACAATCGCGCCTTACAGACTGAAGGGGAATTTTCTAATTCAAATAAGGTCATATTTACGAAGGAAGCGTAAATGTTTTGTGAAATCATCATCAAATTCCGCCTTGTCTTTAATTGGTACGCCGACAAAGCGTAATCATAATTTGCGGGTTCAATGTTTTACGTTACCAAGCAAAATTTTCGTTCTCCGTCTAAGTAGCATTATTTTAATAACCGCCTTAAATTAATTCTGACGGAATGTTAAACGGCAGATATTAAGTTAAACCAATGCAAAAAAAGTTAATGTAAATGATTTAGGAAGCACCGTAGGAAATGCAGGCCAAATCTGTACAAATTAATCAAATAATTAGGAACGTCGAGTTCCTATGGAGAACCAAAAGCGTCAAGTATAACCATGCATGCAGCTTAATCAAGCAAATCTCTGCAAGCCATATTCTTCAGTGGAATCACGACAGAATATAATTGTTTACTCTTTGTAGAACTATAAAAGGAGTTTTTAGAAAAAAAAGTTTAGAATTGCGTTCCAGTGTTTTTCACATAATTTCATCGCCTTTCGCGACTGAAGTAATAATACTTCCAGAAGTTAAATTTTTGGGGGGGACGGCGAGTATTTTCGTCTTTTTTTTTAATATTATTTTTTATTGAAACTGTGTAACTGATATTTCTATGGCGTGTTTCATTTTTCATCGCGAATTCGTTTCCCAAATTTGCTTAATGGTTCCACTTGACTCGTTTTTTTCTTAATCCTGGCTTATTTTTTTAGCACGAAAACCATTTTTTTTCTTTCCGATAGCAGAAGGATTTTGGACACTTCTTGATAGTTCTTAAGGTTTCAACGACATTTTATCAGAGCAAACTCCAGTCTTCAGTCTTTACCTTACTAGCCACGGCAAGGGTATTACGATCGAGCTGATGAGAAATTTTTGAACATAACATCACCTTCAATTTGATCTTGCTGGCTTGCACAACTACAACAGTCTACAATTATTTGGTAATTTCACTCACAATGGATACTGACTTTGGTACCTTCTAGTCAAAATCATTCGAGGCGTTCCTAAGTTTTTGCCCGCCCTCTCTTAGTCAATTAGTTAATTTCCGTGGATAAAAAGCTTTTGCGAACAACATGTGAAAAAATGCGGGAATGAATTCATCCTTGAAATATTAATGAACTAAACTTAATTTTGATGAGCGAGAGTTCCTAAAGTCATTCCATTGTAAGCTTCAACTAGTCTTATTAGCAATATTCTGGAACGATGTTAGCGTTATTAATTTTTGTGTCCCGCGCTTCCTTTTTTAACGCGATTACAATCGAATAAATTACGAAAAACTTTTATTTTTTGATAATACATATTTTTGTTTTGCTATGATTATGCCTAATCTGAATCCCGTCTATTAGTAATTTTGAGTAATCAAAAGCGGACTAGATTCCTCAGACTCCCTGTGTAGCAATGATAATTACTATTTGAACAAAATGATTTCATTATTTGGATAATCATGAAAATTTCTGTAAAAATCTGGCGTAAAACATCAAGCATAAAACGGAATGATATTGAGTTCTTTCTGTAAAGGCTTTGGTAACACAAATGTTTTTCTGTAGATCCATGCATAAGCTACAAATAATTTTCGCGAGTCAAAGTCCATTAGTGCTGAGAGAAAAAGCACTTAATCAGTTAAAGACATAACAAGAAAGATACATGAGAAAATTAAATAACCCATTCGCCAATCAAGCGAGATGGAAAAGCTTTAAGATCTTTATTAAAAATGTATGATTCGCTAGTAATAAGAGGTCAAAAAGCCACTAAAGACTTGTCATTGCCATCATTCGGAGGGGTGTTCAGTTTATTTAATTTGAAAACTAAAAGTTGATTTTTCACAACTTTTACAGAAGTGAAAGTTAAGTTAGGAGGACATTCCTCTGTGTATCTATTGTGAGAAATTTTTATCGACGTTTCAAGGTATTGTAATTGTTCTGTCGGCCAAAAAACTCGGCTTTTCTGATTTCAACCACCCCTAAGTTGAGTTTTTAACTTGACATCTAACTGACTGAAAGTAGTTGTGAAGAGTTTAAAATGCATGATTCATCTTCGTCTGAAACTTCTCCTTCATTTCGCCATCGAGAAGAGATGAGGCCTCGTAGATCTCCTCCGCCTCTTGTTTCGTTAGATGGTTCTCGGAGAGGCTCGCTTGTTGGTCTTCAAAGGCTGGTCTACAGCTCGCAAATTTTCGCACATTCACGAGCATCCCACGAAGACTCGAGACCTGTTGCGAATATAGGCGACAATGTGGTGGAAGTAAAAACAGGTATTTTTAAAACTCTTTTTTAATTTTTAGTACTTCTAAATGTTTTAGCAGTAGTTAAGGATATTTAATTCGTATCCGAAGACACTTAAGTACATATAATGCGTCATTTAGCGTTGAATTATTAAATCCGAGGAAAACAAAAAGAAAACAATTCACAAGATTTTGGAGAAAGTACATGTTTTCTTTGCTAATAAAAACTAAGGTTTCAAAAAGCGTTTATAAATATTCTGAAAATCTTTGTTTTTGCTTTTTACCATTATTCAAAGCTTTTTAATCATTTATGATTTGTCGCAAAGTAATATTTTTGCTCAGCGTGAAATCATCATTAAGTTTTCTCAAAATTCCAGAGGAGTTCTCTCCTATTTTCTTCATCTGACAAATGCATTTGCCCGCAATAGGCCCTGTACATAAGATATCTGTCCTCAGCGGTTAGTGATATAAAAGAGGTATTTTTGATGTGTTTGATAACAAACATTCCTGAATTTTGAGGTTTTCAAAGTAAAAATATAATGGAAATTGTAAATAGCTCTCGCGCGAATGATACCTGCGGTGCAACGGAAGTCAATGTGGATCTTTTAGAGCGTAATTATTTGATGCAGTTGTAATTGTTATGATGCCAGTAGGGACAGACAATGTGGAACAAGACAGTATATTGCTGATTAGCTTTATTCATAAATAAACGGTTACCAGTGGGTTTTGAAAAAGAAAAATAATAGTATTTACTTTTCGAAAAGCGAAAACCCCATGCAATAAAAATTGAATTTTGGCATAATGGCCATTAAAATGTTCAAGACGGATATATGTATATCCAAGCAAAAAAGGGGGAAAGGCTGAAAAGGTCATGACAGATCAGTTTAGCTCTTCTCGTGGTAATTATCAACATAGTGATTACTCCGCCATCGCGTGCGAAGAAGTAGCGGGTAGGTGAAGCTCTCACGCAAGCAACCTTCAACTTGTCTTGCATGAGAAACCCCAGTTCTTCTTGTTAAAGCTTCACACATCACGCTCCACTGCGCGATTTTACAAGTAATGATTAAGAAAATAACCCCTGGCACCCAGGGTAACCAATTTTCTCCTCTTCGTAACATTTTAGTTTTCCAAATCTCAACGGATGATTGTAAGAGCTTTGACTGCCATTTTTTAAAAATTCATTTTCCCTCATATGAAAAGAGAAGAGGAAGGGACGGTGCGCGTTATCGAACAGTATACGGAGGGGATATTATTAACAAGAAAAAAGCATCGCCGGTATGAATGATTTTTTTGTGCTTTAAACCCCGACGGGGTACTCCTAGAAATTCTTGGTGGGGGTGTGCCGCCCTGTTCTTCAAACCCTGACCCTGTTTCAGACCATAAAACATGTCATTTTCCACACCCATTTTGAGACCAGGGACCCGTTTCTCGAAAGCCCCGATAACAAACGGGCCCGAAGTTCCCTCTAAAACAATGCCTAAGTTCAAAACAAAATGGGCGAAACGGCGCGAAAACCATACCCTTTGGGGCGGTACATACCTATATGACTTATTATAAGGGAGTGCCCCCCCCCCCTTGGGGCTATAAAGGCTGTTAGTACATTCCAATCAGCAACGGATGGCAAGAAATAACATGAAATGAAACTAGAAAAAGTCGGGCCCACCTTTTTCAATTTCAATTCATGTCCAATTTCTTTGAAGTTTTAATTCTTTGTCCCCAAATATCACCAAAAATTATTGTGGTTTTTGCTCCCTAATGAATTTCTTTTTTGATATCTTCTTAATGACTCTACAGGAGCCTTAGATGCGTGAGTAAAGGCACTTAGTGATGACTTCAGCACAGAATTCATCTAAAATAGCAATATCCTGGAAAGCCCCTTTAAACTACCTCCTCTACCACGAGTGGGAGGTACTGGAGGGTAAATCTCTCTCCTTCCTACTTTTTCAACCAATACCTTCCCTCTTCTTACTTTTCCGGGCCACTTCTCCCTCCTCCCTATTATGTACCTTCCTCCTCTATCACGGTATGCGGGACTGTGTAATTCACAATCATGCTTATAGCATTGATGATTATCTTCCAGGTACCAGACCGTCACTTTCACAACCTCGTCCCAGTCTTCCAAGTCCAAAACCCAAGCGAAGCAGGACTTCGTTCACCCCCATGCAGTTGGAACGTTTAGAGGAGGAGTTTTCAATGGATATGTACGTGGTTGGTTTGAAGAGAATGAAGCTGGCAAACGAGTTAAGCCTGACAGAAAGACAGGTTAAGGTGTGGTTCCAGAACAGAAGAATGAAGTACAAACGAGAAAGAGCAAAGACAAGATCAGATGGAGGAAAGTAAGGAGGAGAGGCATATAAAGCATAACCAAGTCAACTTATCTTGGTGCCGGGAATGTCAATGACTGTGGATTATGAGAAAAACAGTATAACAGTTGGATATATTTGTTTAAGTCATAATATTCCAAAGATAATGCAAAATTTGGAAAAGCTTATAGTGTTTGGCTGTTTCAAAGCTGTACTTGTTTAGCCGGTTAGTATTCCAAACTAATCACTATTAAATTCAATTTTATCCCCCTTTTTAAACTATATATTAAGGTATTTATACAAGTTATAAATGTACAGACTAATAGAAGAAGACGGAAACGGATAATAAATAATAGTATTAGGCTAAGAAGAGATAATATGTATGTCACTGTGCAGTGTACAAAGTAGCAAGAGCGTTCTATTTGGACATCGCCACCTTCAGGTAGGTGGCAGAAAAGAAGAGAGAGAGAAAAAAAACTCAAATTATATCGGTGATGGAGCATTCAGAGTAGAAGTAAGATAGTATTTCTACTCAGTCTTAAACGTATTATACGGTGGACATTTGAGACCAAATAGCACACACATACCTGTAGATGTTGTGTGGTTTCCTGTATTCTAAGTTCTTACATACTCGTCTTAGTTAAGTACACATAACTGTAGCTCAAAACATGCATGAAAATAATGTCAGTCAAGGTATACGTAGACTAAAAGCATTCAAAGGGACGCTGACGCAGTGGAGCCTAGTACGAGCGATCGAGACCAGTCTCTGATTTGCCACAGGATCGCACGATGGAGCCGCCCATCAATGCAGAGATTCCATTTCTCCTGTAAAGATTATGTCAGAGCACATTGGAATTTTCAAGCTATTTATAGAACTAATGAATGAATACAAACTTTATTAACCACGGTATCAATCTGTTTTCAGAATATTAAACGCCAGTATATTAAAGAAGAGCCAAGAGAATATTCTAACAAGGTCGTAGCTCATTAAATTTCAGTTTGAAGAACCAAAAATTTATGGCAGGGAAAGTTGTGTGTGCGTTGTGTCGCCTGTAAATGACCTTCCTGTACTAAGCAATTTGTCTTTAATATAAATGAGAAACAAAAAAGGCCTAATATAGAGCCCAGTGGTACCCCACATAAAACCTGAAGGTTTTTAATAGAATTTGACACCCCATTTACCATTCAAAACTGCTGCCTGTTTTCTAGGTAAGATCTAAACCATGTTAATATTGACCGTCCACTCCGTAGTTCGCGAGTTTCGCCAACAAAATTACACGGTGGAGTGAACCATAGTAAATCATGGAAAACGAAAATCCGGGGATACGATTTATTTGCCTTATTTATCTCGGACGTTTTTATGGTGCTTTCATCTATTCCCGCAGTTTTTGAGGTTTTCTCGAACATGTTATGCATTACAGTGGAACCTTGATATAGCGAACCTCTATACAACGAAGTCCTCGGTAAAGTGAACGATTTTCTTTGCCCCAGTAATAATGAAATATGAAAAAGAACGTCGATCAACGAATCGAAACCTCGTTATAGCGAACAAATTTTGCCAGTCCCTTGGCCCTTCGTTATATCAAGGTTCCACTTTAGTAACTATGACATCACCAGCTTCTTTATCATCCACATAAAGACTAGATAAATATATATTGAGCAATGTTCTCTTTTGTAATAAGTAAAAATGGCCGTTTTCACACTAGAGACGGATTATCCGTCTGAGACAGGTTGTCCGTTGGATAATTCGCGTCAGACGAATGATAGATCTTAATTTGAAAATGGAACGATTTTCTGATTTTTCAATCTTTTTCGTTTTAGTGTGTTTTCAAGGCAAAAAAAGAATAAAATGTGTGCAGGAATTATCTTTGAACAAGGTCTTATTCGTGCAACTTTCTTAGTTGTGCATACATTTGCACATTTATCTCATTGCGGGTGACAAAAAGATTTCAGAGTGAAAAAAAAGCTATTTTTACCCCATATGATACGGACAACTGAACGTTACAGAAGAAGCCTCGAAATATTGAATTTCGTCAGCTAATAATTAGGAATTTTCGGCTGATGTGGTAGGAGAAATCATCATCAAAGAATGTGGCCTAGGCAGGTACTCTTATTTTAACCCCAGACGTGAAGTGCTAAATCTGACTTGAGGTGTACACGACAATCCCCAGAGATCTTTAATTGGATGAATTATTTCTTTATCGATTGCCTCTTGAGTACAGCGGTTCCGGGCGTTAAATAAGGGTGGGAAAATAGCATATTGTGGTTTCTAATAGGGTCAAGGTTTTTGACTCAGCAGAACATGTACGCTCCAACTCACTTCTAATCGTGCGAAGCAGTAAAACCCAAGTAACAAATATCATGCGAAAACATCTCCTTTATTTTCTCGTATTGCATGAAGATGGTTACTGTTCTTAAAAATTAAACGTGACAAAGTTACATCACAGGCCACTGACAGGGGCAAAGAACTTGGCGGCTTATTTCCCCCCTAAAAGCAGGTGGTCCTATGCCCGCGAGGAACCATGGGTAACCTCGAAGTCTAAATTCATCGCAGCGAGGAAAAAAATGTTCAATCCTCTCAGAGTTTTAGAAGACAAGCATTTCCCCACCTGAATTTCATAGGAGTTGGCCCCCGGGTCAATGATCTGTCATCAGCCGCCCCCAAGAAGCATTCGTGTTGGTATTTATTACTGGCATCATAGTATGTGCTTTTGTTCATACACGGCTTATGGGTGGCCTTTTTTCAGGTTTTTTCAATGTAGGAAGGTTGCAAAGCTTAAGAATTTTTCATCAACACTGCTGTAATTGTTAACGTGTTGAGCCATTTTGCCTCGAATCTCACCCGATTACGTGGCTCAAATGCTTTTGATACTCATGAGAATTTAAGTGTCAGGTGCGATTGCACTTTAAAAAGTGATGGTGCGGACAAGAAAATTGTTGTTCCTATTCCTATAGGAACATCCTACAGGATTGCAGGAGCTTTGCGTGTTAAAAAATTCTCCATTTCTATAAGCTCATGAATGGTAGACAGATGTATGCTTTTGACACGCGTGTTGAAGGGCGGTGAGAAAAAGAGGCCGAACTTTTCAATCCATTTACAGCTATATTTTAATCCTTGCTTTTTCCGCCAGAGTACACTCATAACATTAAGTAGGTGTTCGTTTCGTAGATCATTAATGCAGAGATTTAGAAGATGTAGATTGGGCCGCTGCTTTTTTTACCCAAGGAAAGAGGAGGAAAAGTAACGTCGCGCCTATAATAAGTCAAAATATTGAAAAGATAAATTCCTAAAAAGGCCTTATTGTCAATTATGCTTTTTTATATCATGGGGCTAAGAGCTCCGTTTTCAGCGAATCCAAATGATATTTTTGTTGATGATGATGATGATATTAATAATAATAATAATAATAATAATAGTAACAATTTAATAAATACTTTATTAAACTCTTCTCAAATTGAAAATTAAATACAAATTTATTTTAACTATAGTTAAAAAAGACTTCTTGGTGGTCTGGTGGTTTTCAACCGAGCAAATGTAAACAACTGTCTATAAACTAAAAATGACAATTTCTATGTACATCCCAATAATAAAGTATCTATAGCTGTTGAGTCTAGGGAAGTCCTGCTTGATCCTTCTCTATTTCTAGATCCCTGTCCTTAACATCTAAGTTCCTCCCTCTCGGGGTTCTCGATCCCCTTAGGCAAAGGAGTGCGCTCCGCAAAATCGCAAAGGACACTTTCGCCCTGACCCATGAAATTGTTGTGGTGTAGCTCTCTTGCTTTTTTGCCGATAATAGCTCGGCTAATCTTGAGAGGTATCTCAGGCATTCGTCAGCCATTCCTCCCGTTGTTGTAAATACCAGTGGGGTAAATGTGCCTTGCTCTATTTCTGTGACGCGAGAGTTGTATTTTCGCTTCTTTTCATTTTCATGAATCCTATAGATTTGCTTGGGGCTAAGATCTCTATACTAGTCCGCATTGGGATGACACACCCTTACATCGAAAAATGCAGCCCTCTGTCGCTCCCAGAAACCCCTACAGTGGACGTCAAGGCGTGCATCAGGGGCTTGGTTAATCCCTCTGGCAAGCTCTTCGTCCGTAACAAGTTGTAATGCCGGTTCAACTTGCACATCTGTAGATCGCGTATTTCATTGTGGCGCTGACTAACTAAGACTCCACGCTGGCAGATCATCGCGTGATCTACTGTAAACATGCTCCCACAAACGCATACTGATATTTATTATAATAATGATAATGATAATAATAATAATAATAATAATAATAATAATAATATTATTATTATTATTATTATTATTATTATTAACGGTAATGATAATGGTGTACTAGACAAACTTAACAGCGTGTGAAACACGTACAACCACCGAGGCCTGGCCAGTATCTTACGCTTTCGCACGCCGGGCCATATCAGCGGGGCAGTAGGAACCATGGACAGCTGTTTTGCCCTTTTAGGGCTCGTCTGCATGACTCAACTGTTGGACCTCTGTACAATGAAAACCGTGTGCAGGGGCCTTTTGATGCCAAGGTTTGTTAAAACGAAACCAAGTTGTTAGCAATCTAACATTTGTTGACGTGGGAAAAAATGGCTTAACACATGAGCGCTCTTGGCTCAACATTGATGTCTGTTTTTTTTTTTAATTTTCCGGTTCCGATGAGTCTTAACTCTAAGTAGATTGGTAAGATTTACACTCTTTTCGTAAACTGTGCAGTATTTGTCGACGCGGAAACAAAGAAGCCGCTTTTGCAAAAAAGGAAATAAAGCAACGAACGTAAACATTACACAAGTATTCTTATCACGTTCTCATAACACACGGGTCAATGAGAATCAATTATCTGAAGACGGAAATAGGGATAATATCTTGTCAGGTACTCACCCACGTATAGTCGCCGATCACGCAAAGCTAACTCACGCTATCGGCTGTGGGAAAATATTTGCGGCGGTGTTTCAATAATTATATCTTACGGGGTCATAGTATCATTCACGTTCCCTACAAGCGAAGGGTTAAGGGAGTTGTGAAG